AGGCTTAGAAGAACAAGCAGTTCTCAACAAATCCAAAAGAATAGAATTGCTTGTAAAGGAACTGCAGATAATCAGACCGGAACAATTCCTATATGAAGCTTTTAGAACAGATTATGCTTATATCAAGTTCGATATATATATTCAAGGATATAAGTATAGCGCACTATTGAACAGTAATGCTTAGAGAAACTTCATATTCCCATACATCATCAATCAGGCACAACTACAATGAAAATAAAAGAAATGCCCATATACTCTCAGCACTGTAAAAGAACAATCTGTTGCATACAACTAAGGAATAATCGATAAGGAGACTGATTATCTATCTATCTTAATCCAAAAACATATAATCAAAGCTTCCTTTAATATCACAGATATAGCACAGCATGAGCTGATTATGAAGCTTTTATAACTCAAGAAGCACAATTCTCAAATCAATTGAACTACTGGCCAGCTTTTATAAGAACAAGCTGTACCCAGAGAGATAGTTACAATTAATAGCGCAGAATCGAAGCTAGTAATTGAAGAATACTCAGGAAAAGAAGCTTCATACAACTTCATATATATCTCCAAACCAGCAGAGCTAGCAGTTCAAGGAAAAGGATCTAGTAATAAGTAAACCCAAATAATGCCAGAGCGCTAATAGGTTAGCAAAACAATGGAAGCGAGATCCTCAGCAAGTTGGTTCGCTCCGGAGCAATAAGAAAAAGCTTCAGAAAGTGAATTATAAACCCACACGGGAAAAACCTCGAAACCAGGCCCTCGAGCGCTCAGTCCAGCTCGAAGCGAACGCTCAAGGCTCTCAAAAACGTTACCAAAAACAATGAACGAAAAGAAGCACGCTCAACGATATCTACTGTTCCTCCAGATAGCAGAAACAGCACAAGAACTAGAACTAATACTTGCAAACATACTACGAGAATATTACAAGTTTAAGAAACTATTCCAGAGAGAATTGGATACAGGATTGCTAGAATACAGCTCATACAATCACGAGATTCCGCTACAAGAAGGGAAATAGCTTAAATTCTTCCTCATCTACGGACTAAACAAGATACAGCTAGAGACACTTTGGGAGTATCTCGATAAGAATCTTAAGAAGGGATATATACGATTATTGCAATTATCAGCAGAATATCCTATCCTGTTTATATCTAAGAAAAACAGCAAGCTTAAGCTATGCATTGATTATAAGCAACTCAATGATATTACAATCAAGAACCGATATCCATTGCTACTCATCAAGGAATTACAAGATAGGCTGCAAGGAGCATAGTGATTCACAGTTCTAAATCTGAAAAAAGCTTATAATCTGATTAGAATAAAAGAAGAAGAAGAATAGAAAACTGCTTTCAGAACATGCTACGAATACTACGAATATTTGATTATACTCTTTAGTTTAACGAATGCTCCAGCTTCATTCCAGAAAATGATCAATCATATCCTATGCAAGCATCTAAATCAGTTCATCATTGCCTATCTCAATAATATCCTTATTTACTTTCGAATATTAGAAGAATACAAGAAATATATAGAAACAGTATTGCAAATGCTTTAGAATGCAAAGCTTCTTATAGAGCTTGCAAAAAGCTACTTTTATATACAGAAAGTTAACTATCTTGGATTCACAATCAAGCTAGAATGCATTAAGCTATAGAAAGATAAGATAGAAGCTGTTAGGAATTAGCTAGTTTCTAGGAATATTAGGAATGTTAGGTTTTTTCTCAGATACATTAACTTCTACAGGCAGTTCATTAAGAACTACAGCCAGATTGCATATTCCCTTACAAATCTTATCAAAAAGAAGCAGCTCTTCAAATGAATCCCCAAGATACAAGAAGCTTTTGATAAGATTATTAAGCATATCACCTCAGAGCTAGTTCTGTATGAAGCAGATCTCTATAAATCCTTTGAAATTGAGATTAATATATTAGGATATGCATTCGGAGAACAACTTGGTTAGCAAGACAACCAAGAATATCTAAGGATTGTAAGCAACTTTTCAAAGAAGTTGAATAGCTCGGAAGTTAACTATGAAATCCCTGATCAGGAACTTATAGCGATAGTAAAGACTTTTGAGAAGTAGCAATACTATCTTATTAGTATATAATACTCAATCATAGTTTACTCGGATTATAAGAATCTGATTACATTCATGATAATTAAGGTTTTGAATAAGCAATAAGTTAGATGGGCAGAATTCCTTTTACAGTTCGATTTCAAGATTGTGCACTGCAAAGGCTTGGAGAATGAACAAGCAGATGCTCTTAGCAGAAGATCAGACTATCGAGATATAGATTCCTCGGATATATAGAACATCTTCGCCCAAGATGAGTCAGGAAATCTTGTTAACGTATATAGAGAACTGAATGCTGCTCTCAGAATAGAATCCTTGGAAAAGAATTCAGAATCAATGATTCCAGACGAACAAAATAATTATATTAAGAATGTATACAGTGCATTAGCATATGAATATCAGGGAATCAGAGCAATCTACGAATGTATCAAAAGATACTGGAACTTATTAAGCTTTAGGAAAAGAATTGAGAACATTTTATAACAATGCAATAGCTGCAAGAAGAACAAAGCAGAAAGATATAAGCCTTACAGACTACTGCACTCCTTACCAGTATCTATAACTGTTTAGCAATTTATTAATCTAAACTTCATTATTAAGCTACTTCTTTTATAAGAACTTTTAACTAAAGTGCAATATGATAGCATTTTAGTAGTGATTTGCAAACTAAGCAAGTATGCTTACTTTCTCCTTTATAAGAAAAGCAGTATAGCAGAGGAACTTGTATACGCATTTCTCAGAACAATTATTGCTAATTACAGCATGCTAGAGGAAGTGATCTTCAATAGAAATAGAAAATTCAATTCAAAATTTTAAACTTTATTTATGAAATAGCTCGGAATATACTATAGAATATCTATAGCATTCCACCTGCAAACAGATGAATAGACAGAAAGAATAAATCAGATTGTTGAATAATACCTTCAATACTATATTAACCAGGAATAGAACAATTGGATCGATCTGTTGCCTCTTGCACAGTTCGCTTATAATAGCGCGGATATAAGCATAATGAAGAAATCATTATTCTTCACATTCTACGGATATAATCCAACAGCTTATCATAAGGCATTGCTAGAAGCAGATGTAGAAGCTGCAGATAAAAGGGTTAAAAAGATTAAGAAAGTTCAGAAGGAATTCCGATCAGAACTATAATTCGTTCAGGAACGAATGATGCAGTATGCAAACTTTAAAAGAATTGAAAGATCAATCCTATAGGAAGAAGATAAGATCTATCTACTTCGAAAAAACATCAAAACAATCAGATCCAGCAATAAACTCGATTATAAAAAGTTGGAATCATTCAAAATCTTGCAACAGATTTTCCCAGTTAATTACGAGTTAGCATTACCTCATGGAATAAGGATATATCCGGTTTTTCACATCTTATTGCTAGAACCAGCAGTATAGGAAACATTAACAGACAATATAGCAGAAGCGGAAAACAATGAATCAGAGTATAAGGTAGAAAAGATTCTCAAGCATAGAAGTACAGACAATACAAGGGAATATCTCATCAAATGGAAAGGATACTCAGCAAGCGAAAATTCTTAGGAACTGCAGAAAAATATTAAAAATGCTTAAGAAAAGGTAGCTGAATATTGGAAAAGGAAAACCAGCATCTAAGACAACCTCTCTGCTCCGGAGCGAGAATCAGGCGCTGCAGTTTCACTCTCCAGAAGGGAAGGCCAACCAGACATGCTAGGATCAAGAGCTAAGGAACTCCAGTCGATAACCTCAAGATGTCCCTGAGATATCAGACGAGTCTCCTCTTCACGAAGACTGCAATCCTCCTCATCAGCGAACCCTTCCAAGAAATTGAAACCACAACGAATCATTTCTGCAGTACATTCCTCCAGCAGCCTTCGCTGTTTCCATGCACAATCAAGACGAGCCTGCGATGCCAGCAAGGCTTGTAGGGCAGCAGCATTTGCTAACTCTGCCTCAGCCTCCTCGCTCAAAACCTTGCGCTTTTCACGAATCAAACGCCCTGCTACAGAAGAAAATCAGTAACCACGGAGAACACCAAGGAACGAAGAAACCAACCAGCAGAGGCCGAGAAACAACCAGTATCACAGCTTTGACCCAGAGAAATACACTTCCCACAACGAGAAGAGTTTTCAGCGAAACAACAGGAAGCTCCCGTCTCCCGATAATGAGCACAAGCAGGCATTTCGATATCAAAAGCAGAAATAAGCTCAGCAAGATGATAATGCTCTTGAGTTTTCACCGAACGACTAGGATGCGATTTGTTGATTCTGTTCAACATCTCGATTAGGAAGGCATGACCATGTATGCGAATAACTTGCTTGGATACTTATGAAAGATTGTTAGGAATAATGATTGATAGGAGAGAGATGATGTTATGATTTATTCAATATGCAGATTACTAGCCAGAACACTCGGAATAACTGTTCGGAAAGACAGAGAAGGATTCAATATCTCAAGAACTAAGGCTTACATAAGCAAGGGTTAGGGTTACAGAATCAGGATGGATCAGTGGCTGATCCATGGTGATCCGGATCAGTTAGATCACCCAGGTGATCCAAGGGATCCAACAACCAGCACTACCAACAGGACTGAAGAGCTGGATATATAAGAACACGTTCATTCCCATTAGATAAATCTCGTACATAGCTCTTCAGTTATCAATCTAAGTATTCAGTCTCATACACTGAATAGCCCCAAAGGCAGTGAACACTTGCATCGCTTATTAGGACTTGTACGGTTCCGTATTCAAGGACTTGACACTTTGACACCGCTCTTGTTAGCATAAACCCCTTCGTATACTTAGGAATCTTCGGATTGCTGCAGTGCTCATTACAATACGAAAGGCAGTCTTCTACTCATCTCCTTTACAGATTCGAAGCTGATAATATGCATTCTTAAGATTGAGCTTAGTATAGATTTATACATAGCTCAGTTAATTAAGAATCTTAGCAATTAAAGATAACGGAATACAGTTCTTACATATAATCCGATTTAGCGCTCTATAATTCATATAGAAGTGCAGCTTGCTTCCTTTCTTTAGCACGAATAGTATAGATGCGCTAGCAGAGCTGATTGAGAATCGAATTCATCCTCTAGCTAGCATCTCCTTCAAGTATTTCCTAAGTACTTCTAGTTCAGCTGCAAAGAGAGCATACAAAAGCTTTCAGAGCAGTCTTACCTTCTCTTCAAGCTCAATGCAATAGTTAATATCAGTATAGGATACAAGCAACTTTAATGCCTTCTTCATGCATAGATTAATGAAGTTGCAGTACTCAGAGGGCAGGTGCAGCTTTAGTGCTGCATCTTCTAGCTCAGCCTTGAGAGGTAGATCTGATAAGCTTGGATAGTAATATGCTGCAAAGATAACTCTCGCTTCCTCAAGCTCTTTCGCTATAGTATAGAGCTAAATCTGGAAGTGCTGGAGAAGAAATCTTCATTGCTTCATATCTCATTGTATTACTAGATTAATAATCTTAAGCTATAGAAATCCCAGAATCAAGCTAAGCTAGCTAATATCTGCTACTATAAAGCGATAACGCTGCTTCCTGGATATTCCTAAGCTATCTGTAATCTTTATATCAATAAAGCAGCTGCTATATATAATAATAGCTCCCTGATTAATTAAGATGAGCTTGAAGCATGCTTCAAAAGATTGGTTCTGCGCCAGAGCCTCAGCTAAGCAGCAGTTAATCAGATTCTCCTCTGCTCCTAAGTCAACCAATCTATACATATGCTTCCTTTTGTTTCCAAGCAATAGCCTTGTATGAATAGTAAGCTGGCGAGGCTTCCGCTCAGCATCTCCTCAGCTCTGTTGCATGGCTATTGCTATCTTGTTAGCCTGCTTGCAGCTGTTTGCTATATGCTTTTTCTTCCTGCAAATCCAACATTCTGCTTCTGAATAACTGGAACTATAGTAGCCTGGCTTATTGCAGGTGTAATAGATATTTCATCGAGACTCCGGGTATAGATTAGCAAAATAGCCTGTCTTCTAACAGTTGTAATAGCAAGCAAAGTTATTATTAACTATCTAAGAGCGCATCAACGAAGCTTGAGTACTCATGAAGGGAAGTGCCTAAGAACTACGCAGAGCTGTGCAGTCCCTTGCTATATAATCTAGCTTGCCACAGCTATAACAGCCACGATATGAGAGGGTAGCAGTTCCTGAGCTGCTGCTTAGGAGCGTCTTGACAGCAGATTGAGGATTGGTAATCATCTCTTGAGCGGATTCGATATATCATACTAAGCTAATCAGAGCATTCCAGCTGCTCGGGAGCATTATCTGCGCACTGATAGCAATACGGATCTCTGGTCTGAGGCGTATAAGAACAGCTATTATGCAGTATTGCTCGATATCAGGATGGAGAGACTCAAGCTTCGCCTTCTGGTATCAGCATACAAAGCTTATCACTGATTTGCTCTTGCCTTGAGCAATGCTTGCAAGCATCGCTGCAGCAGTAACAGCGCAGGTAGTAAGATCAGCTAACTGGTTCTTCAGAAAGGATTCAAGTTCTCCAAAGGTGATAGGAATAGGCTCACGCTATTCCTCCTCCTAGCGGGCAACATAGTTGATCCAGTCCTGCTTGGAATCATCTTTCAAGCAGCGTACTGCATATTCTATCTTATCCGCTTCATTAGTTAAGCAGCAGATATCGAAATAGTACTGCAGATTATATAGAAACATCTTCAACTCTATATACAATCCCTCCTTGTATATAAGGGCTGGTAAGCTGCAATATAGCTGTGCAGGCGCTGTTGAGAGTGCCTCTGAAGGGATTGGCACAGGAGGGGTGCTGAGAGGGCTGAGGCCAGCTGGCTGGGGCTCCGGGCTGGTATTGCTGCTCTGGAGTAGTATTAAGCAAGCACACTTGCTCCTCAGCTGCTGCTGTATCTCCTCTTCTTCCAACTAATGATCGAGCTTGCATTCCTAGTATTGCAATCCAGCTATATCTGCTAGTGCTTCAAGCGAGGGATTCTCGTAGGCTGGGCCTAGGTTCGAGCTTGGAGAGAGGATCTGAGAGGGGAGTTGGCTTAGAGTCTGTAAGGGATTGGAGTTGCCAGCTCGTTGTGATTGTCGCTCTGAAGCAGCGCTGCTGCTTCATATAACTGAAGCCATTCTCATCCCCAACAGCTTACTTCCTGGGAAAGAGTAGAAGGTTCAGACTTGTCAGGGTAAAAAGAGCACACAAGTAAGGTGAAGAGGTGTGAGCTGCTCTCAAGCTGCTCTGTTGATGCTTTCATTCAAAGGGACTACTGAACCTATCTCCCTCCTCCTCTTTTTCGCTGCTGGATCTGTTGTTCCCCTTTCCCTTATGTACACAATTGGCCTGGACTAGATGGGATGACAATGGCCTGATGGCCACGCAGCATCGTACAAGAGCGCTGCTTCGGAGCAAAGCCCTCGCAGCAGCCCTGGACCGCCACCAGGGGTCGCAAGGGCCACCTATTTCCTTTGTGCGCATACAAGCCCTGACATGCAGGCTAGCTTGTATCCTAAGCAGTAGATGCGCTGATAGCTTGTTATTCAGTACTTGAAAACGCTTGTTCAGTTGCTGAAACATTCTCGCTGCTTGCAGCAGCGCTTCTTTCTAGCTAATCCATTCATTTCAGTGCCTCAGGAGATTTTTCAGAAGTTGGAAGTTCTTGCACCTTATTCTCTAAGCTTCTTTCCTGGGATAGGTTGCTTTGCAAGAACGCTCTATTGCCAGTCTTAGATACTCTTATCCCCGAATTCCAACTCGGAATGCCTTCCGAAAGAGACTCTGAGGATGGGCTACTGTTCTCGTTGAACAGCAAATGAGATCCTTAGTTTCGATTTGTAGCATTAGGCTAGAGAACTGAATCCTATATGCTTTCAATAATGATTATATTCATGATTTTCTTATTATTTCCGATTTCTAAAATAATTAGTATTAGCTAAGCATGAAATAGTACTTCTAATATCTTACTGCTATTTGGATTATAGAATTAGCTTTTATTGAATAGAATATTGCATATAGTTGCAATTCTTGCAAGCGCTGAAAGCTATATGCAATATAGATTGCTTGTAATGTATTCTACAAAATAGCTCTTATATGCTCTTAGTTCTGTTTTTATATCCCATTTATAAGAGCTAAGTTTGCACTCTTCTTGCAGAATATATGCTTAGCATCTATATGCATAGATTCTAGCTCAGTTGAGCTGTAGATTCGAGACTGCTGTTCTGACTATTTCCAGCGCATACCAACGAAAGTACTGCCTGAATCAGCTATTCAGAAGTGAATTTAGCATTTCAGAGTGCTTGAGCATGGATAGAGAGATATTGAACAGCTAGATAGCTGCTTTTACACACTCTAGCCATAGATCTTTCAGTAGTTTGGCTGATAACAGGAGAACTAGCATATGCTTCTGAATTTCACGCTCAGCTTGCTCAGCAGCGCTATTTAACTCTTTCATATGCAGTGAAGTAATCTCCAGATTAATGCTATTATTAGCGCACTATTATATATATACTATTTCATATAGCCTTCTTATAACTGAGAAGTCTGCATTCTATCTGATTTTGCAAACAAAGAAGCAATATTAGCATTATACTCAGATCTCGAATAACCTAAGCATATCGAATACTATGAATTATGCTTTATTAGATATCAGAAAGGCAAACAACTTGCTACTATACTCATCTTTGAATATAAGAGCTTATTTTGAGCTATCCTATACTTTATTATAATCGAGAAGATTCCAACTAATGCGCTAGAATAATTGAGAGCTGTAGTATTCAGATCTTGCACATTGAATAATCTTTGTAATGTGCTCTAGAATACAGTATTTACAATCAATTCGTCTAATTCTGTTAATTCTAATATCACGAACTGAGTAAACAAGCTTCTTCAGAGCATTAGCATTCAGATATCCTAATCTTAGATGCTAAAGATACTCTGAATCACTTCTTTCAAGCGCTTCATTATATGAAGAACGAGAATGCTTATTTCTTTTTAGAGTTGAGAATACGAGAATGCTAGCTCAGCTGTATAGCAGCATAGCTAGAGCTTGAGAGTAGAAAGAGTTTGCAAAAGAAATATATTCGAAGAAGACTAAATTAAACTCTTTATATAGATTTGCAATTACTGCACTCTATTTAAGCATTTCTAAGTGCAGTATGCTATCTTTGCTATAGTATTAAATCCCTTTCTCATATAAGAAAGCCTTAGCAATTATATTAATATAAAAGCTATTTACAACTGCTATACAGTTGAAAACTAGGTTCTCAGTACATTTCCCTTGCTTTCTATTTAGTACATTTTTGAAGCATTGTTTCCTAAATCCTCATATTAGCAACAATGAGCTCCCTGCTTTCATAACTTCTGCATTCCTTAAGAAAGAAAAGATATTTAGCTTTAGAAGATCAATGCTATTAACAAGATATATAGCTCTGCAGTTATTCAGAACTATACTTTAGAAAAGAATATAAGATATCTGAAACAGTATTAAGAAGATTGCTACACTTGCTTATAGTAATACTGCTTAGTTGAAAAGTTAAGAATTAAAGATAGCATTTATTTAAAGGAACTAAGAATGCTTTATTTCAAGCTTAAGAAGTATTAGATCTGATATTTTAATATTATAATTGAGAGATTCTAGCACTCAATAGTGCTTAGATAGAGATTCCTATTATTCTCTGTTCTCTATAGAATCCTTTCTATCCAGCCTTAAGAAAGCTATTCAGTTCTAATAAGATCTGAATAGAGCTTCTAATAGTTTTTGCTAGCTAGCTTAAAGAGGATCTTCTTTCTTTGCTTATTAAATGAAGCTTTGAAGATTAAGTTTAGCTTAATTCCAGTATAAGCATACTCCAGCTTTCCGCAGCTTATAAAGCTTTATTTATGCTTTCTTTGATATAACTTGCAGAGATACTTGTAATCTCCCTTTTCGCTCTAGCTGGAAGATCTATCTTATTTCTTTCCAGATTTTGTGCCTGAGTTGCTGGATTGTAGGTTCTCTCCGCTTATAATAGCGAATACTATTGAGCCTTTTTTCTGCTCAGGCTGAAGTTGGTAGATTGAAGCAAGATTTCATTGAAGCTATTCGATAGTCTTGATAAGCAGATCATTATCAGATGCTGTAGCAAGGAGATATTGTTGCATTTTAGCTTATTCTGTCTGGAAGCAAACTCCAACAGCAGCAAGAAAGTTATCAGAGCTCTGAAGTCTCTCAACTTCGTTAATGCTGTAAACCTAAGCTAGATTCAGGAGATCCTGATACTGCTAGCACTAGTTTTGAAAATCAATGCCTTGCCTAGTAGCTAGCTCAAGATAATAGCAGTACTGGAAGCGAACAACCTGTTTCATGCTCTCCTTGGACAGATAGAGATCTTTCTTCAGATTCCTAAGCACTTGTTGAATCGAGAAAGACTTCTTTCCTGAATAGATATGCATATAAGAAATAAGAACTGATGAAGATACTATTTTCTAAATCCAGTTTCACATCCTCTATACATTCTGGTAAGCATGCAACTGCTTATTTTAACAAAGCTAAAAGCATTTCATCTCCTGATTATAGAGAATAGCTTGTTCCTGGATAAAGAGTAGCTTGTAGTTCTCCGTTATAGTATTTTTGCGCTCCTTCTTAAGATCCTGAATGAACTTAGAGAACTCGAGATCGAAGTCTTCAGATTCGAAAAAGAGCATATCTGAGCCATCCGGATCTAGATACTTCCAAATACTCTTTCCCTTGCTCTGGAACTGCAAAATGCTGTACTAGGATGGAAAGGAGTAGGTATTAATATACTTTACTGAGAGCATAAGATCGTCAGGTTCGCGCTCCATCATGAGCTTTGATGGAGCGTAAGTATGACTGTTTGGAACAAAAGATGTGTTCTGAAAGAATAAGAAGTGAACAGCTCAGTCTGTTTCGATAGATAAGGGGAAGATTAAACCCGATTCTTGCGAACCGGGCTCATAACTAAGGAGAAACGTATGAGCTGAGCACATGGAAGTGGCTGAATGAGTGTTGAGATTGAATCTATCTAATACAAAAGGAAGATCTTCTAAGTAACTAAACCAGGCTCTGAGATGGTTTATGAGGAGACCAAAACAGAGGGTTAGGGTTAAATATGCCCCATTTTTCACAATAACGTACCTTTTATAAGCTGTATTATGCTTCACAACAAATATAAGAATCAGTATGCTAATTGCATCATCTCTCAGCGCAGCAACTGCTTATATGCAACAAGATATCTTCATGAGCGCAACGATGATTACAGTCCCCCACCACGAGCGGCCCCTCAAAGCTACTCTGGTCATTGGACAGGCGAGCGGAATCCTACGCAAAGAGCAAGAAGCGGCAGTCAAAGCAACCCGATCGACCTCACCGAAGACTCAGATTGAACGAGCCTGGCTGGCACGTTGTGGAGGAAGCATTGGAGGGCAGGACTTAGGAAGCCGGTAGGTATGGTCGCGATGGAGGCGAGGCCCGCCGCTCCCATAGATTTTGCTCCTTCTTTTTGCTTCTACGTGGACGATTCGTTTAGCAATTCCGGTGTCTCATGGCGCATTCAAACTTTGAGACTCTTCAAAGGGTATGGCGGGCTACCCAGGTGGACGGTGATAATAAATTGTGATTGCAATGTTATCTTGAAATTTCCAGGAAGAGGAAGCGCCATAGCTGATCTCAAGGTCCATGGATACGATTACAACCTCTTAGGTATGTTCCTGGACTGGGCGCGCGTGACATCTCCCACTCCTTCTCCACGCCGAACACATTCAAGCTTGGCAGTACTTTGGAACGTTCGATAGTAGATCTACGCACTGACTAATAACTTCAATGTTGTAAACCACGACCTCACATCCAGAACTCAGACGGTTCAATGCCTGATGGTACTTGGAATCGGGCACAAAGCTTTCATTTCGACTGAATCATCTATCCTTCGAGAGCTGGGCAAGTGCGGAAACTTCGCATGGGCAATTGCTCAAGCTAAATTTGTGCTGACCCAGAATGCCGCCTTGGATCTTCGCGGAGATCGTCCCTCCAGGATCAACTTCGATAAACTTCTCAAACGCTTGACCAGCTTGTACCTTAGCCCATATCTCACCAGTGAAGAATTCTGTTTCCCACTTCTCCCTGCTGTTCTCGTACTGCAGATTGACTTTCTGTAGTTGAACAATCTGTTTCTTAAGGCGGTCTCCAGGCCCATTCGGCACCGAATGGCTATCCTGACCTTTGTATCTTTGAGATAATCCTGCCGAGAATCCGGCGCTAATTCCAGGTAGAACAGCGCAGCGATCAGCTTTTCTGCTCGTGTGCTGGAGGCTACTGTCGCTCTCAGTGCCATCGAGAGAGAACGAGACATCATGTTTCACCCCGGGAAATCTGGCATTGGCGACTGCTGACCCACTGTGAAATGTTAGGCCGAGTCAAGGGAGGACAAGTTTCCGCTAACGTACCACTCGCGGCCAGGAAGCACCATCATTTCTGTTGCTTTGGAGATCCGGGGACTCAGGGATGTCGGCAAGCCATTTCTGTTTCGTAGGGACGTCGTGTTCCTTACAGAATACCATGTAGATGAGACGAAGTCCGAATCCCTTCCCGATGATAAGGTTGAAGTGGAAATAGAGCGGGCTTTTTAGGTGCTCTCGGAGCTGAAGCATGACGTGGCTAAGAGACTCCACGTTCTCGTCCCCCCCTTTCAGCTTGATTATCCGTAGACCTGCTGTAGGAGGCCTTATCACGATTGCTTTAGCATTGATTTTGCTGCAATAGCATTCTGGCAGATAGAAGTTAGCATTCTGGCAGATAGAAGTTAGCGCTGCTGCTGTAACTGCTGAGTTCTATTGCACAGGGCTGATACAAACGATGACCGCAGGATAACGTGATTCGTGGGCCGTTGTCGAAGCATCTGTGACAAAGGGACACGTCAGAAAGCTGGCTGTCCGAATTAGCGTTGTGTAGAACTTCCTTGGCCTACGAGGGAAACTGGAGATGCTCTTGAATTGCTCTTGCAATGCTTTCTTGAATCCAGAATCCAGGCCTTGCAGAATGCTGGTGTAGTTGCCAGTAAGAATCTGGTCCGGGATTCAGGCTATGATGTATTAGAAAGCTGACAGGAGCATTGCAGTACTTTCTTAAGGATTACATACCATCAATGATGCCTTCCGCTTGATGATAGTCATTAATCAACCAGGCAGCAGCAAGCTTTGCTGCCTTGGCCTGAGAGAGTTTTAACCTGTATGACCGATGCACTTGACAGTGCAGGCGCGAGGGCACTGGAAACTTGCGCAGCAAAGATGTGAGGCTGAGAAGCTCGGTAACAAATCGACTATGCTGATGGCAAGAGGCTTCCAAGAATGGAGAAAGTCTTTCAACTGGTGGTAATGGATTTGATATCTTGATGTTCAAGGTGTCCAAGGCAGCAACAGCTTCTCAGCAGATGCTATTGGGGTTATGAACTCCCCCTGAACAGCAGCAAGTTACATTTGTAAAAGATGCACGCTATACATTGTAAGCTAGACTATGGGACGGCTTAATGATTGCATCGTGGTTTTGCAGAATGTGATTGCTCAATTCGAGGCTGAGAACAGCCTTAGAAGGACCAGAAGTACTTAGGGTGGTCAGGATGAGCACAAGTGGACAGGTTGATCGAACCTATCCTTGGGAGAGTACAGCCCAATGTGCTACAATTTGCAAAATGTTGCTTAGGCTTTCGAACTCTTCTAGAGCAAACACCACGCACCTTGTCAGGGGCATCAAAGATAATGAATAGAAACGATGGGAAATATCTGCGGGTGTCTCGTGAGGAGCTGATTCCAGCGGGTGTTGCAATAATTGATTAGAAGACTTGTTCTGGTGCTTCAGAATTGTTTTCAAATGCAATCCACACTCCACAATGACTGTTTGAGGTAGACCATGAAGACAAACTTGATCCATGGACGTCCCATTCTTGGGATTCACACATCCACAGGAAGATTTCGGATATCGTATCTGTATCCTTGTTGAACTGAGAGTATGAAGCTTGATCCTCTAATAGAACTGAGGTGTCGGGAGGACCGGACAGTAAGTCGAGCCATCGGAATGAAGTCATGGTCAGCTTCAAAGCATTTGTGGAGTCAGAGAGTGAGAACTGTGCAGAAAGTCGGAGCGATGATCAAGACGCCCTATTCCAGCTCTATATACATTAATAGGCATGCAGTCGGCGGTTATGCTGCCAAAGGTCCATCCTGGAGATCCACCTGTTCAACACATGCCTTGACCATTCTTCGAGACGGGGGCCCACTGAGAACCCGATGTCAAGGGCTACTCGTCCCAGAAGATCATCAACGACATGTCATCATTCTTCCTGCATGCCTTGTTAGCCAAAATCATGGGGCACATCGGACCGAATGGCCAAGTGGCCCCACATGGGCCATCATGACAAGGCCTTTTGGTTGCAAGTTGGGTAGGGTGACCTTCTGCATCCAAAATGATCAGGACTTGGATGATCAATCTGCAGCACCTGAGCAGCTTCAAAACAGTCTCGCGAACTAGCTTTCCCCCGAGGGGACTCTGTGCCACCCCTGAGCTGCCTGTATTTGGAGCCGAGATGAGCGGCTGCTACTGATGATCTTTGACCTTAGGCTTGCCCTTAAATTCCCGTCATCACGGAGCGGTATCGCTTACCTATTGTCTTTGGTACCCCAGTCATCTGGCCTGGTGTCTCGCAGTTTTAGAGCTCTTCAGATCCGTCACTTCTTTTCTTCCTCACTTTGCACCACCTTTGTACCCTTTGTGACCATCTTCAACAGTTTTCAGTGTGACCAGCATGGGCCTAGTACACCCACTGCACATTATCGCGACAATCAAGGGGCTGCGCTGCCCCATAGCATGCATTCATCTATCAGGTGCTGATCCCGGCTGGCATATGTTACAAGGTTCGACGCATTCCCATGATTACGTCGGCATTTAGCCCTCCAGATATTTTGAAATTGCTAACACTCCATGGGCAGTTATCAGCAGGATACTGACGTATCTCAAGAAGAACCCAAGGTACATCGACCGCGACTTAGCTTACGCAGAGATGATGGCCGACGGAAAATGGCGCCGGGATGTAGAGACAGAAGAGGAGCACATCGCGGCCGTGCCCAGGTTCCCTTTCATACACACATGTCTGTTCCTCGGCGCCGTCTCGTCCGACTGGTGGTCCTACTTCTTGAACCGAATCTTTCCGCGACCATGGAATTCGGCCCCCAATTGGGGCGGAAAACATATGTGGGAGCCAGGATGTACGGTCATCGACCTGACCGATTATTCCTACGCCTTTGTGCTACCAGCTTACCAGGCGTGCGGCACGGCGAGCAAACGAACATACCGTAGCCTCAGGCTTCGGCCGCTTGACGGGCACCAGTGTTTTACAGCGTTCGGCAAACAGCACGACGACCCGGAAAGGGACGGCGTCTAGGTCGACACGGAAGGAAAGGCTGCATCTGTCACACCGATGGAGGCGCTCCGAGAGGCGTGGCCCTCGTTTCCACCGGAATGGAAATCAGACGATTCAGACACCGAAGATGCGGACGACGACAATATCATGCAAAGGAGTGAGAATGCAACAAAGAAAGCACCTGCTTTGGAACAAGAGGAATCTTCTGAATTAGGCCGGGGGGGCAGAGGAAGTACCTGCGGTCAGGAAGCGCAAGAGGGAGCCTGGGCCGGTCGACCAGCACATTTGGAGCACGATCGAGGAGTTGCTGGTTGTCCTGTCCCTCAAAGAGCCTAGGTGTCCAGAAAAGGCGAAAAGATTTTCGGCCTCTCTTGAAGCGCTACATACAAAAGCATCCTGAGCCCATCCACCATATTGCGGGTCACGAAACATGTCATGCGGAACAATGGGCTCAACATTTAAACTAGAAAGCGCTTACGGAAGCAAGCATCGGGGTTACAAGCTCCGCCAATAAGGATTGGCTCACCAGGTCACCAAGTCACCAGGTGAGGTAGTGAGCCGAGCCGCACTTAGAATTTGTTCAAATGTGGGGCAGTGAACTCATTAGGGTGAGGATAGGTGAACAATCAGTTCACAGTTCACTTGCACTTATCCTTCTATCTGTTCTGGGCCAGAGGTACTGGTGCACCTATTTCTATAGGTAAAGTACAACGAAGGCCTGGCTGGCCCGAAACCTGGTAAAAGGGCCCCCCTTGTGCCAGGGGCCTGAATGGCCCTTTTACTCATATGAGAGAGACCAGTGCCTTTATTCAAACAAATTTTAAGAAATTTGGCAATCAGTAATATCTGGGTCTGTACAGCCTTCTGCAAGAATATTTCGTACCCTAGCATACAGTATCAGATCCTCCTGCTTCCAACATTCATTCCCAGGAAAGATCATCTCCCGCAGTCTGGTTGCAAGCGGGATCAGCAGCCTGTAATACTTGGTAAAGTGCTGTTTAACTGTTCTTGCAAACACATTGCTCGTAATCATACTAGCTTTCATCTTGAACAGTATATCCGTATTTATGTAATTCCACTTATCAAACTCGGAAACAATTCTCTTTCTGCTTAGCTTCTTATAGTAAATGCAGATTCAAAAGAGAATTTAAAAGAAGGATTCTATATTGTATATAAAAGAATGCAGCTCGCTTATAAATGCTTCTATAGCTATAAAAGCTCTAGTTCTAGTTATACTTTTTGTGCTTAGCATATTATTTTGCTATATCTTAATAGCAAGATCTAGATCAATTAAGAAAGATAGCTAGAATAGATTGCTAAAATCTTTATTAATAATGAGATTATTGATTAAGATATTCCTATGCAGGAATTCTACTTGATACAGAGACTTATATCCTGCAATACAGCTCTTTAGTGCAGCAAGCAAATGCGCTCGAAATCTTGCTCTGTAGACAAGCAGTTTATAATTACGAATAATAGTACGTCTATATTCCCGGTCCGGTAGGATGGTAATGTAGGCCTTGTTGGGAGATTGCGATAGGCGGGATCGTTTGTTGGGCGGCGGAAGTGTGTTGGCATAGCTGGATGGCTGTTTGGTTGGCAGAGATGTGCCGGCTTGGCTGGATGGCTGCTTGCTTGGTGGCTGAGGTATGCTGCCTTGGCTGGATGGTGGGCTGAATGGTGGCAAAAATATGCCAGCTGAGCTGGATAGCTGTCTGCTGCTTGCTGGCTGTTTGCTCGGTAGAGGGGCAGCAGCCCGGCTAGATAGCCGCTTTATCCCGGCGATGCTGCTGCTGCTGCAGCCTTTCCGCAAGCCACTTCTCGCTTTTACGCATAGCATAAAGTCTATCCAGTCTAGTTTGTAGTTGGAAGCCTTGATAATATCCAGTCCCTTGTGCACATTGCTATAGATAGTATCATTGGTACTGCTTACCTGAACAACCTTATAATGATAATAACAGGCTATATTAATAGCCTTCTTATCTATTGCCTTGCAAAGCAGATCGCCCTCTATATCCCGCTCTGGAAACTGCTATAAATCTTTGATAACAAGTATTATCCGAAGATTCTCTTCAGGATAAGCTTTCCAGCAGATTATTGCCCAGCCAGCTATACAGTACTGGTATATTATTGCTTTATCGATTAAAATACGCTTATTTATACCATTCCGGTTGATCTCGATGAACTGCTGGCCGCTGGATGTTCTCTTGAATGTTGGATCGAAGCTAATCTCCTCTTCGCTCATCCACAGAAATCCGAGCATCGTGGATACAAACCGCAGCCCGTCTCTATTGATATCGAACTGTTCGGAAGCGAAATTTCCATAGCCTCATAAGCGATCCACAGAGGGTAAAGGCTAGGACGAAGCGGCGAGTGTTGTAGGCTGAGAGGACCTCCCTTGCGTATCTTGCGATGCTCATCCATGCAACCGAGGGTATATCATCAGAGGGGGGGGGGGTGATCGGAAGGGGGGTGCTTTGACTAAGCACACATGTCTTTATGAATATGACTTTTGTGATAAAAGGCTCTAATAAATATCTTGGAGATTAGTATATTGGGCGGTTCAGGGGAGGCAGCAATGTTTAGAGGGGTGCATTCCAAAATGATATACCCGTAGGCCTGCGTCAGGCGCCGTGGCTGCCCACCACCCTCGTTCCACGATTAGTGTTGGATATGAGGACCTATTCAGGCCGTTCCGTACTGTTTCGACTCATCTTCACAGCCGTCTGGCTGTATGAGGACTGATGTATTCAGGCATATCCTGTTTCAAGCACGAGTCAGGCTCTCAGGCGCTCGTTTATAAGAAGGCATTTACACTCCTCCTCAAGCATAGTCTAGACAGAACTAAGCTTCTTACACTCGTTTACAACAGAAATTCGGGGATTTTAAGATCAAATAGTACGAAAGCCAGTGGCTTGATTCAACTAAGCTTGTATAGATCAGGACATTCAGTCCCGTGCTACATTCTCCATCTTGCGCAAGTACTTGGCCCCAAGCAGCTTAAGCTGTCCGATCTCTGACTGATTAAACAGGGGGTCGCCTATGCGTTTCAGCATACTGATACTGGAAAACGGATTGCCGTGTAGGCGTAGCAAGCCCCTAATATAGAAGAGGCGTAGAAAAATACTGAGGGTAGGACGAGCCGGAGTATGACCGGCCTACTGCTGTCATTCTTCGGCTAGTGTCGATTCCCGTGCCGCAGCTGTCCGAAAACTAGATTGAGAGCCAGAAGTCGCTCCCCAGGAATGATACTCTCTTCGAGGAGCCTTGGTCGAGCGAGCGGTTGGACTGCAGCGTGGCCGAAGACAGAGTGTACAAAATGGAACTGGACGTAGTCCGAGAAGGGCATGAACATTCCCTAAGGAGGGAGACACGAGAGAACAGATCGCAGACTGCATACTGAATGCTTAAGGGGCGTTCCAGTACCGGGGCCGGCTATGGATACTAAAGTCGAGGCTCTCAGCGTGTCCATGACTCACCCTTGATGGGCCATCCAGGGCGGAACATGACCTTCAACGCATCGAAGAGGGACTATCACTGGGACGGCATGTTGTGGAGAGACCAGCAGCTCGACAGCTATATAGACCATACGTGCATTCCCAGTCTCAGGGAGTGGTCACTCCTTTTAGCTGTTTTCGCATACATGTCGATATGTGCGACGCACCTAGCTCGACTATGCGAGGCCAAGTGAGTCACCACTGTCCCCACTATTGCCAGGCACCCTCTGTCTATAGCCTCAGTTAGCCAGCTGTTTTTTCCCTCCTTTCCTTTCCTCTCTTTTCCTCTCTAGCGCAGTCAATACAGTCATTCCCATATCGACTCTAGTGTCAGGGACTTCTTCAATTTTTTCTTGTATCGGACTGATTGGATAGATCGACGGAAGATGGAATATGCTGCCTTTTAGTCATAACGGACAGACCATCATATGTTTAACTGAAGGCCATGCATTCGATGGTGGCTGGCCAGCGTGCGAGGCAATGCCGCGCTGCATGGTGGCAATTCCATGAATTTCCCAGATCAATCATAAGTGACTGCGGTTCGGACAAGGTAGGCGTCTTGTAGTCATCCCTGTGCGAGACGGTCGAAATCGAACAGAAGCTGTCTAAATCGTATCACCCCGTTGTCTTGCTGCTATTAAATAGGCCGTTATGGCCCTATATGGGCCACCAGAGTGCGGACTTAGGTCTTAGTATCGCCTCTTGACGGTTGCTCTCATGGTAGGAAACAAATGTGAGTATGGAAGCGATTTCCCACCTACACAAGACCCAGGCTAACGTTAATGGATGGAATAGTTCTGGAAGATAAAACATTGACGAACAAGACTTGGGCCGAGGTCTCCGGCATCTCTGTGCAGGACATTCATATGCGTTACAACTCTCAGGATATAATTTTCACACTTCGCCACCAAAGTGGATCCAAATTACCAGTTGTACAAGATACAGACATAGCCATAGAATTCCCATATAGAAATAAGTACCAATACTTATATACATTAATAGTCAGTTGCAAGGCCCGTTCGTGCGAGGCATTGCAATCATCGCCGAGGCACACTCTGTGACAATTAAGCCAGGATATCCTCAGGCACAGCATACCAAGCCTCCTCAACTACCCTTTTCAGCTGTTCGTAAGTCATTTCTGTGATATCGTAATGTAAGTCGAGCCAGTCTTTCATCCATTTCCATACATTTTCAATAGGATTCAGATCAGGACTTCGAGAAGGCCATTTTACCCTCTTAATACCCAAATCCTCGAAGGCATCCTTCACAATGTGTGCTGTATGAGCTGAAGCGTTGTCCTGCATGAAGAGATTATATAGTAGTGCGTCTCCTGCCTTCTGTTCCCGGTGTTTGGCCGTGGGCGTCTCGGAAGTATTAATTACTCCGTAGACTACGGCCGTTCGATGCGGGAAACCCGACATCACCTCGAACTTGCCCGCTGCTGATGTAAACTCAGGACCCGCTCCTGACAGGGCTGCTTCGCGCTCTCCGCGTATAGTAGTTATTCCCGACCCAGCTGGGCCGCGAAACGGGAAACAGGAGCACGGCCACCCGTCGTGAAGGGCACCGAATGGTGCTGGAGGGCGCTGTAGTGCTGCCAATGACGCGCAGAGCTTGGTCAGCCGCGTTATACGGAACACGAGCACCCAGGGTCGCCTTGGCCGTGACCAGGCGCCGAAGAGCACGGTGCACCCGAGCTGCGCTTTGGCAACAGCAACCCCCACAGAAATCAAGCAGACTAGCGCTTGCCTTTGCCGCAACATGAGTAGTTTTCATTCTAACATGGTGTTACAGACGGACGCGATCACCATCGCAGGAGCGCGTCCTTTTTTTTTTCTTTTTTTTCCCCCAGCTTCCCTTTGAATCTAAAGTATGCCCTACATACTTTCCGCGAGGTCTTCTGACTGTCAGCATGACTCATCAGAAAATGGCGGCGCAAAACCACCATGCTTCTTACAGTCTCGCAACCTCAGTACATAGTCTATTCCATCCATAATATAGCATACATGCGAACGCCGACAGCCCAGGACCTACGGACGTCAGGAGCAGCCCTGCTGAGCAGCATCAGCATGGACACCACGAACGTGAGCGCAGCTGCAGCACACAGCTTCGCATCTTCTCAGGCCTCCAAGAAGTCCTCGAGAATCGCTAGTGGCTTAGAGGTTGGTAACATCATAGGGGAAGAATCGCTGCATACCCTACGAACGCGACCCGGCCAGACCACCACTGGCAGCACCAGGTTGGCTTCAACAATCACCCGAGTCCACAAGGGAAGGATCGATAACAAAAAGCGCAGCAAACCACCGCCCTTAGCCAAGAGAGCCGGGCTCGGTTCTCGTACACCCTGAAGAGCTCGGAAAACTACACAGGGAGCATGCCCACAGAAACGCGCCTTCGCGGAGTCTGTACCCCGCTGCAGGTGATAATAACAAACAGCCGCCTACTCCGTAGAGCGCGCAGAAGGCCGAGTTCTATTGATTGCCCAATGACAAACCAGCGCCTGTCTATTTCTTCACAGTCCCAATCCTGCTCACCCTCCCCTTTCTTTTTGCTCAGCCTCATATTCCTCCATTGTTCCTGCATTACGACAAGTTTATTGTCCTCTCCTGGCACTACAATACCTTTTCCATACATTAAGCTATTCGCCCCCAAACCGTCCGCCATGGCCTCCGCAAACACAGGCCTAGGCAATCCAGAAGACTTGGGCTGGTACATCGCCTTACTCGCTTCATTTCAAGTGTCTAGGCGCGACGCGCAGCACATTGAGGACGCCAATCGGGAGTTCCGGTTTGACCCTGAACAGTATTACAAGAGCGACGCGCACGACACGAACGACACTGCACACTACTGGGCGGGTAGAAATGACCCAGAGGAGCTGTCCGGGCCCTACTTCGGGCTGCCGTGGAAGCACGCGCTCAAGAATGAGCGCTCCTTCGTTCTCGGGTCACTGGACCGGGAACTAGGCGACAAGTCCAAGTGCGCGTGCGACTTCCAGCTCGCCGACAGCAACGCCAACGGCGTCAGCAGGGCCATGATATCGATCCTCTGTTATGGTGAGCTGCTCATAAGACCCCGTTTCCTACACTATCACAGATGGCCTTTGATATCCTCTCTATCCCCGCAATATCTGCAGAGTGCGAGCGGGTCTTCAGCCAAGAGGGGCTTACGATGTCCTCACAGAGGGTCCGCATGAAGGCATCTACGTTGGAGATGCTCTCCTGGCTGAAGCACCGATGGAGAAACGGCTTCACGACGGGACCAGCGGAGGAGACCAAGGGCTGGCAAAAAAAAAAAAAAAAAGGCAATCTAGGGATTCAGAAAGTGTTTTTCATCCAGTTAAGCGAAGAACCTCACGCGGAATCAGATCGTAACAAAGTCTACGATATCTCATTATATATCCATGCTAACTAGATCACTTAGCCTAGTTTTGTTACTATCACCACGATTGAAGACATATATCAAGGTTAATTGAATAGATTTCTTAGCAGTCTCAGCAGTCAGTCGTCCAGCCTAGCTTATCAGTGCAGTCGTCCGCTAATATTAACAATTCAACAGTCGAGGGGTGCTGAACTGAACTGACTAAACTGTGTGAAACGCTAGCTATAAACAACGAATAACATGCCGGCAAGAGTCAAAAGATATGCAAAGAAAAAAGAAGAAAACCACCAATAATATGCAACATCGGTCATACTGTGGGGAAGAAGACCCCTAACCCTAGCCACTTACATACATAAAAACCCTTTTGAGCGTTTTCTTTTGTCCATCTTTCTAGACAGCAATCCAATCCAATCCATTCTTTCAATGCTCACAGAAGCCATTATTTCCCCCTTACATACCTGCTCATAGATCTCTGATTTTCCCTAAGCCCTGCTCGTCTTCCTCCTCCAGTGTTCCATCCTGATCTGAACCCCTCTCTACCTTTTCTTTGGGCGCTTTCTTTGCATCCTGTGTCTCGTTTCCATGTATGCCGCCTCCAGCGCCCGAAAGCGAGCAACCTTTCTCTCGCGCCTGACCTTCCTGGCCCTTCTTCTGTCTTTCGAACGAACCCGTTTCTTGTAACACTTTTCCAGGTCCTGCTTGGCGTCCTGGATTTGCTTTCTCCCATCTTCCCTATCGATCTTAGCACCAAGCACCACATTCTCTGTCGCTGCGCTAATCAAATCCTCACAGCATTTCTTGAGGACATTCAGCTGTTTCTCCACCTCGTCCTTAGTATACACTGCGTCTTGCGTGTAACATTCAAGCTCGCCTCTGGCCTGCTGGATCAGAGCGATCAACTCGTTATATACTATGCTATGAGAAATCTGTTCATTCACGCTCTTTTCAACCATGTCTCTCAAGAGCGTCTTGAGGTGAATATCCCCCAACAACTGGTCGTAACGCTCAAGATGAATCCAAGAGGGGGGACCCTGTAGTATTTGGCATATTTCATGCACTTGTTGTTGGTTTGCGCTTATCTGTCTGCTAAGAGAGCTTCCTAGCAGATGGATGGCCTGCCCCAGTATGTTCCCCTCTTTCCCGATTCTGTAGAGTTCTTGATGTGTCAGCTGCAGCTCCAGCTGAGTCTCACAGAGCTCCTCCCTGATCTTGTGCAGTTCTTATTTCATCTCGAGCAGCTCCTGATCGGTCGTCCGTACACCCTCCTGGAAGGTACGGGATGCCTGCCCTGACACCCCGGCGGTATCCTCGTTCTTGTCGGGATGCGAACGAAGCTGTTCTCGCTCCCGGGGAGCACTGTCTCGGCTGAAGGCTGGCGCAGGGTGGTGCAGTTCAGCGTATGGAGGAGGGACTTGTCTGCTGCTGCTCTCCGGGGCGCCTGGCTGCTTCCGCACCTGTAAGGCATCATGCTGGTCGACCTCCGGATCTGATCCTCATGGTCAGCATGAGAAAGGGTTCCTGCCATGGGCGAGAGTGCTGTGGGCATCAGCGTACGAATACTTGCCTGGTGTATCGGCAATGGGGAGCACCCGACCGCCTCTGCCGGAATACATCTTGGAAAGATCGTCGCAGCCCTGCATAGGCCGAACACCACCACGGATCATGGCATCGTACCAAGGTTGATATTGTTCGACTGCCAGGCAATCCATATAAAGAGTGATGGTCGTGGTTCGGGCTGCGGATTTCATGAAACCAAGGCTATGCCTGAAAACCTTGTTCTTGGGCTCCAGCTTGGATAGAGGGACGATCAGCGCGGCAGAGCGCCTCAAATGGAACTGCAGACTGGTCACATCCCTCCTGCCAAGCTGTCTGCGTATATGCTCTGGCAAGTCATCACCAACATTATTATTCCTGCTGATGGCGGTCACTATCTTCGGAGAGATGGAAAGGCTGATGGACGACGGTTCCTTGGGGCGTGATTTGGTCCGGAACGGCACAAGAAGGCTGCACGAGGATGAACGGGATGAGCTGTCGAAACAGACATGAAAGGTCACCTGAGACGAGGCGCCGGTGTGCATTTGTGGCAGGTATTGCTTCAGTCCATCTGGGCCTGCCAGCTCTATGACCACCTTGGACTGCATCTTGCTCGGTCGGCTGAACGTCTCAGGCTGGACGAAATTCTGGAATCGAACGTTAGTAGGGCGGGCGCATCCACAAACATGAACTCACACCAAGCGAGACAGGCAGGAGCTGTCTGGGGGGGAAAAGAAGAAAAAAGAAAAAACCCCCTCCAGGCACATGCCGATACATGTGCATGGAGGCCCACCCTCCCAGGCTTTTGGAGAGCAGAGCAGCCTTGACTCCATTTACCCAGAAGCCGAGCCACTGTCCTGAGGAGAGAGAGAATGCAATCGCGGTGACTCCACAGGAACGACCTGTGAGAGTCCCTACCCAATACCCGGGCCGCGGAACCCGTCGCTTGGTGCTTGGTCGATGTAGATACGCCTCCCTCAGGACCACTGCGAGCGTGCCATGCAGTGTTCTTGCGGCTCGGTGGAAGGGTTTGGTCGGGAGTGACTCCACGGGGAACGACCCGTGAGAGCCTCAACCTATATGCGGTGGCGTTTGTTTTGGGTTGGGAAAGCGAACGGGGCGGAAGAAGGTATGTGTATAGTGAACTGGGTAGCGTATCTAAGTCAGCAAGAATTCCCAGTTCAAAAGCAATGACGGTGGAAACTTTACCCGGCCGAAAGTGGATGGATGATGGTTGGTTGGAGGGAAAAGGCGGAGGGCGGAACCAAATAATTATCTGGTGGCGGGAAGTGGTGACTTATTCTATTGCTGGTTGGGCCGAGGAAAACCGGGACTGTCAGGAAGCCGGCGTTCCGCTGCCAAGGCGCTAGTGAGGCACGGGCCACATCCCCTTACAATAGTCAAGGATCAGCTTCTGTACCAACAGAGAGACCTGGCTGCCACCATCAACTCGACATCATTCATTTCTCAACTGAATCATCGTGACTCTCTCTGCCTGGCTTATGTGATAAGTGTTCTGACAGTTGCTCTACTTATGCTGGTCGGTCGGTCCAATCATTAAATTTTGAAGAGCTAAATTAGCATCCCGAAACCCAATAAATGGCTGGCCATACAGATTGCAGCATGTAGCGCTACAGAAGTCATGAAAAGTTATTTCGAGGTATGTGGAATCAGAATAACATTCCTGTCCCATGGTATGAATACTTTCTACTATCTACTTGAACAACGCAATGGTCTGAATTATGTTTGTCGACAGTCTCGAGGGCGAAGCTCGCGGGTATCTTTCGGGCGAGAGAATATCGATGGCTTCTCGACGCACCCTCGTCGTTCGCATCGCAGCTCAGCCAGTCGTGTATTGCTCGCCTGCACCTGTCCATCTCCCTCTTGCAGGCCTCTTCAAACCCGCCAGCACCACCAGCGGCAGCCTTGTGCTTTGCAGCACGCCGTTCAAACATACCTCTGGTCCAGCTGTGCTCGAAATCAATCAGCTGCACGTGGATGCTGAGGTGTGGCGGCCCCTCTTTACGGACGCTGCGGACGAGTATATTGCGTAGCTCTGCATCCCCGTGCACCACATCAGCTTCGTGGACCATGGCAAGTGCCTCACAGATACTCGTCGTGAAGGCCCGCGAGAACGTGTGGTCTTGTCCGTGCTCCAGCCCCAAGCTCCTCACCAGAGAATTCACCACACCAACTCCGGCATAACTTAACAGCAACAGACTGGAGAAGCCCACCCCATCCCATCATAGATCGCAGCTGGGCATGAGATGGTTAGTGCCAAGGCAGACAGGCAGCTGCGCCCCTTGTAGGTGGCGGAGGCGGTCGTAGATGCGTGCTTCCCGGCGCATTGCCCGCGCATCGGGCCCCTGGAACGCTTTTGCAACAAACACATAAGCCGTGAGGAGCCAGTCGCAGCTTGATGAGCTGCGTACAGCCAGAGCCCGAGGTGAGATATATGAACTCGTAACTGCTGTCAGCAGTAGTCTGCTGGCCCTGCGGTGTCGTGGTAAGCTGGACAAGTAGCCTTTGGCGAAACTGCGCACCCGTCAACGTGTCTGGGTGGCATGCATGGTCATGGTAACTGGGACAGCCAAGGTCCAAGGACCATCCCTTGTCGCCCCGGCGGTCCGACAGGCGAGTGAGAGCCCGCAGGCAGGTTGGTGTGCAGAAGGGACGGGCCCAGAGCGGTGTGCTGGTGAGAGCTGCTGGGGCTGGGGCTGCCACAGTATCTCCGGGCCTCCTGCGCTTTTCAGACCCATCTGGCGATCTCTGCTCATCCGTCCGCCGCTTCCTCGGGAGATGTGCGCTGTCGCAAGGGGGTGGTGGTGAGGGATATGCAGGCATCGACAGGGACCCTCTACCTGTTGTCTGTCCAGTTGGGCTCGCACTGGAGGTCAAGGTTGGACGCTGCGCATCAGCCGCAGCGGAGAACTGTTGCGAGGAAGAGAGATCGCCGCTGCTGCCCCCGAGATCTTGACCAGGCGTGGGCCCATCTCCGCGGTCTTTTTGCGCAGCATCTGAGTGCGCTACGGCAGAGGCTACCACGGCTAGCTGGTCGGAGGGTGGTGAGGATCCTCCTTCAGCACCGGTCTGATCGGCCCAGTAGCTCTCCGACCCCGAGGTTCCGAGCCGCCTCCTATGACCCTCGGACAGGCTCCCACTGTTGCCCGTGTAGAAGCTGGAGTTTTGAGTGGCAGTAGCTCAGATGAGACCTTCGCTGCGCTATATGCTATGCAGCTGCTCATTCTTATCCAGCTTTTCATGCTGCATCGCAGTAAGAGCTAGCGAGACAACACGCAGGAGAGGCGAGCTGGAGACATCCGGAGAGGGCCGGGCCACGCTGTAGCGCAAGGTGGACAGGTGGTCGGGCGCGATGGTTGTGAAAACATAGTTTTGTCCAATAAAGATAATATCATAGCACAGACCCTTATCGATGATGCTCGTATATAGTTGTAAGCACACAGCTGCAAACCAGTATTCACAGGCATCAGCATCCAGACTGCCAGCAGCAACCACCGGGTCTTGTCTGCCTAAGCCGTAGTCCATGATGGTGCGTGATTCCAAGACCTTGTCATTATGTATGCCGACCGCGGCATTGATGATCTCTGTGGTGAGCTTGTGCGGGGCCTCTGCCTCCTTGAGGAACAGAACCCTAGGGATATCATCCTGGATGAGCTCGCCAGCGGGGCGGGAGGTGTTGACCATGATCGCATTCTGTGCCTTGGGCTCCAAGATGCAGAATACGTTGGCAGGGCCACGTCTTGTGGGCTCGCGTATGTCGGCGCTGCGCTTTCGTTTCACTCCGGCAATACTACTCTCACGCAATGTCAGCTACCACCAGAATGCATCTGCTATGGGGTGATGCCACCATGCACCTCCTGGGGATAGCGTTTTGGTGGTTGGGAAAACGAATGTGGCCCGGTCGAAGCAGACGAGCTTGGCAGCGGTCGTTATGCTGTACAGCGTTAGCCCGCTGGAAATCGCATATGGTGCTTCTAATGGTAGCATCGGACAAGAGTGCCTCTGAGACTCGCGAGGCAGGCTTGTGAAGGGTGTCGGCGTCAAACAAGAGCAGGGCGCCCTCGGAGTCGACGCACACGAGGTCCTCAGCTACCATCTGGATGTGGTTTCGACATGGAAACAAGGGTGCTGAGTCGCCCGCAGTCTCGCGCAGTATCATGCTGATTATAGCACGCTGCTCGTCCAAGAAGTCGGTCCAGGGCTCGATTCGCTCCGGCGCGAGACGTCCTTCCGGGTCAGTGATCTTGCCTTGGGTGCCTGTGTGCTTGGATACGCGCTGACTCGCCGCGGGCATGAGGTGGCCGCGGCGGATTGCATCGTACGATTCGGCATAATTACGAAGACTTTGAAGGTGGAATGGCGCAAGCACATCGCGCTGCGCCATGTTGTATACGATCACAAGATTGGCGCGGTCGAAACAAATATACATAAACTCGAGCATGTGATGAAACTGTATACCCAGAAGGGAACTTGGGGCTACTGACGCCATATTCAGATACATAGCGGGAGAGGCCACCGTCACCGTACCATGATACTTCTTGGGCACTGGGACTCATCTGCTTCTCGAATTCGCCATCTGGCTGACAGCGTTCCACACAAGTGAAGCGGAATCAAGTCGCTTGACAAGTGAAGTTGACGGTTTCGAGGTCTTGTTCAAGCTAAATAAGCGGTATATTTAAGCAAGTGGCTTGCAAGAGAACAAGTAAGTTGCTCAAGTTCTATTGTGGATACTTATAAGCTCAGTTTATCCCACTTTTCTCAATATTTTCATTACCTCTATTTTTATTTTTAAAAGAAATTGAAAAGAGAGGCCTTCATGCGGAGCCTGGGTAAGCATTAAGAGATCTTGATATCCCCCTGCCCTCCCTCCAGGGTCTCCAGGCCTAATTTCTGCCCTTCTAAAGAGGGCTATATTAGCCAGAGACAGCTCGCAATACCTAGGCGCCCCGGGCCTGCCTGTTAAATCATAATATAGATTATTCACCATCTATACTGCCAGCGCAATCCTTTATTTAGAGGGATTCATGTTTGCAAGGTGCTATACAGCATAATATAGCAGGTCGTGTATTATTCTGGCTAAAAGGAACAAGAAAAGTGCGAGAGGAAAGAGTGCGCATTCTGTGGAGAAACTGCTTTACCGACAGTGATAGACCATATATGCATTCCCAGTCAAGGGAGTGGTCACTCCTTTTACCTGTCGCATACATACAGCATGTGCTCACACATTAAGTATAGGCACATGCAGTGTGCTCGACGAAATTCCTTTTTTTCTATCTTTCAATATAACAAGCACATGCCTTGTGCCTGGATCTATAACTTGCATTCTCGCACTCCACTTCCACCCCTCATTACTACCAACATCCTAACAAAACATATATCCTTATCTTGATCTTTAGAAAAGAGCTTCAAGCTGAGCCCAACATACCCATATAGTCTATAATGCGATATATCAACTCGCTGCCACATTCTCATTTGCTTCCGCTGGCTCAGTAGTTGTGAAAAGGTTTGTAGCCCAGACCAGATCATGTAGCCTGTGTTCTGTCTGCAGTCTTTTGGTCATGCTGCGAGACTCGATCAAAAGGGAGAGGAAGAAAGCTACGCTGCTAATGCCGAGGTACAGGCGAAACGCGCCTCTGAAACCAAAGACATATCCAGCAACAATAGCATCTTTCCCATAGCCAGCAGGCATTGCCCACAGCTCAGCAAGGAAAGCCTGGGCATTTTTGGCAAGATCGGTCGGAATCCGGAGCTGGTGCAGGCGCAGAGCTATGAGGTTTTGGAAGGTTGTGCTGCTAATGCTCACGCCCAGAGCTGTGCTGAAATATTGCATAAAGCGCATATAGTAGCAGCGCTTGCTTTATTGCTACTTCAGCATATTGCTTGAGCAGCAAAATTTTGAGCATTCAAAATCGTGCTGTAGCTAAGACTCAAGATAACAAGGGTAATAATATATATAGCAGAGCTTGTGCCATCCTTTTATATAGTAATGAGCCTGCAGCCCACAGTACAGAGTGCTCATCCAGACCAGATCGGCCATCAGTAGTTGTTGAAGCGTGTTATTAAAGCGCTTATTATAATAGAAGCTGGGATGAGTATAAGCATAACTGGGAGAAGAGCAATGCTGGTGCGGATAGGAGTATATTCTTGAACGGACATGAAGTAGAAAGGCACGTAGTAAAGCTGCCCAAAGAGAAGAAGGCCCTGCGCAGTGCTGCAAGCATATGTAGCGATAGCCGAAACGCTGCTGAACAATATGTGCGGCATGAATGGCTCTTTAGCAGCAAAACGCTCCTACGCCGCGACAGCGAGAAATCTTATAGCGCCGATAACGAGAGGTGTAACTGTAGCAGCAGAAGACCAAGCAAATTCCATGCTACCCCAAGAAATAGCTATCAGAAAGGAAGTTGTGCTAAACATGAAGAGAAATGAGCTGACTCAGTCGATGCAGTGCAGCTTAGCTCTCATGTTCTCAACACAAGGTTGGATAGTCAGGATCAGAGGAATTCTGTTCAAGCTGGAGATATACAATGAGAATATGATATAGAAAACCCAGTGCTATATAGTTTGCTACACAATAGCGCTTTCAATAATAAAGCTAATACAAGTATTAAAAGCTTATCCGCTCTGAATAATGCTATTGCTAAACAATATAAATGAATTAATTTACACAATATAGTACGTATTTCAATATGCAAAAGAACACAGACTAACTATTTGAAGCGCTGCAGAAGGAGCACTAGATCGCAGAATATAACTAGAGAGATAACCACGACTCCACCGCTCCTAATACCCTGAACGGAGCGGCTCGCAAGAAGCTGCGAGATACTGTAGGAAGAAGCACATATATCAGTGCTAATTGCAAACATCGCAACAGAGAAAACGAGTAAGGGGGATCGCCCGAAGATATGAGAAACGGCGGCGAGGATAGGCATGGTCACAGATGTTGACAGAAGATAAGCTATGCCAACCCATATCCGCTGTGTAGTGATGCTACTCAGGCTTTCAACAATAGATTATTATTCCCAAAACGATTAGCATTGAATTTCGAAATACAATACAGTGCTATATGACAGTAATATGAAACGCTTTGATTCTTACATTCAGAGTTGTAACAATAATAGTAGCATCAAGAGCCACCATAAAGGAGATAATACTCAATATAAGCATGATCATAAGCTGATGAGTATTGGGCTTTCATTGGAATAGCTCCGGCCCAGATTCGATCACTTGCATTATATCATGCTTAGGATACCTATTGCATCGGTGATGGGAAATATGGCTAGAGACTTGTTTTGCAAAAATTGTTTGCAGGTGTAGATATCTAAAGACTGGGATTTTCAAAGTGAAGTCTTATATAACTATGTTTGATGTAATTTTTCGCTAATTTCTGCGCCTATTTATAGCTGACTGTATTGTCAGCTGTTCATCAATCATTATTCTAACAATATTAGGCACTTTATTATGCCCAATAATCCCATTCATGCCAACAACCCCAACATACCAACAGCATTAACAGTACCAACAGTACCAACGGTACCAATAATGCCAACAGTCCCAACATAAGTTAGCGGGCTGGCCGGGGTGGGAGGAAACTACGGGTGGGCGAAAACTACTCCCGCTAACTTAGCATTCGGCTTGGGATGAGCCAAGTCATTATATGTGCTATGGTAATGTGTAGAATGCAATGTTTGAGGCCTTTCGTAGCTTGGAGGTTGGTTTTTGTAGGAGAGTTGTGATATTGTATCAGAACCCGGATGCTGGTAAATTGCTATAGTAAAGCTGTATTAGCTTTATAAAGAATTTGAATCTGAGGAAGATCGAAAAGACGAAACCAAGGCCGTTTTGCCTCAGTCGTAGCTCTATTGGTTCGAGCTGAGGCAATACGGTGAGTCCTCCGTACTCCTATCTCGGGATATCTCTTCAAAAAAGAATTTATTGCGTCTATCTCTTTCCTCGGCCTTGGGGCTTGCCCTGGACTTCGAGGGTTCGTTGAGCAAAATGCTCGAGCTCTGAATGGCTAGGTGGAAGCCCTAGGCTACTCTGAGCGAGGGTCTAATCAGCCAGTTTTCTTTTCTAGTTGATAGAGAGCCTTTTGTAGTTTTGATGGGCTGTTTTATGCGATTCTCCGCCTTCCAGACGGTTTTGAAGACTACTCCTCGGATTACTATATTTACGCGAGGCTTGTCGCTATAACAGGCTGTATTTGACAGCTTGAACAACGTTGGGTAAGTATTAGCGCACGTTTGTCGACCAAGTCCACCCCTGTTTGCTTCTCGTGAGTATGCGAATGAATTTTTGGATTTGTTAGCGGAAAATAGCGATCACGGAATATCAGCCTGTCGGGAAATCAACCCTAAGCATGGCCACCAACCTATATAACACTACTCTTTCTGAGCGCTGTTACCCTTTGTTGCAGGAAAAGCTCCTTTCTTACCGAGTGAGCGGGCTAGCCAGGTTGAGGATCTGAACAACAAAGCCTTTCACAGATGGGTGAAGGAGCCGCACAGGCACTTGGCCCTACATCGCTCGGACTTTCCGGCCCTTTTCTATACATTGCTTATAGAAATAGGCCTTCTAGTACCTCTAGCCACGGCTAGAGAGGAAGGATCTGTAGACTAGCACCTATTCAAGTTCTTCACCCATCCTTCACTCACATGAGTGCAGACCTCGCGATCCAACACCTTGTTATATAGTCAATCCAACCCATTCACTCTTCTCTATGCTCACAGAAAGCCTGACTTTCCCCTCAAGCTCCTCTAACGAAGAAACCCTCGGCACACCTACCAACCTCCTACCACAAAGCTGACTTGCATTGTTCTTAATGTCTTCAGCTATATTGATCACTACTGCTCCCCGACAAGACGGCTTCCCGCCCTCTCTTGCATCATCGAGCAGGAGCCAGTCGAGGCAGGTACTTCACCCACACTCAGGGTACCAACGACGAACTGTCCACTCACGAGGGGGTGATCTTGGACTACAGCAGGCCAGATCAAGTGCTGCATGCTAGAGTCAGCGGCCTATGGGTTATGAGATAGAGGCTATTCACCGAGACTCTTGTAACAACTACTCGGCCCTGCTCCCTAGGCCCTGGCCCAGTGCGATAAAAACTCAGAATTGGTCCGAGGGTGGCCAGACTTACCATAGTGCAGCACAAGCGTGCCATGCTGCGCACACCATATCCTATTCCTCGCAGCTGCCAGTAGCGCGACCAACATCCCCTGCCTCGGTCCAACCCAGTTATATAACCTCATGGCCCTCAACAAATGGAGTTATGCCATCTCTGGTTATATACAGCCTACAGATAGCAGCGCACATTGGTTTCAAGGGAGGCATCATGGCAGATTTCGCAGCGCAGGCGAGCTTCTGTTGCCATGAAACGCATATGAATTCCGAACACACCAGCTAATGAACGAATGGTTTTAGCTCACCTGCTTCTTCTAGTTTGAGGATCCTGAGTTATTCGAGGCTGCGGAGAATATACGATCGGAGGATACGCCGCTGCCTCTGCCCAGCGCTCACGCGCTCCCTACCGAGCCTTTCAGGAAATGGATCAGCTCGGTTCTCTCGGCCACCCAGGTCACTCAAAATATGATCCTGTTAGCCTTGCTATTCGTCTATCGGCTAAAGATGATAGACCCCTCTATTAGAGGTCAACCGGGTAGCGAGTATCGCCTCTTGACGGTTGCTCTCATATTAGCAAACAAATGTGAGTCTAGTAGCTATTTCCCATCTCTACAAACCCAGGCTAACAATAGATGGAATAGTTCTGGATGATAACGCATACACGAACAAGACTTGGGCCGAGGTTTCCAGCATCTCTGTGCAGGATATCCGAGTTATGAAGTTTGAGTTTCTGAGCTATATGCAGTACGCTGTCTTGACTTCGATGGAGCAGTGGGAAGAGTGGCTGGACAGGCTGGCCCTATACTACGCTATCTGCGAACAAGTCTCCCACGGATCGTCTTCGTTATCCAGGATTGTGCCATCACCCACGCTTCTAATTCCCTCGTCAGCCATTGCCAAAGGGGTTTCGCTAGTGTTCTCACCAACCGCGGATTCACCAGCCATATACCAGTCAGCACAGAACGGATTTGCACGGACAAATAGCGGTAGAGTCCACGCACGATGTACAGTTCCAGCGAACTCAATACCAATGAGATACCTTGAGACTGTCAGCAGAGTTCCAATATCACTCAGCCAGCGATCTGATTCTGGAGGCCTGAATGATAGGAAGCGAAAGAGGGCCGATCAAGGTGCGGGGCCACCCGCAAAGAGGGTTTAGCCCACGTTTGTCCAGCAAGCTCTCAGGCCTGCTCCAGATGCTCGGCGTCTGCCTGTTTCGGGTCTGATGCTGGATACAAACTACCAGTCACTAGTGACGCAAACTACATACGCAAATACAAGCACCTCTATGCAGCAGTAGCAACAACAGGCAGCTCTCTATGCAGTATCACTTCCTCTGCTGAAACCAGAATCTCGAGCCATGTTAATGGTCTGCGCGCCTCCCACAACTACCTCCTGAGCTCCTGCGTCGAGGATGATAAGCAGCGCTGCTACACAGCGGGATCTATGCGACAGCTAAAAGGAGTGACCACTCCCTGCTGACTGGAAACGGCTGTGGCTTATATAGCTGCGTAGAACAGCCGGACTCACACAGGATTTGCATCCTTCAAAGGTAGCTACCCAACAACTCAGTATCCCCCGAAAGCACACTATCCAACAACGTCGAACGCAACCTTCACCAGGCCTACTAAGCAACTAAGCCTGGTCACAACGCTGATACCAGCCGCTGCATATAATGCGTCCTCGCCCCTTCATGATTATCCTTATAACAGTAGCTTCCACACGCCTATTACTCATTTCTCATTTATCTGTCTGCAGCAGCAGGATAGTCCCTACAAGCGTATGCGCCATGTGCGCACCCGGCGCAACCTATACCCACCCTTGAGCCTGCAGAGCTATCCGCAGCCCGCCACCCCGCCGAATCAGATACACTACCAACCCATTGGTTGTAGGAACGACCTGCAGATCAGCATTGCGCTCGAGCATCGAGTATAATATGCTTATAGCAAGCATCCTGCCTTCACTCCTAGTCAACCTACAACCAGCTAATAGAGCCAATATGATACTCCAAGCCTCATGCACCAAAGGATAATGCGATGTTATACTGCCAATAAAAAATATGTATTATATCCGATTCATGCAACTATCTCCCATCTTCTCTCTCTTAGCATTGGCCACCACCACCTAACCCCATATTAGACTTCAGGTTGCCCGGATAAGATCATGATCTTCTGGGAATCACTTGGTGAATGCATTGAAGACCACTTGTTTCGCTCGCTACTATGGTTATAGAACTCCAAGCTGGCTGATAGGCTTCTGCCTAAGATGATCACAAGCTGTTAACCTGGCTCGTGGAGTGTTTTGTGCTCAACTTAGAAGCTTTTTCAGACAGCTTAATGAGGAAGCCATCTTTGTTGTTGGGCGAGCATCTATCTGATCTGTCCCTCACTGCCAAAGAGGCTGCAGCCACAACTGTATGCGCTCTCTTGCGAGGTCCGAACGGCTGGGATCCGGTTCCTATAGTAGGGGGATAGGCGGGAAGAAAAGGCTGCTGCTGGTGGCCAGTCTGAGGGGGGGCTGCTGGGCGCAGACTCTATTGGTGGTCCTGCTTCCTGCAGCGTAAGTATAGTGCCCCGAATCAGGGCGGATTATGGAGATTGGCAGGACAAATGAAAACTTTTCCTCTCTTAAAAGCTACAATGCACAATATATACCTGTAGTGGAAGGCCATTAGTTTGCATTTCCTTATACTTTTCACAACAGCAGACCAAGAATACGCTGGTGAGCGCAACGATATGTTTGGCTGCTTAGAGGATGTCCAGCTTGTACCGCACTCAAAAGCGTGCTTTGGTCGAGGAGTTCCGTTGTCATCAATTGAAGCTCCGGAAACAAATATGGAAGCTTTTTGTGCTGATTATAACCAATTCGCTGCACCTTGGGCGCGGAAAAAATAAAGGGTCCGGCCCGAGCTCGGTGCCTTCTCAAGGCAATGGAGATTCTTCTTTAATACTGCCTTTTTTCATATTCCGGTCCTTTTCAACCTCGAGCTGATCTGCGCGAGCAGCGCGTTTGGTCATGTTGGGCCGAAGATGATCGGCTGGAATATACTATTAGTACTATTGGTAATGACTGTTGGTAAGGAGGCTGCTGCAGCGCCCAACGCGCCCGCACACCTCAGTCACGAGCAGGATAAAGCGTTCCTGGACCTCCACTCCGGCCAATACCCCGTCAAGAACGGTGGGCTGGTCAAGAAGACCATTTCAACCACATAAATCAACACTAGCAAAGGCTCACATCATTCTGGTAGGTACGTATAAGCACGTCGAATATGTCTCCACTACAGATGCTATTGCAGACTCAAGAGAGCGCACTGTTCTCTCAGAGTTGTGGATATCAACAGAGGGGGTGAATCATCAGGGGCTCTGAGCGAGGACCGACTCACCGAGAGGACAGCTGCTCCCTGAATCGAGCTCAAGATGTGCTGGCGCATGCTGCCTGTAATAGGTTTAGCATGAAAGGCTCGCCTGCAGGACGCTAAGTTTTTAGTGATTGTTGCTTCTCATCCGCCATCATGTAACTTGTTCCTATGCGACATCTAACTTTCCCCTCCTTTGATCGAGATGTACCACAGCTTCTCTGTGCCATTTTTCCTTTATTGCACCAGTGTTAAGCAAAAATCGACCGGAGCCGTAGAACTACTTCAGATACCAAGGCTAATTCCAATAAGCCAGAGCGACACTATCATCACCTACCACTATTACGAGTGTGCTTATTCTGCAAGTGATGCAGTCAATGTATAGTGGGTAGTTAATATACCTGCAACGCAGAAGCAATCACGGTCTATGATTTAGCGCTGAGACTCTGACAACAACCTTGCTTTAACTCTTGTTTCTTTTTTTCTTCTTTTTTGCAAAATTTTCAGCAGCATAAAAGATCATGATCTCCCTATCAACAATTTGCATAATATTGATGAGAGATCTCAACTGACTACTATGCATCAAGCTCCAAGCTTATCTGAGATGCCCCCCCGTGGCTATATCCCACTTCCCCGCTCGACTAAGCAGAGTCCAATTCACCACTATACCCCACTCCCCTGCTCGACTAAGCAGCATCCAATTCACCAGGAGCATCGAACATGTCGGACCAGACCTTTGAGCGCTGAGCAGAGGAAGAGAGCTGCTTGGATGCGAATGCTTGGCGCATGTGATGCTTGTCGCAAAAATAAGGTCGCCTGTACAGCATCTCATCATGGTACAACCTGGTCTGACCTCTCTACTATGGAACTCGAAATTCAACAAAGAACTCGTGATCTTTGTTCAAAGGAAAAGAAAACCTTTCATGAGATCCGGAAGACTATCCAGGAAGAGTTCAAATTTACTATGAGGCAAGTAGAATTGATAAGACTTATAAATATCAAAAACTAATACTTGAATAATCTAGCAGAAAGATGTATTATACATTCATCTGAAAGCTATATCAAGCATCGATCAGTAGCTTAGCATTACATGCATCAAGACAGCATTGTGTATCTTACAGAAGCTCTAAGAAATGCAGAGTGGGATAGTTGATGCGCAACAATGTTCGTTCGGAGACTGAATGTGGTATCCTGCGGAAATGTATCAAAATGCTCTAGAGACCTTCAAGGAAGATATTAAGAGCCTGGATTATCTCGAGTTTGCTATCATACTGGAGACTGTTAGCAGAGTTCGTTGATGTGAGGCAAGACATCCGATCGCTAACAGCTAGAATCCTGGAGTAAGCGTATTCGATCTTGTACTAGATTGCTCCCTGCTTAAGCTCATTCTCAACTTTCAATGGCTACTCTTTTAAAATATACAATATATAGCATTGCATTATAATATACCCAGAAAAGAAGCTTAGCTTACAAGCTGCTTCAGCAGAGCTCAGAGCAATTGTTTACTAGAAGCACAATCTTATTAGCTTCCTAACAAGCAGACTGATACTACTAAAAACTTTGGATAATGACGGTAGGGTTGAATTTCACGAGTGCCAGATTAACTGCTGCAATAGCGGCAGTAATTTTCAGCTTTTGAACCACGCTTATGCAGAATGGGCTAGTGATGATGGCGATGGTAATGCTGTAGAGCTGCTGAGGTGCAACATGTTGATATGAGCTGAGCAGAGCGGAAGAGACAGAAAACTGCGATGTGGAGCATTTATGAGAGTTAGCTAAGATGCGTATGAAAGAAGAAGAGGAACAAGGAAAAGGGACTCTGAAGATCCCACCCACCCAAGCTTTCTTATGAAACAGCTAAAAGGAGTGACCACTCCCAGCTGACTGGAAATGATGGTGGTTTATATAGATAACAACTAGACAGGACTCGCACATTTCTTCTCTTGGATGTATTGTAAAACAGAGGAGCAGAGGAGCAGCCTTGACTCCAATTGAGCGCGTTGATGCGTGAACGTGTCGACACATCAATCCAGTGATGATGGGAACGGTAAGCGGAGAAAAAGAGATCAGAAGAAATAAAACGAGAGAGCGTATAATAAAATCGCCTTTCCCTGCCCCGTATAGCGCTGCAAGATCCAGTTTCATACGAAAGAACACATCCAGATCTATCAGCAGCCGTAGAGGTTGAGTAGAATCTGTAGAATGATATGGTGTATGGGCACCAGCTTACACCAGCCTGAACGCAGAGCAGAAGAAGGTTCTTCGTTGTACAGTAGAGATGTTGTGATGTGATAGTTGCTGTCGAGGTGAAAAAGGAGGGAAAAAGTTGATGGAACGGGCCTGGCTGGCTGATATTTGGGGAAATGCAGGGATGGGTGCGTCTAGGCATTCAAGAAACGGAGGTAGTGGGTGCCGAAAATCGTGCACAGCCAAAATTAGTGCGCATTTTCAGGCGACCCCACCGCTCCCTCGCCGCCTGCCACGCGTAGCAGCCGTGGCGGTCGGCACGGTGGCTGCAAGGCCCCCGCCAGCAAGAAGCGCAAGAGGGCCTCGCCCTCGCCGCTCCCCTCCAAGTCTCCCAAGACTCCTGCTCTAGAGGCCCCGCTTCCTCCTTACCCCACGCCTTCCGTGAGTCTTCCCATACTCCATACATACAGCGCCGCGCTGACATTGCTAGGCCGGCAAGAAGAAGAGAGTCCCTGATGGACCGGGCGCGGAACGCCCCCTTTTTCTTGGATTTTTTAGCCTTCAAACCAGAGGATATAAATGTACCAAATGATGGTTCCTCTGTAGGTTCAGGCTCTGGCTCCAGCTCGGGCTGTGGCAGCAGCCATAGGGCCTGAATGAAATATGAGGCCCTAGGCCAGCAGTCACAGGAAATAGTGACTAACCTTTTAGCCATTCACTGGGCTAGGGCAAGTTGTGAGTCACTGGTGTTTCTGTCCCAATTGGGACTAGCGCCTACTGTCCCTGTCTATATAGACGGGCAGTTGGCAAGGCGCCTTTTTAAGATAGAAAACAATGAATTATCTTCCCTTATACCATTTGTAGTACACCATAGAGTGCCTTCTACACGGGGTTTGGCAGAGTTGAAGCTGCGTCGTCGCTATCCAGTGCTGCCTGCTCGAATTCTTTGGATGTGTCATCTAGGTTAGTCAGTAAATGAGAGCAGGTCCCAGATCCTTGATATCAAGCCTCTGCCATACTGCTAAATTTATTCCCGACAAAGCGCTTGCAAGTCTCAGCTCCTTTGCTTAGTACTTCGAGCTGCTGCTTCAGCTGCTCTCGCAAAGTCCGATATTCCTCGGACTCCCCGGCTACAGCGCCTAGCAGAGTAGGATCCATCTTATAGACTTTGCTTGGGAACAAAATATCCCCTAGTATGGATACAAGCTGGACCTCGATGATCTCGACTGCAACATCATCAACAAAGCGCTTCATAGCAATCTGACAGAGGCAAGCCAGTTATTCGTAAACGCTCTGTTTTATAGTGCCAGGATATGTTAATATGCACCTTGTAATATGCTTCCATACAGTCCAGGGCTTCGATGGCTGCATAGCGATCCATATTTAGCTCAGTAGTCTCTCTCACCAAGGTTTCAACCAGCTCTTCGAGCTTTGAACTCTGAGAGCTAGCATGCTGCAGAGTGGAAACGTTGAAAAAGCGTTTTACCACTGCGGCGTACTCAGCTCTCTTTCTGTTAGCTCTAACCCTCTGAATTATTTCCGTAAATTCGGCGTTGTAAGTAATAGAGTGAATGATCTGATGTAACTTGACTACGTCACCGATATTGGTCTCCAGGGCAGCCAAAATCTCAGCCATTGCCGGTTCAAAAAACTTCTGAATAAGAGCAGCTGAGATCCCGACATCAGCAATATGTTCAATAACAAGCCTAAGGAACGTCTTGCACGCCTTCCATACGCTGCGAACATGATCGCAAGCAAGGCCTTCCCATGAACTAGCTTGATCCTGAAAGAGATCAGCAATGATCATTGGATTGAATAAGCCCGGAAGCTCTCGACCTTTGAACCTGTACATCTTCACTTGTACATGCTTGATGAAGTCGTCTCGGGTGAGAAAAGTAATGCCCTCGAATACATATACCACGGGCAAAACACTGTAGCTGAGTATTTGACGGCGATGGCCCTTCCTGCCGAGGTGGGTGCTAAAGTTCTCATTGAGATTTTGAGCAACAGCTCGGATGCGCTGCTGGTATCCCCGCTCTGTCTCGGTATCCTGAAAGAAGGAGTTATGCTAGTTTCCATCGATTGCACTCTTAACAAGCCGCTGAAATGATTCGCTAATACACAGTAGATAGAGCTGCTGCTCATCCAAAGTGCCTCGAGGCTGGCTCAGCTTCTCCAGCTCGTTTTGGCACGAGGTGCGCTTACCCTCGATATCTTGAGCTAGGCTGAGCAGTTCTGATATGATGTGATTAAGGAGAACTTTGCTCAGCCGATGATGTAACTGTCCAACTCCAAGGATGGACTCGGGAAGCTCTCTCCAGATCCCCTGCGCGAAAAATGAATCCTCAAGCGCGCTTCGCTGAGCAAGAGACCCCTTGCTAGTTTCCGAGTCCATATTCTTCAGCACGTGCCAGCTGAGACGGAAATCGATCTCTTGGTTCCGGGCCAGAGATACATACAATGCCTCGCTCTCTGATCCAGCAAGTAGCATATCGGGCTTCGTTATAATGCTGAGAGTATGATGTTCAGAAACATTCGCTGTACGGGCTAGCTTCAAGATAATCTGGTTCGCGAAGTTGTTCTTAGCCGAGATTACAGCTAGGATAATATTTTGAGATTGTTTTATGTAGGACTTGATAACATCTTGGATCAGCTCGATATCTAATGCTATCTGATTCTTGGTTTGTGAATGAATCAGGCTAGGGAGATCTACGATGGTTAAGTAAGGGTGGTTGGAACCGGAGATTTCCACTCGAAGGAGGTTCTTAGAAAATGCTTTACCATGCATCGATATGCTCATAGCACTCTTGGCATTCTCGATCAGAGTGGCGAGGCTATCAAAGCTCTCTAGTTCCGCATGGAAGCTGGAAAGGCCTGCCTTCTCAGAATCGCTGCGAGAGTGGTCTGAGACAATTAAGATGCTAATACCAACCCGAGGAGTTTTGCGTAGAACCAGCTTGGTAGGAAAGCGAGTGCAGAGATTGCTTTTAATTGGAAAGGATACGCCTGAAATCGCCTCCAGAACAGAGCTCTTTTCAGACGATTAATCTCCACAAACAATGATCTGAGGAAGAGAAACATAGTGATTGATTCCCTGAGAACAAAGGCTATCGATAGCATCCATCAACTCGATACGCTCCGACGAGCAGAGGCCATTTAAGCCTTCGGATCAAAATATGGCAAGAACTATCGTGAGTATTTTAAGGCAGATTGATGATGTATAGAGGAATGCAGTTAGCTCGAGAAAGAGGAGGGGAGAAGGGGGGGGCGAGCATTACTTAATGGTGCAGCGGTGCCTAATATGCAATGATGTCTTACACGAATATTTTGGCATTCGGTTGTCAGCTTTTGATAGATAGCTAAGCAATGTGGCTGCAGGAGGCCTACCATCACGCCAGATCACCCTGCACCAGGCGCCAAGGAATGTAGAGATCTGCTAAGGTCATCTCGTACTTACGGAGGGCAGGATAGAAGCATGCCTGGAATGAAAATGTATTATGCAAGTAGATGGCGGTCAATAGAGAGTAGAACACAAAAAACCAAACACAAATGCTCAAGCAGCAGAGATTTTTAACGGAGAAAATAAAAATATACGAGCCCGCCTCTTCTGGACTTGATCTGCTGTCCGAAGCTTGAGATTGTGAACTCACTGAACATGATTTCGGAAATAATCTACAGTATAGAGCTTCACATCCTTGCACTCGTGGCATACAATAAGCTCTCCACGCTGTTCGGTCCGCTCCATTGCTTCCAGATGTTGGTCATCAAAGTAGTCATTTCTTTTAGTAGGTCGACAGTACTTGAATATCCGTTCTTCATACATCAGCTGCTCATCACCAGCGCATCCGGAACACTGATTGGGATGAGTAAGAAGAGGAAAGGAATCGAGTGCAGGCTCTGACTCAACCTTAACTTTGATGCGCTTTAACGTGGGATATCCGTCATCAGCTGGTGGCACAGTGCATTTGCGCTTAACGGTTTCTCGCTTGCTGCATAGAGCTACATAGCAGTCGATCACCTCGATGCTTAGCTCGATTCTCTCCTCGTTGCTTAAATTCTCAGATTAGTTGCGGAGAAGCTCGGCCAGCTTTGCACGCTCGGGGATAACAAGATCAATAGCCAGCTCTTAGTGGGTCAGGAGGGCTAGGACCCACGGGTAGTTCATAGCTACAAATGCTAACAGTCTGGTTGTAACTACTACGAGACTGAACTGATAACAGTAGTAATTAGAAATTTTTAGAAAATATTAAGAAATCTTAATAATTCAATTATTCTATTTTTTTACTTTTTTTTTCAAGCTAAATATAATATGCATATAGATTAAGTTTTTAATATAAAGCTAAAGAAAGATCTTGCAATACTAAATAATAGTTTCATTATTCTAGCACAGATCAACTCAGATGTAATCAGCATCAACCTCGGGGTGGTACTCATCCATATAACTAGACAAGAGGTCAGCTAAGAAAACACGGGGGTGAAAGAGAGGGTGCCGGACTCACTCGGCCCATATTGTGAGAGCTCGGTCACGCTGAGCACCTGTCGATTTGGCGATCTTGGGTTTCCGGAGTCACTGGGCGTTGCCATCAGCACCAGTGACCGGCGCATGGCCTTGGAACACCTTTGCTGCATGTTCTTTGGAGACGGCGCCGGATCGTGAGAAGAATGAAGCCTTGGGCTTTGCGACCGGTGCATTACTCTCGTGTAATTTCTTGACTGTCATGGTAGCCAAGGGGAGTGAGTGGGCAGGAGAGGGCGGGCGAGGAAGGTCGAGTGGATGAATGAGCGACGACATGACCAAGAGCTGGCGGCGCACAAGGGCATTTAATACATCATTGATGCCATGCCATGGGCTGCTGTCTCTGTCCGCCTGCCTCGAGTCACTCCCTCCTGTCAGTGCCCTCCTCCCGGTGTCCAAGCATCGCCAGCAAGGCCGGGATGCCGTAGCAGTGCCCCCTTCATGAGATGTTCTACTTCCCGGACCATGTCAACCTCATCGTCAATGCCCCCACCGTGATGCTGGGTTCGTGCTTGACAAGCGACCTGGTGAGATGCGATAGGGATGGTGATGGTGATGGTGTTGATGCGTGGCTGCAAGGATGCCCCAAAACGGGGGATGGGCGGCCCAGCCACGCTAACCGGATGTGGACTTGCAGAACGGTGCCAGCAGTTGTCATACTTCGCCTGATGCTGACAACGCCAAACCTGCAGTGTGTGCTAGCAGGTTCTAGCGTCATCGGTCATTGGCGTAGTCCCAAATTTGAGTTCCGAGGCATTCCTCTGGACCGATCGATGGCGAGTCAATAAGATCTTCTTGGAACTTGGGATGGAGCCAGCCTTGCCACTACTACTACTGTATGTATAGTTCGCCTGCTTGAGGCTCCATCGCTACCAGCTCCACTAACGACTCCACTATCGACGACCTCTCATCGACTTCATCCCATCGACCACCCCCTCCCTTGGTTGCATCACAGCTGCCTTGGTGTCGCTTTCAACACCACCTACCACGCCAGCAGAATTACCCAGAATGGAGGAAGAGAACAGTTCAAGCACTGCGGTCGCCGAGAGCCCAGCGATACCCGTCACAGCCTTCAAGAGATTTGGCAGGAAAGGCAAGGCGAATCTACGAAAACGAGCCCCAAGTCCACCCCCCGCTGCCGCCGACAACAGCGACTCCGATGAACCCTCCTCGAGCGACGACGATGACGGCAACGTAGAAGGCGGAGGCAGCAGGCGCATCAAGCGGCGCAAGGTCAACACCGGCGCCGTGACCGTTTCTTCCCGGGATCCCAACTCCGGTACAACCGTGAAGGACGTCGCCGGCACCACCGTCTTCAGCGCCGACCGCAACGTGCCCATCACCGACAGCAATGACGCCACCAAGCACACCGACTGGTTTGAGGAGACGTCAAAAGGGGGGGACGGGCTGTCTGCCAAGAGCCTGCTGGGCTCGACACGCGCCATGCCCGCGGGGGCTTCATCTGGGCCGGATGGCACCTACAAGGGGCTGGCAGGCCGGACGAATTTCATACAAAAGAACCCCAATGCTCCCAACAGGACGGTAGGACCGATCAAGGCGCCGACCAATATTCGGACCGTCACCGTCATGGACTACGCGCCAGACGTCTGCAAAGACTACAAACAAACCGGATTCTGTGGTTTCGGCGACAACTGCAAGTTCCTACACAGCAGGGAAGACTACAAGCAATCGTGGTCCCTCGACAGGGAATGGGAGGACGTCACCAAGGGCAAGAAGAACCTAGGCGGCACAGTGGTCGCCAGCGCCGACAGGAAGGGCAGGGCGACCGCAGACGATGATGACGATGATGCCGAGGAGGCCCTGCTCGAGAACATCCCCTTCGTCTGCCTCATCTGCCGCGGACCGTACCGCTCGCCGGTTGTCACACGCTGTGGACATTATTTCTGCGAGCCCTGTGCGCTGCAGAGATACCGGAAAGACCCTAGCTGTGCACAGTGCAGTGCGGGGACCAATGGTGTCTTCAATTCGGGCAAGCGGTTACAGAAACTGCTGGACAGGAAGAGGGAGAGGGCGGCAAAGAGGCGCCAGGAGGCTCTTGAGAGAGGCGAAGAAGTCAGCAGCGATGAGGAGGGTGAGGATGAAGGAGAGGAGTGAACAATAATAACAAGACAAGAGGGGCCGTTGAATGCCGCTTCTAATAAAGGGCTCCCTTGTCGTAAATATCAACCAAGCAAGTCAACTGCCTGAAGACGACCAACAACTGTAGTTGAGAGATACCACTGAATCATATGGTCTCGCACAGAGCATGTCCGTCTTGCCATGTGGCCCAGTGGTGGTCGATCCTAACGTAATGCTTTTGCCGTCCACCAAGATGTAATGACTTCCATGTGCGTCCAGTCGACCTCGCAAAAACTGATATCTATAAATACCTGCCCAGTCACATTCCCAGCACCGAGGTACGCACAGGCCTGGAGTTGTGCCGTTGCCTTGATAGGAATACCTGCTGGTTCTACCGATCGACCAATACTATTGATCTTATCATGTTGACCAGTTTACTGAAATGCGTTTCCGAGGGGGTCGAGAAGTCAAAATTTGGTCGGTTCTACACCACGTCGAAGCAGCACCCGGCCGAGCACAGGAGCAACAGAAAGCCTGCCGTCTTCTCTCGACTTCCTTACCCAACACAACGAGACGCAGCCAGCCACGCAGTCCCACGATACAGAGTCTGTAGATGTTCCATTTACGTTTTGGGCAACAACGCACCATTACCGACAACCGGGAACGACGAAATCGCCAGCGAGGCAGAGTCTTCCACAGTCACAGTCACCAAAGCCCCAGGACGACTTCAAGGTTGGTCGACGTCAAAGCAGATGTTGTACATGCGCCGTCGCCAACGACCACTGGCAGCTGTCAACAACACTGAGAGCACCCTTCTATGGCCTATTTATAATGCAGGTCTCCATCGTGAGTCCTAGGAGCTCACAGACCACTGAAGCAGCAAATATCTTAGGTCGACAAAACTTCAACGTACAGCCAATGAGAGTATTTTAGCAATTATTCTCTATTTTTCCTATTCCCTTAGATCTTATTATTCCTTTCCGGCAACAGCCATGACCCAATCGCTCATTCAGAAAAGTGATGTGGCTAGAACAAAATATGGCCAAAATGCCCAGTCTCTTGTCATTTGAAGATGTCATGACTATTGGGTTCCATCAATGTTTTTGTCATGTTCTAATAATTCGAGTCACAGATTAACCAAAGGGCCAGATGAGCTACACACTCATTTTGAGATGATAAAATAGTCATTAATCGAGTTTGAGACTTCAAATCATGCAGCCACTACGCGCTCATAATGATTAAACATTCTCAAATGCGGTAATGCGGTGTCTTAACATGAATGAAGAGCGTCCTTGGAGAAACCTCGCCTCAGCATCAACCCCTTTGTCATGACGACCCAAACGTCCGAGACCACCAGCCCAGTCGCTAGCTATGCCGTGACGACATTGATCTAACGTATAGGTCAGCGATTCGTCTGAGCATCTTCGTCTGTGGCCGTTCGAGCGCGCCTGCCTCGAATAGTTGCTGGGTCTCTGATCCTTCTGATCCTGCATGAGCCCTAGCGGATGTTGAGTCATGAAAACTTGATGAGGGATTGAATTGGAGAGTTCATTAGGTCCAAGCTGGATTCATCCCGTGCGAACTGACACACTCCACGAACATATGACGAGTAGAGAATCCTCTATTTTACTATCTAAGATCATACTTTCTGTGTGAATGCGAACTACCCTTCCATGAGGGCGCTCAAAGCGACAGTCCAGACGCTCATGGCTCGCACACGCAAGAGGTTCGACACTGGCCCTGCGCAATTTTTGTTCTTTTCAACAGGATTCGCTTACCCCATAGATCAAGTGCGTGTTCTGCGGTGCATTGAGGTGTTGACCGAAAGTGCTTTGGTGATGTGATAATGCAACGGGGTGTGTCAGGTCAGGTTCGTCATGATTGGTTCTTGTCCAGTAGCAGCTGTAGCAACAGCAGGATGGAAGTGGGTTGGGAATGCCTTCAATCAACCCCCATAATGATGCTGACTTCTTGTTACAAGTGACTGGGGAGGGTAGCCTCTGGACTAAAGTTGTTGATCAGTCCAAGCTTTTCACCATGTACGCCGCTTGGAGCGTCAAACTCCATTTCCAGGGCAAGAGCCACAACCATTATCAACCCCTGGTTTGCGTATGACCAGTCACAATGTGGTGCAAACCCAGGTACGTTACGTTGTTGACCAATCACGAATATGGTGCAAGACTACATCCTTGGGACGGATTTTCTTCTTCGTTGGGAAACTGCATGGCAAAATCAACTACTATCAACAAGTGTGTCTTCCCTCCTCATCCATCTCCTCCCACGCCCTGTACGACGCCGGCGAGACCTGATAACGACATTACTCGACATCATTCCGACCCCAGTGATTATTTGACTGATGTGTACCAGGCTGCACACTCCTCCCAGTGGGCCAACAATACCCATGCTCAAGGCTTCGTCTGTTGCTTGTAAGGGTCTCCCTTCCCCCAAGGATCCTCCCTCGCTCCTCGGACACGCTCGCGTTCCTGTCGGTCCTTGCAGTCCAGACAAATGTCTTCGGCTAACACGTACGCGTGGTCCGCACCGGGGCCAAAGCACGTCTTCAAAATCACCGGGCATACGATAACCTGGTCGCAGCAGCGGTGACCGCAGGTGAAGACCTTGTCAACTTGAATGCACATGTTGATATGGTTGGTCTCGTCGTGCTCCGTGACGTTGGCATTAATCCTCTGTTCAAAAGGGAAGGGAGATTGTCGTCTCAAGGGCTGCAGGGCAATGTGTTTTATATGTCTTCTAACAGCTGGGGATATTGTTAGCATGGCTTCTTCCTCTGAGCAATGGCTAACCACTTGGATCTATTGTAAATGCACACTCGTTCTTCTCATGCTCTGTTTAGACCCACTTTATACTCCGCACTCAGTCTTGTTGCACAGTACAGAGAGAGACAGTATTGACAGGAGGCTCAGACCAATGTGGAAGCCGATGATCGGGGCTATTGAAACGAGAAGGCTGCAACATACGACGAAGACAAAAGAAGATGATTTAAGCCGTCTATTGAGAGCGACGCGTAAAAGGTTTGCAATATTCCTGCGCTGACTGGAGGACACCACGCAGCACTTTGTGATGTCGATGCAGGGTACTTGGGTAGGTAAAATATATATGTATATATAGAAGCAACAGAGTGTAAGGATAAGGTAGCACTCTACTGTCTGCAAGGGATCACAGGATTCTTCGTTTTTTTTCAATGTTGGACTCGAACTACAGTATCAATGTGTGTGTGGAAAGTGGGAGTTCGCTTAAGAATCCTGCGTCTGCAGCCTTGACTAGATCCTGGCTACATTTTCAAGCCCTACCCCTCCTCCAGAAGCGATCAACATCTTGGGAGTGGACGATACTATCATGTTGCATGAGTATCTACGTGTCTACGTTGCTTTTGTGTCTGACCAAGCCTGCGATTCCTGCAAATTCATTGGAAGTGGCTTGCCGCAGGACCGGCCAGATGAGGTGCTTTTGATCTCCCTGTTCTCGCGGGATGGCAAGGCAATATAAGACCATATCAAGGGTTACATCTGGTGAGTTGTCAGTACTACGTACCCATTGCGGACACGAAGGGAGACAGAGAGTCATGTTGGGCTGTGGGCGGGGGTCAAGGTGATCGGCCTGGGTGGCGTATGTGGCCCCAATAATCTACGCAGAATGCACGGCGTGGAGGCAGACGAAAAGCCAAAGAATCAAAAGCAATGAGATTTCAATATCAGAAAAAGAATATCATGTAACCCTACCCAATCGAATTAGGATGAGAATCAAAAGAGAACCAAGCATGGCGGCTAGAGACATAGGCTTCTGAAACACCAAGGCGCGAAAGCAAGGGGGTGAGGCGGGGGAGAATGTCAACTCGGTGAGAGTACAAGAGCTCATACAGGCTCCTTCATCTTGTAGTCACTTACTTTGATACCACAGAGAAAAGATGTGAAGACGGATCTGGCCGGCCGTGTGGGAGGGGGGGGGGAGGGATTTGACCCCGAGGATGCTGGATAGGGGCGATGAATCAAGGTGGTATGAGGTATAAGGTAGCAATGGAATTCCGACCATGACAGTCGGGTACATGATTGTGTCACCACCCAGGCCTTGCTTCTGGTCAATGGCTGCGTAGCCCTCCTTGCCCATTCACTGTCCTTGCAAGTTACGAGGGCGGGGCGGGGGAATGCAGATCAGTGAGGTGGGCAGGACGTGATCGAGGTTGTGATAAACGGCGACGAGAGGGGCCAGTCCGCTGGTCGACGGATTCCTGGATGCACATCATAGCTTGGATTGCTGTTGTACGTCAGTGAGAAATGTCATGCCCTTCCCACCTGCTTCAGTGACGCGGCACCTCGAGGGGTCTTGATGAAAGCAGTCATCGTAAATACAGCACAGCACAGATGGGATTTCACTTATTTTCTGACAAGCTCTGAAATCACAGGGGTTAGCTCTGCTTAGTCTACAAGGAAGTTCCCCGGAGCTCGCCGCCGACAGGCGTCAGCAGAAACACCCAGCACTAGCCCACCCCTCAGGCCCCATTAGGCCTTAGGCCCTGGAGACCACCACTACCACCCCCCCCCCCCCAACTCCAGTACCACGGTTGTACCAGTACTGGTAGCAACACCACCGTCAATGGGTGCCAAGACCCCTAAGCATGCAGCTTTGGGATGGCACCTTTGCACTGCTGCAGCGAGAATCTACCACTCCAGGAGACATCTGAGAGAGACACTCACACTTCATGCCATGCCATTGTTGGTTTTGTTGCGCGGCGGTGAGAATGCAATATGCTGCTGTACAGAAACACTGCAGTCCAAGGACCCAAACGCATGCTCTCGCTGGTCGCGCGAACCTATATGCGAGAGCTCAGACAATTCTCCTAGACGAGTCTCAGACACCCGTCTCGCATTCTTAATCACAGAGCGGAACAAGAGTGCTATTTCTTATGTCCAAAAAGATTATTCAGTTCCAGCGAGTCTCGGTGAAGGGAGCTGTCATGAATTTCTCATCACTATTCCTTGCGCTTTGCAGGCCCAAAAAGCTGCATGTATCACCTTCCTAGCTGCTATGGTTTGCCATACCCTGCCGAACAACATGACCATCTGAAGAGAGGGGGTGGAGGGAGGCTTCCAGGGCGTCTGCATGGGGCCGAGAAGCTGTTCGGCTGCGTTTGGTGTGGTCGGGCGCACACCCAGTGGTCAATGAGTTAGGACGATCGTAACAAAGGGTAAATAAGAAAATTAATGAGATACGAGCGATGTCCACAAAGCTCGTCTAATCAAACCGCTTCATAAACCCTACCATGCATTGACATTTCTCAAAACAAAAAAACTTGAATATGAACATGGGGGCCGTTGTTGGCTTACTCAGCATTCCCACCCACAAAGCGAGCCGATCCGTCGTCCCTAGTACCGAAATGCGCGTCGCGAGTCGCGTGTCGAAATGCATCGTGACCTCACTGTCTCGTCACTTCCTCTAGGCACGAAACAAACAACTGCAGCACAGCCTACGGAGAAAGAGAGAAGAAAAGAATAAGAAGAGGGATAACGATCGATGTTCCATACTTGAGTCGTTACTCGTCCGAGTGAGGGCTTGGCGCGTTACCACAGCGGCAGTGTCAGAAGGCGCATTGCACAAACATCGCCGCTGTCCAACACTCACAAGCTACATGTGTGCCTTGGGCATGGCCGACTCGCCCTTCCCGTCATCGTTGACAATATCGTCGGTGCTGTGCCTGAATTTCATAGGAATCATGGCTGCTTCGTCGCTTGAAGCCTGCCCGGGTGGGCGGAAACCTCTGCGTTGCATCCACTAAGGCAAGTCGCAAGTTCTAGGTCTGCGTCGCAGGTTGGGGGGCGGGGGGGACTGTTTATTGCCACACGAACCGTTTCCTCGTCACTTTCCTTGCATGGCCTTTGAGGTGTAAGCCTCTCAGTACATTGACATAACTGCTAACGCCGAGTTCTTGCTGATCAGAGCCATGACGGCCAAGACGAGCCTGTGTGTGCGACCTCGATTTCTCCCGCTCGGCCTTTCGCAACCGTCCCGGCCAAGTCGTTGTCATCTGTCGCCCTTTACTGCGCTCGAAACTGCTGGTCACATGGATTGGTACCGAGTTCCAGACGAATTACATGTATCGGCCAACATCAAGAACCTCACTTTTACCTACAATGGTGTCCGCGAGCCATGTTGAGTATGCGGGAGCTTTCAGAGTCTAGGGCTTGATAGAGCTCAAGGCTACGCTATACAGAGCAAAGATGAACAAGAAGAGTAAACAACTTCAACCCATTGTCTATGTTTGGACTGTCCGGACATGGATGCATAGGTCTCATGTGCATGCGTGCGTGCGAAGCTAGTGTCCCGGACTGTCTGTCCAGGGTTCATTTTGGACGAACACGCAGACATGGCCGTGCTTTGAAGGGTCTCGTTTGAATATGCGAAGCGGAAACAATATTGGTGAGTAAATCTCAGTCTTTACTTTCTCAGGACATAAGGTCTCGACTCGATACCGTCGCTGCAAGAATCCGCCAGGGCTTTCCTTAAGGAAGGACCTCTAGTCCGCCTTGTCAGAGGCAAGGAAACATAAATATATAGGCTATTTGGCAAGATGCGGCAGGCGATGAACTGGACTGTAGCCCAAAGGATGCAGAGAAAGGGAAATGAGAATCTCGTAGGACCGCATTGACGCTTGGGTCGAGCATGTCACTCTCGCCCACGAAATCGTGACCGAGCAGAACACAGCTGCCTTCCAGTCTGGTGACGAAACACCTGACAACAGTACCAGTAGCAGATGAAACCAACGTAGAAAATCAAAGAATTGAGAGCAATGGAAAGAAGAAGAAGAAAGAAAAGAAAGAAAGAAAAAAAGACCGACCTAGTTTGACGCAGACAATAAAATTCAAGGCCATTGGCCTAGCATTCAACAGAACTGTGTGAGTATTGAGTAGACTCGACTTGTAGTTGATGGCAGCGGTAATCAGCAGGGACAGGGGTGAAAGACTCAGACGTTGGGACATGCTCCGCGACCCAATGATTCAACAAAGTTATAGGTAAGATACTATACTGTACCATACTATAGCTCATATCAAGTTGAAGCTCAATGATTTACCATGTGATACGCCAAGTGCGCTGTGCTTACAACGTAGTAGTGAAGCAGTGGTGTGGTCTGCAAGGCATATTTGATCCAATCCCCGAGGGCCCTCCCACGTAGATGGGGATGGATTCATACAAAAAGAAAAGGGAAAGGAAAAAAAAAAGAACAATGAGGTTATTCTCATCCTGCTGTTAAGTACCTGACAAGGAAGCCTGTAATGCACTGTTGATTTGTGTACTTATTCCCCCACATGTTCTTTCACCCTGGCCTTGTGGTTCCACGTCCCAGGCGCACGCAACCCTTTTTCAAGGCTGAAGAAGGGATAGAAGGAACCGGGGCCCTGGACCGGCACCCCCTGTCTGTCCCCATAGGCTTTTGTGGAGTTAAATGCTGGCCTTGCTTGTCTTGTACGGAGAAGAAAACGAGCCTGTCATTGAAAAATATCCACTTCACGGCCGCGCGCCAGTCTCTGATCCTGACGATCCTGGGATTGTCAGATTGCACTGTTGGGTTTCCCTTCTCGCTTTCTCCGGGCCATGCTTTTCTGGGGCTTCCAGGTGTCCTCGTCCCCTTACGAGCCTCTTCTACCCTCACACTCTTCATCCGTTCTCCTTTCTCTCTGCCCTGACAAGTCTACTCTTCTACACACCCCACTCCCTTCTTTTTGTCTTCCTCTCTCTTCTCCCCCCCCTTTTCGCCCCTCCTCCCCCCCTCCCCTTCTCTTCCGTGTGCCTGCGTCCTTGTCGGCCGCCGCCCTGTCTTTTCCCTAATTGAGACAAGTCGAGCTCGAGTCGAGACGATCCGGGCTGGACCGACCCGACTCCATCGGTTTTCTGCACCGCCAGCGCCGCCCGTCTACGCAGTTTTTCTCTTCCCTCATTATTTTGGTTACTGTACTGTGCACTTTTCTTTCTCGACGTGGTCAGCACCCCGCCAACGTACGTATTTGACGGGGTTCTGGATCCAGCATATTGTTTGCGACATTCATTTGTTCTGATTCTGATTCATCAGCAGTATAGTACTTGCGACTGACTGTGTGCTGTACTTGCATGCTTGCGTGTTTTTGGGTGTGACATCCGTCAATTTCTACCTACCTGCAACATATTTTACCACAGTCGTCTTCATCGACAGCACTGTGATCCTTTTTCCTCTTTTCGATTTCCCTCGTCTAATTCAATCACCACTATCCATATTGACTCTTGTCGTTTGTCAATTTTTTCTTCTTCTTTTTTTTATTTATTACTATTTCTTTCGCCCTCCTTTCGAGAGTCTTTTTGACCAAGCCAACCTTAAAAAAAAAAAGCGTCAATCATACTTGCCTTTCTGACCAGAGCAAGCAAAAAGCCGCCCGACCTCCTGTTGCTCACAAAGGCGGACCTAATCTGGCATCGAACCCCCTGGCTCATTTCACCCCCTCACGCCTTGATTGGACTGGCCGCGCCCACGCCCACGTCACGACATCAACAACAACAACAATAACATTAATCCTGGTGGATTGAAAAAGAGCACCACTCTTCTTCTACTGCGCTTTTGGGCCAGTTTTTAGAGGTGTGTGCAGGACGCGGCCGTATCGTCTTGTTTGGCCGCCCGGCCGCCGACCCTTTATTGTTGCCACAACAACTGATTAACGTCCTACGACCGCGTTCCATTGTGCTGCCATCATTCCAGCCAATCCAAGCGCTTCCCCTGCTCGATCAATTTCAATACGACCATCCGATCTCCTCTACCTCCTGTCGCTTCAACCGTCCTTCCTCGAGCGTCGTGCTGCCACATACACCCGATCCCGCGAGGGTGGGAAAAACCCTGCTGCATCGCATCGCATCGCATCGCATCGTACCGCATCGCATTGCATCTTATCGCACCACATCAAATCAAACAAGAGCCAAGTCAGCAGCAGGATTCTCTCGCAGGGGTGGCATCGTGACGGATCGTCGACCTCCTGGCGCCCCCGCCAGCCCCTCCTCTTTTCTTCGCACAATACAACTCAAGTTTTCGGAGCTGTCGTCCCATGGTCTAATCACTGCTCGGCATCCGAAGAAGTCGTCGTGTGCGTTCTCTTGTGTGTCCGCCCCTGGGCACAACAACGGTCACCACGATGGCTTCCCAGAAGCCGTCCCTGGTGATCGGCCAGGAGAACACCCTCGACCCTTTCGTCACCACCGGCGGTCCCACTGCTCCCACCAACCTCCGCTTCTCGGGCTTCGATGGCGACTCCTTCGCCCTCGGCCCCGGCGCCTCGCCTACCTCGGCGAAACGCGCACTGGAGGCTCACCTGGCCGACACTGAGCGTCGCATGGAGGAGGCCGGAAAGCTGGGAACCGCCCTTGTCCAGCAGCGCAAGGAGCTCACCGACCGCCTGAAGGAGGTGGAGCAGCTCGAGGCCGAGGACGAGCTGTCGCCGGAACTCAAGCTGAAGCTGACTGCCATCGAGAAGGACTTCAACGAGGTCGCCAGGGAGAGCGCCCGGGCCTTCCTCCCCAAGCATCGCGTCCCTAGCGGCGAGGCGAACCCGGGCACGCCCTTCACTCCCAGTAAGGATGTGGTGAGGGTAAGCTGGCTCCCGCCCCCACTCATATTGATCCCGCCCTGTCGTGGGCTGGTGAGGGGTTTCTTTCACTCACAGCTGACACACGTTGGTATCTACACAGAGGTCTATGAGCCCTTCAAAGTTCGACAACCACAAGTTCGAGAGCCTGGCCACCGGGTCCCCTAGCAAGTTCAGCGTTCCCAACCGCAAGGCGCGCAACCAGCCTGCCAACCGCATCCACGACATCGAGTTCGCCGCCGAGATCAGCACCTCCCTCATCACACAAGTTCGCAACCTGCAGGCCCTCCTGCAGGAGAGGGACGAGGAGGTCAAGGATCTCAAGTCGGAAAAATCAGGCCTCGAGGTCGAAGTCCAGGGCTTCCAGCAGCGCATGAGGAATCTGGACGAGAGCGAGAGCCGCTACAAGGACGAGAACTGGTCCCTCGAGACACAGATCCAGGAGTTCATTGCCGGACAAAAGGAGGCTGCAGATCGGGAGAAGAAGCTGAGCCACGCCCTCAACGCTCTCCAGGCCGATAAGAACGCGACCCAGCGCGAGCTCGACGAGATCAGGGCCGCCCATTCCAAGCTTGCCGAGGACCATGCTGCCGCCGTCAAGCACCACGACATCGAGCTCGGCACCGCCAAGCGCAACGCCATCATGGCCGAGGGCGAGCGCGCAGCCCTGCAGCGCAAGATCGACGAGCTGACCAGCCAGAACCAGGAGCTCGCCAAGGCCATCTCGGGCGAGAGGGGAAGGACCAGCCAGCGCAACTCTCCGTCCGGAAGCAGCGAGGACGACCTGGAGAATGCCAGCGGCAACCTGACCCCTGAGCATTCCCCGCCGCCATCGCCCATCAAGCCTACGCCCAGACACGCCATGCTCGAGACCGAGACTCTAAAGACCTCCCTGCAACACGCCCAGCGCACAATCCAGAGCCTCCGCACCAACGTTCATAGGGAGAAGACCGAGAAGCTCGAGCTGAAGCGCATGCTCCAGGAGTCCCGGGACGAGATCGAGAAGCTGCGCAGCGACCCGGTCGAGCGGCCCCACCAGAAGCGTGCCCGTGAGGCCAAGTCTCGCGAGTTTAAGAAGCCTGCCAAGCTGGACAAGCTGGGCACCGCCCGTGCGATCAAGGCCGAGATCTTTGAGGACCCAGAATGGGAGGATGCCTCCGTCAGAGGTCCTCCCCTGATGCTGGCCCGCATGACCGGCCAGGCTGATATCCCCATCCCCTCCACCGAGTCAGACGAATTTGAGACTGCCAACGAGGCGCACGAGTCCACCGATGCCTTTGAGACGGCCCACGAGCGTGGCGGTACCGAGACGGAGGAGGCCTTCCAGACGGGCGCTGAGGACTTGGACTCGGACGACACCGAGATTGAGAGCCCGTCCAGGCGGGCTGGAGCGGCCAGGGCCAGCGGTGCTCTGAAGAAGGCCCCCATCTTCGCATCACCCGGCCCGGCGTACACGTACGAGAGCACGGCCTCGACGTCGGCAAGTGAGGACGAGGACTACACGGATCCTACGAGGACACCCAACTCGCAGCCGAGAAGGGTGCGGATGCGTGCCAACCACGGCCCCTCGTCCTCGTCGCGCCGTTTCTCCAGGCAGCTGAGTGAGGAGCCTGGCTTCCAGGGCAGCCCTGCCAGCATGATCAGCCAGACCAACCGCAGCTTCTCGAGCACACAGGGCCTGCCCCGACAGAGCCTTTTCGCCGAGCTTGGGGAGTTGGAGGGCAGTGATGAAGACTCGACCGTCGGCACGCCTGGCCAGAGGAGCCTGCGCTCCGTCACCCCGGCTTCAACGGCAAGAGGCATGACTGCTTCGCCACGATCCGTCGTGCCGCCTGTGCCGGCGATGCCCAAGATCATCATGGTGGATAGCGGTATGATGACCGAGCCTGTTGATCCGCAATCCGTCGCGGCAGCCGCTCTGTCTCCTCAGCGCCCAATGTCTATGGACTCGGTGGTGTTCAGTTCCATGCGCGACGGGTCTCCATCGGCCTCTCCCGACCGCGATACAGGCGCCGAATATGCCGACTCTGAGACGGAAGAGAACCTCACCCAGCCCCTTTCGCCATTCAAGTCGCCTACTGTCGTCGGTGGCATGCCCACGCCAATCCTCGCCCCGCCACAGCAGCTCACAGTATCTGACGTCCACACACAAGAGGTGGAGCCTCAAGCAGAACCCGAGCCTGCGCCCGCTCTGCCTCCTCGGCTGGGTCTCTCGAGCGTGTTCTCCGAACATGTCGAGCCAGTCGCTGAGGCAGAGGTGCCACCTCCTGCCCTCAGCATGTCGCGCGTCGTAGCTGAAGGTATTGACCCCGTGGCTGAGCCCGAGGTGCCACCTCCTCCGGCCCCGACACTGTCGGTCTCGTCACTTGTCGCGGAGCACGTCGAGCCGGTGGCAGAGCCCTTGCCTCCTCCTCCCACACTGGTGTTCTCCCAAGTCTCCTCGGCAGAGACGGAGCCTGTGGCCGAGCCTGAGCCCGAGCCTCGGGTTGTTACTGTTGTCGAGTACAGAGAGGCGCCTAAGCCACCTCCTGCAGATCTGGCCTTGTCTCCGATATACTCTGCTGAGACGGAGCCTGTATCCGAACCAGAGCCCGAGCCGAGAGTCGTTACTGTTGTCGAGTACAGGGAAGCACCTTTGCCACCTCCTGCGGTCCTCGACTTCTCCCCAATTTCCTCTGCCGAGACGGAACCTGTGGCCGAGCCTGAGGCCGAGCCTCGTGTGGTGACTGTCGTCGAGTACAGAGACCAGCCCACGCCGCCTCCTGCGGAGCTGACCTTTACCACGATCTCGTCGGCAGAGGTCGAGCCAGTGGCCGAGCCAGCGCCTGAGCCTCAGGTCGTCCGTGTCGTGGAGTATGTGGAAGCCCCTCAACCGCCACCTGCAGAGCTGTCCTTGTCTGCAGTTTCTTCCACAGACGTGGAGCCAGTCGCTCAACCCGAGCCTGAACCACGCGTTGTACATGTCGTGGAGTATGTGGAAGCACCTCCGCCTCCGCCTGCACAGCTGTCGTACTCCGGTCTCATTAGCGAGGGCATTGAGCCGCGGGAGGTGCCGCAGCCCCTTTCTCCGACCCTGACGGTGTCCCCCATCGTGGTGGAGGATGTCGAGCCCAAGCCAGAAGCTGCGCCGCTCCCACCGCCCCTGTCTGTCTCCCAGGTCCTGTCGGAACAGGTCGAGCCTGTCAGCCCTGTGACACCTGTCTTGGAGAGGCAAATACCGTCCCCTCTCAATTTCTCCACCATTCAGTCTCTGGAGACACATCCCGAGGAGCCAGAATCACCTGTCTTCAGCAAGCCATTGCTCTCTGCACTCGGCCTGTCTGCCGTCGAGTCTCTTGCCACGGATGCTACCTCGCCCGCAAGTCCAAAGAGAAATGCATTCATCATCCCACGGGACGAGGAAGAACGACCAGTCACCCCGACGAAATGGGGCGTCTATTCATCGACCTCACCCCGGAAGGCCAAGGACGCCGATGCCGTCGTCATTGCTGAGGACGAGACAAGACAATCTCTCAATGCCTCTCCTTCGTCAGAGACGCCCGAGTCCCTCCAGCCGTTCAAGGAGATCTCAGCCAATGCCAGTGCCAAGCCTGCCCGCAAGATGCCTGTCCAGACTTCTGACTCAGGCGCGCAGACGTCTCTCACAGCTGAAGCGATCGACGAGATGTTCCAGGTCAAGAACAGCCAGCCACAATCTCCTGTGCTCTACAGGTCAGATTCGTTGGCCAGCGCCGATGGCATGAGCAGTCCAGGCACCGTCCGTGTAGGCCGGTCGCACGAGAGCATGGTTGGCGGTGCCCATCGCTTCAAGGGCAGGATGATCGACATGAGCGCCGAGACGGCTGCAGAGGCTGCTTTGCGCCGACCTGGCAGCGCCGCAAGCGCTCGTTCTCCGACCAAGAGTCTGCCCCCACTGCCGCCGAACCACAGGGAGGTCATCGAGGCTGCAAGGACCGGCACTGCAAACAGTGGCCACGGAACGATCGGCAGTATGGGTCCGCCACTTTTCCCTGCTTCTGCGTATAAGAATGCCATGAACAGACCCAGGACCCCCATGTCGACCAGCTCTAGGCACGGCGACTCAGCGGCTCGCCCTGAGAGGCCAGGAACCGCAGATGTCCACTCTCCTACCCGGCTGACTGCCAAGAGCCGCAAGTCCTCTGTGTCGTCCTTCGCTTCAGAGGTCGACCACAGGTTCAACATGGCCGGTGGCATGATGGGCATGCAAGGATCTGGCTTCGGTCCTAATACCGACCCGCGCATGATCCAGGCCATCACGCAGACCATGATTGGTGAATACCTGTGGAAGTACACTCGCAAGACAGGCCGTGGCGAGATGTCAGAGAACAGGCACCGGCGTTACTTCTGGGTCCATCCTTACACACGCACTCTGTACTGGAGTGATCGCGATCCAACCAATGCCGGTCGCGCTGAGCTTCGTGCCAAGAGCGTGCCTATCGAGGCCGTCCGTGTCGTCACGGACGACAACCCCATGCCTCCTGGACTGCACCGGAAGAGTCTCGTTATTATCGCACCAGGTCGAAGCGTCAAGTTCACCTGTACCACGGGTCAACGACACGAGACCTGGTTCAACGCCCTGTCCTACCTGCTGCTCCGAACCGACGGCGAGGGCCATGCAGACACGGAAGAGATGGTGAACGGCATCACCAGAGAGGACGTCGAGGAGTTCAATCCATCCCTTGACCGCCGCAACACAGCTGGAACTGGGGCACGTGGAGCCCCATCTATCTCATCGTACAACTCTCGTGGGACTCGTCAGGAGGCCGTCTCCGTCAACCTCGACGTGCCAACCTTGACGCCGAACCACAAGAAGGCCGTCTCGACAAGCGGCGTACGACCGAGCCTTGCCGGGCGGCTCAGCGGATACTGGAGGTCCACCCAGGACAGCTTGAGCCTGCGAGGTCGCAGTGGTTACAAGGACCAGCACAGCTTGTACTCGAACAATGAGGTGCACGATAGCGCCGAGGACCTCAGGGAGATGTACGAGAAGCAAGATAGGGAGTCGGATCGCTTGGAGAACGTCAGGGCGTGCTGCGATGGTAAGAGCCCTAAAATCACACCCACTTCCTCCTTCTGAGGGAGATTGCCAAGAAGTTTCTCGACCAGTATTGCTAACAGCCTGGCTCAGGTAAACACGACGTAGCCACTCTGACGGCGAAGAACCGAGCCCAGGGCAGCCACAGCCCTAGTCATACACATCTTCACGCACATCCAAGTCGCGCCAGCACACCGGCTACCGTCAGATCCGCGATCTGACCTCGAAACATTTTTCTCTATTGATTTGTCATTATGGTTCAGCACGAACACACTTTCAGCCACTCACGCACCGAGTAATTTCCTTTTTTTTTTTTTTTATATCAACAATCAATCACATGCGGCGAAATAGCAAATATTTCGGAAATTTCCTACAGAAACTGCTACGCCTGTCATTCATTCACTGTCACTACCTGATCATGCCAAAGAAAGAAAAGAAAAAAAAGACACCTCGGGCCGGCCACAAGCCTATTTTCTTCTCTATCTCTCACGAAGTGGACGATCGTCTTCTACGGCTCTTGGAGGTTCTCAACATCCTACGTGGGGATAGGCGGCTGGTACTGGTCACCACTCAAGTCTTGAGCTGTTGAGTAATACAAGAAACCACCCCGCCTCACAATCCTCACCCAGTCTTCAGGGCTTCCTATCTCCTTCTGTCCACCTGTACCAACATTTCTCCTTTTGAACCTTTTCACTTGTGCAGCAACGGGCTCTCCCGTCATGCAATGCTGGCGAGGGCCATCTGGGAACACACGTGCAGGAGTTGAGGAGGACCAGGATGCGAGTTTGCTCTATCGAAGGCGTTATGACTCGTTTTCTTCTTCATTTTCTTTGGGCCTTCCTATAAGCTACCTATCTACCCTCTTGGCTAGTACTGCTACCACTACTACACCCTCTACATTTCTTTTTTCTTCATCTTCTCGACTTATTGAATTCCTCTGCTCTCCGAGTCTGTTTTTTGTTAGGCGTGTGCATGAATGGTTGATTATTACGGAAGACAACTTCCCCCCGTATTACTCAATCTTCATCGCAAGGCACGAGAGATTGATATTGTCATTTGCAATTTACAGCAGAGCGAGGAAGAGAGTGGCGAGGAGCAGATACCACAAGATTGTCTTGTTTGTTGTTTCATTGAAGGGGGAGGGGACGGAGGAAGACAGCAATAGTAGTAGTAGTAAGTACTTAGAATTGGCTCTAATGATTAAATGATCAAACCTACATGTACGTTGTACAGCCGCGCGGTGTCCCCCGTATCATTTGCCTTTGCATCTCGTGTGCGTGTATGCGTAATACAAGAAGTCCACCCAATACGAGGGAAGAAAAGACCAACTTGTGTTTCCAACCTCCCCATACTCCAATTCCTCCTTACCTTGGGAGGATAATCATGATCGTATCACCAGCGTCATCATGAAACAGTAACAATAAGACCAGATAGAAGCCCCTCCCTTTTGTAAGGAACGAAAGCAATAAGAAAAAAGACAAGAGGAAAGAAAGGATAGAAACGATAGAGGCCCTCCCCACTAGGACCTACGCTATCATCACCAGTCCAGATCGCCAGGCCCGATGCCTAGCCTCGCCAGCTTCTGGATCACCGGCTCGAGCACCGCCTTCTCGCCGCGCATGCGCGCACCCTCCTTCATCCTCGAGTAGAAAACGGGACAGTCCTTGCTGTCGCAGTGGACCTCGTCGAGCGGCGACAGCCCCGCGCAGCTCTGGCACATCCTGACCACGTCTGCATACCGCCTCTCCTTGTTGTTGAGCCTGCCCTGTAGCCTGACCAGCGAGGCGGGTGCGTTGTGCCTGCACCGCCGGCAGATGATTGACGTTTCTTGGTCATTGTTCTTATGCTTCTTTTTCTTCTTCTTGGGGGGGGCGCCGCGGCGGCGATTGTTGCGACTGACGGTGGCGATGGAGGTGGAGGAGGAGGAGGCAAACTTGATCTTGACATTGCACACGACGCAGCTCGCCGGGCGGAGGTAGCTCTCGAGTGTGACCTTCTTCTTCTCGGGGCCGCCGGGCTGGATGCGCCGGACTTGCCGTACCTTGGGCATCTCGTCATACCACTGCCGCGCGCTGGCACCCACGAGGTTGAAGATGCGCTCCAGCGGCGGGATCAGGTTCTTGGTGATGTAGTACTCAGCGTCGAGCGTGAGGTGGTCGTTGTCGAGCAGATCCTCAGGTGCGATGCAGCGGTCTATCAGGCGTGCGCCGGGAGCGCCGCTGACCACGACGTACGGCACGCGCTCGCCGTATTGCGGCTCGGCGCGGGCGTCTGCAAGCATCTTTCTCGTCGCAATGAGGGCACCCGGCGGCGGTGGGCCCTTGTCTGAGTATGTGCCGAGCTTCACCTCCTTGGCGAAGCAGAAGTCCTGCACCGATACCTGCCCTCGCATGATCTTGGCGCACTGGGCTTGGACGTAGCTCTTGATCTGGCTCAGGTCCGCCGTCTCGAAGAGAAGCTTGAGGGCCTTCTCCTCGATCATCTGCTCCGCCGGCGTCCCGTCACGGCGGACGGTCTCGATGCCCTTGGCGTCAAACTCCGGCTTGACTTGGTCGCGGCTCTCGTACTTGTAGCCGACGTAGCGTTTCTTGGCAAGGAGCACGCACGGGTGGTACACCTTCTCGAACTTGAGCTTCACGGGCCGCGGGTTCATGTCGGTAATAGCCTTTGCGATTTCATTGCCAATGTCGAAGGCCTGGTCGCGCGTGCGCCCCTTCAGGTGGATGAAAAGGCTGTCCGTGTCGCCATACACAACCTCAGCGCCCCATTTCTCGACGGAGTGGATGTAGGCAATGGCGCGCTCGAGGGTCTCGCGGCCGGTTTGGACAATGCTGTCTGCTATCTCGGAGCACGGCATGCGGCCGGAAAAGGAGGCCGAGGTGTAGCCGTATGTGACGTTGGCGAGGAGCTTGAGGGCGAGTTGCCTGTTGTTCAGGAGCTGCTGCAGGGTCTTGTCGGCTTTGTCTTGCTTCATGCCGCTCTTGACCATGACTCTGGTCTCGAGGATTTCTGTGAGCATCTTCGCCAGCAGGGACTTTCGAACCTCGACTTTGGCGTACATCATGCCGTTTGGTGTGATGTTGATGTAGTCTTGAAGGAGCTCAAGCAGCCTCTCCTGGCGTTTATATTCGGTGAATCCCATTTTGTTGGTGCCCCGCCAGTTTACAATTCTTCCTAGGAATGTCGAGTAGCAAAGGTTGTAGGCGATCATGACACTAGGATACAGGCTCTGGAAATCAAGCACCAACACAGGACTGCTGTAGAACGCGCTCTGAGGCTCCATGACTAGCGGTAGGCACTCCAGAGCATTTTGCCCACCGACCTGTTTTCTGCTTGGAGAGACAAGGACAAAGTTCTCGGGTTTGGCGATCCGAAACATGATTGATTCGACCTTGAACTGAGAGCCTCTGGAGAAGACCGAGAAAAAGTCCACGCCTAGCAAACGCGCTTGTTCGCTCGTACGAGGGATCAGTTCGTTCTCTTCGAGAATTTGGATGTCCAACTTGGTCCTCGAGATATAATACTGGAGGACTTTTGCTAAATCTGCGTGACGGCCGCTGGCATACCAGTCTGACAGCGTCCGGTGGTTGTAATGTGGGATTCGCCGGTGAAGGAGATGCCAAGTAACATTCTCCATGGTGTATTGAAGCAGGTTCATCTCACCTCGCATTGCTCGCCAGATGTTGATCATATGGCGTCCAGTAACACGAATGGTCGACGTAGTGTTGAATCCCCAGCGGTCAGAGTCCTTGCCGAATCGCCCGTGAGACTGGGTCTTGACGCGAGAGAATTCATCGCACAGGTTGTAGTCGTACTTGTGCCTGGCTCGCTCAATGAGGTAGCCCCAGGAGCTGCCATGAACCTCGTATCCGGTAAGGACGTCTGGATCATGGTTCCGGACAGTCTCCACCATTCGCACCATGGCGTCGAGTTCAGTGAGTTCTTCCAAGACTTCGACTTTGGTGTGCCTGCGCAATCGTTCCGCCAGAATGCCATCCTCCGAAACCACAATGATCCCACAGAGAGTGCTCTCGGCCTGACTGCCGGCCTGGAAGTTCTCGTCCGACTTGGTGGCCCAGAAGATGCACTGGACTTCATCCTCTTCAGGATTCGGGGCGAGCTTCCCCCTCGTGCTGACGTGAACCTCTAGACTCATCGTACTCATGTACTGCGCTTCGTGTTCGACACTGGTGGTTTTCTTCCTCTGTGAATACTTGAACCCGTGCTTGTTCTTCGGCGTCGCTCCGACAATCTGCGACAGAAATGGCCTCTGTGTTGGTCCTGGAGCTGTCCTGGCGGTTTCTCCTGACGCGGACTTGCTCTTCTGCTTGGCTGCCCACCACTCTCTGACTTCACCTAGTGTGGGTGGGGGGTCTGCAATCTCCCAGCTGCGCAGGGAGCATTGCTGGCTTCTCCTTTCGTACTCCAAGTCGTTTTGCCTCTTCTTGTCTGCGTCGGGCGCAACACGACGGCCGAATGTAGCGGACGACTGACCTGTTGCGTCAAACTCAGGGAGGAACGGTAGAGTATTTCCAGTAAGACGGAACTCTTTGCCGGCATACTCCTTCATGCGAGGAGGGACATCTTTTTCCCGACTGTAAAAGGGGTCTTGGTAGATGACATCGGGCAACCCATTGCCTTGCATAGTCGCACAGACCTCGGCAGCTGTTGGTGGAGCGTGGTCAAGGACGCCAGCGAGCAACATAGATCTATCATCAGAGAAGAATGCCTGTGGTTCGTTGAATACCGAGGACGGGGGGGTGCCAGATCGGTACAAAGAGGCCGTGTCAGGCGACTTGACCGCTCTATATGTACTGGGAGGCACTTGTTCTGAGGTGGGAGACTTGCCAAAGCTGACATCCCTTTTTATTAATTCGTCGTCACTCTTTTGAGAGCTGCTGTGTTGGCTCAGACGCAATATCGTACTTGGGTCTTGAGGATCTTTGACAACACCAAAGGATAATTTTCGTTCGTCTTCCTGCTTGAACACAAGGCCGTTCACCGTTAGTCTCTTCGGCTCTGTTGACTGAAGCCTTGCATGATGTTGTAGATCAGCCGTAGTCAACGAGGCCATTGGATCTTTCGCATGCGCATTTACGAACGTGACTGCCTGTGTGAGGGGCGCGCGGTTGGTCCCTTCGATTCTTGGCCGTTTGGGGTCGGACACGCGAGAATTTGGACTGCTGGCCCTCTTGAGCAGCGCATCACCAGGGTTTGGTGACGGCGGGCTCACAGTGTCCTTGACGGCCAAACCTTCCCTGCTGATAGCTTCAATCAACTCTTCCGTGATAGGGAGGACAGGATACTGTCCAGTCTTCCCTTTGCTCAAGCCAATGCCCTTGTAGCGTCTGGCGGGACGAAATTTCGCCTTACCAGGCGGTGGTGAAGGTGCTGCTCGAGCAGCGGACCGCCCCACAAATGCTGTCGAATAATTCGCCGTGGGCTGTGGCGGAACCCGTTGACGATGCTGTGACTTCTCCGACTTGGCACCCGCCACTTGCTGGGAAGCCTTCCGGGCGAGTTTTTCCTTTTGAATTCGCTCCTCGTCAGAATCCTCGGGGTACAATTCGTCTTCTTCTTCTTGGGCTGCGACGATCTGCTCTTCTGGCACCTGGTGTGGCAAGCCCAGAGCGGGCATGAGCTTGTGAGGAAACAGGTCCTCGACAGACTGTAGCATCGTGTTGACATCATCTCCAAGCCTTTTCTGTTGTACAAAGGTATCGAAAGAAACCGTTGAATGCCCGTTTGCTGCTGCCTCGTGGGCGATGAGGTCTTGGATCTGTTGCATGTACTCGTCCTCGTGGATCCAACCCTGAGGCTGTGAGTCTCGTGGGTCCGCAGACATGGACACAAGTGCTTCAGGAGGGAACGGCGTGCTTCCGGGCTTGGTCAGCCCCATCCGCCGTTTTCGACGCTTCGTCTCGTCCTTCCACAGCCCCGCCATGCTGTGGACCAATTTCAGGCTGGATGGCACAGGGTGATCCTTCTCGGTAAAGTCATGATGTAACCGTCTTTCCTTGACGGCCTTGCGGTTCAAGATATCTTGGACGCAAATGTCCACTTCGATCGAGCAGTGGCTCACGCGAGGCAGCGCATGATCTTCTGTGATGCGGTCGTGAGGGATCGACGAGCTGTGCCATACGTGTATTGACGAAGAACTGCCCTCCTCTTCGCCAAAGTCGGGCACGGGCGACCGGAACACAGTCTTGCCGCTTTCTAGGTAGTCGCATCCGTAGAGGTTGTAATCGCACATAAACTGCAGCAGGTATTGCAGGTGGGCCTCGTACGGCTGGAACCTTCTCTTCATGATAGCCCCCTGTTGAAGCAGGTCTGCCAGCCTGGTCATGACCATCGGGTTGAACATGTAGATCTTGAGGAAGAATCGATATCCAACGTGATAGCCGTAAAATGGCACACCCTTGGTGATTGTTATCCTGGCGACATATTTGTTCTTGTTGTTGTAGGCATTTTGGCGGAAGCTCACAGCCAAGGCATGATCGATGGAAAGATGCAACCTATAGATGTAGGCACCCACTACGCAGAATTGTCAGAGAGAAAAAAAAGGAAAGAAAGTATAAGGAAAGAAAGAAAAACAGAAAGAAACAAGACCCTCGTGCGCATACGCAGCATGCAGTGGTCTCGACTCACCCTCCTCTTGGCCCAGGCCACCGGTGTACTCAATGTACAGATACGGAAAGGCCCCATGAATATGCGCGCAGACTTTCTGCCCCGTCTGAGTAGACCCAAAGATCCTGACGACGGGAACCTTGGGCTCCTGGGACAGCTGTTCCGGCCGCACATCGTTGCGAAGCTGCGGGTCATATTTGGTCGGGGTCGCTTGGTAGAAGTCGATGCAGTTCAGTCGAACTTTGAAGACATCCATGACGACAGCCGTGCGCCGTCCGCAGAGTTTGGGGGGTGCGACGCTGGCACATTGTCCTGAAATTCTGAAAGAAAAAAAAAGGCAGTTCAAACAGAAATCATGATCTCTAACGCAAACATTCTCTTTTGGGGTTTGCCTCTCCGGGCACATGTGTTGGTGTCCTTGTGAAGGGAAACGCGGTTCTGACCTCGAAGCGCGTATTAGTGACATCGGTACGTACCTCGCAGCCCTGTCCATAATCATTACGTAAGCAATCCTCACCCCCCCATGCATGACGCTGCTACGCCTTTGCGACTGCTGGAGAAGCAACTTCTTGAGACTCCAGACGTTCTTCTCGCCATAGCATGGTGACGAGACTACCTCCAAACAGCAAACAAATCTCCCTCCAAGTACTACACTTATTTTCAACATGCCTCCAAGACCACCACCCTCAAAACGCCCCGCCGTCGGGCCTGTCAAAGAAGAAAACACCTACATCCCCCAGTTTATCACAAAGCGTCCCTTCTACGCTGGTGAGGGTGAAGACACCGATTATCTCGAACATCAACGTCTACGAAAAAAGCATGAAGACTCGGCGTGGTACGACCGCAGCAAGAAGGGCGTGGCGGCGACCAAGTATCGCAAGGGCGCGTGCGAAAACTGTGGCGCGATGGGCCACAAGGCCAAAGACTGTCTGGAACGACCGCGCAAGAAGGGGGCAAAATGGACGAACCAAGACATCAAGGGGGACGACGTAGTGCAGGACGTCCAGATGAGTTGGGATGCAAAGAGAGACCGGTGGAACGGATATGATGCCAAGGAACACCGGCAGGTCGTCGAGGAGTTCGAGGAGATGGCGGCGCTGAAGAAGCAGCTTCAGAAGGAGAACAAGAAGAGCGGAGAGGGGGCGGATGAGGAGGACGAGTACGAGGAGGATGGTGAAAATAAATTCGACGAGGGCGACAAGTACGCCGACACGGTCGACCTGAGCAAGCTGAAGAACACGACCGCCCGGCAGCTGCGATTACGAGAGGATACCGCGAAGTATCTCCTGAATCTGGACCTCGAGTCAGCCAAATACGATCCCAAGCGACGAAGACTGGTAGATAGTGGCGCACTGGCGGACAATACGGCTGAGTTGTTCAAAGAGGAGGGCTTCGTGCGGGCCTCGGGCGATGCGACCGAGTTCGAGAAAGCAACGCGATATGCGTGGGAGGCGCTGGACAAGACGGGCGACAACACTCAGCACTTGCAGGCCAACCCGACAGCAGGAGAGTTCTACCGCAAGAAGGAGAGGGAAGAAGCAGAGAAGAAGCGCCTGGAGAGGGAGAAGGCTCTCCGCGACAAGTACGGCGAGGGTTCGTCAACCATGCCTGCTGCGCTCCAGAAAATGGTGGTCACCGAGAGCGAGCAATTTGTTGAGTATGACGAGTATGGTCTGGTCAAGGGCCACCGGGCTTCCGCCAAGTCCAAGTATCCGGAGGATGTCCACCCCAACAACCACACATCAGTCTTTGGTAGCTGGTGGTCGAATTTCCAGTGGGGATACGAGTGTTGTCACTCTACGATGAAGAACAGCTACTGTACTGGAGAGGATGGCAAGAGGGCCTTCGAGGCCTCCGAGCGACAACGGACCGGCGCAGGGCTGGTCGAGGGAGAAGATGTCATCGGGGAGGACGAGCCACCCGCAGAACAAAAGGATCAAGCTGGCAACAAGGCGAAGCAGCTCTCAAGAGAAGAGATGGCGAGTGGCATCACGGAGGAGGAGATGGACGAATACCGGCGCAAACGTACTGTTGCAGATGACCCGATGGCCAACTTCCTGGGCAAGGATGAACTAGTGCATTAGAAGCTTTGCCAATAGTATCCATGGCTGCAAATGCATGATCATCAATATCAGCGGTGGTAGCCTCACCAGCAAGCGTGAAGACGGTGATGATATTCTGTAAAGAGGTAGATAGGATATTCGGACAAGACGGAGCCGAGGCCGCAAGCTAGTAGGGAAAATTTTACTCCTCTGGGCCACGATGGGTATTGCCTAACAAAGTCGTCGCCCATTCCAGACCACGCTACGTGTACATCTACAATTGCGGCCATTACTTTGGGAAGAAACGTGTCTTGTCATTGATTTGATTTCATTGACCTATGGCTTCGCACGATGAATGCCTTCTGCCGTGAAAGGTGACACAAACTCCGTATACCCTGACAAGCAAAGAAAAGCTGCCAATCCCAATTTTTTTTGTCCCTTGTAGGGATTCCGTCGGCCTAAGGAGCGCCTCTATGGTATTATGCACAAAGCATTTACTCCTCATCCTCATCCTCACCACCCTCGCCGCCCTCAGCGGCCTTGGCCTTCTTTCTGCGAACACGGCCAGGGCGGCCGCCACCGAAGGGCGAGGTCAGGGCGAAGTCGATGTGCTTCTGAGAGTCGAGGCGGACCATGAAGGAAGGCACGTTGACGATCTGCTTGCCGACGCGGATGTGGCGCTGACGGATCAGGACACGGGCGTGGTGAATAGACTTGGCAAGGCCGAGCTTGTAGACACAGGTCTGGAGACGGCGCTCAAGGAAATCCTCGACCTTCAGGGCAAGGACGTAATCGAGCTTCATGCGGCTCTCGTCGAGCACACCGACACGCACGAGACGGCGAATCAGGGCGTTACCCTCAAAGAGGCGCTTGGGGTCCTTCTCGTCGAGGGTGAGCAGCTGACTGTGGAAATTGTTAGCCTTCGTCGGCTCTGCATAAATTGGGTATCTCTGAGACGACTTGGGGCGATAATAAAATTTTGCAGGTGTTGATGGTACATACCGGGCAGCACGACGAATCTTGGACAGGGTGAGCTGGACACGCCAGACCTCACGCTTGTTGCGCAGACCATACTCGCCAACGAGCTTCAGCTCAGAGTCCCTATGTGTTGATCGATGTCAGTGGGGGTGCACGAACGACGTAAGCAGAGACAAGCTGCTGCTCAGTGGCCGGTTCTATACTGACAGACGAGCGGCTTCGAAGGGTCTGTGAGAATGTCAAAGTTAGCGATTGTTACATGCAAGAGCCTGCGAGCAGGTTAATTAATGGAGAGGAAGAGGGTATATACACACCTTCTCGGCACCTTGGCCGTCTTCGAGTAGGAAAGCGGCGCCATGGTTGGTGATTTGGTGGTTGAGGTTGGCGAACTTTGTCGGGTGAAGTTGCTACAGAGAAATGGACTTGGGTAAAAGTTCGCGATACGCTTTGGGTGGATTGGCGCAGGCAAGGGTAGACCACGTGATCAGGGCGCACTCCCACTCCCGTTGGTGGGCGTGGGTGGCCCGAGCGTTCTTAGCGCGGAAGGGGGGACCACCACCGAAAAAGTCCACCACGCCTCTGCTTCTGTCTAGCATTTACGATCTCGAAGTCGATCAACCCCCCAGCGATTTCGACAACGACCACAACACCTCAAATCAACAACCCACCAAATCAATCAAGATGGGTCACGCCGCTGGTCTTCGTGCGGGCACTCGCGTATGTTCTACACCGATCAAGACGATGACTGAGGGAGCCTACGAGAGGCGGAAATGTTCTTTCTGGTTGAAGTGCTGACGATTCGGTGCGAAATAGTATGCCTTCTCGCGGGATTTCCGCAAGAAGGGCATGATCGCCCTGTCCACCTACCTCCGACACTACCGGTATGTCGAATCCGCAAGCAAAATGAGTCGAATGATGAAGCTGGACTTGTGATCTGACTGAGCATCTTATAGGGTCGGCGACATCGTGGACATTAAGGCGAACGGTGCTGTCCAGAAGGGGTAAGTCGAGAATCGAACACCAGCGAGCCCGAAAATACACGATAGAGCCATTCACTCTTTTTCTTTCCCCGGCGAGGCGATCAAGTCCTGACAAGGTGTGTTTGCGAAATACAGTATGCCCCACAAGGTCTACCACGGAAAGACTGGTGTCGTCTACAACGTTACCAAGTCGGCCGTCGGCGTCATCATCTACAAGAAGGTGAAGCACCGTTACATCGAGAAGCGCATCAACCTCCGCACCGAGCACATTCAGCCCTCGCGGTCCCGAGAGGGCTTCCTGCGCAGGGTCAAGGAGAACGCCGCGCTGAAGGCCAAGGCCAAGGCTGAGGGCACGACTGTCCAGGTGAAGAGACAGGCCGACCTCCCCCGCGACGCACGACAGATCTCGTTCAAGGAGAACCGCCCCGAGACCCTGGCGCCCGTCGCCTACGAGACCACCATCTAAACGGACACATTCGGAGCGGTGTGTGCGAGGAAGGATGATTCTTCTGCGGACGGGGTTTTTCTGGTGGTCGGTTGTTCACGAATTGGCTTGCTTTGGTCTTTGCATGGGGTTCACGTACGGCAAAACGGAAAGATTTCTTAGCATGGTCCGGAATGGCATGCGGCAATGCTTTTAAAGGGAAAAATAAAATGAACCAATGGCATTTCCAACACCTTCCTGTCCATACGTGGTGATAGGTGACCAGGTGTGGGGATGCTGAAACTTGGGGGATTGTGGACGTGATGTCGACGTGCTCGACAAGGCGAGGTGGACACCTGAGGGAGCAGAAGATTAGCGCTCATCCTCAAGATGACAATCGAAACACTTTTCGCCAGATCCAGCAAAATCCTAGACGCTTGGTCTCGCAGTGGATCGGGGATGGGCTCTACTTGACTACAGTCCGGGGTTGTGAAAGCAACAAATGCACCATGCGCCACAACGGAAAGGAGGGAGGATGTGGCCCTTATGATGTGTGCGCCTCCCTACGCATTCTTGATCTCCCACTGATTATGCTTCTCTTTGTCCCGCTTGCCTGCGTGCACACAAGCCTCCTGCTCTCCTCCATCCTTGGCTGTTATTTAGTTGTGTTGCGACTTTTCCACTGCATATATCTCGAAGACTTGAGGCTTACGAACTGGCTTGATTCCCAGATGCATCCGATTTGTTAAGTGAGCTCCTACTCCCTTCGGGCCTCATGGGCAGCAAGATGGCTCTAGAAAAGCTGGCACCGTCTGTCCAGGGGGCGCTCGGTGCTCTAAGGGTGCAAGCTGATATAAGTCCGAGAGCGAACCTATAATATCCTTCCACCACAAGACCAGCTTGCGCAATTTCAATCAAATGCAAAATTGATTTTTTTTTCTTCGACATCCAGAAAAAAAGAAGAAGAAAAGAAAGAAAGAAAGAAAGGCGATTATCCATTCTATCATATCCATGTCTTCTCATCTCTCGGTGTCTAAATACGCTCACCTACTCGGCGCATTTCGTCCATACATTGCACTTCTCTTCAAGACCTATTATGATTGGTGGGTGGGATAAGCGAGAAATGACACGGCAGAATTCAGACTTGGGAAAGGAGGCTCATGACATGGTGAGCAGTTAATGGCTTCATATGCCTAGTGACCCCTTTGAATTTCGGCGGACTCGGGTTGAATTGGGTCAGCAACTGAGAGATTCGTCTGAATAGTGGAGAGCAGATCGGAGTACCGACAGCATCAACTTACATGCCATGTAGGATGCTATGTACAGACCTCAACAAGCCTGGACTCGTCAGGGGCTTAGGGGTTGTCAGGGACAGCAACGGGCACAGGACACGGGGCCGGCCCTCGCATTCGCGGGCTACTCCAGCGGATTTCCACCCAGCTTGCCCTGACACGCCGCCTGGTTGCGTCACTCTCGTGTCGGCTGTGCGACACTACAAGGTGCCATAATCGCATTGTCCTTAATACCGAGAGATTATGGGTTCAAATCAGGGTTGAAACAGAGGATTGACCGCCTATATAAGGCAGAGGGATCTGCTGTGATGAAACATGTAATATTTGCCTCGAAGTTCATTTCCCAAAGCCGAGTCTTTGGAAACTGAGGGAGGGGGTGTGTGGGAAAATATATAGGTACAGCCGGTGTCTCTATGGGCTACGGAGCTCGGAGAGGACGGTTTCGATATTCAGTGTTTGATAAACACACGGTCGTTCCGCGACGGGGACGGCAACTACCTGCCAGGTCAGGTCGTAATTCCGTTTAGCTCCTTCCTGGCGGGCTCTGAATAGGGCGGAGAAACGATGTCCCGTTTGCAGAGGTGAAATTAAGTCTATCCAAGCTTGCAGGCCTGACTGCGCTATCTTGGCTACGTGCAAAGACTTGAAGATAGTGGTTCAGCTTTTCGACGGCTTGCCGGGACTAGCAGAGCGCGGGCACGGGATCACAGCAGGCCTATCCCGTAACAACCCGATCTTACTGGATTAGCGACGGGGTTCTTACGGGCAAGTCTGGGTAAGAGGAAAAAAGGGATACATGTGCTTTAACCTATTTGAAGTAGCTTAATCGTGGTACTTTTTTTTTTTTTTTTTTTTCCAAAAACAAAAACAAGAGACAACCAAAGAATCAAAAAGGGGTTCCTCGAGATAGCAAAGAATCACCGGTGAAAATATGCGGAACTAGAGCAGTGATGTCGGTCATGCGGGCCAGCAGCAGTGCAGCAGCCTCCGGGTAGGTAGTCCCTTTCCACTGCGAATTCCAAAGCCGTTATGCCGAACTCGCCCGGCTCGTAGGGGTCGGCGCCGTGCTCTAGGAGCAGCTGTACGCACTCGACGTGGTTATAGAGGACGGCGACGACGACGACGAGCGGCGTATTGGCGAAGTCGTTCTTGCTGTTTATGTGTTCCAGGCAGGGCGCCCGCACTTCGGGGCAGCCCTCTAGGAGGAGCCTCAGAAGCCTGTAGCCCTCCGGCGAGGGCCCGGCCGGCCTGGTGTCCCCCGCTAGGAAGTGGAGGGCCGTGTCCCCTAGCCGGTCACGCCGGAGCGGGTCGGTGCCGGTGCACAGCAGGAGCTCCACGATATCCTCCTTATCGTCCCGGAACCGCTCCCTGGGGGTTACGAAGGACGAAGTGCAGGATCGGATCGCCCCCGTGCTGGGGGATCGGGTCGTTAAAGTCAATATCGCTGCTGGACAGCAGCAGGTGCAGCATCTCCAGGCCGCACAGGCACGCGTCGTACAGAACAACGTGCTCAGCCGTGGCGCGCGGGCTCGCCTGATTGGCGGGCGCGACCCCGGAGCGCCACACCCCCGGGCCATGGGTCGCCCCTGAACCCCTGCACAGTACGTACTCGTCGTCCGGACTCGACCCAGTCAGTGGCTTGCACCTAGAGAGGCTGACATGTGCCGAAGGCCAAAAGCAACTAAGGTACTAAGGTACGTCTCCTCTCTTCAAAGCTCGCCAGATTAAAAACAGTTCAATTATCTTGGGCCAGAATATTCTCGCCCCCCCTCCCCTCCTCCAAGTCGACCTTTGCTCTTTGTCATCACTTGCCTTCAACCGTCCAGAGGCGATGCCATGATTGCTTTGGACCTGCCGCCCTGGACCTGCTCCGCCTCTGGCCTGGCCGGCATTGCTGCGTGTTCAAGCGAGGAAAAGTGTCGCAGCCTCGACCACCGCATTCACCCGCGCTCTGAAACCTCCCCATATCGTCTGGCGGCGAGTTGCAGAGATGGGGAGCTGGACGGGCTTCCTCTTGGCCTACCTGCTTGGTGGTGTCACTTTCTTACCTCTCATAATCCTCGTCGTACTGGCCCACGCCCACCTGACGTTACCCTACCGAGAAGATGCCGATCCCTCCATACACAGTCACAGCGACAACGACCTCATCCAACCCGGTGACGATCTCGAATCACTCAAGGCTGCCCAGAACGAGCCTACCAAGGGACACATCAAACGAGTGAGCCACTCCGATACCGAGACCGCGGCCGGATACTTTGCAGTGTGCCGTGAATACACACCCATGGGCATCAACGCCAAGCCGATCGAGCGGTCCACTCCTGTCGGCAGCACAACCGTCGCGGCTCCGAGCCAGAGTGTCTATCAGGCCATGTACCGGAGCATTTTCGACAGGAAACAGCAGCCTGGGCCTCTGGACAACGGCAAGAGTGTCAGTCAGCGGCCCAAGAAGGCAGGGAATGTGTTCTTTGTGGTGTTGAGGTAGCTATATTCACTGTCGATGGGCGTGTGGGGGGCTTCGTCCTGTCCCTTTGGCTAACCATTCTCGCCTCTATCCTCAGGCATGGTCATCTAATGCTATTCGACGACGACGAGCAGCTCGAAGTACGACATGTCATATCCCTCGCGCACCACGACGTCAGCATCTACTCGGGCGGCGATGTCACACCCGAGGGCGAATTGTTTATCAAGAGGAATGCCATCTGTCTCTCACGGCGGCCGGCGGGCGTGGAACTGGCACCGGATAGCCAGCTGTCCAAGCCCTTCTACCTGTTCTCGGAGAACTGCTCCGCAAAGGAGGATTTCTACTTTGCCCTGCTGCGCAATCAAGAGCAGGCATATGCGACAGAGGCACGAGCACCAGCGCCGCTGTCTTTTGATGTCAAGCACATCATCAGGCTCGTGCAGAGACTGCACTCGTCTGAGGACCACGTACAGAGCAGATGGCTGAATGCCATGGTTGGCAGGATATTTCTTGGGCTGTACAGGACGGCCGACACGGAAGCCTTCATCCGGGAGAAGCTCAATAAAAAGATATCACGCGTTAAACGTCCTGCATTTTTACCGCATATCGAGATCCGCAACATCGATACCGGAGATTCCGCGCCATACTTTACCAACCTTCGCCATCGGGATCTGACTGTGGAAGGGGAATGCAGCATGGAGGCTGACGTGCGTTATACCGGTAACTTTCGAATCGAGGTGGCGGCGGTAGCCAGAATCGACCTAGGTGGTCGTCTCAAGGCCCGCGAGGTCAATTTGATACTATCGGTTGCGCTGCGCAAACTCGAGGGCCACATTCTATTCAAGATCAAGGCGCCTCCGAGCAATCGTATCTGGACATCCTTCTCGCAGATGCCCAAGATGGAAATGACCATCGAGCCCATCGTCAGCTCTCGACAGATCACATACACTGTGATCCTCCGACAGATCGAGGCACGGATCAAGGAAGTCGTCGCCGAGACCCTCGTTCTGCCCTTTTGGGACGATACACCGTTCTTTAAGACAGAGCACAAGAAATGGCGCGGCGGCATCTTTGCCGGAGATGATGCTGTCGATCCTTCGATGAAGTCAACACATGCCACGGCGGATTTAGGAGAGGTTGACGACATGGAGGCCGTAGAGGCCGACACACCTCCAAATTCCGAGTTGCCACCAATGGAGAAGAGCCAGAGTATGCCGATCGTGGAACCTACGCCGTCGACCAGTCTTTTTGGTCTGAAGCTTGGTGGCAGAGGCAAACAGACCCCGCCGACAAATCCATCATCTCCTATTCTAGATTCCCATGGTTTCAAGGACATCAAAGCAGAAGCCTTATCTACCGGCATTGATACCAGAAACTTACCCTCTAGGCAGCTCTCTGAGCGCTCAGCGCCTCTAATTGTCGAGTCAGCTCCCGTCACCGGCACAGAACCCGTGAATGCCGATGTCTTCAAGCCATCATCCCCACCAGGCGAGAGCCCAGCAGCGAGTGCCATGGCCAAGCTCTCTGCCCGGACGAAGACGGCGCCATTATCAGGCCCAAGCTCGCCTCTCGCGATGCCGGAGAGAGCTTCGACTGTATCCATACAGTCTACCCTCTCTTCGACAGAGAACACGGATAAGGAAGCCAGTAATGACGACTTACCGACGCTCCCTCGTCGGGGCACCACGTCTTCGACAGGCAGTATGAAGGGTGACCCGGTCATCACTAAAGCCTCACCGACTCCCTCCATCAATGGATCCATCAAGTCGCAAGGCGGCTCTTTCGGTCGGACGCTGTTCACAAAGAAGGAGGGCACGCCAGACACTACGTCTCTGGCATCAACAGGCAGTGGAAGTACGGATGGGCCCAACAAGAAGATCTCGTTAGCCGCCGTGACGAATGCAGCAGGAGCAGCCAAAAGATGGGGCTGGAATGCTCTTCATCGCAACGAGGGCGGAAAGAATGGCCAGGGCCAGGAAGCCAACTCTCCTGAGATCGACCTGAGCAAGCCAATGGGCGGTGGCAGACCACTGCCTCCTCCAGGCATGCCTCTACCGATGCCGGAAAAGAAGAAGGCGACAGCAATCCCTGTGCCGAAAAGGAAACCCATTCCCCCTCCTACTCTGCCCGAGAGGCAATCCAACGCGAAAGATCATCCGCAAGAAACTAAAGAAGTCAAACGAAGGGCTGTTCCCCCGCCGCCGCTGCCTAGGCGGCGGCGACAAACAGGTGAGGATACGCAGACTAAGCAGGGACAAGACATGCTTGTGGTCGCTGCGCCCGATGCCGAATCCGAGCCGACCACACCAATCCCAGATGAGGACGGAGAGGGAATTTACAGGCGTCCATTTGTGGAGGACGCGGAAGAAGACGAACTGGACTCGCAGTATCAAGCCGATGAATCCCTTGGGAACAGCAGTAGCGAGACCCCGCCTGCCTTGCCTTCCAGGAATCATACGGATGTTTTCAGCCCCTCGCAACCACAAGGCGAGAACGGCGAGGATGATGAATACTCAGCCTGGATGGACAACACGGGAGAAGACGAAGCTCGTCAAGACTCTGTCCCGACTGAGAAGGTTGTGGCGGACTCGGCCGCCTTGGACACGCCCTCGTGATATACGTCTTAGAGAAGACGACCGACTCGACTACCCTTCATTCTTATGGGCATTATCCACTATGGTACTCCCAAAAAGGACCTGCGTCACTGCCAGGGCCGTATACGATTGGCGAGCAGTGTCCCCAGCACAAGTGTGTTTTATATACATATATGCATATCAACAGCTCAATTGCGAGGCGTTAAAGGACAGATGTGGGTTTTGAGATCATCTTGGCGAGGGCGGAGAACTCACCCAGCATCAAGCATTTGTGAAATTCAGGCATGCATACCCACAACATAGGTCATAGAGCAATGGCCATAATCACGGCCTCTATGGCACGGTCAGGAAATGAAACCCGTCTCATTGATTTAGTCCAGTTGTAAGACCCGAGCCTTCCGTAGCCTCGCGGCTTCATATAGTGTATCGTTGGGTCCAAGTGTGCGGGTTGTCCACCTGTCCCTGTCCTCTCTTACTCTCGCTTGGCTTATGACGTGAGATATCAGCAATGTCTGATCTGTGCAGACTGATGTCTTTCGAGGATCGGAGAGCATGTGGTTGAGTGAGGTGGTAGTCCTAGAGCCAAAGCATCATATGCAGATCAGTCTGTGCAACCTCGCCATTCTCACAATCTCCTCCTGCAGCCTCTCAGCGCTACGTCACAATAATGTTTCCTTTCCAGCCAGCCGTAACTTTCATCGCCAACCATCAGGTCTGACGACAAGTCTTATCCTTTTCGGCATCATGCCAAGTGATGATCCTTATCAAGACAACAAAAACAGAGCAACACATGCCGAGATCTCACGAGAGATGGGAGTAGAGGCGAAAGCAAGCAACTCCCTTCCCTTGTCTTGGGGTCTTCGCCTGGCCGCTTGGCAGTCTGACATCTTGTACCATCTCACGATGGACGCCAAGTCGGATGATATCGGCACGCCAAGTGCCTCTCAGCAGCCTCATCCATGGGGTAACGGGATACACGGCTCCGTGTCGGGCATGCATGCCAGTGTGTTGGTGGGACAAGCCAGGGAGGTTGGTTGATGAGGAGCATGCTGGAGAAGTCACACCGTGGACTCTATTGGACCTGCGCACAGCTCCTTGGGACAATGCTGCCTTGTCGTAGGTTCACGGATTTGTGTAGAGGATGAGACAGAGTGAGGCAGAGTCATTCTGAAACCCACGACCGCGGTATATTTGCGAATTAGGGCCGTGGAAGCCCTCGCCCAAGCAACGCTCGCGTACACAGGCCCCCAAGTGACACGCAGATGAGTGCGTGCGCCTGCTGGACGAGCATGTCCCGGAGGAGCACTGACATAGCCAAGGCCTTGGCGTAGCTGTTGGACAGGGAGCGCATCCTGAGACAGTAAGTGACTGTCACGTCAAGAGGACCCGAGGCTATGCAGTGTCTTGTACTACCATAGTACTTTTTGACAGTTAGAAACACAGGGCATCTGTACTTTCCCACCAGTGTATGTACGAGGCTGTGGAGGGGAGGTGGGCTGCACAAGTTGGTGGGTGTATGTGTCCCCCCCATTGATAGAGTTCCTGCTTCGAGCCATATGGTTACAATATTGGCGACGGCCAATGTCTCAGTTTCCCTTGGAGTCCTTCATTCTTTCAGCTCACCTGCTTGTTGAGGAAGCGCATGGTATTGATGCCCAGCCGGACTTGTTGTTTCCATGAGAATCCCAACAAGTGGTGCATGCTGTATCATCCTTTCTAGTCACCTCAACACTCTCGTGATTGTGTTATCGCTCCGAAACGGCATCGTGGAGGTCCGAGACCGAGACATGTTGCACGTGGGCGTGCGTTCTGGGCCAGTCCTCGGCCCCAAAATTTCCACCATCGGATGCTCGATCAGTGGGCCAGCGCAATCTTGACAAGTAATGAGTTGGTTCGACTACAGCCCAATCGTCATTCTGGCTCGGCGTGCGCGTATGTCGCGGATGGTTTAGCTGCAGCAGAGTGGGCTGAAGGTGATCCATCAACACAGCCAGAATCACTCTCGAGCAACAAAATTACCCTTATCTTCGCCCGAGCCGCCACAGCAGCGGATATCAGATCTCCTCATGTCCGAGCGAAGCGAAAAGCATACGCTGTGCGCTCCTGTTGTGGGAGACACGGCGCATCAATCCACCCCCGTAGCGGATACCGAGGCTTGTGCAGGACAAGACCAGTGCCATCGTTGTAGTATAGTAGCCCCCTCTCCCTGTAATGCCAGATTAGCCACTCACCACTAGATGCAAGCAGACCACCGGTGGTGATCAAAAGAAGGCACGGCAGCTTCCGTTGAAGTTGTGAAACTTGACCGTTACGTACCTGCCTTGCTCCTGCTCAGTCGTCCTTGCCCCCCCCCCCCCCCTTTCTCTCTCTCTCTCTCTCTCTCTCTCTCTGTGTGTGTGTGTGTGTGTGTGTGTTTGTCTCTCTCTTCCAGCCTCAGAAACAAGCGAGCGTCTTGTGCAGCAAGGGGCAGCAGCACTTTTCTCTGGTCTTTCTTAGGAGGGGTGGACGAGCAGAACAAGCCAGAGCAGAGGAACGAGCATACTGTGAGCCGATAGGTGATGAAGACGGAGAGGAGCAGAAGAGCTGTCCGTCGTCGATCATCGTAGCCCCATGCAATCGCTGCACATTGCAGCCCAACACTCACCGATCGTCACACAGGTGTGGGGAAATACTTCAAGGCTTACGATAGTATATGCGGGAAAGTGCAGATCTGCGTTGGTACTCATTCTTGCCAGGGCGATTGGCGAACTAAGCGGGAAGGGGAGAACCAGGGATCAACATCAACATGCATCTCGCACCTTCCGCCTTGTGCCCACGCAGCCAGTCATTTTTCTAAAACAAGGCAACATGATCACGGTATGCGCAACTCGTCATGCTTCACCTTGCAGGCTTTTCATGTTTACTCCGGCCAAGTGTTTGTGGGATGGCAGGTGGAGGTTGCCTAAAAATGAGAGAGACAACGTGGTCGTGAGGGCTTGAGGTGTTCTGAGACCACCTACGCCAACCGACATTCCTCCCGTCGGCTCCAGTTGTTTTCGTCGTCGTCGCAGCAGCATCCCCGCTGGTAGATACAAGGTGAGGGGGGGGGGGGGGGGCTCACTCATTGCCTGGAAGATCCGTCACATCCACTGCATCCTTCTTCTTTCCTGTTCTTTGTATTTTCTGGTAACAAAGCAGAGAAGGAGAGATATCAGATCTCGACTCGGGGCCAGGCGGAGAAACCATAGACATTCCTCGGCTTGCCTAGCGAGTGACAGTAGAGAGAAGAGGGCCAGACAAAAGAAAGTCCTTATGGCCACTCGATCACCTCACGCGACCTCAATTGCACTGCCAGCTGTCGTGCACCCCCACGCCCGTATGCATGCTCCCCCCCCGGGGAAGAGGAAAGAAAAGAGACAGGAAAAAGGAGAGAAACCTCGGCGTCTTATTGGGCAATAGCTGCCCGCGGCACATGGATCGTTTTCGATGTCTCAGAATCTCACCCGCTTATGAGGGGTCTGGGCGGATCGAGTGCCATTCCTTTTCTTTGGCATGCATAGTACGGAGACGAACGTCCACTCACACCCATACGCCTCTCTCAATCCACCCCTATTGGCCGACCCCGCCACGTTCTTGCTATGCCGCGCCGTCGCACGCGGGAAAACAGCCAAGGTTTTCTCGGAAGATCTTCCGAGATTGGAAAAATGGCAGGGGAATTTGAACATCAAGAAGTGATGAAGAGAAAAGAGATACTTCCCCACCCGTCAAAATACCAGCCCTGTAGCCATCAATCAATCATCGACCCGTCATCGATTTTGTTTCTCAACCCCCGGCCCTGCCACACGTGCCCAATTCAGTTGTGCTATCGCCTCGCACCCCCCTTCCCTTTCCAGAGACGGCTCAAGGAAAGGGCATTGGCTGTTAAACGACCTAGTTAGCATCAGGGCCCTTTTTGCAGCGCCATGTATGTATGTCCGGTATGGTCCACCACGGACCGCACGGGTCCGTCTCACACCCGTTCTCTGTTAGAGGGTAAATCCGACCCCCAGCTGGCACATGTCTGTGAGCCCGCCATCATTTTCTAGTCTTGCCTCGTTCTGGACGAAACGAAGAGACGACTTGGCCAGCTGAAAGCTGATGGGGAAGGAAAAAAAAAAAAAAAAAGGTATATTCAGCTGAAACAGCCAGTATAGTCCTTTTGTTTTGTGCCACTAAAGCAGCAGACCGCGTTGATTATGTTCAGAAAATGCCTCATTGTGTGGAGGAAAAAAAGAAGAAGAAAAAAAAAAAAAGGGTGTTGAGGGTTGGACGACGATTTGTTGCATACCATGGTAACTTACAATTCGGATTAGTAGAACAGGAGGTACTGTAGGTGGTCGAAGTATGCATGACAACATGACACATACAGTAAGTAGCATACATGTACATGTACAAACCTAACATCCTGCGAATAGTACAGCGGTGATGCATGGACTGGTCGACTGGTGTTCCCCAGTAGTTATGTTCCTAAACTAGAAAGATGTTTCCAGTCTAGTCAGCTTTTAACGAAAACCGGAGAGCGAGAGAGGAGAGGAAAAAGAGAAAAGGGGGGGGGGGGGGGCTTGATCTGTAAGTACGTACTACGTTACGAGATGGAGATGGCTTGGCTAGGTGGTTGTCAGCTTTATGCGAAACCCCCGGCCGGCGGTGAGTAGTGACAGCCAGTAGTGGTGGTGATGATGATGCCGACGAGACTCTCGGTGAGAACAGGTACCACAAGGAATGATGAACAGGTGGATGGAGACAAAGGTGATTCACAAGGCGAGATCCAAGAGGGACAGAATGGTTTCATAGAATGTATCGTATTGCTCTCGAGTGTATGAGTTAGAGAGAGAGAGAGCTCATTTATGTGAGCGACTGGAGTATCCGAGGTCCTCCAGTCTGCCAAACTATGTACTGCAGCTGGCCCAGCCATCCTCGCACCGCCCTCCAGTTTTGTTTCCTCTAACTTAACCTCGTCGTGAATTCTCTCATCGGTGCAGCTGCCAGGTCTCTTCTTTCCATTGCTTTCCCCCCCCCTCCCCCCCATGATTTTTTCTTCATTAATTAGACGTATACTGTAGAGAAAGAAAAAAAGAAGAAAAAGAGCAGGAAGGAAAAGGTGACCAGCGCGAACGCAGCGGTCCAATAAGACACCGACCACCATGTTATTGTCATAGCAGTAGTAGCAGTAATTGTAAGTAGTTGCACAATGCAGCCTTCCCACCCAGGATGGTTGAGCCTCCCAAATGAACCTTTGCCGCCCCATGTTTCGTGATCAGACCGGCCGTGATTTCAAAATTGTCCAGTATATTGTAAGAACCCCCTTGGACCCCGCCTAGCTCCCCTCACACAGAGAGACAGAGGAAAAGGCAAAAAGAAAATGACCGTGAAACGCCCGCCATTTGTCCGGAAAATGCGTTGTGCCGCAGTCTAGACCTCCCGGTGCGTAGGAAAAACGAAAGCAGAAGGAGGAAGAAGAAAAAAAATAAGAAGAAAGGCATCGCAAATCGCGTCGTGTCCACAGTCGGGAAAACAGTCGAGGACGTGGTAGTAAACAATTGGAAAAGAAAAAGAAGAAAAAAAACGCAACGGTGGGGATGAAATAGATATATGAAAAGACTTGTGCATGATGGGGGAATAAAGATCCCATTGAGAATAGGATCCCAAGGGGAAAAAAAGGGTGGTCGGAAGATTCCATTAGGGTTGATGGAATAAAGTTGGTTATTCACATTAATAACCGGACTGGCCGGGCATCTTTCCCAGGGAGTGAGTGTTGTGCGCCTGTGGGGGAAGATGATTATGGCAAAAGATCTTCTTGTTGCCCTTGGCGTTCAGGGTGGCGCTCTTGGTGGCATCGATGACCAGGGCGGGGTCGTCGTAGCTCTCGAGCTGGCAGCACTCGATGTTCTTGACCCAGCGGTGGTTGAGGATTTGGGTGATGGTGGCGCGGCCGTCCGGGTTGGGGTTGAGCATCATCAGCATGATGCGGCGCAAGGCGGGCGGGTTGACAAAGTTGTCGAAGATGAAATAGGCCGGGTAGTCAGACTCGGTGATGATGGGCGGGCTCTGCTGCTGCGCCTCATCGTTGTCGCCGCTGCGGTCCTTGGCGTTCCACTTGTCAAACGACTTGACCAGGGCCGTGTAGTGCTCCGAGTTGGGGGCGTCAACCTTGGCCTTCTCCCAGAGGGTGGAGCCGCAGATGAGGACGAGCAGGACAATACCAGCACCCCAGACGTCGAGGGCGCGGGGGTCGTACTTCCTGTCCTTGGCCAGGACCTCGGGGGCAATGTAGGGCTCGCTGCCACAGACGCCCGGGTTACACAGACGAATCTCGCCCATCTGTCTGCCACACTCCCCACCCGACTCCCTAGCGCCGGGGTGTATGCCAGAAAAGACCTCGGAGACGCCAAAATCTGTAATCTTGAGCTTGCTGTCCCTGGTGAGCAGCAGGTTCTCGAGCTTGATGTCGCGGTGGGCGATGCCGTTGGCGTGCAGGTAGTTGAGCCCCTGGACCAGCTGCTTGAACAGGCACAGGCGGTCGGCCATGCGCTCGGGCTTGGTGAGGTAGCGCTTCTTGACCAGGGCAAACAGGTCGCCCTCGGAGCAGTACTCCATCACGTGGTTCCAGCGGCCGTGGTCGATGCACAGGCGCACCGTCTCGATGATATTAGGGTGGTGCAGGCTCTTGGCGATGCTGTACTCGGACTTGACCTTCTTCTCGTACTCCTCCTTGGTCTCGGACGACGTCTTGCCGCGGAACTCCTTGACGGCGTACAGCTCGCCGGGGAAACCCTTGCGCGCCATGATCTTGACCTGCGCCGTGGCGCCCTTCCCAAGACTGTCGCGGTGGCGGCCAAAGAACTTGTGCTGGTACTCAAACTCCTTGGTCAGTTCGCCCACATCAATGAGGATGTCATCAGGCAGGCTCAGGCTCAGCCGTCGCGCCTTGACGCCGACACCAGCCTCGGCGACAGCATAGAAGACCTGGCGTGCATGCAAGGGGTGGCCGGGCGCCTCGTCCTTTTGTTTCAGGTCAGGCCGCTTGCCGTCGAAGCTGGAGGCGCGCCGGCGCCCAGCACCCGTCTTGCTGCTGCTGAAGCCGCGGCCACTGCCCAGGGAGAAGTTGACACGGTTGCGCAGGGACAGGCCCGTGGAAGAACGATTCTTCTTGGACAAACCGCCGTCTTCCTTGGCGTCGGGGGCGGCCAGGAAGCTTTTGCTGTCCTGATCGGTCGGCGAGGTGGGGGACGGCGGCAAGGTGGACAGCGGGGTGGCGCCGGACGAACGGGCCATGGACCACCGCCGAGGTGCTTCTGGGCCGTTATTTTGCTGCGTGGCAACCACCATGACGTTCTGCTGCTGGTCTTGCTGTTGTTGTTGTTGTTGTTGCTGCTGCTGCTGTTGTTGCTGCTGTTGCTGCTGCTGCTGACCATCTATGGAGCCAGGCTTGCGGCTACTGGAGAAAAGGTTCGACATGGTGCGCTTGAAGCCCGCCGAGGTAGAGCCGCGCGTGCTACGCCGGCGGTCCTGGTTGGCTGTGGCTGAGGTGGTTCTGGTAGCGGTGGTAGTGGTAGTGGACTCCTGCTGCTCGTCTGTCGAGGTCCGGGCAGTGGTCGGAGGAGAGATGACAGAAGGCGAGGTGCTCTGGCGACGCGATGATAACGGGGGCTGCTTTAGAGACTCCTGGGGCTGAGGCTCCTCGTCGGTGGGCTCGGCGGCAGGAGGGAACTCGAAGGTGTGGTTGGCAAAGGGGGACTGGCGCAGCGCAAGGGCGTTGGTGTTGTTGTTGGCCGCCTTGGGGGTCTCGGATGGGATCGAGGGAAAGGGAGACACGAGATTGTTGCTGTCGTGGTCGCGGTTCTGAATGGCCGGGAACTCGGAGGACTGCCTGCCACTAACAGGCGTGACTGGCTCGTTATGAGAGACAATCTCGGACTCCTCATCGCTCTCCTCAGGAATAGAACCAGGGAGCTCGATGGGATGCTGTGGAGGAGACGACGAGAAACTGTGGGCGTCGGTGGTGTTGGTCTTGGTCTTGGTGGGAAGGGAACCTGAGAAAGAGAGAAAGACAAACGAGGTAAGTCATCACATCACATCCAAATGTACTTGCATTGTGTATTGCAGTAGGAATGAATTATACATGGCAATCTGGTGAATTTGAGGGGTTTCTTTTCTTTTGTTTATTTCCTTTTTGTTTTTCTGCTTTCAAATCAAAGGCAAAAAGATAAAAGAAGAATGGGTCAAGGAATGAAGGGAAAAGTAGGAAGGATTAAGGTTTTAGAAGTTTACAGAAATACTTACCTTGGCTTGCAGGTATGCCTGATGAGGCGATGTTGCTGGAAGCAGGTGGTGGTGGTGGTGGTGGTGGTTGAGGGTGAGAGACTGTGGCGGTAGCGGAAGGAATAGGTGCAGAGGGAGCAGCAGCTTCTGGTGGTGCTGACACGGCGGCCATGGTCGGCAGCCACACACACAGACACACAGTGGTAGTGTGAATGGGTCAGAAACAAGGAAGGACTCGATGGAATGGGGAAAGAAAAATAAAAGGATCGGGTCAGGTCAGCCTTCCGAGACTGGGTAGGCCCTTTCGGAAGTCAAGAGTCTGGCGTCGTCTGTCTGACTTTCCGGGGGGAGAGCAAGAGGCGTGGTGGTGGTGGGATGCGGTCCGGTTTAAAAAATCAAGAAAATGAGGAAACGGCCCGTTATCCTCCTCCTGCTTCTCTCCTCTATCTTGCTCGCTCTCGCGCTTTTTCTCTCTTGAAAAAGGTTGAGAGCGTTTGCTTTCTTTGCGTGCCCCTCCTTGCCTATTGTGCTTTGGTGGATTTTCCTTTTCCCCCCCCTCTCGATCTCTCGCTCTCTCTTTCTTAACGTGGGTGGCACTACCGTAGTCTGAGGGCGGGCACTAAGACGTCAAGTCCAAGGAAGGATCAAGAATGAGGCGGCTAGGCAGGTGAGGAAATCGGACCGGGGCCAGCCAAGGAGGGCAAAGAGAGAGAGAGAGAGAGAGAGAGATCGGTTAAGGTTCTTTCTTGACGGTTTCTTCTCGGTCGGGGATTCCGAGTTGTCCGTTTTCTTTTTTTTTCTTTCTTTTTTCCCTTCACCCGCGGATGCAGCCTGTCTGGTAAGGACTCAGAAAAGGTGCAGCAGGCGCTGTTGACTGGAGGTGACCAAAAGGTGAAGTTGAATAACTCGACTCGAATGGAAATCGCAAGTCCGGTCTGGTTGATGGCAAACGGCAATGGTTAGATAAATGTACCGTGGGTACGTCAGGTAGTATCGTGCCTTGCTGGCAAACCACTTTCCAAAACGCACGGGGAGTACAAGCACGTAAAAACACCACCCTCCAACCCTGGGCGGGGGGTTGTAGCTCGGTACGTACCTTGGGAGAGGAGGGAGGGGTGCAAGACGTGGGGCTCAGGGGGTCTGGTCTGGTCGGAAAGAAAAAAAAAAGGTCAAAAAAGGGTTTCCGATGGCGCGCAACCCCCCGTCGTATGCGTCTGCGAACGGAGGCAACGTGAGAGAAGCTGCCGATTTGCTGATTGCTGTGATGGTGCTTGGTGGCGATGATGATGATAAATGCAAAGAGAAAAGGTTGAATGTATTTGTCAGGCTTGGAAGACGCCTCGATCAATCGACACAGAGGTGCTGTTTGCAGGATTGAAAGGGGGAAGGGGGGCGTGCAGCAGGGGAATTTCCAATTGACTGCAGGTCTTATATATGAGGTGAGAGGGCCTTTGGCTTACCTTGACCTTCTTGAGGGTGGCACGCTGAGAAATTTGGTGCTTGGCTGCCAAGGCTGGGAGGGTTCGTGGTGCACGAGATCTGTCGTAGCAGTATATTGTGACAAGCAGGTCCGTCCGTCCACTGGTGGTCTTGGATGTCTCGAGGGTATTGCAGCTGAAACTTGTGCGCCAAGGATGGATGGTGGGTTGGTGCGTGCGTGCGTGTGTGTGCTCTTGTGTGGTATGCGAAAGGATATGAGGATGATGTACTTATTGGGGGAGAGAAGAAGGCCCTCAGAGACAAGAATAGAACAAAGAAGACTGTCCTGATGAATGGCAACTACAGGAAAGAAGGGAATTCAAAAGATGATGGATGAAACTGAGAAGGCCAGCAGAAAAAGGCAAGACAGGATGTTCTCAATATCAATTCGAGGAAGGAGGACAACGGAACTTAGACGAGGTGCAGGAGCGCGAACCGATCTGACTTGACCCCAAGCTGCATGCGATGGTGCACGTTCAAGGTTTAGGGTGCTGCTGCTACGACCGAGGGAGGGGGTGGGTGGTGCTGGTTAGTGCTTGGGGGAGAAGGTACCAAGATACATGGCCTCAAGAGACCAATCATTGGAGGAGAGGAGAGGGGGGAGAGCATCTTGAATTCCAGTTCAACCTAGCACTGCCCTACAATCTACAGCGAGCACTGTCTGCGCATGTCTCCTGTCAATTGACCCATCTTCGTCAGGCATTGACTTGTCACTGTCAATTGGAAGCCAACAACCTCATCACACAGGGGGAGTTACTTCTGTGAGGCCCAGGGAAACCCTGTCTGCATGCGAGTAGAACACCCTATTTTCATATCAAAGTATCCCTGCTGCCAAATTTGTATACAAAGCGACATCTGTAGTATAGGGGATGTCGAATGGTTTCTTGGTGAAGGGAGACTTGATCAAGACTTGACGCCCTGACATGACAATAAACAAAGCGAGATTGATCATTCAACTATCTACATAGTGCAATCATATGTGCCTTCACATGTTGCTCCAAGCACAGTGTCTGTCTGCTAGATTGAAAAGAAAGACTGATGCATAGTAGCAAGCTGAGCTGGTTGGCGAGAAAAGAGCTGAGCCGAGCTTTGGCGCGCGCGCGCATGGAGTAGACGGATCCCACAGCCCATAAACCACATGCCAGCTGGAACAGCGTTGTTGTCGCAGACGGAGAAGATCATAACCTATGCAGTTCAGGGCCTGGTGCGGCCAGGATATACGTGGACCTGCGCTCTGCGAGTGAGGCTGTCCTGTCTGGGTCTTCCTTTCCTTTTTCCCCCCAAGAGCTTGGGGCGCGTACACGTGTATCTGCAGTGACCTTTTTGTCCTGGGGTTTGGCTTGGGGCGGTTACATAGTACGCACCGGGTCCTGCATAGAGCACATCCATCCATCCATCCATCCATCCATCCATTCGTCCATCCGCCCGCCGTCTCGATTAAACCTGGTCGCAACGCCTACAAGTGACACTATTGTGCAGGAAAAAGAGGAAGGTTTGGAGAGACGAAAAGGTGAAACTTCCCAAACAGTACCCTCCAGCCTCATGGCCCATGGTAACACAAAGAAAGAATGAGCACTGTACCACGTACGCACTCGTCTCGGTCTCTTTTTTTTCAGTCAGCCTCGTCAGGTGAGCGAGCACATGCTGTGTAGCAGCCGTGTCGCTAACCGCCTACCCGCCCGCTAGGGAGGACCAGGTACAAAGTGACTTGAGCGATTTTCATGCACAACCTTGTTCGATGTCGAGGGGGAGGGGGGGGAGACGAGGGGCGGGTCCTTTTACGGGGTCCCCAGGCGCCCAGGCACTGTTTCTGCTCCGTCACTTTGTTTGCAGACAACACTCACGAGACCTTACAAGTCCTGTCCCCACGTTATTCCCGAGCATTACTGCGCACGCTCTCTCTCTCTCTTCATTCTTCCCTTTCTTCTCCTTCTTCGGCGCTTTGTCTTATTCCCCCTTCCACCCTCCGATTCCGCCCAATGCCCCAACCAATGAGGGTGGGTGGGCCACCGGGTAAATCGGGACCGATGGGTGCTACGGTCTTTCCTGCCCTGGGTTGTGGTTGTTGGGGTTTTTTTGTTCTGGAAATGGAAGCTTGATTGGTCCCACGTACTATGGTACAAAAAACGCAGTAGCATAAGGCGCAGGGCCCTCCGCAACTTAATCCTACTTACGTAGCACACACATTCTATGGTACTGAACATGCAATGCAGTCAAGTGTTGTCTGGTTGCTTTCTGTCCCAGCCGGGAATTAAGTATAATACTACACTGGTAGCTACCATGCTATACTTGGCCTGTGGGATCGTTATTAAAATGCTGGTGGGCGACCGGGGGGAAAGCAATTCAAGGTCGCACCCGAGATGGCTGACAAGGGTCAGGTTGCGCCAATGACAGAAAAACGGTTTGAGAGGGAAACGAGAAACCCCTCCGTCAAAGTAAAGGTATTGTGGCTAGTAAAGGTCGGTCTGTGGTGATGGTCAACCAGACCCCCCGCCCCCCGTTGTCTCCTTTCTTTCTTTCTTCTCTCGTCTATCTCATCTCATCTTGATGCACATTATCATCGTCGTGGCCAAGACTCGTATCACATCTTTTACTTCTTCCTTTTTTTTTTCTTTTCAAAGCAGCATCAGTGTCTCGTCACGGTTTTGCCAAGATTTCACTCGCTCGTTCATCATTCGTTGGAAAGCGTGGGTATCTTTGCTGCTGGTGCACAGAAATAACCTGCTACCTATCATCGCCACTATCACCGGCTCTGGCCCTTGGATGGGCGGTTCGAGACTTGGCTGTTGCTTGCTCCATAGATAATACCGCAGAGATATCGTGATAATGCAACACATTCTGTTTTTTTTTTTTTTTTTTTTTTTTTTTTTTTTTCCCTAGTTCGAAACCCTCTCTCATTAGCTAGGTCCCCATACCTCCTGCAGAAAAACGAGGCGTGGTCGAAAAGGCGAGACCCCGAGGGTAAGGGCACCCCCCCAGCAGCACCGCTCCACCGCCCCATTCCGTTTGTACCCTTTGGACCTTATTTTCACGGCGTTCCAGCTCAATGGACGCTCATGAGTCCTGAACAAGCCGTTTCGCGATGGGCCTCCTACCGAAGTCGTTGGGTGGACCACCAGCTCGCCATTGACGTACACGCCCTCTGGAGTTCGCAAGATCTTGTTCGCATTCTTGAGGCACTGCATCTTACCCATTCGACGGGGCACTGGGTGGTGTGCCGGCGGCGTCCTCGTCGTCGTGGTGGCCAGGGTGCTGGTGTTGATGGTGCTGTTGGTGTGAGTGCGCTCAGCGCTGCCGCTCCCGTTGCGCAGCCAGTTCCCCGGGGGTGGTTCGCTGTCTCGACGACACGGCACCTATAGCAAATTGCTCACGCGTCAGAAAATGCATCTGTCTTTTAAATATATATATATATATATATATGTATGCGTGCGTGTTGTTCTTGTTGTCGTTGATGATGATGATGATGTTTATAGTTTACCTGCTCGGGCGATGCTCTCTGCTTGCCATTGCCGTGGCACGTAGGACCACACCAAAGAACCCAAGACGTGAGGCCACGGAAGAAGCCAGAGAGCTGCTTCCCGAGATGACCGTCTTGATTCCTGTCGCTGCCGCCGCGCTGCAAGGTCCGGCCCCGCTCCTCTTCTTCATGGTGGACGGGTGCCAAGGAGCGGTTGGGGCCGTCAGAGGTCACCGCCGCCGCCTTCGCCTTGGATGACGACCATCGGGTCCACAGGCAAGGGCAGCCCTCGGGCCTGTGTTGTTGGTGGTGATGATGATCGTGGTTATGGACGGCAGGCGGGGTCTTGCGGATCTTTTTCCTCGTTTCCCCCGAGTGGAGGATGGTGGACAGTCGATGCATGATATTTGGATGTCGGCAGAGGAGAGTGGCACGTTGGGTGGTCAAAGCTTGGTGGTGGCGGTGGCGCTGGTGCTGGTGCTGGTTCTGGTTGGAGAGAGCTTGGCTAAACTTAGTGCTTGTGCTCGTGTTGGCTCCTCTTGTCTCGCGTCCGCGTCGAGGTTCAGGATGGTCTTGGATTGCGTTGCCCTCGTGTAAATGGGAGTCAAACTTTCTATGAGGAAATTAGCAGAGGAAATGATTTAAGAGAGAGGATGAGGGAGACGGAGAGACAAGAGATAAAAGAGACCCAGGGGGGAAAAGGGGGGGGGGGGACACTACCTGAGGGGCTTGGACTTGGTGATCTCACCAATGTAATATATATAAGACAACAGGTACGAAAAGTAGCAAAAGAGACAATGTACAGAACAGGACTTTGTACAGTACGGGGCCGCCACAGGCGATACATACTTGCCAGGGTGTGCTGGAAGAAGAAATGACTTGGACACAAAAGAAGGAAAAAGAAAAGGGAAAACAGGGGTGGATGATCAAAACGGCGAAGAGGGCGGGAACATGCAAGACATGAGGAAAGCCCCCCGAGAGAGGCGAAGAAGGAGAGAAGCTACGGACATGGTGGGGCCAAAGAGGAAAAAGCAACACACAAGCAACGGTGCAGAGAGAGAAGAAAGGAGAAAGGAAAAAACAAGATGGGGAAGAGGAAAAAGCAACACACAAGCAACGGTGCAGAGAGAGAAGAAAAGGAAAAAGGAAACAAGATGGGAAAGAACAACAAGAAGAAGAAGAAGAAAGGAACAAGGAAACGATGGAATAGAACAGAGACGAAGGAGGTGAAAGCCCTGAGAATCGTGCCTGGAAACACGCTTCCTAGAGAAGAACAGGAAGGAAAAGACCCAAGGAAAGAAAGGAGAGAGGAGAGAAAAGAGAATGAGCGTGAAGGGAGAGATCAAACCCTGGCCAGCTGGTACGGCGCTTGCGTGGCAGATCTGTCTTGTCTTATACACGGACCGCACCGACCCCAACAGGTGGGGGATTATGTTAGAGGAGGAGAGAGAGGGAGGGGGGAAGCAAACGAGCACAAGGCGCGTGTTGCGCCAACCCGAGCCCGGCTGACTTGTGTGTGGGAGCACCTGCCCAGTGAGAAAGAGACTTTGTATATGTGTGTAAGGTGGGCGAGAATGGGATTGGGCAGATGCGCACATCATGAGCATCTCCAATCTTCGGGAAGGGGAAGGCGGCCGGGGGGGGGGGGCGGTGGTTGTGCAGAAATCATTCGATGAGCCTCGAAAAGTGGAAATGACACGTCTGTGGCTTCAAGAAAAGAAGAAGAAGAAGGAAGAAGAAAAAAAGAGAGGAGGATGGCATGGAAACAGGTTCTCATGGCACACACGCGCGCCCTCACTTACACGACACAACTTTACACATATCAACTACACAGACACCAACACGCATAGGCCACTCACAACATTCTTTGCTTGTTTTGTTGGTGGCCGACGGTCCACTCCGTCTCAAAATTGGGCGGCTTCTTCCGGGCGGTTTGAGGTGGGGGAGCACCACAGCAACCATAAGACGAGGAGGCGTACAGTAGTGATGCTACCCTTTTTTTTTTTTTTTTTTTTTTCTTTTTTTTGGTGGTTGCCTTTTCTTTCGGTGATGCTGAAATGACCATTCGTCAGTCCGTGTCTCGATAATTGCTAGCCCAATGCAATGCAGCAGCAAGGTGTTTGATCAGCCCGCACTGCAACGTACTGTCCAGGTAGAGGACCGCAAGAGGAGGAAGTCCACCCGCCCGCCATACCATAACGCAAGATGGCGCTGCAGGGAATAGAAGAGCACCGACAACAAAAGAGAACAAGCCACATCGTACGTTGATCGGCCTTTTGGATCTTGATTGGTTGATTGAATGAATGAATGCATTGATTGATAATCCGGGTGAGAAAACGAGGTGCAGCTTGCATTGGACCGGTGGTCTCAAGTTGGTTTTTTTTTTGGTGTCTTCTTCTTCTGTCTAACAGCCTGCCGTACCGCCCTCTCTTCTCTGCTTGCAATGCAAGGTTTGTAACTTCTCACATGCATTACTGTCTGGAATTCTTCCTGCAACCGGGTGATTATCCAATGCTGAACAATGCTGTTACATTTTCCGAAGAGTGGGATAAGAGGGGTAAGGTAATCAACAAAGTATCGAGAGATGATGTGTTGTTTGTTTTCTTTGCACCACGTTATGTTGCTGTGTGTATCACCCGTCGAGTCCAGGTGCCTGGGGTTGGTGGGGGGGTCGAGGGGGGAAAACCAGGTCGAGCGCGAACGGACGGGGTTTGCACGGCACAGACAAGACGAAATGGGCCACTTTACATTCAGCTCTCTGGATGGTCCGGGATTAAGCCACGTCTCGCATGTCTTGTCTCACTTGCTTTTTCCTGCGTCTCTTTGCCCCCCCCCCCCTCCTTTACACGACCTGCATACACGAGGGAAGGACAAGGACGAGAGGAAGGACGAGAGGAAGGACGAGAGGGGAGCCGAGCAGACGAGGCACAACAGAAAGTACACAGCATCACATCATTCTCGTCCTTTCGACATGGTCGCACTGAAGATGCTGCGAGAACAACAACAACAACAACGACGATAGCGACGTGGGATATGTGGCTTCGTGTGTGGGTATGTGTGTGTGCAAATGAGAAGCTGACCAGTTGAGGCTCCTCCCCAATATGCATGCAAGAGTATGAATCACATGGAAATTCGTGGCTTGCCAGCTGGACACGCGGATGGAAATGGATGGCCCATTCTTACGGCGACGGAACACTGCTGCATGCAAGAAGAGGAGGGAGTACGAGAGGCCGCCTTCCCCTCGGCCTCGTTGTTCACAGAGACGCGGGGTTTGGGCCCGCAATTTGGTTTCCTTGGTCTCGCGCACATAGGTGCAGCATAGTTACCAGAGAACACATGCTGCAGCGTGTGCATGGTGCTGGTGCTGGTGTGTTGTTGTTGTTGTTGTTGTTGTTTGTTATCGCCGTTGTCGTCATCGTCGTCGTCGTCGTCGTCGTCGTCGTCGTCGTCGTCGTCCAACTGGTTTGCTGCGCTGCGCTGCGCTGTGCTGTCCGTTCTAGTTCCAGGCCCATCTTCTCTGCGTTGTACGACAGGAGGATATGCAAGTTTCAAACAATACCCCGTCGGAGGGATGCAAGAAAAAAGTCACCGGACGGACGGTTGTCGTCTAGAACACAAACCCCGGGCACACCGCTTTTGCCTGCGTGTTCCGTCCGAACTCCACCGGAGGAGTCACAAGGAAGAGGAGGAAGATCAGGAGGGAGGATTCGTCTCGTGCATATGGTATCGTGCAGCAGGCCTTGTTGTACAACAGCGGAAGGATAGGGCGATGGAGAGAGAGAGAGAGAGAGAGAGGGAGGGAAATGGAGAGAGAGAGGAAAGAGATCATCGGAGCATGACCACGTATATGTTGCACAGCAGGCCACTATCGATTGATTCACCCTTCTTGTAATGCAAGAACTATCCAGTCCGGTGCTGCAGCCAGCGGAGCCCAAGAAGGAAAGAGCGGCCTGCAGCAAGGCTTGCCCAGCCCCCAACAACAACCACCACCGCCATAGTGTGCAGGCGACAAGGGCCGTCGCCCAGAATACACGGATGGGATATTCCTGGCTTTTCTCTCTCTCTCTCTCTCTCTTTTTCTTTCTTTCTTTCTTCTCCCCTTCTTTTCTGTCTCTTTTTTTTTTTTTTTTTTTTTTTTTTCCTGTTTGTGTCCGACCGATCATTGTCGAGCCCGTCGCAAGCCTGCATCGATGGGGGCGATTTGATGCGCTGTAAGGGTTGCCAGCAAAGCCCCATTTTCTTCCCCCCCCCCCCCCTTCTCTCTCTGGCAACACAAACACAGACACTGTCTCTCATGCAGCCGATCGAGATCATTGCCGAGCGTTCTCTCCCTTGCTCGAGCTAAAAAGGTACGCGAGCTCTCCTCCTCGAGTTTTGGGCTCCTCTCTTTTCTCTCTTTTTTTGTCGAGTACGAAAGTTCTTGTATTATCACCTGTGCAGTATGGCAGGTGTTGGCTCCAGATAATAGTTTCCGCTTGTATGTAGGTTCGGGGGCCCGGGGGCCGGCGGGGGTGGACACGGCTCACGTTGCATGCTGCTTGCATACAAACCAATGCAATGCAGGGACAGCAAAAGGCATCTCTCTCTCTCTCTCTCTCTCTCTTCTCCTCTCTTCACCTTCTGTCTTGCTTACAAACGAAACATGCAAGAGCCTCGCATGCACACACATGCTATCTTGTTGGCTCCTTTCTTGGGCACTCTTCTCCGGTTACCCGACGGGAGACTCAGACTCAATCTTAAGGTTGGGCACGCGCCGAGAGGGGGCCGGCAGGGGGGTCCACCCGTGGAAATCGCCTCCACTTACGTTGTTTTCTGATTTGTTTCTTTACTGTCCTCACCTGCAGGCGCTGTATATGTAGGTGGCTTTAGGAATGTTTATACTAGTACTGATACTACTCGTCTTTCTTTCAAACGCAGTGTACCGCTGCAGAAGCAGTGCGACAGAAAACATTTGGAAGCGGGCTGCAATGTGATGAACCATGTGATTTGCACATACAACTAACACAATCATCACGGCGGTTGGTTTCCTTTCCCCGCCTCTTCTCGTCAATGCCCGTGTCCGTCTTTGCAGAAGCAAATGTACTGCATTGAAAGGGAAGAGGGAAGGGAACAAAAGGTGAGACATCAGTTTAAGAGAAAGAGAAAGAGACAAAAAAAATGTGGCCCCTCCCCCCCCCTCGATTTCTTCAAAACCCAAGGCGAGAGGGGTGGGAGGGGAGAGGAAGAGACGCATTTTCGGGGTTCGGCCATGTTTTGCACTTTCGACCATGATCCACATTTCCTCCCCTTCTTCCCCTCTTCATCAACAAAAAGTAAGTCGTGCGTATCTGTATTTATATAATCAATTAGTAGTATATAGAAAAACGCGGTGGCATTCTCTCTCTCTCTCTCTCTCTCTCTCTCTCTCTTTGATTTCTGCAGTTCTAAAGGAGAGAGAAGGGGAAAAGGAAGAGGGGGGGGGGGGGGAACCGGCGGCCAAAAATTATTCCAATGCCCTTTCATAGTGGACTTATTGTCCAGCAATTTACCGCCAACACCGGCGGTGTGAGCCCACCCGGCATCATCCCGTGTCGAAAACCCGTCGTGCTCGGGGATGATTGGTAGGTGCTCACACACACACATTGCCCCTGGCCGTTCTTGATGTTGTTGTTGTTGTTGTTGTTGTTGTTGTTCGCGTCTGTCGACGTGTAAGACATCAATGTGGCCCCCCCTCCCCCCGGATCATGCCAGCGTGTGCAGTGCCAGCGTGTATATTGCTCCAATGCCGGGCGGGACACGGAAGGAAGGGAGGAGGCGGAGGGGGAGAGAGGAGGAGAGGAGCCAGAAAAAGAGGATCCCCTTCGAACTCCTTTTCCCTTCTCTTGGGTCCACCCCACGTTTTCTCCCGGCGCTCTTCTCCATAATTTTCCCTTGCTAAGCTTAATGTAAGGCATGCTGCTGACCTGCCAGGCTGGCCCCCCACGAGAAGAAGTTGCCTGGGGGGGACTGGTGCCATGTCACGACAGGACGGGACGTGCATACTGTCACGCAGGGAGTATGCAAAGCTACGTAGTAAGTATACTACGTACACGAATGTACTACATACAAATCTACCTATGTATGTGTTGTTGTTCTTGTAGTCGGCCTTGTTGTCGGTGTCTTGTCGTCGTCGTCGTTTTGCACAGCTGGCAGAAGCGGATTCTCTCCCTCTCTATCCCTCCTTTCTTGAACAACTCACCCAAAAATTCGACGACCAACTTCCCCCCCCCCCTTTTTTTCCTTTTTCCTCTCTCCTGTTTTCACTCTTCTCCCTTCCTCCCTCCATCCATATATTTACAGCCTTCTCTGGAACGAATTCCCATCCTGTAAAAGTGGAAAGAAGAGAGAAAAGAAAAGAAGAAGAAGAAAAAAAAAGAACGAACCGAGCGAACAATACTCGCCTCTTTCCTTTCTCTCTCGCTCTCTCTCCCTCTCCCTCTCTCTCTCTCTGTCTATACGCTCCCTCTCATATCCATCTCGTCTATCAAGGATTTGCAACAGCAACGACGCCCTTCTCACTTCAGCCACGGGTCCACTCTAAACTCAAAGCCTCTTTACCCTGAAGCACCATAACCGAATCCCTTCCTCCTTCTCTTTGAGCCTTTCTCATCATCCATATCAAACTATATTGCCTCTTTTAATTTTTTTGCTTTCACATGCTTCTCGGCAGGAAAACAGCTCCACTAATAAACAAGCCATCTGCTGAGGACCCAACGATCAAGCTCATAATAGCCTCGAATTTACTTCTCAGCCTTCTCGATTAAGCATCACCAAATCCACCTGTCCACACACCTCGGCCTCCTTCAATAATCAGCGCCAATCTCTTTTCTCTCCAAACCTTTCCCCCCCCCCCCCCAATCACCCAACAACGCCAAACCTACCTCTCTCTGCGCCTTCCCCCCCCCCCCCCAACTCTCCCTCAGGATTTTCCTCCTCGTCTCCATATCTGCCTCCCAAAAAGTCAGCCTCAATAAGCAGCTTCTCCAAGAAGCAGCTCCCAACATACGCAGTCATGGCAGAGGCAGTCATGGCAGAGGCATTACTGGCCGAGATTATTAATACCTGTCCCCTCGACAACTGTTTAGATGCACCCCGCGAGTCGGCGGCGCTCTGGTGCAAGTATGCCAGGGTTCCTTGCACCCCAGACACTATTCTTATGATCCCACGAAGTAGTATGTTATGTTACCACCACCACCACCACCACCACCACCACCACCACCATTTGACCTTCGCTGCCCAATGCTGACACCATCATGTGTGCCAGTGGTCAAGAACCTTGTCGAGACGGTCCTCGCCACGCTGGTGGACGAGCTCTACTATTCTGGGCTTGCTGATACCAACATTGTGGCCGAGTATCTCCTCGACGACATGGCCGAGGTCATTGCCCAGGCCCAGGGCACCCCCGTGGAGGCCTTCCCCGACCACCGCTTCAGGCCCACCCTGCTTGCTGTCGTCGCCTACACCATCGACAGTGATGACCTCTGGCGGCAGGTCTTTTCTGTCGTCGCCGGGGCTGGTTCCCCCCTCGAGCCCACCCTCGACCGGCTCCCACAGCGCCGCCGCAATGAGGGAGGCTTCGCCACAGTGCACACGGCCGACATGCCCAAGGGAGAGGCCCATGGCTTCCTAGGAGAGCTCCCTCTCCTCTATGTCCCGCCGCTCATTTTTCTCAGGACGTATTTCCGTGGCCTGCCCCATCTGCACGCCGCAGCCGAGGCCTTCTTCAGGAAGTGCCAAGAGGATCCCAACGCCCCCCCGCTCTATGTGGACGGCCGCTGGGTCGGGTGGGATGGCGTCGCACATTCCCATGAGGACACGCTGCACTGGATCGTAGGACTTTCCCGGGAGCTGGCTACCTTCGTCGCCGAGGGCTACAGGCCCGCCGGGGCCTACAAGCCCATCCCCATACGCACCGAATGGCAAGTCGAGCCGGCTTTCGACATTGTCCAGAAGCTTGAGATCCACCACAAGATCGAGGTCTCTGGGATCAGTGACCCTACTGCGCACCAGAGAAACTGCTCTGCCTCTGCCCTGCCCCTGGTGCTCCCGCCACACGACCCCATGACCGCCCCGTCTGCGCGAAGGGGGCCCGCGGCGTGGTTCGAGCCCTCCGCGAGGCATGCCAGACGGCTGCTCGCCAACGACCACCGACGCCGCTTTGTCATGGGCTTTGCCATGAGCGGGTCTCTGATGCGGGTCTGGTCGTTTGATCGGGCGGGCGGCGTGGCGACCGAGGTAATGGACATCCACAAGCACGGGCTCTGGTTCGTCTCGACGCTTCTCGGGTTCCTCTGCTCCGACGAGAAACAGTTCGGGTTCGACACGACCATCACCAGGACGGGGCCAGACATGATCCACTTCCATCTCCAGCGCGAGAACAACCGGACAGAGCTCCTGAGCACGGACGAGCAGGTGTCGCACTCGACCTTCATCTCCGGCCGGGGCACCAAGGTGTACAGAGCCCTTCACCCGTACGACAAAGACCTACCTCTCACCATCAAGGACTCCTGGCAGGTTGCCGGGAGCCAGCAAGAGGGCGAGCTCCTCCGCAAGGCTACCGAGTGCCGTGTCGTCAACGTGGCCCGGTATTATCACCACGAGACTGTGAAGAGCGGCGGCCTAGACGATGATATCGACAACAACGTGCGCAAGGGACTCCACGACGCCTTGGCTCATGTGTATGACACAGCCCCCGGTCTGTCTGCCACCTCTCCCTCCTCCCCCGTTCCTGCTCCTGCTCCTGCTCCTGCTCCACAAAAGAAAATGAATGTCAGCAGCAGGGAGGAGGCGTGGACAGCTCGCAGCATCACTGCCGCTGCCGGCCTCAGTTACACCACCGCCGGCTCTAAGCGGTCAGCAATGCAGGCGCTGATAGATCCCACGCCGCCGAAGCGATTTCGCTACACTCCGCGGGCGAGACCGAACCGCGTGCACCGGCGGGTGGTGATGCGCGACTTTGGCGAGCCGCTCACGTGGGCCGAGTCTCCAGCAGTCCTGCTCCGCAAGCTGGAGCAGTGCATCGAGGGCCACGAATCTCTTTACAAGAAGGGCCGCATCCTTCACAGGAACATCTCGGTCGACAACCTCCTGATCAACTCGGACCCCGACAACTCCTCCTGGCCCGCCTTCTTGTGTGACCTGGATGTCGCGGTGGACCTGGACAACAAGAGGGCCCAGGAGGCCTGGGAGTCCGACTCGGTTGGAACCCGGCCCTTTATGGCCATCGGCGTGCACCTTGGCGAGCAGCACACCTTTATGCACGACCTCGAGTCCTTCTTCTGGGTTCTCTTTTGGGTGTGTACCCACCTGGAAATGCGAGGCTCCATGCGGGACTCGTACAAGTTTGACGGCTGGAACAGGGACTGCGATCGCGCCACCGTCATCGCCGACAAGAAACGCATCATCACCGACCGAGGCTTCAAGGCCGTCTCCGAGCAATACTTCACCTGGTATGCCTCGCCCATGAAAGACTGCCTCGACGAGCTGCGCCGCGCCCTATTCCCCAACGGCAGACAGTGGAAGACGCCGGATCTGGACATGTATGCTCGCATGAAGCAGATCCTTCGTCGGTACAGTGAGGATCCCCAGGTGTTGAAGGCCGAAGTCTGGTGAGAGAGATAGCCCCCTTCTTTGTCCGCCTTGCAACAACACCACCACCATCACCTCAAGCTGTAGGTACTTTCCTTTGTATCTCGTTTTGTCCAAGTCATGGGTCGTCAGCTTCTTTCTTCCTTCTCTCTCTCTCTCTCTCGGAGAGTTCAGCCATAGCGAGGAGTTCATTCTGCACGACCAAGGAGCTGTTGTCGTCACGTTGGTCAGCCTTCTGTGGTGCTTTTCTTTTTTCCGGGGAAAAGGTTTTGTGTACAGGAGTATTTGAATTCACATGGAGAGGATCGGATGCATCGTCGTCGTTGCCAGTCTTTATTGGGAATCGGGATTCCTTCTTGATAATTCTTTGTTCATTCTTCTTGGTCGGTTTCAGGGTCATCGGGATTCACTTTGGGCCTTCGTCATTTGGCATTTTCTCTAGGGGATACGGGGGTTCGCGCGCATACATTGGACTGAATGATCTGGTCATCTTTTTGTCAGTTGCCGTGAGAGGATTCGGATCCGTCCAGACAATATGGTCATCACCGTCGTTTCTTTGTGTCTCGGGATTTCAAAATCATATTTCCATACCGATAGTTGGGCTCATCTGGACCGACTGGCCATCCTCGCAGGCACCTTCGTGTCTGTTGGGTTTCCAGGTGGCCGGGGAGCTGATAATTCCAGTTTCTCTCTTCAGCCTCATTATGCACAGAGTGGTCAACCTGAACGAGAGAGAGCACATAGGCTTGTCAGGGATGAGCCGTACATACCTGAGCGGATCCTGCGATCTCGAGCTTGTCACTCATCACAACCCTCTTCGACAGCGCCACGGAATTCCCACGGGTACTAAACAACCCCCCCGGCCTCGCTCCCCGATTCATATGTCCATAACGACATCCTTGACCGTCGCGCCGACTCTGCTGTTCCGGCACATTATTCATGTAGGGAAAGAAAGGGAAGTTGACGTACCACAACGTCGAAAGGATTCCCGATCCGTTATCTCCCCGGACACCCTGCAAGGCGTATTCCTTAGGTGGTAGGCGGGACCTTACTTTGATGGAGGTACCACATGGTCAGGTTCCCAAAAGACGCACAAGATCTCTACGGCGGCCTGCATCGAGTCGTCCTCATGGTTCCGACCTTCCTGTGCAATAGAACGAGACCATCGAGCGGCCTCGGGACCTCTGAAAGGCGCCTTGTCTGGCGGCGTGTGACATGACGGCGAAGAGATCCGTAGTCTGCTTTCCTCCAAGCTCGCTGCATGTATGTCCGGCACCTTGTCGTTCATTCCCATCTTTAACCGGTATTATCGCATATCGGACGCAGGCAGGTGTAGTGACACTTGATAGACTGCAACACGGGGAGGAAGGGTTCCAGCAGGAAAGGTCTAGATGTCCTTGCTTAGGTGTTTAGCCTCGAGGATACACATCGAGCGCATTCTGAGCTTCGTAGCGTGCTCGTCTCGCCAAACGGGGGTCGTAGCGACGTTGTCTCACCTGCAGTAACCCGTTCTAGAGGGGAGTCTGGATCCGCCATGGTGACGAAAACTATGATGGGTTCAGAGAGTGAAATGGTGTAGAAATCGTCCATATGAGGCCCTGTGTGAGGCTTCCTGGGTTGTATCCGTCGGGGCTGGTCCCTTCAGTTTTGCATTGACGAAATTGCTGGCTTCCTGGCCTTCTGCAGTCCCTAGGCCGGATACACAAGGCCCAGATGTTGTTCAATTCGGTCCCGATCGCATTCTGCACGGGGGGCTTCGGTGTTGCTAGGGTCTGCTGTGGGAGCTCTACCTAAAAAAGAGTGTGCAGAACAAAGAAGACACTGATCTGTTTCAAATGTGGTGTATCTGGATGGAATCTCGTACTGAGGTGATAAAGAGGAGAGGAGCTAGAGGGAGGAGGTGGTTCTGGTAATGCGGATTGCCAATATTCCACAACACCTTGGGAGGGAGGGGGGGGGGGGGTTGTTCCTCCCCCCTCCCCCTCCCCCCTCCCTCTGGTGTGGTGATCCGTGCGCTGGGCAGCTTGGTCGTGCCCACCTTCTACTACTTGCTGGTGTACAGTACTGCTGGCACCATCTGCTACCTGCTGTCAGGGCCACCTGAGCAAGCATATCACCGCCATTCGTGTCTTCAGGCATGACAAGGCAGCTACTCAGTCCTGAAGACCCATACTGTACCGCACTCTCATAGATGACACTTTCTCTTCTTTTTCTTTCTTTGTTTTTATCCCTGATTGAAATCATCTCAACATCATGACTGCATCCTGTAATTACTGTGGATGTGCTGAAAAGACTAAATTATCTTGTCAAGGACTAAACACTGGGTCAAGATCACGCACACAACCTCTTTTGTATGAAACCCTGATCTCTCCATGGGCTGCCTCTGGTGCAGCTTCTAGCAGCACCTGCATAGTGGCCAAGATCAAAGCCTCATAATATTGATTAATTCAGCAACCTGTTCTAGGTAGTACCTAGGTATAGCTCATGACCTCTCTTCTTTTTCATAATATTCTTCATACTTCCTTTTCTTACGACTAACGTACAAGACTACTAGACGTAGTTCACATCTGGAAGAAGGCCGATAGCGAAGCAGTTGCTACTCATATCTGGCATTTTGGAGGCTTTACTGACATGTCTCCTTGGATTTAGAAGGACATGATGTGAGGGCAGCAGGCTTATTTGATAGAGTGTTGTACAGACACACACTGTCCATGTGTTCGTTGTATTGTAGGAACATCTTCCCCCTTCCGCCCCCGCTGAGAACGAAGTCGTCATATTCTTTTGCCCCGTCCTATAGTCCAGAACCGCTCGTTGCTGATTGATTTATCTGATTTAGAGCAGAGAGAAGGAGTAGAATACTGACACAGGAATGTTAGAGAAGAGAAGGGAGAGAGAGAGGAAGGGGCCCCTTGGACACTTACACGAGTGCATTTGCATACTCAAGTATGCTCAGCGGGCTCTGTACATAATGAACAAGCCTTGGGAAGATAGCACGTGCTATTTTTCGCTACGGAACGGTTTGAATGCGGTTGCGGGCGACGGGGACAGCGTGCCTGCACTCGTTGCGAATGCTTACCTGACTGGTAGCTGTCCTCCTCCTCTTCCATGTCCTCCATGCTCCCTCGTCTTGATGCCCAACATCGGTGTGACATGGAACAACCTGAGCAACGCACCTCCATTTTACTTTTCCACACACACACACACACCCCGCGCTGCCGTTACATTGGGAGGAGGAGAGAATGATCCTCTTAGCTGCCGCCACAATCTGACACTGGCAAAGCGAGCTCACCAGAAGCATGTTGCCATGGCCGGGTTATTTCCCACGCTCTCTCTTTCTCTCGACCCCTCCTTCTCTCGCAGCTCCCGTGCAACTGAGAGCTACATACGGTGGCCCTCTCTCCCATACTGTGGTGATCTCCCTAAACACCTTACCTTTGCAGGGGGTGGGGGGGGCCTAAACGCTGCAGTGGCGTGAACATTACGAAGTTTTTAATCAGTCTGCGACGTGCAAGGGTTGTCGCTTAATGAATGGCCGACTACACCATCAACAACCACCAGCCACCAGCTTGATAGCTTAGTCCCTCCCTCCCCCCCCCTCTTTTTTCTTCTCTTCCCCTCTCTTTCTCTTCGTCTCTGGGATTACGAGGAAGCCTGATCAATACGAACACTTTTGCCCTCGTTCATAACATGGACTCGATGGCAGCAGATGGCAATCTCGCGAGGGAACGTCTCGGGTCATGGAGAGGCACGGGGAGTGAGTGAGTGTAATCGAACATCGATCCAGTCATGGCCAGTCTGGACAAGGTGTGTGCCTGTTAGTTTATGGTTGTTTCTTTCGATTGACATGAGGAATTCCCTATGTTGGATAGTGCTCATTATTTGCCCTACCTGACCAACGGCATACGAAGAAGAAAAAGAAAGGGTGAAACCAGGAATGCAATTGTCACGAGAGGAGTTCTTACCACAGCTCAAGATACGAGGTCGGCAAGTGAAGTATGCAGTACATGTTGTGCTCAACGCTAGGAATTTGCCAGATCAGAGGGGCATGAAACAACCAACATTACAGCACGCACTCTTCTTCCACCACTATTAAACATACTGATAATTACATGCTCCATTTCTATGGTTGGCGAGAGGATTGGTTTTTCCAGGGAAAAGGAAAAGGGAAAAGCACAAACAAATAATGCGCTACATGCCGTGTGTGGTCTTGCTGCTGTTGTTTCTGCTGCTGTTGCTGCTGCTGCCATTCTCTCTCCTTGTCTTTGAGGTCTCATCATCCGTTCATCATTCAAGCGGTGAGATGAAATCTAGATCTCCTCTGTCGTCCGCCCCCCCCCCCCTCTTTTCCTTTTCCCATGTGCGAACGAGAAGTATACATGTCTGAAAAGATGACAAAAGTACCCTGTCTACACCTGGTTTGTTGCCCCCCCCCCCCCACTCATGTACGCAAGCAGTTCAACCTTCAAAGATTTGTGTCCCGCTGGTGTTCATTCTATCCTGCAAGTGTCTCGAAGCTAGACAATCGCTCTTGAAGGGGGGGGGGGGGGGGAAGATGGACCCGCTCATTCACGGGCCGAACCCCATTTCCTTCCCCGTGCTCTCGTACAACCCCCGATCGACAAAAACCAGGCCACAAGAGCGTGCAACGATCGTGGTACGTACCAGCAAGTGGCCTCCCCCCCTCCCCCGGGGAAGATAGCTTTGGCCCGCCGTAATGGGGGTGTTGTTGTTGTACAAGACTTATCACTACCGGTTAAACCTGGAAAACAAAAAAGTGAGACATGTTGGTCTCCCTTGCCCCTCTCCCGGCTTGAGCGGATGTTCCAAGGATCCCAGCGCACGCAGGCCTTACCACCTGTATATATGTGTGTGTGTTTGTGTATGTTGCCATGGGGGAGGGATGGATGGATGGACAGTTACTAGGGAGACAGAAGAAAGAGGAGAAAAGAGATCAACTGGTCTGTCTTGTTGTGGGATCACAAGACGCCAGGGGGGGGGGGGACAACAATAGATCACTAGATCCCGAGAAGAAAAAGGAAGAAGATCAGTGGAATGAGAGACGGGACGGGACGTACACATGAATGAGTATACCGTTCATGTTTCACAGCTTTTGGCTCTTGGGAAGCAAGGGATCTCAGTTCATCCCAAGCCAAACCCATCCATTGCACACAAACCGGCCAGTATACACTTTACCTATTTGTCTGCTATAGACAAAAATGCAAGTATATATTTTAACACGGTCTCACCCCGCCCTAGATGAGGAGGCCCTGAAGTTCGTATATTCTTCACTACCACCATCATCACATCGTCAGCATCATCTCGTTCTTCTTCATCGGCTTCTTTACAGACAGACACACACATACACACTGCCCACATACATACGAATCAGCAAACCACCATGTCCCTTCCGCTCAGTGAAGGCCGTGGCTGGCAGTCGGAATCCCGATGCATCCTCCGCCGCTGCAGCCTCTGCAGATTCCTGGTTTCTGAGGGGGAGTACATCGTCGCAGGCACGTTCCAGATTCCAATCCATCCATCCACAATTTCCCTGGTCTCGTGGCTAACACTGGCCCCCCCCCGGAAAAAAAAAACAACAGCCCGAAGTGATGGCAAGTTCACGCGCCGATTCCCGTGCAGCACCACCAGCGAGTTCGTCGACCTGCCCGACGGATTCGTGTACTCGCTGTGCCGGGCCGACTGCGCGCACCCTGACGGCGTGTCCCCGGCCTGCCATGCGACCTGTCTCCGGGTGCTCAAGGGCCAGGCCTACCACGTCCTCCGGTTGGCGGGCTTCACCTGGGAGCCGTCGGTCGAGCAGGATAACGAGCGCTACGACTGGCTCCTGCACAACCTGATGGCCTGTTGGGACAGGATGGACCCGGTCACCCTGGCCCGCGCCGTGCCGGAGCTGGGCACCCTGCCCACGGAGCTGCGGCGCAATGTGGCCCGCTATCTGGTGCCCGAGTATGCGGTCGCGAGGCTCAGCACCCTGAACGACCAGGTCGATCTGAACAGCTTCATGGCCTTTGCCCCCTCTGGCGAGGTCTGGGCCGGCAATATTCGTTATGAGGGCGTCAGGTACATCTCGTCCCTGTCCAACCGGCGCATCAGCATCGAGGACCGGCTCGTCTACCGCCCCGTGCCGGGACAGCTGATCGATACCGTATACACCTGTCTGAACCACCTAGGCGTGGTACAGGTTGTCTTTGGCCAGTCTCGGCACCCACCCATTACCTCTGCCCAGCCTGGCCTCTGGTGGAGGTCCCAGGAAGTTCCTCCTTACCGAACCAGAATGGATGCACTGTCTGATGTGAGCTTTCCTCCTTCTCTCTCACTCCTTCTCTCTCTCTCCATCTCTCTCACTCCTTCTCCTTCTCTCTCTCTCTCTCTCTCTCTCTCTCTCTCTCTCTCTCTCTCTCTCTTGCTTGTTCTTCTTCCTGTATCTTGTTCACTTGCTGACATGGATTGAATGGGGGATTGTTCTGGGAAACGCAGGGCATCAAGACGCGAGGTGTCATCTGCCCAGAGTACGTTTTTGCCAACCAGTTTGGACCTGACATACTGTGGCCCACGCCTCGCTCGGTCGTCGACAATGCACGGTTCGTCGACCTGCTAACGGGCTTCACCCCTCGCACAACCACCGGTCCGACACGCATGGTCCCCGTCCAGGTCAACGCGCCGCAGGTCACGGCCTATTCCATCTGCTGGAACCGCCGCATCCTGGCCATCCACGCTCACACGCCCGACGAGGACAGTTCATTCTATGCCAACATCATGGGCCGGCGGGAGCGTGGCGTATGGATTTACGTGCCCCTCCAGCCCGGCGAGGTTGTCACCAATATCTGGAAGCGCTTTGGCCAGTTTGACCGGCACACCGCCCTCGTGTTCCAGACAGACCAGGGCCGCAACCTCCAGTTCGGGACCCAGCTCAAGGGCCAACATTTTGACCAGGTGAAGTGGGCCGAGCTCGACCGCCCCGTCCAGCCGGGCCCCTCCACCATGTACTATGACCAGTGCCAGCACGGCATCAGCAAGTTGGCCTTTGAGACGTCGAAACCGGGTGCCAGCGGACCACCACCCACTCTGCCGACGCCCATGTCGGAACACCCGGACGCCACCTCGCTTCAGCATTATTTCTACTCGTACGCACGGCTGGATGACGTCCAGGAGGTCAAGGTATGCCTGCGATCGCCCAAGGACGCACGGGTCAGCGGCCTGCTCTTCAAATACTCGGACGGGACCGAGGGGTGCGTGGGCGAGGTGCGACTCGACTGCATCAAGGGTGAGCCCAAGCATGTTTCCTCCCTCAGGGGCTGCAGCATGTGGCTGGGCTTCGCGGCCGTGCACAAGGGCATCTCGGTGCAGACAGTCGAGTTCTCGGAGCCACCTAACAAGGATGCCGACCCCTACGACATCAAATGGTTCGAGGTCAACTTTAGGGGTGGGCTGGAGTGGTGGTTTTCGGTGGACCAGTGCCAGGTTCATTACGATGGCCGGTCGAGCCCCATGACGAGCAAGTTCTTCTAAGCCTCTCTTTCTCTCTCTCCTGTCTCTCTCCTGCCGTTTTACTGTTAGGAAGAGGAGACCACGGGGCTGATGATGGATTCTTATCCTGTGCTTGTACACAGAGCAACCACTGCCAGCGACTCATGTGTGTCGAGGGAATTCGTATGATTATCTGCAAGGTCATCGCACTTAGCGTCTTGTTTTTTTTTCTTTCTGTGATTTCAACTTACAAGTATGAAGGGAGATGGACCCAGGGAATTTGAACGATCGTCTAGAAAGTTATATTTCTTCATACTCTTTTTGTTCTTTCGAATTCCCCCCCCCCCCCCCCCCTCCTTTCACTCTGAGGTAGGAAGGGTGATTAGCCTGTTCCAATTTACTCTATGTTGGGAGCTGGAACTTGTCTAGCCATCTCTTCAACCCTCTCACTCAGTAAAGAAAAAGAGGTTGCGTATCGCCAGTTAGGACAGCGCGGCGGCGCCTTCATGGCACTGGCATGATGCTGTATTGCAGCGTGTCTTTGGTCGTAGCTAGGACTTTCATTGAGGCAGGATGTCGAAATATATGCAAATAGAATTGCAAAGAGAGAGAAAAGAGAGAGCTGCTGTGGTTGGTGTCGAGATATGTTGTTTTGTTGCAATCAAAGCTTTCACAGTGGTCAGGGGATACTGCTGTGGAGGTACCGCTGCCCCTCCACCCCCTATGGGCCAGCACTGTATCCAATACTCACAGCGGTACCTCACTGCTGCCCCACCTCGCCGGGTCCTCCCTCCCCCGCCCTAGGCCAGGATCAAGAACGCGGGAAGAAAGCTCATCAAGCTTGAATCAATCAAACCTCGACGCGCGCGCAACCTGGTTCTCCCTTGGCCATCTGTCCATCTCTTCACCTTCAACCAGCGCATAAGAGCTAAACCACTCCTAACATACATTCACTACCTGGCTGGCATATATTAAGCCAAACAAGCAACCGAGAAGCCCAATCAAGTAACCTCAGCACATTTCCACTCCACCACGCGCAGCTACGAGACACCCATACACACCCACAGCGAAAGAAAGACACAGACATACAGACAGAGAGAAAATACAAGCCATGGCCGACAACACTGACAACAGCACTAATGCCCCCAGCAACCGCGGACACCGTGGCGGCAGAGGCGCAGGTAATTTCCGAGGCCGTGGCGGGGGTGGTCATCACCACCAACAACACCACCGCGGCGGCCGAGGAGGAGGACAGCACCACAGGGAGCAGGGTCACGGCGAAGGCGGCAGCGGCAGCGGCTCCAAAGGCGACCGGGCTGCTTTCAAGAAGGAGAACATCCTGGACCTGAACAAGTATTTGGATCAGGAGATTAGGGTCAAGTTTACCGGTGGACGGGAAGGTGAGTTGTTCTCTTTTCCTCCTCCTCCTCCTCCTCCTCCTCCTCCTCCTCTTCTTCTTCCTCCTCTGGGGCTGACTATTGTCCCCGTCTCGCAACAAAAACAGCCATCGGCACCCTCAAGGGCTTCGATCAGCTCATGAATCTCGTCCTCGACGATGTCCGGGAGACCATGCGCGACGACGACGGCAACGTGACCACCCGCCCGCTGGGTCTGGCCGTCTTCCGGGGCACCGTCATCGCCCTGATCCATCCCATGTCCGGATCCGAGGAGATAAAAAACCCTTTTGTCGCCGATGATGAGGAAGCCGTCTGATAGACCGCGTATGGCGGGGCCGCCGGCAGGGAAAAACAAAGGCGACTGTACTGAGGAAAAAGAGGAAGAGGGGGAGAGAAAGAGGAGCAAAAGACACAATCGCGTGGCTGCTCAAAGACTCTTGTGCATACTGTATACGATGCTCAGATTTCCAAAGAGACGAAAAGATCACGGGCCGGACATCTGAGGAAGTTGTTTATGCACTGCTGCTGCCGCCACCATGTTTCTCGCTCATCAGGAGCCAGGTCGGAGCCTCGAGACCGGGGGGGCCAGGTCCGGCATGAGATCTTCAAGAGGGTAATGGACATTAGCAGCAATGTTGCTGCTTGGGTGTTGGGACGGGGCATCATGCAAATAGATACCCAAAAATAAAAGAAACCAAAAAATATACACATCACCATAGAAGGCATTTTTATCCTGGTGAGAAGGTGGATTCTATCAAGTCTCCTCTAGGCAAATGGTCCCCATACAGTCATGCTCGCATACTTGTGCCATTTACGAAACTCTAAAAGAGTGTTGTAGAAGCCAAGAGACAGCCTGTGGAAAGCTACCAGGGAGAGACACCAAATACAGCATGAGGAGGTCCCTCCAGTCTAGATTTCTCGCTTTATCTCAGTGAAAAGAGCCCACGCAAGTTGAGAAAATACACAACCGTGGTATGAATTCTGGGTGTTTGATTATTTTCCCAGCCAAATCCCATGCTCTGAAACTTCCTGTTCCCTTTCTTGCTACTACCCACACCTTCCCTGGATTGTATTGGAGAGCAGTAGGGATTTTGGTATCGTACACCCTTCGCCTAAAACACCACAAGTCAACCCCCTACAAGTGGAAAGAAGAAGAAGAAGAAGAAGAAGAAGAAGAAGAAGAAGAAGAAGAAGCCCGCTCAGATAAGCCAGGCTGTTTTGCTGTCTATGAGCCCGACCGGCTGCTTGCCTCCTTCTTCTCGCTAGCAGGCTTGGGCTGCTTGGCCCGCGCCTCATGATCCCCCTCGACGCTCTCCTTGGCAGGCGGAATAGACTCGTCACGCTCGCCCCGCTCCTTGATCGTCTTGGAGTCGACGCCCTCGACATCAGGGTGCGGAGGGGCCACCCCGGCGGCGACCTCCACCTCGTTCCCATCGGCGTCGAGCACGCGGGTGCGGGTCTCGTAGCGTGTCTTGAACTCTACTTTGCCCTCGAGTGCCTTGAGCTGCTCCTCGTCGAGAATGTTGCCATCCTGATCACGATACTCGATGCGTTCCTCACGCTTGACGAGGCGCTGCCCAGGTGGTATGGGGGCGCCACTGATACCTGCATTCTTGAAGAACTCATCATGGTCATGCAGGGGCTTTTGCGCGTCGTCACCGGCCTGGAGACCTTCTTCACCCCCCGCTGGAGCGTCCGAATTCACTGCTGCACTGGTCGACGCCACGGCCGCCTTTCGCACGCCGCTGTACTGGTCATACTGTCACGAGATCATTGTTAGCCAACTCAACGACGACCAAGGTATGCGCACACAAAAAGAGATTGCGAGGGAGTGCTTCGATACCCAAAGAAGGAGCAGAAACAAGAAAGTTCCTTTTGCGTCTGTGTCTGGCTCTGAGAAACCACAGATGTCGATTTGCCCCCTTGCCGTCTATAGGACTTCCAGGTTCGCAAGACGCACGCAATCTGATGTACACCAAAGCAAGGCGTTGGCGACGACTCTGCGAGCACTCGCTCGTTGTTCAACTCCCAAGATCCTTCTTTTTGGGGGAACCCTTCTTGTATTCTTATGAACGCTTCCTCTGGGGCAGCTTTCTGGAGGGTATCAACTCTGGAGCAAAGCTACTTACGTTGCTGAAGAACGTATTGCAGTCAAAGTCCCAAGTGTCGAATAGTTTGACACGCTGGCACTCGTTCTTGGTCCACATGTTGCCATACGCGAGGGGTGAATACAGCATGAACACTGCAGCAGACACGACCAGGAAGCTGACGGTCGCGGTCTTGTTGATGACTGGGTTCTCACGAATGACCGAAATCGGCGCACGAGCTGTCACGAAGTCGAAGAACTGGCACAGCGCGATGATGGCGAAAACCAAGGCTGGGAAGTAGTGGTGCAGGAAGAGCTGGCGCTGCATCAGGTAGAAGGGGAAGTAGTGGAATGCCCAGCCCAGCACCGACATTCCGATCTCGTAGTCGAACCGCTTGAACGTTGTGTTGGAGTAGTCATTGCAGCTTCTCTGCCACCGGAGGACGGCGATGCCCTTGATAAGGACATAGACGGCAACAGCGAGGGTCGAGGTCCACCAGATGACTGGGTTGCCCATAAGATAAACCTGCCGGTGGTTCTTACCCCAGAAGTTGATGCCTCGTCGCAGGATGGGCCACGAGCCAGGGCGAGAGTCCCACGCATGGGACTCAACGAGGCCGGCGTTGGTCTTCCACATGACCTGCTGCAGCTCCAAGAACTTGCCAAAGAAGCCGGGGTTCTCATAGTTGACCTTCTCCGAGTCCGGACCAAGCATAGGGTGCTCATTGGACTCGATATACCACAGGCTGTTAGGAAGGGTACCACCCCGGGCGCAGGTGACCTCTTGCTGCTCTGATGCCCACTCTGGCAACTTCACCTTGTGAGAGAACAAAACACAGCCAGTCATGATGTGGACCAGCTTGAACTTGGTCTCGATGGTGCGGAGCCGCTCCCGCGCCGGCCCAGCCTTGGACTGCTTCTCGACAATCTCGACACGGAAGTAGTCATTTGCGTCACCCTCGAACCCTTCGTACCCGTAGGCGGAGACCTCGTTCTGCCAATCAGCCTCGGTGACCGGAGGTCGAACATCGTGCGAGTGGACGCGGCGGTGGGTAGCTAAGTGGTAGATACGGACGACATCACCATCCTTGATGTAGGCAGGCTCGTCCAGCTTATCCCAGGCGTCAGTGCCGTTGATGGGCTCGCCATTGATATCCAGCGGTTGGGTCTGGTTCTCCAGGAGCCACAGGTTGTTCTCGTCCTTGTGTGGGTAAAGGGTAATCTGTTGTTGCTTGCTGCCGGTCGGGTACATGAGAGGATGAGAGTGGAGGTAGCCACCTTGCGTGTTGACGTGGCGGATAGAGACCCTGCTGCCCATGAGCACGTCCACAGGGACATCCTGCATGCCCTTGGAGTTCAGGGTAGACTGGAACTCGGAGCTCATGAAACCGTCTCCCTCTCCAGGATTGACGAGACAGGCAAAGTGTATCGCGAACATGGCCAGGTAGAAGGTGGCCGGGAGCACGACCAGGCAGAAGACGCGCGCCATGAAGTGTTTGGCAAACACGCGCTGAGGGCATTGTCAGTAGCTGAACACCTTCCCTTAAAACGACACTATCGGGACGAGGAACTCACAATCGTGACGGTCTTGGTGTCGCCAAGGAGCACCCAAAGCTGAACCAGGGTCAAGGATCCGACCCACGCGATCGTGAAGAGACCGACCCATTTGATGCTAAAGGTGATACCCAAACCCAGACCCGTCATGACTAGCCAGAACCACCAGCTTGCCTGGAAGGCCTTGGTAGGTCCCAATTCATGTTGATTCGTGAAGGAGACAAACGACATGGCGGTGAAGGCCGTGGCCAGGACAAGAGGCGAGTCGAGGAGGATCAGGCGAGCTTGGGTCAACAAACCATTCTCTACACAAAAGAACAATGATGATCAGCGCAATGTCACCAAATGCCAGGCGGCTCAACAACTTACCAAAGATGATCAGACCGGCTCCCATGGCAGCTGTGAAGGTGCGGCAGCCCGCAGCCTTCAAGGTGAGGAACATGGTAGGTACGAGAAGAATGCCGCAAATGGCGGGGAATGCCCTCATGGCAACGTAAGGAACATTGGGCTCCACATAGTCCATCCCGATCTCCTTGAAGTCGAAGTCGCCGTCGAAGCCCGCGAGCCAGCCGAAGAGGGTAATGAGGAGTTTGGCCAGAGGGGGGTGGACGTCCATGAAGAACTTGCCCTTGATGTATTTCGAGGCGAAGCCACCGAAGCTGGAGAAAGAGACGTGTCAGCTCAAACCGCGCCAGCCAAGGGAGGGAGGGAGAGGAGACAGAGCGCGCGCGCATCTGAACAACACGTACTGGACCTCGTCGAAGACGACACTGTCAGGCTGGTAAATGCGGAAGAGACGAACGATGGCTCCTAAAATGGTCACGCCGATCATGACCTGATAGTCGGAGATGGGAAGGAGGAAGACGTCGTTGTCTTCGACACCCTCAGAGGTGTAGTCCTCCTGCTGCCTCGCCTTGCCGTTGGGAGCAACGGCAGAGGCGGGCTCCTTCGCGCCAGCTGGGCGAGCCATGCTGACGGCCGATGAAGCTTGTAACGGTCGGCGGCGCGTTCGTACGAGACGGGTTCGGGCGATGTACGAGGTTGCGATTTGGCGTTCGTGGTGGCACAGGAGGAAGGAGAACAGGAAGAGGGAGGAGAGGAAGAGGCTGCCAAAGGGAAAGAAAGAAGTTTATGAACGAGTGTCAAGAAGCGAAGTGGGTCGTCTATAAGGTGGTCGTCATCAGGTGACGGTCGACGAACAAGGAGGATGAGGGTTTCGCGACAGCACACAAATTGTGAGTGTACCAAACAGTCAAGACAGAGGACCTGGACGTGGTCTGCCGATCTTGCTGTCACAGGAGCCAAGATTGAAGCAAGAACTGAAGCTTCGTTGGGTGTCGAACAAGAAGGATGGGAGAAAGGGGGTTGGAAATATTTGAGGCGTTCAGGATGGACCAAGGGTTCAAGCTCAAAAGAGGCCACTTTACGAATTGGGCTTGCTTTCGTCTGATGCTATTAGGTGCTAGCTCCCAGCTTGCTGGCAAGGGATAGCTGGGGCTGAACCGCGGGCACACAAGGGGGCCCTGTACTCAGGGTGGGGGATGAGGGGGCTGTCTAGGGTGCTTCAGGGGGCAAGGGTTCTGGAAGGCGTACTGGAAAACCCACCAGAGAGGGAGGCTTGGGGCTTTAATATGATACTAAGACAAGTCACCACTACAACATCAAGAAGACTTGTGTACAGCACATAAATATTTAACCGAGAATGATCAGATCAACAGCACGCATCCAAGTATGTATTAGAACGTTGCACCCTTTTGAAACACTCGTTGCAGGAAACCATTTGATCATACTCAGCACGCAATATGGCGGATATGTCTGATCAGCTTGATTCCTGATAGAGGCAAATGTTCTATGCCTGTGTCGAGTCTTCTCAATGAAGACATATCTAAGACTAGTTTCAGCAATCTAGAGTCTGAAATGATCAGTATATACATGTTCGATGATCTGCTGTCATTGTACTTGCCTATACTCGAGAACTAGCCATAAAATAAGTGTGCTCCAACCTCCCTCTACTTAAGCTATTACATCTGCAAGGCAAGCGACTCCTACAATATGGCTTCTGAAAGCTGATCCCGACCAGACCAAAGGATTGATGAGGCATGAAATATCAGCAGCGTTGCCTTTCGACATTTTGCCCTTGCATCATCCCCCACTTCCCATATTCGATGTGATTTCAGCAGCATTGATCTATAGTTTCAGTAACAAGTCATTATGTTGTCTGTATTAAGCAATTTCAAGTCATCAACTATGATGACCTTACAGCAGATATGGTGTCTTAATCTCGACTGCATATAAGTGCGTGGGTATTGACGCATGGAGTTCATATTGTGATGTGTGCTCTGTGGTCGATGTGACTGCGGACAGCGCCAAGCTAGTTACCACAGTGAGACGATGTACATGGAGAGGTTTTGCAATCCATTTAGATTGGGTTGAGAAAGGAAATACCGCTGTGTAAGAAGTCTAAAGTTTTGTAGGAGGATAGACCAGAAGGGACGTCTTTGCACTTCGAAATATTTCTTCTGATAGCACTGCGATCGGTCTGTATTGTTCACAAAGAAGCTAAGGTTTCTTTTCCTTTGATTTCTATCGTAATCCCACTGTGCTACTGAAAAATTGCCCCATGGGTATTGCTTCATGCGACGATCTCCTCCTTGCAGGCAATTCCGTACTTCTGGAAAAGAAATATGTAGATTAGCGTATCGAAGCTCCGTGCTGTTCGGGGAGCTGCTACTCACCTCCTTGAGCTCCTTTATCAGAGGATCGTTGATCTTGCTGTTCATTGGAGCGAGAACGCCCTTCTCGGCGAGGGTTCCATCCAGAACTTGCTTGACGGCAACCGCGCATGGGACACCAACTGGGACTAGTTAGCTTAACACACAATCATTTATTCGAGTTCCGATGCTCACCAAGCTTGGCCATCGCTGAGTATCCACCGGCCTCAGTGCTGCCGTACTCGCAGAGGGTGGAGAGTCTGGTTTGCTTGCTACCATCCTTCAACTCCACCTCGAACTTGTGCTGAAGACTGTGCTGTGTCAGCATTGTGTTTCTCGTGATGGCTACCTTGGACAGTCCACTTACATGACAAGATCCCGTTCTCCCTCGCCAAACTGCATCTTCTGCTCGAGGGTGGCACAGATGGTATCCAGGGGGTTTCCTCGTGGAGTGATCTTCAGGCCCATAAGTGTTAGTGATACCTGCCTATGCTAAACCCGCTCCGTGTCTAATACACGCCTGCACCTTGCCAGCGCAGTCTTGGGCGAGTAGAAACGCAGAAGACAAGGACGGTGACTTACCTTCTGTGACGAGAACATTCCAAGCCATCTCATACCGGCCAGGATATGCTCCTTCTGCTCATCGTCGTGGAACGTGCTCTTGGCGGAGATGGCCTTGATAAGCTCCGCCTCGTCCGAGGATGAAGCAGCAAGAACATCCTGTGTGATCTGGTTCCAGGGCTTGGGTTCCTTGCAGGAGGCTCGTTCGGTATCGTCGAGGAAGCCAATATCGACGAGAACCTTGACGAATTCTGGGAAGCCGGCATAGCGCAGAGTACCCCTAGACTTGAGTCAATTATGTATTCAAACCACTAAGCGTCTGACGTCCTAATATGTGTACCTAATGATGGTCTGGGCCTCCGGGATGTTATAGCGCTCCTTGTACGGGGTTGAATCTCTGTTGGGATATGCGACAAGGTTGAATCCTGCAAGGCCAGAATGTCAGTATTACAGTAATAGAAAGAGAGATGCACGGCCTTCGGCACATCGTAGACAGGAGAGTTGCGGACCTGGATAGATGCGGTATGGCTTAGCGGTAGCCATCAGATCTGTGAGGCTGCACGTTAGCCTGTGGTTCTTCTGGACAAGGTCGGGTCATGCTCGGAGTAATTCCAAGACGCGGACTGCTGAGCGCGTGCGTGGGTTCCTTACCTGGGCCTGCCACGTTGACAACCTTCCCATCTCGGTAGAAGCTAGCAGCATTTCGCAGGGCGAGAAGAACACCGCGGGGTGACCTGAAAGCGTTCTGTGTCAGAATTTTGAACTTCGAACACGTCCAAACACTGTGGCGAAACATACCAGGAGAACTTGTATCCCAATGGGTTTCCAGAGCTCTCTGGGGCAGGGAGACCTCCACAGTACGACAGGAAAGACGTAATCTTTCCGCCCTCCTTGTGAACTTCTTCGATAGTCTTGACAGCATCTGGAAGAAATTAATGCCATGCACTCAACGCATTTTGTCCGGAGGAATAGCTTACAGAGATGGTCGATACCCGGGTCTATATAAGAATTAGTTGTTGGTTCGCAAGGGACGTCCCTGGGAGCAAAGGGCGGGGAGAACCTACCCAGACCGATCTCGTTCATGACAGTTATACCGGCATCCTTGCATTGCTGGTCGAGCTCCAGCATAGCGGGCGAGACGTAGCTCGTGGTGACAACGTGCTTCTTCTGTCGGATGGCAGACTTGATGACGGTGGCATGGAAGGTGTAAGGGATCAGGCTGATGACGAGGTCGTGCTTCGCAAGCTCGGCGTCCAGGGCCTGATCGTTAGTAACGTCGAGGGAAATAGGGATGGCATTCTTGACACCAGCCGAGAGTGACTTGGCGGACTCGAGGGTTCTGCAAGCTGTGCAGGAGTGTCAATTGATCGATCGCAGGGTAATGAGCTTGACGTCTGGGAAAAGAGAGGAAGAACCATACCGACAGTGACAGAAATGCCTGACTCGGAAAGGATATCGAGGGTTGGACGGGTGACGAAACCAGCGCCGAGCATCAACACCCTGTAGAAATGAACATAACACCGTGAGCGAGTGAGTCTCTCTAACGCAGAGAAGATGATTGGTTGATTGATTGTTTTGCTTACTTGTGGGACGCCATGATGGGATCTTTTCCTGGCGGATCTGAGTTAGACGCAGAGGTATTTCTTGTAGGACAAGTTGTTGCAGTGTCTTGTCTGAATCGAAGCTGTCCAGCCTTTGGTTGAAAGTTTTACTGCTATGATGACTGCTAGCCGATGTCGGCCAGTACAAGCTTGTAACCCAGTTCGGGCATGTATTCTTCCAGGCCCGATGAGTCAGCACATCTCCATGATGTAGTTTTACATACGTTCCCTGCACTACATAGGTGAATGCAACTTTGGCACATGTAAGCCCTCACATATCTAAAAGACATGAAATTCATTCACGGGTCCTCGTTCTCACGGGTTGGATGCCTGAGTACTGTACAGAACAGGTCAGCCTGCTCCTGCTCATGTTCAAGTTCATGTTGGTCAGATGTAATTACTGATTATGGTAGGTGCAACAGAGGGGTACCATGCTAAGCTTCAACAGCGCTAAGCCTTCCACTTTCTGCTGCCTGCCGGAAACCTTACCGCCCCCCCTGCACTACCAAAAAACACGTCCCTAACTTTTGTCGCGAATTCACAAAAGCACCTTCCCTGCTCCCCAAACAACTCATCCCTCCATGTGTCCCTTCGCTCCAGCGACTAACTTCCCTCATTCTTTTACCCGCCATCGTATAGCATCCCTCGAGGCATGGCGACCACCCCCAATGGCGATGCTGGGTCCCCGGCAGTGGCAACCGTCGGCGATAAGTCCAAGCCGCCCCCTGGCCTCGTCATCCCTCCGCCTGGCGAGATCCGTGAGGCCATCGAGAAAACAGCCAGCTTTGTAGCTCGTCGTGGAGTGAATTTCGAGGTCCGAATACGCGAGAGCCAGGGCGCCAATCCCAAGTTTAGCTTCTTGTTGAGCGAATCCGATCCCTACAGTGCCTACTACGAATGGCGCAAACAAGAGCACAAGGATGGCCACGTTCCTACCGCCGGTCAGCAGCCTGGGGAAGGCAAGGTTTTGCCTGCAGAGGAGGAGCCCAAAGGTCCACCGAAACCTCCCGACTTCCATTTCTCGGCGCGTATGCCGCGCATCAACCAGAAGGACCTCGAGATCCTGCGGCTCACGGCGCTGTTCGTTGCGAGAAACGGCCGACAGTTCATGACGGCGCTGGCGCAGAAGGAGACCAGTAACCCGCAGTTCCAGTTTCTCATCCAAAACCACACCTTCCACAATTACTTCCAGCACATGGTCGATCAATACTCTATATTGCTGCGGGAGGCCGGCATAGGAGAAGGCAGCAAGGCCCAACAGGAGCGCATGGAGGCACTGCAAAAGGATATTGATGACAGGTATCATGTGCTCGCACGCGCTAAGCAGAGGGCTGAATGGGCGCGGTTCCAGGAAGCAGAGAGGATCCGGAAGGAGGAGGAGGAGGAGGAGCAGAAGCTCGAGTTTGCGCGCATCGACTGGAACGATTTCGTGGTGGTCGAGACGATCACGTTCACCGAGTTTGATGACCAGGTTGACTTACCACCCCCGACGACGCTCAACGACCTGCAGTACGCCTCGCTGGAGGACAAGAACAGGATGGCCATCAGCTCCAACCTCCGCCTCGAGGAGGCTATGCCCTTCGATGACAGCCCGTTACCAGCCGCGCAACAAACCCTTCCGGTCCACCCGGCCCCGGCACCGACACCACAACCAGAGTCCCGCCCAGCTGTCGAGCTGCCCATGCCCACGTCCACGCCACCGAACGCTGGGCGAGCAGGTCCTGAAGAGGACGAGGCAGCACAGGCGATAGCGGAGCGGGAGCAGGCTCGGGCGCGCATGAAGCAGGCGCAGGCCGAGGCCAGAGGGGGCGTCGGGCCCGTCAAGATTAGGGATGCGCCCGTGCCAAGAACAACGGGGCGGAACAAGGCAGGGCAACAGATGGCAATTTGCCCGAACTGCAACCAGCAGGTGGCTATCGGCGAGCTGCAGGAGCACATGCGCATCGAGCTGCTGGACCCGAGGTGGAAGGAACAGAAGGCCAAGGCCGAGTCACGCTATGCCACGACGAACTTGTCGACGTCAGATGTGGCAAACAATCTCAAGCGCTTTGCCAGCCAGCGCAACGATGTGTTTGATGATACCGGAATGCCTTTGTCCGAGGAAGAGGCCGGGCGACGCAAGAAGATCGCTGTCAGCCCCCTCGACATGCACCAGGAGGACAACAGCTTGGCGCCCGGGAATCAGCAACAGGCGGTGAGCGTCGAGGAGCAGATTAGGGCCATCCATCAAAAGTTTGCGGCCGAGAAGAAATGAGTGCCCCTCGAGTACCCCTCAAGTACCCCGCGGCCGTGTCGATGACCGACTCTCGAGAGACTTGAGCCGCCACAACCATACGCATGATCACTGGACAGACAGGGCCGAAACAATGCCTTCAGGAGGCTGGCCCTAGGGAGTACAGGACATTCCGACCAGAGCGCACCCGTACGCGAGAGAGAAGCAGAAGGAACAAAGGGAGGCTAATGGCTAGGGCGTAGGTAAGGAAAGGATTGATTCATGATTTTCGACAAGTCAAGGCTTATACCAACCAAAAGTGACAGATTGCCATCACATTTACTGCCTGTGTTGCAATGTGAAGATTATGTGAAGCACTCGCTACCGAAAGATATGTTGCACAAGTAAGGTGCAGTAATTATTCCAACCCAACAAAAACGTAATTATGTTGTCTCTGGACGCACTCGAGAGCGTGTCCAGTAGAGATATACCTTGGAGCCATGTTTCATCGCTCATCTTCAAGTAGATGGTCGTGCAAACTGAACTAGAATCTTCGACCAGGCCCATTGATCGTCAGTGGTTTGACGAATACTATTCATATTAGTTCACATAGACTACAGCGTCATAGACTGAAACGGGTTTACACAAGACCATTTGACCATATGTAGACATTGAAATCAAATGACAAAGATCAGAATCGCGAGGCCTAGTGACAAGCCGGAAGCACACCAATTGCCAGGGTAGCTACGTAGTAGATGCCCCTCCTGACTGCGCCCCCCACCCCCCCCCCCCAAAAAAAAAACCCTGCGAGCCGCTTCTCAAACGCATCGTGTTCCGGCGGGCCGGAGGCGAGTAGTTGAAGTCCTCGCCCAGCACTATGAGTGAAATTCTGCACGGCATGGCAGTCGTCCTGCTCCGTGTTGCTCCGGCAACTTTTGGCCTGTCGCTTGCGTGGGGTCCCCAGCACCAACAGCTGGCTTTCTGATGTAGCTTCAACGCCTGGTCAGCTCCAAACGAGTCTTCATTTAGTTTCCATTACCACAGAGAACTCTTCGCAACAGACACCATGCACTTCTTGACAACGAACGCAAGCCCGGAGCACAAAGAGGCTTCCGCTCCTATCTTCGATCTCAACAAGCCAGCGATGCTGGCGCGGAGCTAGCCCACGACAGCTCTTGCATCGCTGGAGGGGACCTGGATTTCGCGATCGAATGTCAAGAGGCGTTCAATCTTTCGATCGAAGCGGCAGACGACACTTTCTTGGATCTCATTGAGACCGTGATCAAGCAGGTTAAAGACGACTGGTGGGATCATGAGACTGGTGGCACGCTACTGGATCTTGTCACCTGTTCCAGGAACACATCCCGGGCTATTGAGATCGAGGATATGCTCGTGGCGCGCCAAGGGTTGAGTGCTGTCGATTCGCAAGTCTTCGTGCCAAGCGGCGACAGTGAGCTTTCCTTGCTCAAACCTGAGATAGCTATCGGTTGTCGGGATACCACTGAGTCTGTCTGGAACGAGGACCCCTTCAGCGCCGTTTCTGACGCCATGATCTCTTCGACGAGTGGCAGTGTGTCCTAAACCTGCGATTTTGAGCCACGAGATTCTACGACCAGTACTTGCAAGAATATTAGAGAAATGCGTCACTTGAGTGCATCTCTTCCGGATATCGACGCTCGCCCCAGCGAGTGTGCCGCTGAAACAAGCATCAACAACCAAGGAGAAGATGACGTTATCTCAACAAGTTGCAATGCTTCGAAACAACAGCCATCACATAGCAGCCCTCAAGCAACGATTGTCCGCCCTCCTAGCTCTCTTCGAAACACGGCTCCCTATTTCAACACGGTATTTGCACTTAAGCCGGATGTCCGTGGTACCGATTTACGCGCTCAAGGCACGAGTTTGATTCCTGGGTCTACTGTCACCAATGCCATCGATCTGACAGGTGACGACGATCCTGCACAGCCTGTATTGTGTGTATCCAAGTCTCGCTCAATGCAGGAGCAAAGAGAATTGCCTCGATCTTCTGAGCTGAGATACCGAGGCGCTGCCAGGAGCCGACAATACCAACGCACCTCTGCCAACAAGGTGATTGACAACGAATCACAAGTTCAGAGAACGAGCAGGAAGAGGCCGGCGTCAAAACTGGAATCTCCTGGGCTTCAAGCGAGTCCCAGTAAGATGCTACGGCGATATGCAGCAAAAGAGGTCCATGTTCGCTTCGACAAATTTCGGGTTGCCGAAGGTTGTTTCGATTTCTACTGGGCCAAATGGTCCAAAGAGTTCCGAACTGATAGTTCTACGTCTGTCGATATCGACGCTATTTTCGAAAACAAGTTATACGATTCGCTTCAGGTGTTTGTGCGACCTGGTGGCATACAAAACTTGCCAGTGTTGTTGGAATGGAATGAATGCAATCGCTTATTTAAGGGCTTGAATATGGAAGAACGTTTGGTCTCGGTATCAGAAGAGAAAGTCTGTCGTATGCACAAAGACCTGCTGGACGGCCTGTTCATTGGAGAACGTTCTAAGAATTCTATGGAATAAGAGTCTGTAAGCAGTCGAGCTTACTTGAGAGCTCATGAGTCCGAGGAGTATGTAATATAGTATCTAAAGCATCTGGCTTCTGCATAAATAGTACACCACCATGTTGATCTTGAAGCGGGATTGTCAGAACGCCAATTGTTATAAGTATTCTCACAATGTTCGAATCCCGTATCCTCCACCAGCTGAAGTGTTTATGCTTGAAAGCGTCAGCATCTGGCAATGGCATATTGCTGACATCATTACGACGTTGATGATATTCCGATAAAACTGGAAGAATAGTTGAGCGACCCTGATAGAGCGTAGTTCCACTAACGTAGACTAATATATCGGGAAGTCTGAGAAATTGCGAGCTTCCAGCCGTAGCCCATGTGTGGTCGTCGTCTACAAACGAGCACTGGAGCTGACCCTCAGTTCTCTATTCACACCGGAGAAGGAAGCTCCATCATAACCGGTAGCGCCGGTCACCGGGAAGGCTTTTTTGCATACACATACGAGGGAAGGAAAAGGAGAGGTTGTCTGGAACAGCGATATCTTCTACAAGCTAGGAAAATATTGCTATCAGGCCTGCGGACGATTTCCGATGCCGCTTCCAAGCGGAGTAGCGAGGGTTCCAAATTACGGTCGGAGGAGGCATTTCCAATATCATTTTGCAAGAATCGTATTGTGTTCGACGTTGCCGCAAGTACGCCCGCTTGCGCGAGACATGGTCTGATTGGACTGCAGTGATATGTGGACTTGCGTGCACAGGCCACTAGCAGAGTTGTGCATTAGCGGCCATGCGTTGTCCCTTTCCTCCCCTCCCCACCTCAGCCGCCTGCTCTAATAGCGCCTATGCATAACCTTCATCTTGCAAGAAATATCACTTCATAGTTCACCACCCGGGCTACTTGGTCACGACATAAGGATGGACCCTCTTCAAGAATTTCAAATCACCTTCCAAGACCTCATCAGCAAGATGGAGGCGCGACTCCATGAATCGATCGCGGACTCAGACCTGTTCTCCGCCCATGGGCAAGGACCGCGTCGCACCCGACCCCACGACCTGGCGGCTCTCAGGCAGCAGCTGAAGAATCGCATTCAGGAAACGGTTGATGAATCACTGAGGCAGCCTTTCAAGCAATGGCTTACTCAGTGTAGAAAGACCTTGTCGGATGGTGTTGTATCACCAGAACCATTCGCGACACCAAACGCAACGCGCACTATCGGAAAAAGCAATCAAGCCACCACCCAGGTCACTGCTGTCGAGAGCGGTGAAGAAGCTTCCCGGGCTCAAGGAAACCCACCATACCGCTTGCCTGTCCAAGCAATCGGCTCAGAGATGGTGCAAAGTCTTTCTCAGATTATCCAGCAGCGCGACTTCTCTGGGTATATTAAGATTTCCGATTTCGAAGACCCCAAACAAACCGATTTTGCCGCAATCTCTACAAGAGTCAAGTCTTTGCGATATAAACCCCGAGGCTGGTCGGTTTTGGCTATCAACTATGAACGCTTCAAACGGGACTCTGTGAAACTATATCCACTCGGGGATATCCGGGCATGGAAATTCCCCGACCTTACACTACCAGCCCAAAAGCCGGCAAAGGAACTTCAGTCATATATTAATCAACTGCTCCGCTCTCCTCCTGCCGATACAATTCCCTACTATGTTGGGCCTCCGCTCACTAGGCATTTCAACCACCTCCTTGACCCAGGAAACCTCCGTACTTTAGGCGATCTCAAGGGCGTGAATTCGATCTACTGGCATGCTGGCGAACAGAACTCCGGATCAGCATTTCATTGTGAAGATGCGAGCATGCGGTCGTGCAATTTGACGATTCAAGGTTATAAGCTTTGGATTATGATTCAGGAGAATAGCACGACGCAATTCGAAAGGTTTATCAAACGCACTTACGCCGGACCTGTTCCGAAATGCGATCAATGGATACGACACCAATGTCTACTCATCTCTCCTCAGAGACTGGAGGCTGAGGATATCAAGTTCGATTTGCTTTGCGCTGGGCCTGGCGATCTCGTAGTTACTGGGCCGCGGCAATATCACGCAGTCGTCAACTTGACGACTTGCTTCGCTATATCGATCAACTTTGTGCTTCCGGACGAGCTACCCTTAGCGCTATCTAAGACTTGCGAGGAATGTGGCCTATCATCCTTATCGTACCCAAATATATCTGCGATCGAGAGTGGCACGGGCGTCCGGAGCAGGGAACAAAACGAAATGTCTGCCGCGGCAAAGCTTTATGGCCCAGTATCAATGACAACATGCGCATCGCATGTTTCTCCCTCAGACGAACACCGCGATTCTCGTAAGCACTCATCAGCTATAACCTCTCGTTCTACTGTCTTAGCTGACTCCGTCTCTGATATCGAAGAATCAAGCCAGCCTCAGGCCGCAATGTCTGAGCACTCCTCGGTTCCTACGTTACAATCTTCATCCTCGTCAGTCGAACGGGACAGTACGGAAGAGAGATTTCCGCCTTACCCCATATCTAATGCCAACGACCCTATGCCAAGCGCGTCGCGATCACCACAGGTGCCTGATCATAAACGAAAAGCGCCAGACAATCTCCCTGCTGAGCGTACGTCAAAAAGCCCAAAAATGGCGCGTAATCTGGAACGAGCTCGTATCGATATCCAGAGATTGGTCGATGCAGTCCAAAGCAGGGACGCTATTCGCCAATTCTGCGACTTGGTCAATACAAGAAGGGAGCCGAGTCTAGAAGATTCAATTCGAAGCAGCCATTCGCATTTCCAACGCCCGCCTGGCGTAGACCTCCCTACCCTCAGCGCAGCTAGATATCTCATACTTCTCAATCGGGGGCAGCAAACCTCAAAGATCATGACGCGGATTCATCAGTATCTCTTGGCCAAAATTTGCGCTGATCATAAGCAAGGTTCTCTTCGACTGGAAAGCGATATGAAGAAAAATATCTTGCGGATATCCGGGCTCTCGAGTCACCAGTACGACTGGCAGGTCAGTCGAGGCAAGAAGTGGATAAGACTCTGCGGTGAAGATTTCGATGGTGTGCTATGCTTTATCCTTGCAGGTCGATTCAATTCTTTCGATATAGCACCGAACCGGTATCTCGACCTGGACGACGGTCAGCTTCAGACCTTCCATCAGCTCTTGAAAAAGAAGAGTAATTATACAACCTCGATCTGCTCGACCGGTAAGGCTTTCCAAGAAAGTCTGCGAGCTGAAGATATTCATTTCAGATGGGAAACTCCAAAACTACTTCCTATTAGCGATTTGGAGGAGAGCACGATGTTATCTTACTTAAAGCCTTTCAAGCCTTTACGAGAAAACAGATTTGACGCAAACAATTTCCCAGAACCGGCACGAAATCCTACTATCTTATCAGATACTGAAAAGCAATGCGACTTTTGCAACGATACAACATGCTATTGCCTTCTTCAAAGATTGCCAAAATACAATATCCGAATCAAGAGATATCACGGAAAGGGTCTCGGTCTCCAAGCGGTATCAAACCAGTTCGGTGCTATTGTATTCGAGGCGGGCACCCTTCTAGGCTTCCTTACCGGGAGGCTTGTGCCCCCCAAAACGTGCAACCATGATATGGCTGCCGCTATGGACGACTGCCAGCTCGACTGCTCGGAAATGGGCAACTGCTTCCGACTTCTGAATCACGCATGTCCCGATCATGCGGTCGCCGGCCTGAAAAAACGGAGGGTGTCCGGTCAAAAGATGCTGGCTGTCGAGGCACTTCAGGATATTCGAAGTGGCACAGAGATCACAATTGATTATGGATTGAAATCCTGTCATTTGGACTGCCATTCCTGCTGTGGATGAATAAAAATTGGCAGGTGATGTTTTCATGTATTTAAGATATATGACGGCACCGCACAAACAAATGGACATGTACCGACTTGGTCTGAAAATTCAGATTGGCAGAAGAATACGATGCTGTCCATCTGCTTTATAACTATTCCGCTGGAGCGTTCCTTGAGACTCTGGGGTAGCATTATTTTCATCTGGTGTAGAAATATATCGGAGTCATCTTCGGTGTGTGTAACCTTGATTTATTATCAAACTTCGTTACCAAAATCAGCTGGCTCGTATATATCCGGCAACGGGTAGGTAAGTTTCTGCGATCTCTTAGTATAGAACTTTGCACCCCCCTTCTTATCTTCCTTGCCTTTGCGTAGAGTGAGAAGACTTACAATTGCTTCCATCGGCGGTGGCCATGACGCATTGTTTCCGTTTGATGAATAAACATAGAACTTGCTATTCCTATATAACACAAGATAAACCTCTGCTTGACAAAGCTTATAGAACTCATCGGCCTTTTTAAAAAGAGTACGTCGGCGCTTGCGGGTAATCGCGCGTCGAAGTCGAGCTCTTTTCGAAACTGTGCTGCTAGTCATTGCAAAATGTTAAATCTGATATTCAAAACATTTCTAAAATAGCTATAAGTCAAAGGGGGGGGTTTTGGGCCGGGGTAGTTTTGGGCCACCCTGGCCACCCTCGTCAAATACACACACCCATATATATATATACTGTTTATCTATTCTATTCACCCACCACGATGCAATCCTCCTCATCAGTAGGTAATTCGACATCGCTCTCTTCATTCAGACTATCCTCGTGGCGATTAGCCGCGTTTTGAGCTCTCTGTATATCCTCAATCCCTGCAAACTTCGAATTCGGATCCATATCAACCTTTCTTCTTTTACTAGGCCTCAGAGCCTCAATCTGCCTTTTCAACGCTTTATTTTCCTCCAATGCCTTGGCAAACTCGAGGTCCCTCTCCCCATAAGCCTTTTTTATCTTCTTGAATAGCATACAGCAGCCTGGTTCCGTTCGAAGTTGTTGCCGATTCTCTAGCAGCTGATAGTATAGCTGTTTAGCCTTTCGAGGAGTTGAAAAGAGGACTGGCTGGCTTGAGGAGGCTTTTGGGGAAAGACGAGGTGCTGTTGATTGTGCTGAGCCTGAATTGGACTGGGTCTGACGGCTTGGTTGACTGTTCTCGAGGAGAAGAGGGCTCAAGAGGGCTTTTGAGGGTCTGAGAGGTCACAGACTAGTTGCTTTCCATTCAGATCTAATATTCTGGCTTGAAAGGCCTTCCAGTCGAGCCAGACGATAGTTGCTGAGGAATAAACGCTTGCCTGCGATAGTTGAATCGCCCCATTGGCCCATATTGCTGACTTTCTTTCTGTATGCCCGTTTGAGAGATGAAAAGACCCCTAGATCGAGGGGTTGAAGAACGTGAGAGGTATGAGGAGGCAAGTAAATAAGCAGGATATTGTTTTGGAAGCAAAGCCACATAAACTCGTCCGTTTTATGGCTGCCATGGCCATCCAGAACTAACAGCCTGGCTTCTGAGGGGTCTGCTAGCTGGCTATGAGAAATGAAGATCTCTTTCAGCCATTCAACTGCCATTTTATCATTTGTCCATCCGTTTTGCGTAGCTGTAAACTTCCAACCATCAAAAAGCTCCAAATCAAGAGGAAACCACTGTTGTTGTACCGTTTGGCCCTTGAAAATCACCAGAGGGAAGAGGTAGGCACCTGTAGCTGAGATACACTCGAGGAAAGAAGTCCAGGCTTTTGATCCAGGGTCTTTCCTTTGAATTGAACGCGAAGAGGAGCCTCCGAGGACTAATCCATTTGTTCCTTAGCCCTCCATCAGGCCAGCTTCATCCATATTCCATCTATTAGCTGGCTTAATAGCTTGGATATGAGGAAGATTGAAAAGACGAAACCAAAGCCGTATTACCTCTGTTGTAGCCCCATTCGTTCGTTCAGAGGCAATGCGGCGAGTCTTCCTGACCTTTATCTCTGGATTTCTCTTCAAAAAAGCCTGAGTCCATTGCACCCCGAGGGCCTGAGAGTCTCCCTGGACCTCGAGGATCTGCTGAGCAAAGTATTTGAGTTCTGAATGGCTTGGTGGAACGCCTAGGCTTTCTTGAATCAGGATCCATTCGGCTAGTCTTCTTTCCTGATCAATAGAGAGCCTTTGCTGGTTTTCGTGGGCTGTTTTATGCGATTCCCCTCCTTCTAGGCGAGCCTGAAGAGTACTCCTTGGAATACCCCATTCCCTCGAGGCTTGCCGCTGAGACTTGCCTTTTCTGACAGCCTCAACGGCCTGGGCTAGCTCAAACTCGGAATAGGGCTTCATAACAGTCAGATAAAGGTTTGCTGGAAAGATGAAGTTGTTTGGATCAAAATTGGTTGAGTAATAGCTATCAAACTAAAGGGGGTTGAAGAGGCGGTGAGGGTGGCCAGGGTGGCCCAAAACTACCCCGGCCCAAAACCCCCCCCTTTGACTTAATGCGCAGCAGTTTTGGACCGCCACCAGGGGTCGCAAGGGCCACCTGTTTCTTTTGTGCGCATACAAGCCCTGACACAAATATATATAACAATGGACTACAGCAGTATGATTCTCGAAGCTAATAGCATACCTGCATATTACAACCTTGCGGCTGCTACTACGCTTTGGAGCATTCTTACCGGAATTCTTGTTTTACCTGGCACTTTTACTTCACTTCAACAAAAAGAAGCCTTTCTTCAACATATTCCACTTTTGCCTATTGCTGCTTTTCTATGCTGTTTAGGCATAATAGGACTCAGCTGGCTCTGGTTTAAGTTTCACAAGAATTATTACTGGATCTTGTCTCATCTGTTTTTGTAAGAAATTTTATTCCTTTATATTTCTTATTAGTTCTAATGCCTTATAGACCTGGAGCTTTAAACGCTTTTAGTGGCTTAATATCGATTTTTATAAATGTTTATACAGCCAAGGACCATAGATGGTCTCCAACAGCCTGGGTTTCCTTAGGTGTCGTTTTAGTTTCTCTATGCTTTATGACTATAATGTCTAGCATTTGCAAATGGAAACTTTATTTACTTAAGCGGAAACTATTCGACGTTGGGTATAATTAAACACTTTATCTAACAGATCTTAAAAAGCAAACATAAGTAGAGAATAGAACAGATATTTATTATATAACGAAACTTGTATAAAGATATAAGTTAAATAATTCTACTAAAATTCAATGAATCTTATTTATAAACTTTCAACTTTATAATTATTAACTTTTTATATAGCTGTCCGGTACACTGTAATTGCAGATGATACTGTAGTAGTACCGCATACGTACCCAGTACCCTTGAAGGTGTAAGTACCAAGAGAGGTGCACGAGATCGGATTTGCGATCCTGCCTGATGACATACCTGGCAATTTGTTGTTCAGGTAATCGTCAATGTCGTCAGCAAGGGTGCAGAACTTGGAATTGTTGTATATTCACAGTCTGGTCTTGCAAATGTTTTTGTTCTGGACGTATATACTAGCACAGGCAGCGTGAGTGACCCATTGCATACGCATTCGTTCTGGCCTCGACCCAAGTCAGGTTCTGCAGCTTGAAAAGTGCACGAGGGTTTGCTTGTTGTGGATGTCGTGACCGCTTTTGACCGGGATAAGCCCGGAGGAACTACACTTGGAACTGCCTGGCTGCTAGACGTTACCTGAGCCGCGGAGGTTGAGCCTGGGCGACCAGACGGGACCAAGAAGGATTGGCTGGTGGGCATGGTCGCAGTCTGGGCCGAGGAGACTGAGCCTGGGCGACTAGACTGAACCGGGGAGGATTGGCTAGCAGAAGTTGAGGGGTATTGCTGGCCCTGAGACAAAGATTGGGAAGTCATAGCCGAGCTCGCTTGTGTACCTCCATAAATGATCGCAGACACGCAAGTCTCATTGCCAGCACACAACCTGCAGAATTTAGCCGAGATACACCGTAAGAAAAACTACTCAATACGAACTATATAATATTTGCAGCTCCGTCTGGAGCATTCTGAGGGACGAGGAAGCTCTCGTCCGTACAGGTACCTTCATCAGACGTATAGTGAACTGGACCGTAATCGGAAGGAAATACAAGGCTTACGTTGCACTGTAGCTGGCATGGATGACTTGTACTATTAAGGAATTAGCATCTTGAAGAACAATATTAGAACAAACCCTACTCAGCAGTAATCTAGCCTTGGAGGCTCGAATGAGAAAGCGATTGGACTCTATGCATCAGGAGCTGAAGATGCACACAGCTCGCTATCAGCTAGAGATACTTTATTGTAACAGAGTCGCTGTGTAGTCTTATATTTGTATTTCTTATTCTCGAGAATCGCAGAAAGGTGCTGTGGTGCTTGCATTTGAGATCAAGTCTCCTATAGCTTAGGAATCGCAATCTGCCACAGCAGAGCTGAGCATACGGCGCAAACAAGGTCAATGATATTTATTCAGCTGTGCTCCAGGGCTGGTTTGCGTTGGCTGGACCTCTGTTATGATGAGAGAGTTGACTCGTCTTTGAAAATTCTTGCATCTGAGAAATGTTTGTATAGATATGTCGTGAGCTTTCAAGAAATAGTTTAAAAAAAGATTTATTGTCACATAGCAATGTTAAAGGCGCCAAATTGTTATTATTATTCTTTCTTGCTTTCTTTTGTTTTATTAAAAAAAAATGAAGAAATAAATAAATTTTACAACATCTTTTGCATGGTGTTTTGCTTGAACCAATGTCTTGAGCAGGACTGTCTTGCCTTCCCTGCCGTGCTGCATCACACAGGCTTAAGAAAACAGCTATAGCACGGTATATAAAAAAGAGCTTAACCTCTAGCCCTTTCACACACCTGCAGTACAAAGTCATCAGCAATTTCATTCACTTATCATATCAAAAAAAAAAACCAAAAAAAAAACCAAAAAAACCACCAAAAAACCAATATGGCAGGACAAACAGCAGGGCAGACAGGAAGACAGATGAGATCGCAAACAAAAGCGCAAACAGAAGTGCATAGTGCAGCGAAGCAAACAGCACTAAAAACTGAGAAGGAGACTGGGGCGGAGACTGAGAAGGAGACTGGAGCGGAGACTGGGGGAAAGACTGGGGCGGAGATTGAGAAGGAGACTGGAGCGAAGACTGGGACGGAAACCGCAACGGAGAATGGGGCGGAGACTGGGACGGAGACCTCGAGAGATACTGGAGGAAAGACGCAAGCAGACAAAGGTGAAGAGGCTGGAGGAACCGAAGAAACTGGACAGACCTCCATGGGGACCGGAGGGCGGGAAGGGAGTGACAATGAGCACATCGCAGGATCCCTTGCATTGCAAGATAACATTGATCAACTCAGCAACAGCCTCCGCGCCTTTCATATCTCCGTGCCGGCCACGGAAAGCCTGGGCGCGCGGGGCGGCCCGACCGAGATCTATTTTGCCCGAGATCCCTATGGAATAAACCCTGAAGGCCATGACATCAGCTGACTTGTCATCGGGCATATTCAGTTTGCCCTCAGAACGATTCACAAGGAGGCTCATCTTTTCGCCGTGGACCTGCCACCACTGAGGGCCGGGTGGCGTCGTCGACTGGCATTCACACGCATTGGATCCGAGTATAAGGCCAAAAAGGCCCAATTCCTGGACCACGTAGGAAAAGGCGGGACTGTTGACTCACTGTCAGATCCTGAAGTCCTTGAGGTAGAAGGTAACCACCTCAATACACTACTTCAATTGGAATCTGCGAGCTAACACTACCTTTAGGGTTTGATAAACGTGCCCGAGACTTTATCCTTGAAGGGGTCGGTCCAGAGCTACCTCCTGGAGGCCTATAACCCTAGCCCTAGCTCTCCCCAGAACGTGCGGACAATGCGCGCTACGCTCTCTCGCTTGCGCGTGCGGTCGTGTCCAAGCAGCCTCGCCATTCTGCCGCAGTCATATCTGGTGGGAGTAGCCGCGAGCACACACGCTGTCACAGGCCGTCGCGGGCGACAGACGACGGGATACGGAGGCGCGGGCGGCTCGCGGCGACGGAGCGGCGTGGCGGCACAGCGCGCGAGACGAAGCGCGCTAGGCCCGGTCGGGCGACTAGAGGGGGCTGATTAGGTAAGGCAGAACTGGTGCCGAACAAATTCGCACTCCGCCCCAAACCCCGCGCCAGGCCCAGAGACTAGCACTATAGTGCCATAAGTGCCTCCTAATTTCAAGGCACGCCAGCATCTCTCCACCACTAATTCGACAGACCTCCGCCTGCGCCTGACATAATATCCACCACCGACGTCTCTCTCCCCTCCTCATTTCTATCGCTACCTTATCTGTTCCCTAAGAGCAGCAGAACAATAGTACATGTAGAGCACGAATATTTCGACAGTCTGCCTATTGTCATCCCTTTTCCCAACTTCACAAGGCTCATTCTTATTCGTTCTCTGCTCTCTCACTCTCACTCTCTTCAGGTCCTCCCTCCTCTCCCGAGCGCTGGACCTCCGCCTCAAAGCTTCGCGATCGGTCGACCCCCCCTCAACACCGCCAAAACGGCTTCCAACACAGAGAACGGCGGCGCCCAGGCCGCGGGTGCTGGACTTCCGCCCAGGTCCCCCCTTCCTTCGGCGGGGTTGAGCAGCGGCAGCGGCAGCGCGGCGTCGTCGCCAGCCTCGTCGAGGTTCCCCAGGCCCGTGATGCAGTCCATGTCGAGTTTGCCCGACACGCGACAGCAGTCGTTTGACGAAATCTACGGGCCACCCGAGAACTTTTTGGAGATTGAGGTACGCTGGTCTTGTCTTGTCTCAGCGCTCTCATATATTTATATACTTCTTTTCTTTCCATCAGCAACGTCCTAGCAAGAAAGATCAAAGTGCTGATGTTTTCCAATGACAGGTCCGTAACCCGCGCACGCACGGCATCGGCCGCCACATGTACACCGACTACGAGATCGTCTGTCGCACCAACATTCCCGCCTTCAAGCTGCGACAGTCAACCGTTCGCCGCCGATACTCGGACTTTGAATATTTCCGCGACATTCTGGAGCGAGAGAGCGCCCGCGTCAACATCCCCCCGCTGCCTGGCAAGGTGTTCACCAACCGCTTCAGCGACGACGTCATCGAGGGCAGGAGGCAGGGGTTGGAGAAGTTCCTCAAGATTGTGGTCGGACACCCACTGCTGCAGACGGGAAGCAAGGTGCTGGCGACTTTTGTGCAAGGTGCGTGCCGATTTCCCTCCATCGTGCTTCTGCTTCCGACACGTGGACTGACAAGTGCATAAAGATCCGAACTGGGACCGTAACGCGTGGTGACCTCCATGGACATTCGTTCGTTTGTTTGCAGGGTCCCTCTCCAGTTCGTCCTCCCTTTCTGCTGCCTGGCACCATCACCACCACCACCACCACCACCACCACCAGCGTACCCAGCTTCAGCACCGAAAGCTGCGCAAGCGACCTCCCAAGGGATGGGTGGAGACCGCAGCCCTGAACAAGCCTGCGAATGTCGAGGGCGAAGATCAACAGGACCTACCTTTCTAATCACCATGATGAGGTTGAATTTTCTTGCGATAGTACTATAGCGGACGTTTCGACAGAAGGGCAGGGGAAGGGAGCGTGCTTGTCGAGAGAGGGGGCTCTCCGCCAAAAGTGAAGAAAACGGGGGTTACAAGATTGGATTTATCTCGTGACTGTTGCTTTCTCTTTTTTCTTCGTCTCTCTTCTGTTTTTTGGTGTACTCCCATTGTTCTACTGCAAATACCACATTATTGCCATGCTGGCAGATCCTCAGCTCTAGGTAAGGGCGGTGATGTTTGTCATTGAAGAAATATCCCCTGACAGCTTTTGATGTATTGTTCCATACCTCCAATTATATGTATATGTTCATGAACTGCAGCGATGATTCTACGTGGTGCTTGCGACCCAAGATCTGCCTACTTCTTTCCTCCTAGGTACAAGTTTGCCTGTATGCTAGATACGTAACGCCAGAAAGCCTCTCAGCCTCCTCAGAGATTGTAAAACGATACAAGATTTTGACATTGGGGTAAGGGCAGGGACAACTGATCTAACGCGTATTTATTCATCTCACGCCCATTCGCTTTTCCGACTGTCCTGGAGACTCATTGCCAAAATAAGAAACAAGGCTCTCTCAAATCAAATTTAAAAAAATCAGTGCTATATTCGCTTTGAGACCGAGCTTCCTGCTCACCGCTATTTTCGCTCATCCTCGGGCCTGCTATTCCCTGGCCTCCGTAGATTCGGATCTCATCTGTCTCTGAGCCGTTTTGTATAGCATGATGATGACTTTTCGTCGTGAAAGCGGCGCTGGTAGTCTTGAAAAGCGTTGCTGATCGTTTTTGCAATCTTCCCAACCTTTGCCCTCTGTTCGGCAACGTCGCGCCGGAGATGTTCATTCTCCAGGCGAAGCACCGCTATCGCCCGCCCTTTGTCTCTCTCTCACAATTGCAATAGCTGAAGTTGGAGGTTGTTGATCTCCTTCTCAAGCTGCTGGATGAAAGTATCTTTTGCACTGGTCGCCCGGAGCTGTTGTGTGAGGGGCCCGGTGGGTTCGGGTGGCACAGCAGACCATGGCTGTTGAAGTATGTTGGCCTAGCCCTAACCCTAGCGCCTTACACTCGGAGGCTATCAGTGTATTTCTGGAGGAACATAATGATGATTTTATCACCTATATGTACGGTGTGAATGCTATTGTAACCCCGTAATGATTGTATAGCCAATGCCAGTGATATGACTATGGCTAGAGGATACACGAAAGGGACCAGTTCGGAACGGTCATATTCTTTTCCGATATTTGTCAGCCATGCGCCATGGGTATGGTCAAAAATGAATGCATCCCTTCCCACAAAGTACATGTTGATTTTCGTTCATCATTGGCCCACACTACGATGTCAACAGTACATCAAAAGATGGAACCGCTCACACTTGGCTGCTCAAAGTGGCAAAAGAGTAGCCAGATCGCATCGAACCTCCTCAATAATGACTCCAGGCTTTGGACAAAACATGATCTCCAAGATATCGAACAGCAACTTGCGCGATCTGAAGAGCATGAAAACTTCACAGTCCGCTCCATCAGTGGTGCACAAATATTGATAGCAAACTCTAGGTTACTGCGATCATCACAAACAGGAATCAGAAATGTAGCTCCTGGAATCCTCTCACCACTCTGTGTTGCCTAGCAACGTTTTTGATATCAATCATATTCAGTTATATTGATCGCCGTACCCCGGACAATTGTTCACTACCACAATATCGTTGTTTTGATTTCCCACAGCGTAATATCTAGGTTCAACAAAAATTATTAACAAAGATCTTGAATACAGATTCTCAGGGCAACACGGGCACACCTAAGATTGACTAGATAGTTCCAAGCTGTCGTGGAGACAACGGCCTGTCTGGGTTTTCTGCTTCTTCGAGCAAGTGCAGCAACTGACGCATGCTCCGCAGTCCTTATGCACCATCTTCACAGTCTGCTTGCAGGTAATACACTGCATTCTTGTTGTCTTATCAGTGTGTTTGGGCCTGGTATAGCAGAGAGAAGCAGCGATGGTGCTCTGGCACTCTTTTTCGTAGGCTCGCTTGAACCCGGTATGAGGCGGTCAGGCTTTTCACTGCATGTTTTTCAGAAGCAAATCGCAAGGCAACCAGAAGGCAACCAGCCTGTGCTTGTAGCAAGCAGGCGAACCACGTCTGTTCTCTTGCCCCTTCTATACAGCTTTCTTTACAAAATGTAGACCTTGGTATCGTCCTTGTATGTTCCTTCTTGCTTACTCTGCTTCGTTTCCGTTTCTTGTCTGCGTTTGTACTGCAGGTTTAGTTCCTCTTACCACTCTACTCACCCAATTCGTCCTCCGTTCTGACCTCAGACTTTTCTTTACCTCACCGATCCGGCGGACCGCTCGATTTTAAGCACCGCTCTAGAGCTCTGCTGCTCAGGCACTAACATCACAGTTCCCTTGGACCCTGATTCCGTGGTTACTCGCAGCAATTTGAAAATGTTGGTCACGATAGATCCCGAAAGTGCATCGTCACAGTCTCGCCGGCCGGGCAAGAACAATACTGGGGCCAAAAGCCAGGAAGACAACATCAAGATGAACAACGCAGAGGTCGACACAGCCACTATCATCAACCGGGAAATTGATTTTGGTGTTGGCGTCTCTTCGGAAGTCCAGACCGTTGAAGACGAGAATGGCGACCTATCACCGATGATCCGACCGCCTGATTTTCCTCCGATCTATCAGTCCCAACTGATAGACGAAGTCAAGAGCATCTATGTGGGCTTAGTGATGGTCGAGTCCAAATGCAAAGACGTGGACAAGGACTACATGTCCTCAACAGGAATTTCGCTCGACATCATCAAGTTTCTAGAGAAAATTCCGCAAGCCAAGTTGGTACTGCTTCAAGATGGCGAGATGCAGCCATACAAGACGGTTTGCACTTGGTTTGACAAGGTGCAGGGCGACACAGTAGGGGGAAATAAGAATGACCAGTCCACAGCCCCTCGGGAGGCCTCTGCTAATTCTCATATATCGGAGAAGAGTTCTCAATCTCCTAACCTCGAGGACTATCTGTCTGCATTCCAGGTAGCTCTGGAGTCGCGTGCCGAGGAACTAGCATGGCCCGAGTGCGAGGAACTGGTCGCGGTCACAACGGCGGAAATCGGAGAAGAGGGTCGCAGAAAAGTGCTCGGCCAAAAAAGCCTTCTCGACGTCGCATACAACCTGGTCGACACACTCCTACTCGACTTAGAGACCGCGGCAGAGAAGAAGGCTGCCAGGGAAGAAGCAGAGAAGGCCGCTCAAGAGAACGAAGACAAGAATGACTCGGACCCAGACCCCGAGGCGAGGCTGACGGGAATGCGTGGAACGCTAGGCGGCGCGGAGGCGCGGCGCAGAACCTCCGGCTATACGCAGCAGGCAGATCCCAACAAGACGCCCCGAGAAGAGGGGGAGGCGGCTATCGAGGAGGCGGCTCGCCTGGAGACAGAGGCAACTCCTAAGGTGACCGGTATTGCTGCAGAGTGGCCGGGCAAGGACATGGCAGATACGGCAGTCGCCACTTTTGCCGATACCAAAATGACGAGTACGGAGAAGCCCAGGACCGGAACGCCAGCCGATGCTTGCAGGCCGCTGCATGCCGGGAGCCAGCATAGGAAGGTCGGCAACCAAACCTGGGTGCTTATCGACGGCTATTTTGCTATCAGTCTCGCCGTGGAACAGTTCCAGGCTCTTCTTTCGCTCCACCGCATATTACTGTATGAACACCATGACTTTCTCACAGCATCGTGCCACCCCAACGTATCGTTCGCACTCCGGGAGCTCGTCACAAAGTACGCCATGCCGGCGAGAATGTGGGAGCATGGCCATGCATTCCTTCCTCGAGGTCCTGCGCAGACGGCTCCCAGAATCGCAGGAAATTTTGAGCACTTTCATCCGCCTGACCTATGCCATGATGTCTGTACTGGAAGAGACTGTCCCTTGGTACAGGGAGATCTGGATGGAATGCAAAGGAGATTTGGCCAGATACGGGTGAGTAGAGGCGCTGCTCCTACAGGTCCTCCTATACAACAGTCGGGTACGCTGCCAGAGACTGATACCTGCCTCGCAGAGTGGCCACTCTAGGCAAGGAGATAGATGCTGCGTGCTGGCAGGACATCAGCGGGGCTGGCTTCCCACCCGTACCGCAGCCTGGTCCCGACATGGGAATGCCGAAAGTCATCGAGCGCGCCGGCGGCGACAGGGTCGTTTTATGTCCATCCTTCCTTCTGCGATTCCGAAAGGGAGAGAGAGGAGAGTGGTGTAAAAGGCGAGGGCGATCAGCCCATTTCGGCTTATTCTGTGCCGCTGGTGAAGATCGCCGGCAGTGCGAGGACCACCAGATCTGCTGAGAAGCCAGTAAGCGAGGGTAGGCTATCGAGTACCGATGAGACCGAGCATAGCGAGGGCGAGTGTACCAAGCCCGAGGTGGAGGCGACGCTTCGAGTGCCAGACGTGGACGACTCGCAAGATGCGAAGGGCTGCGACGCAGGCCCGGGTAGAGCCGCAGCCACAGCCCCGGCTGCTGATCAAGTCGCAGACCCGCAGACGTCTACTCGGCTAGTCGAGAGCGCGCTTCACGCAATCTCGGGGACAAAGGACCCTGATAAGGCTATCGAACGCTGGATTTCGAGAGAGAGCAATAGCATTGAGGAAGACGATGCGGACGACTGGACACTTTATTAACAACAAAAGTCACAAGTCGGTGTTTTCGCTGACTCACAGGTGGTAGACCAGGGATGAAGAGTCCAGATGATTGCGATTTAAGATTCGAGGGGGGCAGGCAGTTGGAAGAGGCCTCGATACTCTCTCCTTTGAAAGTCCTCCCATATAAAGGTCTGTGGCCAGTAAAATACTGACAGGGACGAAAGTCGCCATCCTCATAGAAAGGCAAGATTTTTTAATTACAGTCAAACGGCACCTCTAATTAGCTTTATGATGATGGTTTTTAAGATTACGAGTAAAGAGATACAAAGTAATTGCTTTTCAGCTTTAAGAACTGCATACCAGCATATGCCAGGCAGGTAGTACCAATCTGTTACACGGCTAGGGTGCGCCTAGCACAATGGCAACCGAGTTAAGCGCCGGGGGCAAATTGGCACCATCTCAGCAACGATGAGTTGGCGACGATCCTTCGTGAACACGTCGACCAACGTGCAGGAATCTGGAGCAGTTGGGCATCAAGGCATCACTACCAATGTAACCCTCGCCGTCTATAAGAGGGCGAGGTCAGGACGACCTGATAGAAGGAAGAGGGAGGAACCAAAAAAAAAGCACTCCTTAGACTCGCTTAGCAATTATCGTTAAAACTGAAGCTAATTTCAAGCCCTCCACCAGAGCCCTTGTAACACAATCAGAGGACACTTCTTCATCCTACTCTGCAATGCCTCGACACATCACGCACGGCTAATTGCAATTCTTTACCAAAAGCAGTGTCTCGCTTTTGAAAAGCATTTCCCTTCTGTGATGCATCGCCCTTACTCTTCCGACTGTCGCTGTTTCTGGTGGTAGAGCCCAGGGGCTGACGGTTGTAGAGTTCCGCTCTTTCGAAGTCGACGATCATAATGTTCTGATCGTAGGTGAGATTGCGTGCTTCAGCGTCGCCATGGAGGACCTGGAGCTGATGCAGGCTTGCAAACGCACTTTTTACTGCACTGATCAGTTGCGCCTCTTCTAGCAGACCAATGCAGCTGAATAGCGGCCGTCCGGCCCAACTAAGTACGAGGAAGTGTCGAAAGACACGACAATCGAAGTAGTATGGCAGGACCAGTTCTATTAGGCCAAGACACACAGGAACATGTTTTCCCTGCACGGGACGAAGGCGGTCATAAATTTGCTCCTCGTGCCGCAGACGCCTCAGGTATCGTCTTTCCACACCCTTGGCAACAAGCGTATACCCATAAGCGGACAATCGCACCTTGAAGAGCGCTCCGACAGCGCCAGACAGGTAGAGAGGGACGGCGTCCGCGTCAGAGCCACGATCCTTAGCCAGTTGAGCGCGGAGGAGCTGCAGAAACGTCGCCTGGCTGATGTGCGTAGAGCCGTGCCTTGCAGCGTTAGGACAGCTCTGGTCGATCGGTCTGCCATAAGCCAGGCCAAAAAGGCATTGATGACTGCAGTATGGGCGTTCTTGAATTTTCTCTCGACCTGCGTCGACTTGTTCCCGGCCCCCTCTGCTTCTGCCCTGCTGCTGGCTGCTGGACGCTGCTCCTGATCCGGCTGGCAGTTTGCCTGAGCGCATCGACCGTTCCGCAGCTGGTGAGGAAGGGCCAGCATCATCATCATCTACACTATCATCCCGTAGGTTAGGCTTAATATCAGCTGTATAACAGCTCGACTGAGTCTTGATCGGGGAACGCTGAAATCCGCGCCAACGCTGTGGCTTGTAAGGGGAATTACGAGGCTTGTTGCCCTTCCGAACTGTCTCGGGGATCCTGCTCAACACATCGTCGTACTCCACTGCCCAGGTATCAAGCCGCGCAGCCGCGTCGTGCCACGATTGCGGAGGTGCCTCTGCGCGTAGGGACTGCAGCACAAAGGCAAATACTTGCGCCACGGCCATCCGGTGCAGCCTGTTCGCATCGTCCTCGAGAACGTCCAGGTTTGGCACACTCACAGAGTAGTAGACGATGGTAGGATCATCCGGGATATGCAGGAAGACGAAAACTTGTCCCGTGGAGATATAGCCATATTGTATGCCCTTACCAACCATATAAGAGAAAAGTTGAGTGACCACGGCAGCGGCAAGCGCCCTCGACATGGCCGCAAAATCGTCTGCAGCTTTGTTGATGACGTCGCGTCCTGGCTGGATCTCGGACGCCAGGCCCGTGACGATCTCGTCCTGCGTCAGCTTGTGCGGCGCCTTGTACTCGATCGCCGTCTTGGGGATGCTCGTGCCGTCCGACATGCTGTAGATGCAAAAGTGGTCTGCCCGAGCGCCTTTGCCTCTCGCCGTTGGTCGGCCCGCCGGTGTTCTGCTTCGAGCCCTCGAGGTCGGATTCGTCGAGGCATGGCCGGCATAACCTGAGCCCAAAGACATGTGTTCCAGAGACTCCGACAAGTCTTGGTTGCTATTGCTGTTGCCAAGGTTCGTATGGCTCTCGAAGGACACGGTTCCACGAAGCCCAAGATGATCGCGCAACAACGGATTGTCGTGGACCGCGCCGATCAACTTCTGTACTGCATTCTCTACGGTATCGCGCTCGAAGTACCGCAGGCCGTGCTCGCTACTGATGGGCCCGATCAGAGACTGTACGTAGTCTAGCTGGTGTTGTGATGGGAACTGCCGCAGCGAAGTGAACGATGGCTCCGAGAGACATTCCCATATGTCCTCTTGTCGCGCGGGAAAGTCACTCCATGGGAGGATCTGACGTGGGTAAATTCGGCCGACAGGGTTCGTCGTGTCGCCTTGAGTGGTCCAGGAAGGATCGGTGACAACTTGGATAGCAAGGCTGAGGGAGTGGCAGGCCTCAAGATAGGGTATAAGCAGTTGTAGCTGTACGACCTGTTCCGCTTCGTCTCGCCGGCGTTCCGCTTCAGCAAGCTCTTGTCGAAGTTTTGCGATTTCATCCTCCATATCGAATTTGATGGAGCGTGATTGATGGAGCGTGATTGATGGAGCGTGACTTTATATGCCTACAAGACAAAGGAATGCTAGCGCCCCTCAGACTCCAACTGTTGGCGGGGCAGTGCGGGGAGACGTCTTCGGGATATCTCACCCGCTGCACAAAACCCCCTTGCAGCCCTATGGTAGGGCTTGGACACATCAGAAGTCAACATAAGTATCGAGGGTTAGGGTTAACGACAATAGGGTTAACGACAATACTCCTGACATTATACAACCCCCAGGGATTAATTTTCACACTTCCCCACCCAAGCAGTACATACGTTACTAGACGGAACATCAGTTCAAAGTCAGCCTTACTCTAATAAATAAATGCTCACATAGTAAGTAAATCCAGGAATTCACGCAATACTTGCTTATAATGAGTATTTCTTAAAGATAGAAATTGGTTAAAATGGAGAGGAAATAACAAATTCGCTGCAAGAATATGTATTGCTCAGGTGGCGAAGTGTGAAAATTAATCCCTGAGGGTTGTATTGCTAACATAAACACATACGGTGACATTACGTAACAAGTTTAGGTTTCCTGGTTCTGTGCCCCCCTGTACTAATAATCCAGGTACCTCTAAGTATTTTATCTTAGCTAATCAGACATGTTCTGCCTCCGCATCGGTGTATAGTGCTATCGCACTGGGGGGCGCAGACCACCGTAAGAAGCTGATGCTGGATATGTGGTCGGTCCCCTACCGTACCCGTTACCTGTGTATGTAACCCTAGATAAGGACCTGCAGTGGTGCCTGGTGCACGAGCTGTAGGAGTTGAGAGCTCACACAACCCGCGCGAGTCGCGCGATTGGCTGGAGCGACCCGGGACGGCCGGGCGAGACTTCCACGAAACTTGCAAAGTAGTTTTGTCATCCGGCATGCATCAAATCAGATAAACATCACAGCTGACCGGGCAGGAATCGATCCATTGGTTGCTCTGGAAATGGTATGGTTTGGCTGTTATGCCTCTTCTGCCATTAGTAACTCAATTTGCCAGCAATGTCACCCAAGGCCACGTCGCAACCTGCCTGCTAGGGACGTTTTTGATCTCGAGTGCAGACTTCCGCAAGGCTCGTCAGTTTCTCCCATTCTTTTCATGCTCTACATCGAGCCTCTTTTCAGGTAAAGCGCCCGTCAACCAGACAGGAAATATGGCTGAGTTTCGACGTACCGGCCATCGCGACGAATGCAAGCAGCCCTCTTCTCCCGATCAGGTAACAGACTTGGTTGGTGATCCGTGTGATGCACCCTGCTCGCCTTGCCTGGGGATATCGAGAAGATTCCGACACCCGGCGATCCCACTGATCGAACCAGAGGCAGCCTGCGCACAACTGAAGAATCTGGGCTTTGACATTGGCCGTGGATCTCACCTCGACCGCTGCCTTCCAAAGCTCATCGCCGCGTTCGACGATGCCCTTTCGGGAGCTCTCTCGGCCCAGCACGTCTTCCAACTGCCCTGTCAAGCAAGTCAAGTCGGTAGTATGCAACTGCAATGCGGCTGAGAACCCATTTCTCATGGTTTGATGGACGATATTCTCCGCAACAGGCCGCAGCCGCGTAATTTTCGCCGAGCTCAGTCCTTCCAATTTGTCATCTCCGCAACAACTGCCCTTGTCTTCACGATCGTCGTCATCCCCCTCCTCGGATGCCTCGTCCTCATCCTTATCATTGCTGCCTTTATGATCGGCAATGCAGTCCTCCTCCGGATAGCAAGCCGCGAATTGCGAGACGACTTGGTTGGTGGGCGGATCGATGGATTGAACCCTCTCGAAACGCACTCTTTGGGATTGCCAAAGCCGTTCGGACTCGTCTTCGGCCCTCCGCCAACACCGAGGCGCATCCGATGTCGATATGTCCCGGCACCTTGCTTCGATTAGACCGAATACCACGGGAAAACGGGTCTAGACACATACCCGTCTCTGCCATGCCATCGTCCCCCTTTGAAGATGCGGTTCCGCACATCGTGTCCGATCCGCGCCTTCGCGCAGCACAACGTATTGGAGAGTTCGGTCGTGACAAGCTCGTCTCCTAACTCCTCGACGTGGCAGAGGCGCCCATAGACTCTGGCGACTGACCAATGTCTTCCTACATTCTGAAGAAGGGCTATGAACACCTCTGCTCCCAGGTCAATCTGCTGGTATTTAGCAGACTCCACTCGAAGTGTTCCTAGTTGGTCTGACAGGAAGCTGTCGAGAACCATCATGGGGATGATGGGAGATGCAGGCAACAAGGACCCTTTGCCACGTCCTCCATGATCACAATTCGTAGCGAGGTCGATACGAGGTGCTGCGGGAATTGCCGAGCAGGGGGGCGTTGATTTAACTTGAATTGCCAGTTAAAACGACGCCCCTCCCTCGGTCCTTTTCCTGCTGTGGGGCCCTAGGTCGATATACATATGACCTGCAGCTGATAAGACATGCACAAGCCCTGCTCTCCTGCACTTTCTCTCCCAATCGTGCTTCGCAACTCGGGGTCCGCATATTATCGCCAAACACGGGTTCGGAGCCAGCTCTTCAGTTTGGTTGGCAGAGAGTCTCAAGTCGTGAGCGCCTTATATTGCTGTCTGACGACTCGATCTGACACCTGTATAGACAGCTGTCGTTGCGATATGTCTGCATCAAAATCATAGCACTAAACATCGATCCGAATCGCGAGATTCAAGCTATGAGGCGAATCAACGATGCCGACTCGTCACACGAGGGTTTGCCATTTATACGGAAACATATTGATGAGTTTCAGCTGCATGGACCAAAGGAAGTGCATCTCTGTTTCGTTTCTTCGCCCATGAGAGAGACCCTCTTCCGGCTTCAGAAACGTTTATCACGCCGTAGGCTGCCACTGCTCATATTCAAGCTCTTCACCTTCTGTCTCCTTCTGGCTATCAATTTCTTGCATACGGAGTGCAGGCTCATCCACACAGGCAAGCCTTTCAACTCTCTATACAATCACCGCTAACTAGAAACTGTCAGACATCAAAGATGATAACATCTTGGTAACGCTAGAAGACGAGATAGTGCTGACTGACTTTGTTGCCTTACTTATGAGCAACTCTCAACCTAAGCATGTCCGAACCGACGGGCGTGTGGTCTACAGCTCTCGTGTTGATTTCGGTTCTTTATGTGCCCTCGATAGCTGCCCCAATTAGCTGATTTTGGTCTCGTCTATCCCGGGTTGGATGAGGGTAGAGGTCATGTTTCCGCCATTCAACCCCACCACTTTCGTGCTCCAGAGGTGCTACTTGGGTGCTCCTGGCCCTGCAGTGTTGACATTTGGAATCTCGGCTTGCTCGTTAGTAAGATCCTTGTCAATAATGGTCGGTTGGCTTTGCGATGCTGATGATAATAGATGTAGAATCTCTTGGAAGATGTTAACCTGTTTGAAAAACCAGCTGGCGAAGATGGAGAATATGATGCCTATGTCGACTTGTTAGGCGAACCGCCGGAGGAGCTTGTGATCAGGGAGCGATATTTTCGTGCACATAGACTCAAGGAACCCGTCAAAGACATGCACGGGAAGGAATACGTCACTATCAACGAGTTCTGGGGCGGCCCGTTCTTCGCCGACGATAGTAAGTGATGCCATACAATATCGGACCCGAAGAGACTTACATATTTACCCAAAATTAGATAAAATCTTCCGTAGGGATCTCCTTGGAAGAGGAAAGGCCTTAGCGAATACAATCACAGAACTATCAGGCGAGGAGAAGGATTTGTTTCTCGATTTTGCTTCTGATATGCTTGGATAGCTACCCGAGCGTAGGAAGACCGCACAAGAGTTACTCGCACATCCCTTTTTCAATTCCCTCTTAATGGACCGGAATCGTCTGTTGTGATTGATGGATTGATTGATTGATTGATTCACAGGCTGTCCCTTGAAGATGGCTAGCCTGAGGAACCCACTTCCGAAGTCGAAGCGGACATGCACGGAACCATCATGCTGCCTAAGTCAGCTCATAGCTACTGGTTAGCCTGGTATCAGCCAGCCTTTCAATCCCGATGGAGAACCAGACCCGGGTACCCACTAGGCTAAGGCAGTGGTGAGAACCAAGGAAACTCACAAGATCTTTGTCGATTAGGTCGAGAACGAAGAAGAACTGCTCGATAGTTTGGTTCTCCAGGGAATCCTTAATGTCTCAAGTATTTCTTAAATTCAAGTTGCAGCTGAGAGGCAGCCTTTGGGAGCTAGATAGTGCTCGAGACTACATTCATTTGACCCTTGCGTTCGCAACTGAAATAAATATCCTCTTTGCTTCAAACGTTTGTGAGCTCGTGTTGATGACCCACTTATGCTGGGATCGCTTGAACAAATTCGTCTACTACCTCTGCCATCGATCGTACCAGAGCTCGCCCCAAACTCTTCACAAGACCGCCTTCCGCTATCCAGAGCTTTGTGCAGAAATCATAGCCGAGGCTTGGTCGAAGATCTCGGAGAACAGCGTCCAGACACTTATTCACCGCCGCAGCAACACCATCCAGGAAGTATATTACCTCGTCCTCTACGCGATCTCTTGACATATAACTCAAGCATATGTTCTTGTACAGGTGAATTTTGCGACTGTGTCATACCTCCTGGACCTACGCATGGCGAGCCGAGAACCGAGTCACTCGCTTCGGACTTCTAATCGTCTTGCTGTATAGAGTGCACAGGCCACCCGTTGCTAAAATTAGATCACCGTTAATTCATCTGCGATTGCATGATCGCGCCGACACATCTTCAAAAGCACTAAGGCTGCACAGTCATTGAACAATCACGGGCCCCACGTTATGGATATCTCAAAGTATGCAGCAGAGGCGAAGAGCTATAATAAATTATCTGCCTTCCAAATATCTCGATTTTTCGAGAGGCAGGGACCTACAAGGGCCGACTGCGATCGTCTTGCCGCCGAAATTTTGAGCTGTCCCGTCTCTCCCACACCAATACAGGGTGCAACCAGCTATACCGTGGCAGCAGCTGACTCCAACCAGGCACGTAAGATCGTTCAATTTTGCTTCAAAAAATTGGCTATGAAACACCTCGAGCTTGCAAAGCAGTCTTACGAGGATTTCGTCCCCAATTGCAAATACCATAGCACTATGTTACGGGACGTGCACGTCTACGAGTGGGATCTTGTCCCTGGGCCCGCCTTTTGTCTGGTTCGCCATCAGTTTCTCGGCCTGAATTCTGGGATGGAACAGTATTTGTATCAAACTGTGGAGGACTTCGCAAGGTAGGTTTGTGAACACATACACTACTGAGATTTCTGTTACTCAAGACTCTAGATTCTTTGCTTCAGCGTGGAACAACAGGCCAGCCGTTGAGCAGCCTCTGGGATTACTGGACCAGTATTCTGAGATCCTCGACCAGGTTTCCCAGGGATTGCCTGAACAGTTACAAGCCAAGTTGGACAAGGTCCAGCAGAGGCTTCCGCTTCTCTTCCGGCCCAGCTATCCCATAGCTCTTCAACACGACGACCTCTTGGAGAACAACATCCACGTGAATGAGGCTACAGGCCACATAACGGGTATTATCGATTGGGCTGATGCTATAATCGCTCCATTTGACGTCTCTCTTAGCGGTCTTGAGACTATACTTGGCGTTCAAACTCTGACCAGCTGGCACTTCCATCCTAACTATTCTAGCCTCCGGGAGTATTTCTGGGAAACTCTATACAGGAAAATTGGCAATGTTTCGGGAGAAGATCGTCGTTCAATCGAAGTCGCGAGGTTGTTCGGATTGTTTCGAACCTATGGCTTTGAAGACAAGGCTGTCTTTTATCTGGAGGCTTCATGTTTGATTTGATTTTCAGCTATACAGCCATGAATTCATGCGCTCAAGCCGAGTCATGTCCTATCAGGTAGTTCCCTGTGAGGCCACCGCTTCAGGTTGCTAAGGCTGAGCGGTTGGAGACTCAGAGGATGGCAATAGGCTGCTTTCTACAAGAGGCGGCAGAGGCATGAAAGAAACTTACATGTCAGCAGGATGAGAATACGAGACCAGGTCTCGATACGGTTACGATTCATGGCCATGGCGAAGGACGTCCCAAGACCACCTTGACCCAAGGCAGACATCAAGGGGCTGCTACAGTGTGCAGGCATGTTAACCGGTGACAGGAGTCCGGCTGGCATGGCAAGCCCAATATGCCTTGCCAGTCGGTGTATTAGTGCGACGCCTGTAGCTGAAATTAGCCGCTGGGAAGCATCGCTCTGCGAATGTATCCTGTGTCAACGGATTCTAGATCGCCGAAAGTGGTCAGCCGGCTGTGGATAGGGGTGAGTAGGGCGTAGCAGTGCGCATGGCTGTTGGCCGAAGCTGCATGGAGGTGGAGGCTGGTGTGAGCGCGACGGTGTCCGCTGAGGGCTCCATGGAAAATAGGACTAGCATGATTCTGCTACAGAGGTGGTTACGTGCACGGGAAGAACATTACACACCGCGACATCTCGACGCGAAATATCCTCGTTGCTGCACGCGATCTGGAAATGGGTACTATCCATGTTGTGCTTACTGATTTCGGCCTTTCCAAGGAAGGCAGCATGCTTGTCACGCAGTGCGGCACGCCCGAGTTTGTCGCTCCAGAGATATTGGGATACTCGAGGACAACCTCTTCTTCAAAAAGCAGCTCGACACACCTTCCCGAACAATCAACAAGAAAACCGACGACACCGCATACAGCCAAGCAAGGGCAGCACAGCCGGAGCAGGTCCCCAAGGAAAGAGTATACTCCTGCCGTCGATGTCTGGAGTCTGGGCGTCGTTGTCCTGAGAATCGCGTTTGGCTTGCCTTCCAGATACGACAATCACAAAAGATGGTGCAACGCTGTCGTAGAAAAGGCAGCTGGCCAAACCTGTCGCCTTGGTCAAACCCTACAACAAATGCTTGTTCTGGATCCTCGACAGCGAATCTCAACCTCAACATGTCTGTCTCTCTCGGAAGATCTGCTTGGTGATGCTTGCAATCTCTTTCACTGCGAAGTTGGATCTCCATTCCAGAGCGTCGATCTTGAGGTTTCTCGTTGGCGGCATCAACGCCAATCCTTTGAACGCGAAGTTGGGGCTCCGTCTCGAAGCGTTGACCCTCGGGGCTCCCAGCATCATTCTGAGCATAGAGAGGCATCCTACCAACCTGTGAGTCTTCTGATCTAGAAATTAAACCTTGTGGATGTAGAGCTGATCCAATCACTCGGCCCAGGTCTTTCCTCTCTCTGTTCAAGGTCATGATAGCGTGTCGAGAGCCAGTGACTGGCGCCAATCTTTGGTGTCGGCAGATGGCCCTTATTCTGTCGCTGGAGGTGTGGGATACGAGCTACCTCCGCCCAGCACTCCAAGGCAAGGTGCTGGACGGGAGTAGTAATGAGCTGCAGGGGAGGTCCAGCCTACCGGATAGCCAATAAGTGGTCATATGCCGATTGTTCTCTTCCGTACGAACCTTCCTCTAAGTTCTCTGCAATCTATGAGGACACTGGACAGAAAGACCCGGGTCACGGGTGACCAGGTCTGTGTGCTCGTTGCAATTATTGCAAGGCTGTGGCGCATCCTCCACAAAGCTTTAGCACACCAGGCATTGTACTACTGCACATGTGAATCACCAAGCCTTTCAACTGCTTTTTGGATTATCAACTATTGTAAAGGTCCCAAAGCGGTGAACTCTCAAAGAGGGTTGGCGAATGTGGCACTGGAGATAATGTTGGGCTGCGTCGGTGCACAAGTCGTTCACCTGCCAGCCTGCATGATATATAGTACATTGTTATCGAAGGTCTCCTCCCGATCCGCACTTGGTACGTCAGCTGCTCTGTCCGTCTTCGCGTGGATCTTCCTCCGTCTCTTGCGGCACGGACCTTCCGGTGGCTCTGTGGCAGTGCTTATGTTTGTCGATGGTGGTCTGCTCGAGGTGCTGCCAAGAGCCCGAGAGGAGTCTGCTACGAGTGGTGTATCCGATGCGTGCACTCTTTTCCTTGGCGTTTGAGGTCGATGGTGATTCGTTTGATCTAAGATTAATGAGGGGTCAGGGTTGATAACGACAACGTCACCGATGCTGGCGGTTTTTCTTCCTGGGGACGCCGGATGCATGTCGAAGAGCCATGGCAGCGGCAGCATGAAGTGGCATGCCGGATTGCCTTCTGGTATGTTGAGGCTCTCAATAGGTACGGCCAAAGCGTCCAGCTCAATGAGCTCGCAGACGTGTGAGTATCTGCCGCTTGGATGTTAGCAAACTTCGGCCGTGCTACTCCTAACGTGGTTGCGATACCTAGTCTTCATAAGCCAGGCGATTACTGCCGCCGGGTTGAACCAGCATTGCTCCTGCTGGGCATGGAACTCGATGTCCAGCACCTGTTTAGTTACAACCTCGATAACTTCCTGTCGTCTCCTCTCGCTTCGCTTCGCCAGTCGAGCCCACGAAAACTCGGATACTACAAAGATCAGCATGCTAGTCGTTGATCAGTCGTACATGCGGGGATGCTTACCCTCCAAAGCAGAATATAGGACGAGGGCGTATGCCCCAAGACGAGGCACGAGCCCCGACACGATCCTATTCAGCATCTTCGCCGAGGCCCGCCGCCTCCGTTGGTACTCGGCCTGGTCAATATCCTCTGGATTCTTCAACGCGCACCGATTCCGCTTGACGACACCGACACAGTCTGAAAGGAACCGGACTCGCCAGTGCAGCCCGTTCATAGCTTCACTCTTCATCGCTCGGATCTGCCCTTCTATGTTTTGGAGAAGCCTGCTCAGCCCATCCAACCTGTATTCAAAGTCCTGAGTTGCAGATATCCCATCACGGTACTGCATGATCGCACTTCGCAGCTCGCCGGCCTGCTCACCGGCCTGCTTCGTCGCGCCGGTCAAGGCCAGACGGCTGCCTTGTTCAACTTTCTGAATCATGCGCGCGACAAATCGTCGGTCATCCCTGGCTGCGGAACTATTTGCTGTCAGAGGTGCGTGGCTGGCCATATTCGAACAGGCTTCGGGCCATCGCGCAGACAATCGACAAGCAGCAGTGCGGGTAGCAAGTGCGTCGTAGCGATGGTGCCTGTGGCGTTAGCAAGAAAGGAGAACGCCTACTGTCTGGCGACTTGCCCATGATCGATAAAACCACCGACAGGAAAACGCTGCAAGTAAAAGCCGCGGATACGATCTTGAGGCACGACTAAGTCGGAGTGTGGACAGCATGGCCACGATCGGGACCTGCAGTCCACGAACTTGCCATGATCCACCTCCAAAGTCGAGATACTGATCTCAAACTTTTCGGAATGATGTTCGTCGGACAACGAGAAGCGAATAAGGCATGACTCGGGTAATGTCAGACTGTCTGCGTCACCCCAGTTCTCGATGGAAATGACGATAGGTGTCATGGCCAAAATCAGGTGGGAAAAAAAGTGACGAAGAGCAGATTCGATGGAGATCCTGTCGCCCTGCCTCGATGGTGGTTCAACCGATCCTTTCCATGCCCCGGCCGACCTCTCTTCATGGCCTGATCGACCTCTGCCTTTACCCTGGTCGACATCTGCCTTCACCCTGGTCGAGCCTTTAAGTCTTGTTAGCCTCCCTGCCTCCGCGTGCCCTGGTCGACCTCTGTTTATACCCTGGTCGACCTTTTTGTCCTCCTTGTGCACCAGTTGAACATACCTCCTATGATATAGCTAAACGGCAGCGGCAGCCTGGAAGGGAAAAGAAGTCAGGAAAAAGGAAAGCCTTGTAGAACTGCAGAACTCGATACTAACAAATCCTTTTCGTACAGGTGTTTGAGTGGATATAAGTTCTGGTAGAGACAAGAGAGGTTCCGCATAAGGTGATACTGAAAGCTATGGTTCGTGACTCTACATTGGTGCCAAAATATCTCTCGAAGACTTGATGACAAATGACGACTCAGTTTGCAGTCGACCCCTTCGGGCGACGCCTGCCGGCCCTTCTCCCTGGCATCCACTTCCCGCTCATCAGAGACATATTTTGACGACTTAGACGACTGCTACTGGGCAACTGCTTTCCAACCTTGTCAGCTGGCCGGCAGAAATTTGGACGCCCCCTCCAAAGATGCTCAGAGTGGGCAATATGGCGCACACGATCGAGTGGAGGCCTGGATCGAAGAGACCGATGAGGCGCTCGCTGCGCAGGCAGCGCGCAGCTACGGACTTCTAGGCAATAAATGCATGTCCAATCTCAGTTTCATTTTCACGTATCCGTAGATTGAGGTGATTGCCACCAACCTTGGATTGTCACTGCGACTCTGACCCAGCGGCGGTTCTAGTGCATTCTCTTGCCAAATTAGACATGTTTGAAGCTTGATTCCGCATTCAAAACCTGACATCCAGACATCCTAGCGAGCTTGGTAGCCTAGGCTTCAACGATAAGCAGCCAGGCAGCCGCCTCTCCGCCAGCTGTAGCTTACCATAAAGTGGACGGTCGCGGGAACGGAGCGAAACGGAGGTGCCTAACAGATGATGTAATATATATACAAGAACGGATAATGTCCATTATAGAATCGGGCGCAAATGGTTTAGTGGTAAAATCCATCGTTGCCATCGATGGGCCCCCGGTTCGATTCCGGGTTTGCGCAGTTACAACTTTTTTTTTTTTATCTTTTCTTCCTTTTTTTTTTTGTTTTCTCTTTCTGCCCCAAGATGCAGATAAGTATGTTTTTAGGCACGAGCAAGATGGTAGCTTTTTGGGACGGAGAACTCCCAATTTCTTTTTTCTTCTTGCCTGCTTCTTATGTATTTTATGTGCCACTCGACTCGTTTACGACTTGGGCATCGCCACCAATATAACCCAAAGCGGGGGGAGATAAGAATGGAGGAAAAACAACAAAAGAAAAGAAAAAAAGCCGAGTAAGCCTGGTATTGTGTGATCGATGTGAATGGATATGCAAAATCCATTTGAGACGGGGCCACCAGCTCCATGTACCCTATGAAATACAGTGGACAGACCAATTCGACTGGTCTCCTTCTAGTTTCGGTCTTGTACCTGGAAGTTAATTTTGCTGAACCATCAAACGCCTCGCAACCTCTTCCCATCTCTTTTCTTTTATTTTTGTTCTTTCTTTTAATTTCCTCGAAAAAGATAGAGAGAAACCTCCTGACCGAGAAAGATGTCGTAGTCTTTGAACTGTTCTATCCTACACAAGTACAACCCAGCACCGTCCCAAATGTGTCCAGAGTGAAGAGATCAAGTTTTGAAAACAAAGCGCTGCTTTCGACACAGAGCAGGCCATGGTGAGGGGTGTTTCATAGTACAACCATCGCACATTTCATATTACAGCCACCAGGAGCCACTGGGAGGCGTCGCTGTCCCGTTGCATCAGACAGCATGATGCCGTGTTGCCTCTGTGGTGGCGTCCGTTCACCTCACGACGGAGTGTCAAAGAGTCGAAGTATGACCTCGTACATACCAAACATGATGGCAGCACTGGGCACTGTCCGCAGCAGGTGAGGCGTGAGTCCGCCGTACAGGCCGACCAGGCCCTCCTCCTTCCACACAAGCTTAAAACACTGGACCAGGCCTGTGTATTTCAGACGCCCATCGGCCAGAGGCGCCTGTCGTAGCCTTGTCCTCGCGACCTGTAACATAATGAATGACAAAATATCAGCTACCAAAAAAGAAAACAAAGTTTCATCCTTCCCCCTGATGATGAGTCAGGTTGCAGAGGAGGAGGGGTAAAACTCACCTCATGCGGGTAGGCCAGGATGGCGGCGATCAGCTTTGCGCCGCCGGCCGCGCCAGCCTTGCCCGTGTGGTCAACAGTGGTGTCCCACCACGTCTTGGCCCGGCCGCTCGCCGCTATGCGTTCTTCTCTGTGCCGCAGCGACTTTTTCATCTGCTCGTACAGCACCCATTGCAGGGTGGACTCGGACGCGCCCAGGTAGCTCGCGCTCATACCCTTGAAGAAGCCCCGAAGTCCCTCGTCCCGGAACACCTGTCGTATACAGTCCAGGCTGTTCTTGTACTGCCTGGCGGCGGCGAGGCCGGCGCGCTCGGCGACGTTCTTGTCCAACTGAAGCCTGGTCTTGACGAGCCAGATCGGGTTCGTGGCCGTGCTCGTGGCGATGCCGGCCGCCATGCCCGCGCTCAGGTGCACCCAGGCGGCCTCACGACCGCCGTTCAGGTAGTCTGATATCAACAGCTTGCCGTTGCCGTAGACGTAGAAGTTGATGGACCGCGCAGGGATCACGCCGACCAGGTTGGGGCCCAGACCCTTGAAGAGTGCCCGCCAGCCCTCCTGCTTCCGGACAGCGCCGAGGATCTGCAGAGTCTCTGTGAGATGGAAGACGGACGCGCGCAGGGGGTTCATGTGGACGTGTGCATGGGCGGCGCGGGAGGCGCGCAGCTGTGCTTGGTAGAAGTCGGATTGGAGGCGTGTTTTGAGGACGTCGAGCGGCGCGGTGAGGGTCGCGGCTGTCATGCCACCGACGCTGTATAGACCAAAGAGAAATTGATCAGAATGAGTAGTTCAAAAAGACTTTAAAAAGGGGGGGTCGCGAACGGGAACCTTGAGTAGACGCCAACGCGCTGCTCGAGGCTGGTTCGAGTAGTAGTGGTCTGGGTCCTTGGGTTGGGGTTGGGTGGTGTGCCTTACGCTCCTGCGACGAGATGATGCCATGATCTTGCGAATGATGGGGCTACTACTGGCTTCTCTTGTGGGTCTTCTCGCGCCTCTTGTATCGACTCTCCCAGCTCTCTCGATTGTGTCAAAGACGAGAGGCGTTCTGTGCTGGTCTGGCCGTGCCTTGCGTCTGGCTTGTGAGAAGGCGACATCTTGTAGGTCACTGGCGCCGCGTTCTGCGCCATTGCTGCACAGTGATTTTGGGGGTTCCTGCAAGGTTAGATCTGCTGCAGGGTCAGACGAGCTACTGCGATCTCAGTATCATGTCGCAGTATCCTCAAGGCAGTCTGTTCCAAAAGATTGTCGCGGTGTCGTTTTTGGCGGGTGCGCAGTTGGCAGGAAAAGTTGACCTGATGACGGCTAGAATGTGAAATTCCTCCGATAAGAATCCTTATCGCGGCGGCTGTCTCCACCGAAAATTCATCGTGCCTGTCATGGAGTTAGTCTAGCGTGTCAAGCTTGCCGCTTATACGTTTACCGTAGTACTTATAGTGGCAGGATGGGCTTTCACTACCATCGTGACAACAACATCTGACCAGCACCACGGCGAAGAGGTGCGTGGGAAAGGCTCTCCGAGACTTCAGAACGGAGGATACATATCATTGTCATATTTTAAAGTCGCATTCTGCACACAATATCCGAAGCTACAGGGTGAAGGATTAATTACACGTGATAAGGAAATCTCAACACCTACTGCCGAGTTTCCACCGTTTTGCTATACCAAATTCAGCAATGTTTCTGATCCCCCCTTTCGCATTATTACAATGATTTTCCAAGTATCTGTATTACGACACATTCTCGTGGCGTACGACGTGTCATAAAGCTCATCTTGGAACAAGGTGGCTCATTTGCTATTGATAAGCTGCGCGCCCAAAGAAATGGCTTTTTTATTCTATTTTCTCTCCTTCTTTCTTATGCGGCCCCTCCTGCCTTGCGCTTACGTCAAAGGAAACAACGCAAAGCTTCGAGTGTCCACAAAAGCGCCTTTTCTCTCATCCTGCAATACTGCCTGGTTAGGATATAGTTTTGTCATGACCATCCTCTCTGGCCCTGCACCGCGGACCCTTGCTGTGTGGAGCCGCAAAAGAAGCTCGACAAGCTGAATAGCTACCTTGCATGCTACACAGGCACGCATCAAACCACCAATCACACCAAAAGAAGAAGAAATATCAGCGCGGTGGCTACTGCTATTGCTTCTGTTGTTTTGAATTTGCTCTCGAGGCCGCGGCATCTCGCTAGGCCGTCATAATGGGCCTGCTGACGAGCGCTTGTGGCCCATTGTGGCGTCCTGGGCGCGCTGATCGCTTTGTGCACGCCTTGTTTCAGAGAATAGCGGGTTGATCAACCGAGAAAAGCCGTTGTACTTTAGGGTGAGATTACTTTTGCAATATTGTGGTGGAGGGGAACACGTGGAGGAAGTTTCGTTGTGTGGAAGAAGTACTCGATCCGCTTGTATTTACAATGTAGGTCATGAGCCGGCTTGCGTGAGTGAAAGAGAGGAGGGGAGCAGAGGTCTCGATTTGCCTGCGTTAAAATTCCAAGAAATACTGACTCTTACCATTCTTTTTCTGTTGGGCGAGCTGTTTCCTCGGCGTTCAAAGCTCGGCTCAAGAGGAACACGCAATGTCTCCACAACGCTATGCATGTCTTTGCAGACAAAGAAACGGCAATTACCTTTTGCTGCCCGACGTCGATACGTTACATCTTGGGCGTACGGGCGGGCTGGATCTCTCGACTTGAGGCCCAAAGAAGCATATTATAGGAGGCCAGAAGGGAGTCTGATCATCACTAACCCTACGTTGGATAGAGTGAGAAGTAATTCGATGAGGTCAAGTAGGCGCGGTAAGGAAATCAGTACTTGTCAGGCGAGAAGACAACCATGGACGCCTTGATCGATGAGGCAAGCTCGGGAGGACAAGACCAAAAGAAAGTTGTGGCGATGATAGCCTTGGACCTCCCCCCCCCCCGGCCCCACCTCCTTCCGAGCAAGGCGCAGAAATGCGAGGGATACACAGATCCTAGCGTGACTAGATCCGTCAGGTTCTTTTTCTCAACGGGAGGGGCCGTCTCTAATCGACAAGGAAAAGGTAATGATCAAAATGGTGTCTGCGTCTGAAACCACGCCGCAGGTCGGGAAGATAGTGATCCACATTTTAACGAATTTTGATTGGGTTGTTTCCTCATGACACGGACGGGGTTGTCACCAGACGTCAACGGCAAGTTGAGAGACCTCATTGGAGAGAAACACGCTCGATGGTCGCGTGCCTAGATATGCATGTCAACACTGGTCCTGTTTTGAAAAAACATCATCAGGCTGCTCGCTGGTCACCCAAGTACCGTATATCATGGATCTCCTCACTCCTATAGGCATGATGCCAATGTTATGCATGCCGCCAGACGCGACCATGTGTCATGGGGGACCGGGAGATAAGTGAATGTTGATAGCTGAGTGATCCAGGGACCAGTTTTCCGTCTATGCAAAAGTAATAAAATTGTCATTTACCAGTGCCTCGTCTAGTAGGGGAAAAGAAAGAGAGAGAAGAAAAAGAAAATCAGAGACGAAACTCGTCTGAGAAGCCTCCCAAGCCACAAGAAAGAAAAGAAAAAGAAAGAGAGAAAAATTCACCGCCGGTTGTAGAAGCCGGTCGCCAGCAGGAGGCTTGAGAAGTTCGTATTTTGTAGAGAACGGGCCGCCAGGCCAATCGATCGATTGTGTCAGGTGCGCCGAAATGGTATGGATCTATTATCCTCCTGTTTCTTTTCCCGCCGGGGGTTGGGGGTGGAGAGCGCCTTCTTCTCCCACCTTGCTTGCACACCGATCTTGAATTCTTTGTGTTCACTGGCTAACTGCTCGTTCACCGCCCCTCCAGGAAAAGAGAGACCCTGGACCGAAGATTCTAAAAATATTTGTGATCTGAGCGTTCTTCTTCTCTCCGACCCCATGGGGATGTCGCATAAAGGAAGCTGACTGAAAGATTGTAGTCCAGATCCCCGATGCAAGGCATGAGCACAACTATGTTCAAATCAGGTCGTCTGTACCCTCTCTCAATAGGCTTCCCCCCCCCCCCCCCCTGGCCATGAAGACACGGCAGCACTAGGGTCAGCCAGATGGTGGCTGTAACAGGGTGTGTGGGGAAGGTAGGAAGAAAACAAGAATATAAAAGGCGATATTGCTGAGACACGGCTCAAGGTAATTGACCCTACTCGTCCAAGAGCATCAAGGGCACTTGGGGGGGAAGGGTATTTTCATCCAAGCTAGGAACTATAGTACTTTGCATCTGCAGCGCCTTGCCAGGAGAGGAATAGATAGTCACCTTTTGGTGCCGTGGATGCACGTTTATATTGCTAGAGGGAGGAGGAGGAGACGGGAAAGAAGAAGCATGTAAACAGCAGAAGGAAAAATAATGGGTAAGCATTTGGAAGAAAAGAGAGACAAAGTGAGAGGGGGGAGGGGGAGAGACGCCCGCTCACCCCTGACCAAGAATAGTACATGGGGCGCAGACCAATGCGGCCGATGTGTTTAAACACGCAGAATTCTTAGGAGGGAAGACTATCTCCCAAGATATAAACCCCCACCTCTTTCCCAGAGTTGAACACATATTTTTTTGATTCAGATTCTTCGTTTGCAAATCAAGAACCATCACCTCAGGCCAGACACAAAAGCACAAAATTTGCTCGTTCTGAGCTGCACTTCGAGTACAACACCGCCCACCATGGCCAGCGCAAGCGACGATACTAGCACGATGTCTGGGTACCAGAGGCTCCTGCAGCAACCCGAGCTATCTCCTGTGGTGGTCTCGAAACCCACCGTGATGGCTCCTGGCAGGGAGAATCCATACCCTCTCATTGTTCATGTCCCCAAGAGCGAGTGCCGAAAGACGGAATTCGAAGTTGGTGAGAACATCATGGTCTCGGGTATTCTCTCCCTGCACTGCTTCTGTAATGGAGAGCAGCAGGCTTCAGCTCGGCGCTTCGGCTTACGGTGCCCCAAGATTGCCTTTGTGGGCGAGTTGTGCTACTTTTGCTTCGGCAGCCTCACCATGCCCGAGGACGTCACAGAGGGATCCTATTTCTTCTCTATCCTCTGCCAGTTCTTCCAACCCTTCAAGCTGCTGAAAAACGGCAGGTCTAGCGGCGGGGAGGGACTGACAGGCCGGGTCCGATCACCCGTCTTCATTACACGCCAGGTAGCGCCGGGTGGCGTCCTCGGTAAGTCGCGGCTCTTTCTCGTTTTCTCGTTCTCTCTAAGAGATGGTTGATCAACGCGTATTCCTTGACAGTCTGCTAAGTAGGCTTTTAATTGTAGGTGTCGGCCCCGACATACTGAGGCTCTTCATTGAGAACCCTGTTGATGACAACGAAGAGAACAAAGCCCCGGCCCTGCCCCTCTCGACCCATGCCTGAGGGAAGAGGGGACGCCGATGGAGCTAGCTGGACGTTGACCTTTGGGAATATAATTTTCCTAGAAGTCTTGCTGCTATTCGTTGTCAACTTATCGACTGTTTCAGAAGACATGGGGCGCGCGCGGTTTGGGGAAGGGGAACACAAGAGGATGGGCTGATTTTTCTTCAAGGATGGCAACGTCAAGAAACCCATACCGTATCTTGTACTGGAAGGATGCTTTAAGCGGCTCGGGAGACAAAGCTCTTTGTCTCTCTTCCCCTGCACCTCGGGACCCCGACCAGAGCAAGGTGGCCTCGATCTCTCTTTCTTTTGAGGCATCGCTTCCCTTGTATCCTTGATCTAATCACTCACTGGTTTGAATCATAATGAGGGACTTTGGTCATGACCACACACACCTGATCTCACGCTGCTTCTTGCTATGTAGCCTGTACTCGTACGCTGGGGGATCCTGACCTGCTGCTCTTTTCTTTCTTTTTCGCCAGGGTGGAGGAATATCATTGCTTATATGTATCTTCTGCACGGTAATTTAGATTGTGAGCTTGACTACCCCGCTTTTCAATGCTGCTCAGCGTAATTGTCTCATGTTTTTGGGGATACCGGTCAGTTTTCGAAGCAGGGAAGAGAAAAAGAGAAAAAAGAAATGTTTCTTTTCCTTATCATAAGCCACCCTGATTTCCTGGCAGCGATCTGCCCATGCCTGCAGTGATATGCGTGCTTTTTTACACCGTCTCGGTCGATCACAATGAGGAGATTCGATGACCAAGATTGATGGCGAGGAGTAATTGTCATTCATGAAGCAGGGCTCATTATTATCTACGAACAGAATATTTGGACATAAATTGCGTGAAAGTAAAGTATTTGGTCTAAGTACCCAAGTACTTAAAGTCAGTGATGCCTGATCGTAGCACTGGCTTCCGAATAGGCTATTTCGGCAGTTGAAGGCCGCGGCTGCGGAAAAAAAAACAAAACATGTGGGGTCAAACAATACATAGACATGACGCGTGTTTCAGCAAGCAGACAACACGACTGACAGATGCCAGCTACTCAGCAACGGCCGCTGGCCGTCCGATCACCAAGTACTTTTGCACGCATTTGAGGGCGACCAGTAGTGAGTGAGTACTTGGAGTGTCCTTACCTTTACAAGACTGTAGGCGGTGTGTGCAACCAGAAACGTGCTGTCAGGGCTGTCAAGCATAAGGCAAGCTCAGGCTCTCTCTCCACTCCAAGCTACGACCGTAGTCCTAAGCTAGTATGTACCATAGTACTGTACATCGAGACCCAACGCGCTAACCCGATACAGCATTCAGCTTTGACCCCAATGGCCCGATCTGCTGCCACGGATGGCCCTTGTCTTCGTTACTTCTGGATGGAAATCATAGTCACTGTGAGCAAACAAGAAACTTTAGGATATCAGAACCAAAGAATTCGAAATGCCTGAACCAGACAGGGTGCTCCCAGTGCGTGGTACTCGGGCAGCTCAGGCCTTTTCCGAGGTGCGAAGGTGCAGCCCAACAATCTCGGCCGACGAGGGGCATACACCAGATTACCTAAGCCCGTACCTTCTAGTTCAACGACACTTCCCACGCACTCAGCTAAGGGAAAGAGGTGGAGGGGGAGGACTCACCCTCGATCGAACAGGGAGGGAAGAGAATAAGCATCGTATGTTGTGCAACAGCACAATTTCATGAAAATTTCATATCTCCCAATTTTCTGTGTTCTACGTAGCACGGTAGAGCGCGGTCCGGTCCTATCTGCTGTCCTGAACTTGTCGTTATATCCAGCCGGAAGTAACGAGAGGAGAGGCAAGAAAAGAAAATATGTCTCATCAATGAGCATCCATCATGACCTGCACGCAATTCCTCATGTCCGAGTATGCATCATGATTGAGCATGACTCATGGCCAAGTGTGCCTCATGGTCAAAACCACCCAGCTGCTCCTCCTCTTTCCCCCTATTATTGTCTTCCGGCAGAAGCAATATTCGAAATCAAAACGACCATCCTGCAGCCCAGGGAAAAAAACAGAAGAGGAACCAAACAACAAACAAAAGCAACTCCTTTGTCAGACCGATCAGATGCACCAAGTCTCTCCTCCAGGTTCTTTGCACCTCTCGGAATCGAACCGAGACGAGGTGGGGCCCCAGCCTCTGTGGAATCTTGTAGTCGTTATTGAGGCCTCTACGGGCAGGCTGCGGTGTAAAAGCAAATGCGACTTAAAAGGGGAAGACAACAAAATGGCCAGACCGTTCTGATTCGGTGTGACCTTGGCGAATACGAGTTGATCCCTTTCGCCGAGAGGAAAGGCTCCGCTAGTCGAGGGCACGCCGGAGGATGTTGGACAGGGCGGAGAACTCGCGGTGAGCCATCTCGGCCAGGGTCATATTGTCGAAGCCAGGACCGTAAGGGTGAGAAACCTCCTTCCACAGGTAGCCCCAGTAGAGGGAGGTCTGTCGGCCCTGTCGCTGGAGCTCTGACTGGACGTTGGGGAGGGACTGCGCCACGGTGCGATTGGTCTCCTCGCGAATGATGGCAATGTACCACTGGCAGAAAAAGAGATCACACCGTCAGCAAAGAGTTTCTGTCTTTTCTTACTATCACTGAGGTTCTTCCACGGAGAGGGCGACAGGGGGGCTGAAGGCCTGAAACTGACCTCAATCACGTCCAGAGGGGTGCCTGGCTTGGGAACGAGGGTGTATATGTGCACCCACTGATCGGCAAAGCGAGGCATGTTGAACTCACGCTTGTCCTCGTCGGTCAGGCCCACCAGGTAGCTGATGCTGTCCTTCATGGTGACGGTGAAGCCGCGGCAGATCATGGCCGACGTCCACAGGCGCCGGTACAGCTGGCTGTTCAGGACATGCTCATGTTTCTTCTTCTCCATGGCCTCCTGGAGGAGACGCAGCAGGTTGACGCAGGCTGCATACACCGATTGGCGCTGCTTGATGGTGATGCAGTCGGTCATGTACCAAGGGAACTTGCGCATGGTGCTGATCATGCACTCGAAGGGGCGCTGCGGGCAGTCTCGAGAGAAGGGAGACTTTGTAAGGCGAAGTGCCAGTCAGCGACGGTTGTTTGTTTTTGTCTGGCTTGGAAAAGGAGTACATTTTGAGGGAAGGGGGGTTGGGGGGGGGGGCGCCGCTTACGCGCTGGGGAACCTCGACATGCTTGACGAGCATAGTCATTTCCTCCTCGGTGATGAATCCTTTGAAAGATAGCCAAGGCTCGGTAGGGTTGAGCGGCTGGATGTGGGGCGTGGCGCCATCCCAGAGGATGCCCCTGGCGTTGGGAAACAGGTCCCTCATGAGGGCTGCCTGGCTCGAGAGCTCCATCTCGACGGGGCGATCACCTAGCCGGTGAGGCCGACCTTGGGCACTGGCTCGCTGGTGTTTCTCGACGGTCTGTGCGGCGTCGTACATGGTCATGAACTCGACATACGCATCACCAGTCCGGTTGGTAACGCGCTCCATGATGATGTGAACGGGCTCGTGGCGGTCGTTGATGATCTTGGAATTGCGTCCCAACATGGCAATGATCTCCGCACGGTTGGTATCGAAGGGAATCTATTTAGGAAGCTCATCGTCAGCATATATGCATATGCACTGCAGGCCCATCGGCGACCGGTGAGGCGGAGAAGGAAGGGGGGTGGGGGCCTATTACATTCTTGATTTTGACAACACCATAGGTGGACGGGCTGTAATCGTAACGAGCACCTTCGACAAAGGGGAAGTTGTCGGCGCGAAGAGCGATGGTAGCGGCGGGACGTTGGTCCGGGCCGCTGGTTAGATCGTTCAACTGGTCAGAACGCTGGCTACGGACGTAATTTGGTGTGGACGACGTGTGCGTGACGAGTGCACTCGAGGGACCGGCACGCGTAGGAGCCTCGATTGGTTGAGGATTGCCCGACAGGCCATCAAAAGAACCGAAAGCGCGGTGGTTGACGCCTCGGTTGGAAGACAAGTTTCCACAATGGCCTCCAGGGTATTGAATACTCTTACCATGGCCTTGACCCTGCTGATGGCCATAGTGTGGGAATCCGCGCTGGTTGAAGTCTTGATTGCCAGCGTTCTGAGGAGGGGAGAACCCCTGGTTATTCATGTGTTGAGTGATCAGACCTCTCATGGGCGCCTGCTGCAGATCGAAACGGGGAGGCGGCTGGATGCCCGTGGCCGAACCCTGTGTACGAGGAGCGAAGCTACGCGGCTCGGTGCGGACAGGGTGGTGGCCGCCAGCACCTGGGCCTGCGGGCGTGCGGCCGTGGAAGGACTCGACATTCTCCTCGTTGTTGTTACTGCTGCGGGCATCCTTGCGATACGACTGTGCAGGGTTGGCCAAGTGGCTGCGACCTGGAGTGGTCGTCGTCATCATCGTACCGCCCTGCTGCTGCTGCTGAAATGACATGTTCTGGAGGTGCGCAGGGTAGACAGGAGAACGGTAATCGTGAACGCCAAGCGACTGAACACGGTCGCCTCCATACTGGGCCATCTGCGTCTCGTGGGGATCCTGGCCTTGATCCAAGCGAGACAGCTGTGCCCGAAGAACCATCATGGCCCGCTCATCAGTCACGTCGCGGGCCGCGTTGGTAGACATATTCATGGTCTGGCCGTAAGCCTGGGTTTGGTTCTGGTTCTGGTTCTGATGACCGCGATCGCGATCAGGGACGCGACTGAACGGCAGCCGCGTATCCATCATGAAATTGAATGGGTTGCTGTAGATGTTGCGGTCAGGTTGCTGGTATGCCCCGTTGGCGAAAGTTGTACCGTAGGTGTCGAGCGTGTTATGCTGATGGTACGTACTGGTAGCGGTGAAGTTGTTTACAATCCTGTTGCGATAGGCGTGTGGCACAGTCAGAGTTGATTGCTCCTCCAGGCTGGTCGATTCAGAGATGGGACCGTTGAAAAAGGCCTGGAAGTCGATGCCGATGTTCTCGAAATTGTCTTTGTTGATGTCGAGATCAGCTTCGAGGGGGCTGGAGGTAAGGTCCGCCCCAGAAAGGGGACAGGAGGCGATTTTCAGATCGGGCCTGGGAGAGCTCTGGACAATATCTACCTGCTGGAAGCTTCCCTGGCTCGGCAGTCTACCAGGTGCACTCTGGGTGGTGTCTGGCGATGACTGGAAGTCAGTTGACCCACTGGCCTCAGTTCTTGTGGGGTACCTTGCGCGTGGATTCTGGAACCCATCATGTGGTTGAGGGAAGTAAATGCCACTGCCGTCGGAGAACTTAATAGGCCTGCTGGTGACAGGGTCTGCATTGTCCATGCTCTCCATTGTGCAGGTATTTCTATTGTTTGTTGATGCGTGTATTGTTTGTCTGTCGGGCCTAGCTTTCCTATTGTCTCATCACCTGGACCTGGACACAAGGAGATGTTAGTCAGTCTGCATTCAAGACTTGATTTGACACAAATCGAAAGCCGTGTCAGGAAAACCAAAGTGCAACTGAGCTGAGGAACTCATGAGTGACAATGCAGAAATTGGGGTGGATAGTAATGATGTAGGTACAAGTGTCTGGGTAGTCATGGCCTAGCTGCACGTCTAGCTTCCATGAAATTTTTAGAGTATCCCTGAAAGCCTAGAAAGATCCTGGAGACGTGGTATGCAGATACGGATTGTGTGTTCACGTAGACAGAAAAGTCAAACTACAAGCTAGGATGGGGTAAACAGACATGAAATTGGGGGATGTGATCGGAAATGTTGTAATTCTGGTTATGAAGACAAACAAGAAGAGAGCAACAAATAAGAAGGGGGCATAGAAAGCTTTCAGGAGAACAGCGGGGAACACAAGTGAACAAATCTAATGGAAAGCAGGATTGAAGCGAAAAAAAGTGTGATTTGGCAACAGCAGGATGCAGGATGATAAGGAAGTTCACCTTGAATACTTCAGAGCCTTTCCAACGATGGGTGTCTTTTTCTTTCTTTCTTCTTTTTTCTTCTTCAGTATGAACTGTAATGTCGTCGTGAACTGCAGAAAAGTCGGTTGATGGCTACTTGAAGTTTGTCCTTGACTGGTTAAACAACGCAACAATGGTAAAGGGACAGTGGGGATGGATGAAAAGATGAAGTTGAAGTCATGCACAAGGGCATTGATTTGAGGACAGCAAGTTTGGATGGCTATCTGCACACGCAAGAAGAATATTCAATTGGTAGGAACGAGGGAGTCTTCAGGAGGAGGAAAGATGGGAGAAGACTCAGCAAGGTTCACAAAGTATGAAGGAAGGGGGGGGGTGGGGGGTTTCTACATCAGAGAAAGAAACAGGTACATGCATTCTGTGGCCTGGCTAGCTGGCAGGGATGGACAGTCAATAAGAAACAGGTCCGTAATTCAGGGTCCACTAGAATACACGTTGATATACTCCGGCTTCAATTGACGGTATAGTGTGTGGTATACTTGAGGCTGCTGGAGAAGCTCATACACACCAGACAGAGGTCTCTCAGCCAGCTGAGAGCATACTGAAGAGTCCACAGCTTGGTGAAGACGCAATTCTAATAGCTTCTCCCATCCAATTCACAGCCATAGCTGAAGGGCCTATCTGTCTGGAAATCTGTCATCATCTGCCACCTCCGATCTGTGCCCTAGACCAAAGATCTTTGGTATTATTTCTATTTGCTTCTCTTGGTTGTACTCTGGAGGCCTGACATTTTTCATCAGGGGGCATAAAACATCAACATGAGGCTTTACATGCTTCTCAATACTCACATCTGTACTACTGCTGCCCTGGTTATTAGTAATAAGCTCCAAAGGTGGCTATTCCAGCAAGATCTCATGCCAAGCTGTATTCAAGTCTGATTGGGGCTCCGATGAGCATCTAAAGCGGCAGTGTGCCTCATGAAGACCTCCATATCTGAATTCCAAATGCAGACATGGCCTGATCTATCTACGTGGTTCAAGACATTAGCAATGGAAAACACACCATCTTGACATTCTCTCTCTCAGTCCCTCCATTGTGCAAAATTAGCGTCAACACCAGACACACCTGCAGAATGAAACATCTCGAGTCGGAACAACATAGACTAATCGACAGAAATGGAACAGAAATTGGGGCTCTAGGGCTGATAAAAGCGTCCTGGAGGCCTTATTATCTTTTCTGGTACCAAGTTGAGACGCTCTGAATATGTTGAGACAGACTAACATGGCTTCAGACTGGATGGAATATCATACTGGGCTTGGACTCAACTCCAATGTAAAATTCATCACACAGAGCATGCTGTAGCACCCTCAGAACACCATGGAACTAGCCAATTGATGGAACAGTGTTGGCTCAAGGCATTAACCTCATAAAACCTCGAAGTATTGGTGATGTGAAGTTCTCCAGAGACATGTGCATGATAACGACGAGTGTGTTGAGGAGGATACACGAGCGCACAAAATGATGACTGTTGTGCGTGGTTTAGACAAATGATCTGAATAACAGAAGAGTATGGGGAAGCCTGCAGTAAGGATGCGAGAGATCTTTGTTTTCTCATCTTCTTTTTGATCCCCCACGCCCCTCCCCGAAAGGCACACTCTTTATGGCTCATCCTCCTTCCAAATCTCCTCCACTCCTGAAATCCCCACAACACCAAGTTTGATTGTTTGTAGTCGAGTGGTCGGGAGCCAGGTTGGACGGAAACACCAAGAGGGTTTCCCCCTCTCCTGCCCAACCAATTCGTTATTTTGTGGAAAAGTCATTTTTCCAGCCTGGCGCGTAAATGTGGTAAGATAGCTTAATCGAATGGGGTCAGGAATGATTCTGCCACGAAACGTGCCCTTGCGTTCAACTGTATATGATGTTTAGTCCATGACTCAGGTGGTTGAGGATATCTGATGTCAACTTACGAAGAGCTTCATCTCCGAAATCTCCTTGTCCACCTCCTCCATGAATTGGATGATGAAGTCTACCAGTTTGTGCTTCAACATTTCCTCGGTGTGGAAATTCGTGATCAAGAATGAGATGTCATATCCCTGGGGCTTCCCGTCAGCATTGCCAGTCCCTCGGAGAGTGTAATCGGTGTGGATTTGGGGGCGGGGGTGTTCGAGAGAGGGAGACGGTGCGACTACTGAACTGCACTGTCCGTGTGACGCACCTTGATAGGTTTCCTCCTCAGGATGAAGAAGGACTCGGCCCTCTGCTCCAGGAACCTCGTGAACTTGTGCACCAGGATGTTCTCAATCTCGTCCGCCTGCTTGATCTTGATACTGATGCGTACGGAGTTGACGGACGGCTCGATCAGCACGCGCTCGTTCTCGTTGCGCGCGACGGTCAGAGGCGTGAGAAGCACCTCTGGAGAGGTGCGTGCCTCGACCTCGGGGACGTTGTGCCTCTCTGCCGTCTGCGAGGCGAAGTTGGATAGGCAGAGGGCGGCAGTCAGGCTGCTACGGACGGCTTGGAGGTATGGTCGGAGGGATTGAGACTGGGGGCGAGGGACGAGATTAGCTGAGAACACCAAGAGAGGGAGCTTTGTAGGGCTGTCTTGGTCGGCGTACCATCTTGAGGTCATTTAGGCTCGGAAGAGCGCGCTGTCAAGATGTCTTTGGCTGTCTGAGGTTGTCGTGGGAAGAGCTGGCAAGTTGAGCTGTACGGGCTCGACGATCAAGGAGAGACGTCAGGGGCGCGGGTGCATGTGGGGCCCTGCCGAACGCTGGATCTCCCATAGTAGAGGGGGGGGGGTGGTGGTCTTAGTGGGTTGGTCGTGCTGGGCGGTGGGGGGGGGGGGGGGTGGGGGACAGCATAAGGTACGTACCGGATGGGACTGTAGCGCATCCCTGTCGGCTGCTCGCCCCGCCATTACGTTGGCGAGGAGCTGCCTGAAGTGCTAAGGTTGCACACACAACAACTCACTTTCTTTTTCTCCTACTCTCCATAGACTTGTTTGTCTCCTTTAGCTGTGGCAAACCTCAACTTTTCACCACCAGAGACATCCTCTTGACACCATCACTGCTAGCACAGCAGCTTGTCACCGGCCATCAGGAGACTGCACATCGCAACTGCTGGCAAGATGGCTGTGAACAGTACGTGAGAAAGAGCCCCCCCCCCGCGTTACCTTGTGACAGTTCGTCGGGCACGCGTCCCCCTCCTGACAGAGCTCGACAAGACCCTCCCTTCCACGCCTCTCAATCACATGGGAGGTCCTTAATTAACGTGCCTTTCATCTCTCTAGTTATCGTCAAGCATCAGGGCAACAAATACGATGTCGAGGTGGACCCTGCCTCGACCGGCGCCGAGTTCAAGGAGATCCTTTACAGCCTGACTGGCGTAGAACCTGCCCGACAAAAGGTCCTGATCAAGGGCGGCCAACTGAAGGATGATGCGGATATGGGAAAGCTTCCCCTGAAACCCAACCAGATCATCATGATGATGGGCACATCCTCTGCGGACGGAGGCTCCATTTCCCGCCCTAAGGAGGGCACCAAGTTCGCCGAAGACATGACCGCTGCCGAAGCTGCCCAGCAGGAGGGCGCTATTCCTGGCGGCCTGACGAATCTCGGCAACACCTGCTATCTCAACTCGACCCTGCAGACCCTCCGTGCCATCCCGGAGCTCCAAGAGTCTCTTGTCAAATACGAGTACAAAGGCCAACCTGCCTCTGCCCTGGGATCCCTACTCTCGGGCCCGCAGTACGACGTCACCAACCAGCTCAAGGGTACCCTCAAGTCGATGAGCGAGAGCACGGAGGAATATGGCCCCTTTGGTTTCCTTCAGGCCATCCGCGAGGGCTTCCCTCAGTTTGCACAAAAGTCTCGGTCTGGCGAGGGTTTTGCACAGCAGGATGCCGAGGAGGCCTGGTCCACCATCCTTACCCAGATCCGAAACAGTCTAAAGGTCCCGGGCAAAGACGGCGCTGCCGAGGTCTCGTGGGTCGATAAGTACATGGCCCTGCAGATGGTGGAGACCCTCGAGTGTGACGACCCCCAGGCCGAAGAGCGCGGCGAGGAGCCGACCGTGAGCACCGAGACCTACCTTAAGCTCAACTGCCACATTGATAGCTCGACGAACCACCTGCGGGACGGAATCGTCAGCGGGCTGAAGGAGGAGATCGAGAAGAAATCCACGGTACTGAACCGAGATGTCAAGTACACCAAGTCATCCAAGATTGCCCGACTGCCGCAGTGGCTCACCGTTCACTTTGTCCGTTTCTTTTGGCGCCGCGACACCCAGAAGAAGGCCAAGATCCTGCGCAAGGTCACCTTTCCTAAGGAACTCGACATTCTCGAGTTCTGCACCGATGATTTGAGGAACAAGCTGATTCCCGTGCGGGACCGGCTCCGAGAGGTCGTCAAGGACGAGGAAGACATCGAGCGGGCCCGCAAGCGGAGAAAGACAAACACAGTCTCGGAGGCCGAGAGCTCGCAGGCTGGTGCCGCCACGACCGCCGCAGTCGCCAACAAGGACAAGCACAAGGACAAGAAGAAGAAGTCGGAGGAGAAGAAACCAGCAACCGATGGGGATGGCGACACAGCGATGGAGACGTACAAGACGGATGCCGAGTGGGAGGAAGAGAAGGCCACAGCGCTCCGCAGTGCAAAGAAGGAGTTGTTGGCCCTGGTCGACCAGGACCTCGCCAAGGACGAGGGCGCCAACCAGTCCGGCATCTACGAGCTCCGAGGCGTCATCACTCATCAGGGCTCCAGCGCCGACAGCGGTCACTACACAGCATACGTGAAAAAAACCGGCCATAAGAACCCTAAGACGGGCAAGGTGGGCGAGGAGGATGGCAACTGGTGGTGGTTCAACGATGAGAAGGTCTCAGAAGTGCCTGGAGACAAAATCGATACTCTTGCTGGCGGAGGAGAGACCCATTCAGCCCTCCTCTTGCTCTACAGAGCTGTCCCACTGCCTTCCCCTGAGGACCTCAAGGATTAAAAGTGACTGTGCAGTAGCAGTCAGCCCCGGCTGCTGACCCCGGCATACTGAGCCATTCACGACGAGCGATTGTTTCTTTCCCTTTTCGGTTTTCTTCTTTTAGTCCCTGATGGAGGACTAAAGAGGTCTCACTATGGAGGTGAGTGACGAGAGAGAGAATGAGAGAAAGAGACGACACCAGATAGCAAGTGTGTGCAGCATTCAATTCCATAGGCTCTGTAGACACTAGTGAGCTGGATATCTGTCTCCATCCGTCTTTTATTTCGAAATGGAATCTGCATGCCTGTTCCTTTCGAACATGGGATCAATGCCCCCTCTACTGGCTGCCTATCGATATGAGTGCGTGAACGTGTCAAAAGAGCAGCAACTGCAGCACAAGATGTTATTGAGATCTGACATGGAGAGGCTGCAAGAGATCTACTGTAGGCAGGTATTCCCAGCATCATCACCACTACTATCATGTGCCTCGATATGCAAGAGATAATGATTAATGTGTATCTCCAGCTGAGGCTGGCTGGTGGCAATCACAACCACCAACACATACGTAATGCATGGGATCACGATTGCAACCCTGGCACAAGGTTACGTGGAAGGAGAGGAAGAGAAAAGAGAAGAGAGGCTGTGCAGACTAATATTGTCTTGGCGCAGCATCAATGAACGGGAGAAGGGAAAGGCAAAAAGAGAGGACCACCAGTCCCGAACAAATCAGGCCTGTCTGTCGCTTGTGATCCTGTCAGAGATGGCGCCAGGGTACAAAGGGATAGGGGAGGGCCTTCCTCAGTTCAATTGTAATAAGATGGGATCATGTCAGATTCTGCAGCTGCTTTTATCCAAAAAGACACGAATCTCAAACTTCAAACCCCAGCCATTACCCATCTTGTTGAAACCAGTGTCGTCGTGTGTGCACAGGTGAAGTACTATGGCAGGTAAGCACGCAAGGTAGGAACAGGCTGCCGCGTCCCAACATGCTTCACCCTTCGGGCCGCTAGTGAATTTAGTGGTCTTGGACCCTGGCCGGCCTGCTGGGATCCTCTCTTTTTCTCTACACCATAAGCACAATAACTCGCTATGGTGGGTTTCCACAGCGCTTGTCTAATACTGACTCTGCGCAACTTAAACCCACTGCTATGGTACAGTGAGTATCACCACCCTCAACCACGCGACCACACCTACTTCTGTGACCTCGCCGTCTTCGCGGCCCTCACCTTCCACACTGCGCTGCGCCACGCTGAATTGGTGACTTGCTTCAACCCCCCCCCCCCCCCCAAAAAAAAACAACCTCGCTTCTCTTTTCTTGAATTTTAATCTTCCTCTCCCTCTGTCCTTTGCCTCTATTTCTGTTACTATCCTTGATACCCCTCATTTCCCTTTGCCCATCTCGTTTATCTTGTCCTTGCAGCACCGTCTTACGCCCATTCCGTTATCTTTCAGGGGGGGGCCAAAAGCTTCTGCACTTTTTTCTTGCCCTTTTTTTGGTAGAAACCCTTTTTTGTCTCTTTGACTCTCCTGTTGTCGCACTCATCGCGCATTCACAATCTCTCCTCGTGAAACGGATCACAGTACGCAGCGATAAATACACGACCCCCTCGGCCGTTGCGATTATCCGACAAAATGCCTTCGCTCAAGTCACTGGGCAGCAAGATGCTCGGCGGCATCAAGAAGAGAGGGACAGACACAGATACAGGGAATGACAGCGGAGGTAGCGAGTCGGCTGTCGACCTGCAAGCTGGCTCTCCTGAGGTTGTCGCATCAAACAATGTGGTACGTCAACAGCCCAGACACTAGGGCGCTTCCGACGGAAGGAATATATAAGAAGGTAGAGAGAAAGAAAGAGGGAAAGAGAGAGACGAGAGCTGACCATGGTGAACATTGCGTCCACGAACAGAAAGCGTTCTGCGAATCGGGTGGTCCGGGCCGACAAAATGTACGTCACATATTTCCATATCTGCACATCGTTTCTGCTGGCGGTGGAAGACCCTGCGCATGTCGCTGCGTGTGGTACCTGTGGCTTCCCGGGGAGGTACTGCGCGAACAGCTCACAATTGGTCTTGATTTTCCTGTCAGCTTGGACAGGGCCAGTTGAGGCTTGACGCGGTAGAGTCGCGGCTCCGTGTCTGCCTTGCCATTACAAAGAAGAAGAAGGGGGAAAAAAGGACCTTTACTGACGAGGGTGTCGTTGACATAGGGCAACGAAGTCACCTTCCTACCACCGATCGTCGAGTCCGCCGAGTCATCGCCGGCGGCGGCAGCTGCATGCGCGCGGCTAATACGCAAGTTCCTCAAGAAAGACTACTGGTCCAACTCGTCGTATCAGTACAACGCCCTGATGCTCACGCGTATCCTCTCCGACAACCCTGGCCCGTCCTTTACGCGGAATCTAGACGACAAATTCGTTGATGTTCTAAGGGACCTGCTGCGTAATGGGCGTGACCTCTCTGTCCGGCAGATGCTCATGGAGACCCTCGACTCTTTTGAGAACCAAAAAGGCTGGGATGAGGGCCTGGCGGGCTGTATCGAGATGTGGCGCAAGGAGAAGGAAAAGGCTTACAAGGCCTACGGTGTATGTGTCGCTCGAGACCTTTTTTATATATCAGTCCTAGGGATACGATGGTTCGTGCTAATACTATCTTTAGGGACGCGCACCGCCTCCACAGATGCCCATGATGGGCGGCGCGGGCGGTGGAGCAGTCAACCAGCATCTCCAGAATTCCCAGAACTACTTCTCGTCGAACCATCATAGGATGCGTCTGCCCAATCCAGCGGAGCTGGCGTCCCGGCTTGAGGAGGCCAGGACATCAGCCAAGCTATTGACGCAGGTGGTGGCCAACACGCCATCGACAGAGGTCATCGACAACGACCTGGTCAAGGAGTTCGCGGACCGTTGCCTGAGCGCGTCGCGCAGCATACAGCATTACATGGCGGCAGACAACCCGGGCCCTGACAACGAGACCATGGAAACCCTCATTGACGTGAATGAGGAATTGCAGCGGGCCCTCAACAACCAGAAGCGCGCCGTCCTGAGTGCGAGAAAAGAGCTTGGGATTGACGGTCGATCACAGGACCCAAGCCCGCCGCTGCCAGAGACGAACGGCTCGCACCCACCGTCACTCCCCGGTTCCTCCAATGCATTTGCCGGTGCCCCGCCCAGGAGAAGAGACAACGGCAAAGGAAAAGCAAGGCAGTCACAGGTCTCGGCCGAATTCGTCTCGCCGCCATCAGGTCCCCCTCCGGGCCGGCCAGACCCTGTGTCATCCCTCACGGGCCTCGTCTCACCTGTGTCGGATGATGAGGATGGGGAAAACAACCCGTTTCGCGACCCAGAGCCAGCCGGCGCATCTTCATCTTCAGTAGCGGCGGCAGGGAAGAAAGGGGCGGCAGCAATACCACCAACAGCAGGAGGAGCAGCGGGAGGAGGGCGAAAACAACAGTACATGGAGCAACCGAGCCTCGACTACGAACCCTTCCACCCCGGCTTCAGCCAGCCAACCCAGAGCTACCTGGGCCGCCAGGAAAGCGCGCTGGACAAGATCCAGATGTCCGGTGCCGGCTCAGGCTCGCTAGACCGCAGCAGGGACGAGCAGCGCGGAGGAGCAACGAACAATTACAGTAATTACAGGCACAATGGCGGTAGCGCTGCTGCTGCTGCCGGCTCGTCCTCGTCATCATCTGCTGCTGTTCCTCGACCGCGAAAGTATGAGTACGAGGAGGACGAGGAAGGTCACGAGGATGTCTACAATGGAGCTGCGGGTGCTTCCTCATCGGGCAAACAGCCCGCCAACCGCTACTAGGAGACCAAATGGCGGGCTGTGGACGCGCATCACGAACACTCGTATGGTGGTCGAGTGACTGGAGGTGTCGATCACGAGCAGCGGCTACTGAAGGATGTGGATGAGAGGGATAAGAGAGAAGGCGAGGACATCTACATTGGCAGCGAGGGTCATTCTTCTCTAGGTGAGAAGGAAGAACAGAAGAGACGCATGGTCAAGAAAACCTGGCACACGATTCAGGCGTGCCGCCTAATTTCCTGTCGAGACCAAGCACATAAGATACTAAGGCAGTGAGGCGGTCAAGAAGATGGCTGGGGATTTTCGAGTATCGGGTTTAAGGGTTGGCAGAGGCTGCAGGGGCCTGCAGATTTCCTAGAGGAGACCAGTAACACATGTTACGCTTGGCGAAAGAAGAGAATGAGGCAACTCTTCCTCGAGGATGATGGTAAAACTTGTGTGTAGATGAAGCATAGCATTTTTTGAGTACTGGAACGCATTTATACCCTCTTTTCTCCTTTCTGCTCAATTGTCCTTTTCATTACCCCCTCGTCCCCCCAAACAAAATCTTCTGTTTTCCTTTCTCCCCCCCCCCCTTTTTTTTTTCCTTCTTTTTCTTTTCTTTTTCTTCCTTGGGGGTGGGGTTGCTTCTGCACTAGGTTCGCAAAGCTCAGATCACTGCTGAGACTCATGATAATTATGTCTTGCCAGGGAACACTTGAGGTCTGGTTCTTGGGACTTGTTCTGCAGAAATTTACGCATCTATTGATTACCTGCGTACCTATCTTGTCAGTTAGAGTCTGCATCTATGCATATCTGGGGTACCACTCTTTGCCCATCTTTCTTTCTCTCTGTATATCTGTCTCCACCAGCAGAGGAGTCGTCTCACCATTTGCAGGGAAGTTCGGCAGGGTCTGGGCATAGGTATATGCTACCCCGCTCTTTGTTTGTGGTGGGGCTAGCTATTTTCATGCCGAGTCCCGCCCCCCCCGGCCCCTGCTCACCTGCTCAGCTGGCTCAGCATACTACGTACAGTAGGAATGGTGATTCACGCAACGAGAGAAGAAATGATATACAAACGGAAATGAAATGTTGCATTGCCTCTTTGCAGTGTGGTTGTACGAGTTGTTGCTTTCCACCATCTGGGGCGGTCTCGGATGGACTGGGTTGCTGCAAGCTGTTCATTATTGTTGTCATCGTTGCAGGGTGGATCGGTACTATCAACATCATGATTGCTACTGCCACGGTGCAGTGCAGTAGTAGAGCTTCAATTTTTCTTTTGGGGCTTACTGGTGTTACATACTTGTTACTTTTGTCTTTCACGGATATTAGCAGGATTTGGAATTATCCCTCCATCAGAAGAAATAAAACATACGACATGTGATGTGTTCAGCGTGGCATATACGAGGTTTCAAATATAAAACCAAAAAGGTTGGGGGTGCATTCTTGTGCTACGTAGGGCTTCAACGGAAGACGGCACCTTCGTTCAGCGGCCCTGACTCTTTGTACCCAATCACTACTAATTAGCTAGTAGTATCGTGCCTACCAATACAGCGTATTCATTTGTTTACCTACAGCCTCGCACAACATTCATACCCAATACCTGCACATGCACACGCACACGACTCCGCAAACAGACATCATGCATGGCTGAGGCTATCATTATGAGCTACCCCCGCCTTCTGTGAAATTAAACCCTCCTTCTTGCCTGTTCCCTTGCCCTCTCCTTCCTTTCTCTCTCTCTCTTTCTTTCCCCTCTTTTAATAGGTTCAAGCCGTCTCCATCAGGTGATGCACGCGACCCAGCTTTCAAATCAGCCACTGTAGTTTGAGACAGCCTCCGAGATCCCCCTCGTTCCTGGTGCCCTCCGGGAGTCCGAACGCAAGAACCGCGAGATGGCCCAAGAGCTTCACGACTGTGATCGCCGAGCAGGAGCCAGCCGCCCCGGCCCGTCGGGAGGCAGTCCTCTGACTGCCGCCCAAATATATGCTCGTTCTGACCAGTCGTGCCGCCTGCAGATCGAGCGCCTTGCCAGACACGGTGGACCGGACTTGTCAGACGTGAGAGGGGTACGTACAAACGGGTGCTCATGATTCTCCTGTCCATTGCCCAATCCTCCTTAAGCTGACCCATTGATCCTGCGTTGCCGTGGTGCAGTGCCGCATACTCAGTTCCCTACAGGATTCTCTGAGGGGCTTGAGCGAGCCAGCTCCTGGTGATCAGCCCTCAGAGAGAGGTGCTGCGGTCCCTGCCCAGAAGGGCCAAAACATGGCCGACGACAACGAGTCGGCCAAGTCCAGCACCACCGGACCGTACGACCACTTCTTTGAAGACCATATTATCGAGCACAGCATCTATCCCGCCAAGTTTGAATATGCCGACGGTAGCTTTCCGCCACAGCCAGACAACATTTTAGACATGAGAAGGATGCTGTACCAGCCGCGGGATGACCTCCCGGCATGCCCACGTCCCCAAGCGGCATTCGAAAACTTCTGGCGCAAAACAATGTCCAGTCTCTCTGAGGCTCAGGTCGCTGAATTCATCATGCCTTTTGTTGAGGGCCCCGTTATAGACACCCGGGGTGGAGGCAGATACCTGACCAACCTGAATCCCCTCACTGATGGCTCCATCGAGCCAGCTCAGCCAGACCTATATGTCGGTGCCCCTCGCCTCTCACTCGATGATCGGGTTCGTGTTAAGCTCGACGGATTCATCGTACCCACCAAACAGGCCGAGAATCCCATTGTTCCCAACTTTTTTACCCAAATCAAGGGTCATGGAGGATCTGAGACGGTGGCAGCTCGCCAGGCCTGCTACCACGGCACACTGGCCGCCAGAGGCTACCACCGTCTTCAGACCTGGGTGGCAGACGAAGACGAGGAGACTATCCTCAACAAGATTGCGTACGTCATCAGCTGCACCTATCATCTCGGCATGCTCAGGATCTACACCTGCCACCCCATCGCCCCCACCGAGGACGACGCTGGTATCGGCTACACAACCACACTTGTTCGCTCCTTTGTCTTGACTGATACTCCCTGGTCCTTTGAGCAAGGCGTCACTGCGTACCGGAACGCAAGAGACTGGGCAAGGCGCCGTCGAGATGAGATCATCACCCTGGCCAATGCCAAAGCTGCTCGTCTGTATGGCGGCAACAGGTTCTCGGAAGAACCCACTTCGAGCCTTGGAGCTGAAATTGGAGCCAGGATTGGAACCGGAGCTGCGACAGTGCCTCAGGCTGTTGAGCAGCAGCAGCAGCAGCCAAGCCAAGCCGGCCCTAACAGGCCACGCAGCCAGGATGACGACGTGATACTCATCGACGGGTCGGACACCGTTGTAGAAATTGTTGACCCTTTGCCACTCAATCATCTACGGAACCACCGCCTACGTTCCGGGCAACGCAGCCAAATACCATGTTCTGACAAACGCGCTGCCACTTCTGCCGACGATAATAAGAAACGGCACAAAAGAAATAAGAGGTAGATAGGTCATCATCATTAGCTACGGAAGGGGAAATGCCCAGGAGGTCTTCAGCCACGATGTATTGGCCAGAGCAGTGGTGAAAGATGAGGATGGATAAGTCACTTGGTGAAGTCTACAACCTGGGAGGCCCCATATGCTACAGCTTCAATTCCATATCAAATACGAAACCCACTCTTGCATCTTAAGTACCCCTTTGCAGGTCTTCCAATATCCATCGCTACCAGATACATGATGCTGTCTTCAACACACTCTAATAGGCCATGAGACCAACATGAGGGCTTGTCATACTGGAGTTTGGATTGCAATAACGAGTTAACGAGAAAGACGAGAGTGTGAGAGAGATCCTTGGATGCGCTACACCTTTAATTCCCTTTTTCTTTTCTTTTTCTTCGTTTTCTAATTTCCCTTGGCGAGCCTCTCCCTTTCTGCAATGCTGTCATGTGTGAAGCCAATATAGGCGGAATGGTCATGTAGTATGAATAGTTATATCGATAGTGAATGTTGTCGGTGGGCAAAATACGAATTGCAGAAGTAGATTGATGATGTCTTGTCTATATTTTCAGTCTTTTTTATGTGCGCTTATGTGGTCACAGAGTACCCATTGGACAAGCTAACCCCCCGCCCTCCTTCTCTTTCTCCTTGATATACAAAGGATTTGACTCAGTGGATATATATCACAGTGGGAATGAAATCATTTGTACAAACAAGTAGATGAGATAAATAGCACGAAGCAAGGAGCTTGCCGAGGGTGAGTAAACAAGTTCGATTGTGGTTCTTCTGTGGAACATCTCGTCCACCTCTGGCGAGCTCTGTCGCCACATTTTCGATGAGGGCTACTGGTCCTCTTTGAGATGCCCAGATATCAGTCTGCCTTATTATGAGACCATGCTTCGGTTGTCCCGGTCCAGGTCTTCTTCTTTTCCGTTCTGCCCTTGCATGCTGTCTTTCAACTCGCTACTGTTCCCAGACAACGATGATCTATACTATAATGTATTCACCAAAGGCACTGTTGCTAGCACAGCAGGAACTCATGACCTGCCATGTCCAAGAGGACGTTGAACTCGAGATAAGTTCGTTGGTTGGATTGAGTGATGTACTTATGGTAGGGTTAAGTTTAGGGGTTGTAAGTGTCCTCTGTGGACAAGGGTGGTGGAATCCAAGCGGTGGGTACGGGACCACTAGGCACTATTACGGTACCTCTAATGGAAGCTAGGCGCTAAGTGTTACAGGTACCTTGTAGCCCGTTGGGCACTATTCTTGCTAATAGTATGGTGAAGTTCCCCGAGCTTATAGTGCAGGCCAAGGACCCCCGCCAAATGGACCCCCCGGTACTTTGTGTCTAGGCAGCACCACTTATCTGCTATCTGTTGGAATACAGGGGCAGCTGCCCCTCAGCATGTGATCCCACCTTGCCTCATGAGGGGCGTCTCCCGCATCATTGGACTCTCTTCAGTTCAACCTCGAGCTTTGGCCAACCCCCCTTCCTTCTTCCTCCTGACATCCATCATCATCATCTTCTCATTCAACTACTGCTTGTGAGAACAGCTCTCATCTTTGCTATCTGTCTCTCCCTCTCTCTTTCTCTGTCTTCCTCTCCTAACACCAGCTCGAAAGAAGAAGAAAAGAGGATCTCATCAACCTAGAAGAGGCCATTATCATAGTAGCATTACTAAACCTCTTTGGCCCAGTATGAACCTTCTCTACTCGACCGTCAACACCCTCAGGGACAAGTACACACCTGTCACGACCACCTCGACCTTCCGAAAGACGGGTCAGATCACCCCTGAAGAGTTTCTCGCCGCCGGCGACTACCTAGTCTTTAAGTTTCCGACCTGGTCCTGGGCAGATGCCGACCAGGCCTCGCGGCGCGTCAGTTACCTGCCCGCTGGCAAGCAGTTCCTGGTGACCCGCAACGTGCCCTGCTACCGCCGCCTCAATGCCGATTTTGCGGGCGATGCAGGCCGCGAGGAGACTCTCGTCCGCGATGGCGAGGACTTTGGGGGCGGCGTTGCGGGGGGCGACGAGGAGGGATGGCTGCAGACAGGCGGGCCATCTGGCAGCCAGCAGGGCAAGCCGCGCGAGATACACACTGTCGATGACGCAGGCAACGTCGGTGACGGCGAGGCCGTGGAGGATGATGATGACATCCCAGATATGGAAGACGAGGATGATGACGAGGCTATAATCCCGGATGCGCATGGTGATGCTACCAACAGGTATGTAGCCCTCTGGCTGGTTGATCGTGGTAGTGGTGGTGGCCTTATTTAAGATGCTCAACTAATTCCCCCCCCCTCTCCTCTCTCTCATGTAGTGGCCGACGGACGTACACGCTCTATATCATGTACTCGCCCTACTACCGAACGCCACGGCTCTACATGTCCGGCTACGCACCCGACGGTCAACCTCTGCAGCCACAGTTGATGATGGAGGACATCGTTGGCGACTACAAGGACAAGACCGTGACGCTGGAAGATTTTCCATTCTTCGCCAACAATATCAAGATGGCCTCGGTGCACCCTTGCAAGCACGCACCCGTTATGAAGACGCTGCTGGACCGGGCTGACGCCGCCCTCAAGCTACGTCGCGAGAAGCTCAAGGCCGGCCAGAGCGTCGGCATGGACCGAGGCATGGAGGGTCTTGTGGACAATATTAATAAGCTTGACATCTCCTCGGCCGGGCTTGCAGCGGACAAGGGCAGTGGGGACGAGTGGGAGGAGGTCAGCCACGACGTCGACGACAACGAGGTTGCCATTCGAGTGGACCAGTACCTGGTGGTGTTCCTCAAGGTATGCATGCATGCACTGTCCCTTACCCTGCCACCTTACAGTTCATTGGATTTTTGGGATGGGGAAATTTTGCATGACTGACAAATCATCTTCTAAAACAGTTCATCGCGAGCGTGACGCCAGGTATCGAGCACGACTTCACCATGGGCGTCTAGACAATTTCATAATGATGATGATGACGATGACGCCCCTTATTTTTCTCCATTTGCCTTGTTTTCCTGCTCCTTCCTCAGTGGTCCTTTTTTCTTTGATCATGTAACGGCGTTTTGAGATGTGGGGATATAGGAGTACTTGGTGATCACCTGATTACTCGGGGAGTTTGTCGAGAACGGGTTTGAACGGGTTTGATACCGTAAGACTGTATCTGAATCGCACGGTGTGTATGCAGTGACTACCAGATAGCCTTCTCATACAGAAACAAACAGCGCAGCACCAAAAGATTGATACCGACTTGAATCCATCTCCCTTCTGAGGCACTATACATCGCATAAAGAGGCCCACGGCGACTCGAGTGAGTTCAGCCATCATCTTTCTCAACCCGGATTGCAGCAGGATTCAAGGTCATCTGTGTTGGTAGATCGATAGACAGACTTTCAACCCGCCCTCCTTGGCTTCGCCTAGGAATGTGATGGTATGCCTTCCCCCCTTTTTCAGAAAAGAAGCAGACTCCGAATGCATGGGCCGGCAGCCAGCTATGTGAACGGTGGTCGACCAGCTGGAACAGTACAAGCTGCAGCACCACATCCCGGGTCCTCAAATGCTAAGCCCCGTGTTCAGCGCGGCGGTCAACGGCTCCGAGGCGCGGCTGGTCGTGGCGTGGCGCGAAAGTGGACAGTACCTCACGCGCAAGGTGGACAGCTTCCTGTTGCAGAGGTGCGGGGACTTCCGTCTCTTCCGCACGTACATCCTCAATATCATCGACTGGGGCTGCAACAGCCGTGTCTGGATGTTCAAGAACTCCCTGAGAGCTATCGAGACTACTACGAGGGCCCCGTCAGGAGGGGGCAGCTGCTCTGGAGGAGTGGGCAGTGTTGGTTTGAAATTGTGGGTCCAGCAGAGGTTGGCCCCAAAGGTTGGATGACCTTGTAGGTTATTGAAGGCTGACTGTAGGCGTTGGCTCACTGCATTCCCAGGGCCTTGATGTGCTGGACTATCCCCTGAATTTGTGGCAGGTGTAAGTGCAGGATGTAGCAGCAAAGATTGGCATAAAGGAGGCTGGGGCAGACTATAGGCACTGGCACGCTTCAAATTTTCAGACTCCTGATATGATATACCCCCCAAACCCCAAGTACATCTCCCTGATACATTTTCTTCGTATGGTACTATAGGGTATCATGGTACTAAATGTGTAGGGCATGCATGCATACATGAGGGCACCACTCAGTACAGGCAGCACTGGCACCAAAACATTACCTCCGGCACCCTTTAAGAGAACAGGCGAAACTGACTTCACATCGGAGACAGAGAGACCATTTCAAGAGCGAGCACCAGAAGAACGAAGGAATTATTGTCTACATTGAAATTCAGGAAGATCTATTGCATATCCCATGACCCTTTTTCGCCAAACCACTATACAAACATGATAAGAAAGGAAAGGAAAGAAAGGAAAGAATAATAAGAGAAGTAGAAGAGAACATTCTGAAGAAGCCTTGGAATACAGCAAACAAGGCTTGATGAAGACGGTTCTGAAGACAGATCCAAAAAGACACACAAGAACAGGAAAAAGCCTCTCTCTCACACACACACACCTCCACATACCATCATCCTCGCTGCTATCCATTGTCATTTGCCAATCTTATATGGAGCGTCGAGTATCAATTCCTATACAAGCAATCTCTCTCTCTCTCAATCGACATATTTCAACCTACTCTCCTCCGTTCAGATATGGCAGAGCCTCTCCAATGCAACGGTGCAGCTCCGTAACCTAAAATAGACAAGATGGTCAGCTTCTGTACTGGTGAAAAGAAGGAGGAGGAGGAGGTATAAGGAGAGGAAGAAGAAGGCTACTACTCACATCTGGGGGCACTGGCATGGACAGATGGTCTGCCTCTGCAACAAGAATCTTGATCTTGTCACCAACAAACTTGTCCCAACCGTTGGGACCCAGGTCGCCCTCCTTCTTGCTGGGGACGGCCCAGGCGACAGGGCCCAGGCTGGGGTCCATCATGAAGTTCTCGCCCGACTCGGTGCGGACGTTGAGCATGGCCATCATGCCCAGAACCTTTTGGTCCGACTTGGCCCGCTCGACAAGACCACGTCGGCCCCAGATGATGCACACCTTCTCGGGCCTGTCCTCCTCCGCCATGGGCTCGGGGTCGTAGTGGCACACGGCACGCACGATCTGGCGCTGGTGCTGCTGGGCAAACTGCGAGGCCATGCTGCTGGTCCAGAAGGACCGCTTGTCGGGAGGAGACAGCCTCATCAGCACGGCCAGGCCCTGCTCGGGCACGCTGTCGATGGTGTCGACCATGGAGCGAGGGCAGCACATGTCGATCAGCAGCAGACCCTGGAGTTTCCTCCCCGTCTTGGCCAGCTGGCGGGCGACCTCGTAGCTGATGGTGGCACCTCCACTGTAGCCACCGATCAGGTACGGGCCCTGGGGCCTCATCTTGATGATGGCCTCGACCACAAGACTTGCCAGGCCGGGGATACCCGTCTTGCGCGACAGCTTGCCAGGGCAGCGCAGGAAGGGGGACTCGATGGCGTACACGGGCAGGCCAGAGCTGAACTGGGGCAGATGGATGTACGTCGCAGCTGTTCCGGAGCCATCAGGGATCAGGAACAGGGGCGTCTCCTTGGACGTGGGCTTGCCCTGCATCAGAACGATCTTGGCCTTGGGAATTGTCGCATAGTCGATGGTCTCGGGGTCTTCTTCCTCAAACTTGAACACAGACATGTCCTTGACCAGGGATGCTGGGTCCATAGGCAGCTTGGCCGCCACAGAGACAGGAGCCTTCTTGGCTACTGGCTTTGGTGTCTTCTTGGCAACAACTGGAGCTGGAGCCGGAGCCGGCGCTGGGGCTGGCGTAGGAGGAAGAGCAGGCTTCGGGGCGACGACAACCTTCTTCTTCTCGACCACAGGGGCAGGAGCAGGAGTAGGAGCAGCAGCAACAACAGGAGGCTCTTCCTCATCCGTGACATCGGTATCGTCCTGCACAGGAGACGAACGACCAGAAGAAGACCCAACAGAAGAGGAAGACGGTCCTGCACCCTCCATATTGGCAAACTCCTGACGAAGATCTCCAATAGTTGGGTACTCGAAGACAAAAGTGGGAGGGATCTCCACACCCGTCTCGTTCTTGAGGGTGGCACAGATCTGAATAGCCATGATGGAGTCGACACCCAACTCGGTCAACACTGCATCATCGGCCAGTTCGTCCAAGGAAGTGCCAGTCTCGTTGGCGATGGCCTGCAGGAAGCTCTCGAGCACATTGTGGGATCCAGAGGACGCCTTGGGAGCAGCCACAACACCATCCTCGTCGAGGGACTCAATGTCCTGCTCGACAGGATCGTCAAATTCCTCTTCTGCGGATGCTGGCACCATCTCATAGTCTTCTTCTTCTTCTTCATCGTTCTCTGCCTCCTCGTCACCATCCTCTGCACCAGGCTCGCCATAGACATCCTTGAACTCCTCACGGAGGGCGCCAATGGTTGGGTACTCGAGACCCCAAGTGGCAGAGATGTCGTAGCCTGTGGCGCCCTTGACGGCAGCCGAGATCTGGATCGCCATGATGGAATCGATACCAATCTCGCCCAGCACCGCATCGTCCGTCAGCTCGGCCTTGTCTGTGCCCGTCTCGGACGAGATGGCATCCAGAAGTGTCTCGAGGACACTGACCTGTCCACTAGATGTGGTGGCTGCCTTCTTCTTGACCACCTTCTTGGGCTTCTTTTCCGCAGCAGCCTTCTTGACGGGCGCAGGAGCAGGAGCAGCCGCCTTGGCCTTGGGAGCAGCCGCGACAGCCTTCTTTGGGGCAGACGCAGGTCCTGCAGCGGAAGCACCAGCAGCGGGCTTCTTGCCCAGGGCCCTCTCCAAGGTAGTGTACTCGACCTGGTGGAAGTGCAGGTTGGAGCACTGCATGATGAGCCTGTTCCCAGCCTTGACGTCAAACACAAAGACGTCGCAGATGAAGCTCTCGCCCTCGTTCTTGGTCACGCGCACATAAGAGAAATACTTGTGGCCTGCTGCCAAGGGCGCCGTCTGCTCGCTCTTGTCGAAGCCACCCATCATGAACATCTTGCCCTCGGGGCGCTCCGGGTTGACATTGGCCACAAACCCAGCCAGGTGCACCAGACTGTCTGACCAGTACGGGCTGGACTTGGTGTTGGGATCGGTGGGATCCTGCTGGAGGACAACCTCGGCAGCGGCCTCCTTGAAGTCAGGCGAGATGTAGGCTTCCTGCAGGCCCATATAAGGACCGGCATACTTGACGGTGTTGCTGAAGAGGCTGTAGAAGATGGAAGGCTTGAAACGGTGCCCATCTCCCTCCTTGGCGGCACGGACAATATCGTTCATGCGGGCCTGGACAAAGTACGACGTCTTGTCCCAGTCGCCCTGCAGCTTCTTGTTGTCCACCACTTGGAACTTGCAGCTGCCCAGGTCGAAGGACATGGGGCCGTTGGACACCTTGAAGGTGGCCGTGAGGGTCTTTTCTGTCGGCATGGTGATGGTGGTGAGGATCTCGGCCGTAGACTCGCCCGTGGGCATGCTGAAGGGACGGTTGAACGAGGGTGTGAGAAGGGCCAGGTCGACGTTCTTCTTTCCGAGGGCCTCGAGCGTATATTGGGCGCCCTCCATGCCCATCTCGCAAAAGACGCCGCCGGGGCAGACAGGAACCTCGCGCAGCCTGTGGCCCAGGATAGCAGCCTTGAGCGCAGGATCCGCAGCGCTGCTCCTGAAGGTCACCTCCACCTTGGGAGACAGCGTCTTCTTGACAACATAGTGCAAGACTGCAGACATGGGCCGCTCGACAACTGCAGGGGCAGAAGGAGCAGCAGCAGCAGAAGCAGCAGCAGCAGGAGCAGCAACTGGCTGGGGGGCCTCTCTGGGCTCTGTCCACTTGATCCAGTATTCCTTGAGATCCCAGTTGTAGGAAGGAAGAGTCGAGATGTGCTTGACCTGGTTCCTGGTAACAAAAGGCTCATGCACGGCCACCCAGTCAATCTCGACACCTGCCTTGTACAGAGTGGCCAGGGACTTGGAAACACCCGTCCACGACTGCTCCTTGGCGCTCTCGAGGGTCGATGCGATGCGCTCGAGGGGCACATTGAGAGTGGCATGGGTGAAGGAGCCCAGGACACGGCTGGGACCAACCTCGAGGTAAACGGGGTTCTTGAATTTCTCGGCCACAGCAGCCAGAGCGCCGGCATAGTTGACCTTCTCGCGGGTCTGGCGCATCAGGTACATCTCGGCAATCATGCCAGGCTTGTCGACAATCTCAGCAGCCAGGGTCGAGACCAGAGGAATTTTGGGCTTGGAATAGACGACACCACGAGCCAGGGCGGCAAAGTCGTCGAGGACAGGGTCGACCTGGACCGAGTGGAAGCCATAAGGGACAGACAACTCCTTGGACCGGATGGGACCGCCCTCGGCCTTCTCCAGACCGGCTTTGAGCATGGCGATCTCGTCGGCCGTGCCAGAGACCACAGTGGCCTTGGGGCTGTTGAGACAAGCCACCTCGCAGCTCGACAGCTTCTTGACATACTCGTCGACCTTCTCCAGAGGGGCAAACACGCTGAGCATGGAGCAGGCTCCTGGCACGCATCGCTCCAGGACCAGCTGCGCCCTCTTGCCGACCAGGAAGAGCACGTCCGTCAGGGACAGCACACCAGAGACGTGCAGGGCCGCGTACTCGCCCAGGGAGTGGCCCATGACGGCAGCTGGCTCGACACCAGCAGCACGCCAGAAGGCAGCCAGGGCAATCTCGAGGGCCACGACGGCCAGCTGGGTCTGGGCAGTGTCCTTGGTGGTCATGTCGACCTCTGGGTCGGTGATGATGTCCAGGAACTCTGGGAAGTTGTTCTGTCGGCAGATGGACACGGAGAGATCCACAATGTTGCGGAAGGCAGGCGAGGTCTGGTACAGTTCAGCACCCATGCCAGCATAGTGAGAGCCCTGGCCGGTGAACATGAAGACGACAGGAGGAGGTGTTGTCTTCTCGACCTTTGCGTCGGCCTTGATGTCGGCGTCCAGCTTGCTGACAGCCTCCTTGATAGAGGTGGCAGTGAAGGCAGTGCGGATGGGGTAGTGAAGCCTGCGGGCCGTGAGGGCATAGGCGAGATCCTCAATGCGGTAGTCGTCCATGCTGGCACGAAGGAAGTTCAGAAGACGCTTCTTGTTCTCGGTGTGCGAGAGGGCGCTCTTGGCAGACAGCGTGATGGTGTGGCAGCTTCGAGGGTCGGCGTCCTTGTCGAGGGGCTTGGGGTAGTCCTCGATGAGCAGGCAGGAGTTTCCACCAGAAGCGTCAAAGTTGTTGAGGATGATCCGACGTCTCTTGTCGGACGCATACTTGAACTCGGCCCGCTGGCTGGGGATGTCGATCTTGAGGGCCTTGAGGTCTGGGAACTTGGGGTTGAGCTTGTGCGGCATGTTGGCCACAGGAGGGAGAAACTCCTCCTGGAGGGACAGCACACACTTGAGCAGCGAGGCGATGCCTGCTGCGGCCTCGGTGTGGCCCACGTTGGCCTTGACGGCGCCCACACGGAGGGGCTCCTTGTCGTTCTTGGCCCGCTTGAAGGTGTTGGCCACGGCGGTCATCTCGGCCAGATCACCGACCTGCGTGCCCGTGCCGTGCATCTCGACATAGTTGACCTCCTCAGGCGTCACCTGGGCCTTGCGGAGGACCTGTCGGAACAGCCTCTCCTGCGCGCCCGCGTCTGAGGTCGTGATGGAGGGGGCATTGCCTGCGTGGTTGCGTCCAGAGGCAGCAATGACGGCCAGGACGTTGTCGTTGGCGGCCACGGCATCCTCGAGACGTTTGAGGACCACACAGCCAGAGAAATCACCACGGCAGTAGCCGTCCGCGTCGTCACGGTACGTCTTGCAGTTGCCAGTGGTGCTGAGGACACCAGCCCTCGACAGGGCAGAGAAGGTGTGGGGAGAACTCATGACGGTGCTGCCACCGGCGACGGCCATGTCGCACTCACGAGCCAGCAGCTGGTGGCAGGCCATGGTGATGGCAGAAGCGGACGAGGCACAGGCGCTGTCCACCTGATACGTCGGGCCTTCCCACTTGAAGTGGAAGTTGACGCGGCCCGGACCAAAGGCCTTTTGCATCCCCTGCATGTTGTAGGCATCACAGCCCAGCTGGTGGCTGTTGGCGCGCCAGTCGTCGACGCTCTGGCCAAAGAAGGCGCCGATGCGGTTGGGGTCGGTCACCCTGGTGCGCCCTGCGCTGTAGCCCGACATCTCGAGGGCCTCGTAGACGCACATCAGCCACAGACGGTGGCAGGGCTCCATGAGGAGGGCCTCGCGCTGCGAGATGTTGAAGAAACGAGCGTCAAAGGCGCCCGGGCGGTCAATGAAGCAGCCGTGGCGCGCATTGGTGGTGCACTTGCCCTTGTGCGTCGGGCTGAAGAACTCGTTGATGTCCCACCGGTCCGAGGGGATCTCCTTGTGCACATCCTGGCCCGTGATGATGATGCGCCAGAAATCAGAGAGGTCCTCTGAGCTGGGGGCCCGGCCTGCGAGGCCGACGATGGCCACCTTGCCCGACTCAACCGATGGGGAGATGGGAATCGACATGGGAACGCTGTGCTCGTACCGGGTGGTGACGTCCTTTCCGGCGGCCTTGAGCTGGTCGGCGACGAACTTGTCGTGAGGGCTCACACCAATCACGTTCAGGTCGATGGAGGAAGACTTGATCAGGGCGGCACGGTTCTTGACCTCGTCCACAATGTTGAAGGGCTTGCAGAGGATGGAGTCGCAGGCCGCGCGCACCACGGACCGCCATGTGCCGTTGCCCACGGGAAGATCCAGAAGAGGGGAGTCACCGACGACGCCATCGAGTTCTGCATCCGTCAGGTTGAGGGAGTGGTGCAGGGCATGCACGGCCATCTCCTGCTTGGTGAGGTTCTTGACGGCAGGGCACTGCTTGAGGACCTTTTCCAGGACAGAGGGCGGTCCGATGATGGTGCTCCAGCCCTGTCCGATGACGGCTACGCGAACCTTCTTGACCTCTGGTATGCCCTGTAGTTTGTTTGGTGTGTCAATGAAACTGATACATGTGGACAGGCAGATAGATAGATAGAAGAGAAAGTGAAAAAAAAAAAAAAAAAAAAAAAAAAGGGAAGGAAACTCACCATGCTGCGCTGAAAGTTGTCAAGGGCCGTCTTGAGCTTGTCGGCCGTGATACCAACCAGAGTCCACCCCCAGTTGGCCGTCGAGATTTCGGTGGCCCTCGACCGGTAGTAAGAAAACACCTCCATCCGGCAGAGCACCCTCGTCATCTCCAGACTGGCCTCATAAAATGAATCAAAGTCCTGCGCCACCTCCAGGGCTGCCGTGTTGAGAAGACCACCACAAATTGGTATCGTCTCGGCATCGTGGATCAGATTTGGTTCTCTCTTTACGCATCTATTGATTCTGTTAGAAATAGAAGAACAACAAAAAAGGAGAGAGGCAAGCGGAAAAGAGCAGAAGAGAAGAAAAGAAAAAAGAAGGAAAAGTGACGTCTAGTGATCACCACGATAATGACAAAAAAAGACTTACTGCAAAAGGAGGGCCTGTCGCATGATAAATACCAACATGCCGTGCGACATGCCCACTGGGTCAGGCTTGGTCCGGTACTTGTCTGCAAGCTCCTGGAAGGTGTGAAAGACGCCCATGGTCTCCCGGAGCGTCGACTCCCAGTGCGTCATCTGCTCCTTGAGGATGGCCACATTGTCGGCAAGAAAAGACGCCAGCCATGGCTGTGTCTCGGCCTGCTTGTACAGGTAGTCGATCCCCTGCACAAATGGGTCATTCTGATCTCCCACCAGGAGAACAGTCTTTGTTGTGGACCCCATTGCGCTGAATTTGGTTTCACTTCTACTTATGGCGGGCTGGCTGGTTGGCTGGCTGTTGAAGAAGCTTTTCTTTTTTTTCTTCCCTTTCCGTCAAGCGAGCGGTGGTGGTGGGAAAGAAGAAGAAAGGGGGAGGAAGAGAGGAGAATTGGTCTATGGGTATCCAAAGGTCATTGGGATAAAGGGAAGAGGGGGGGAAGAGAGAATGTGTATGTGTGTATGTATATGAGTGAGTGAGGAATGGTAGATGGATGGAGAGGAAGAAAGAGGGAATGTGTGTGATGAACCAAAAGGAGCCACAGACAAGACACAGAGAGAGGAGGGAGAGAGAAAGAGGAAGACGGTGGTGAGGCTCCTAGGACGGATGTCTTTAAGGATGATTCGCAAACTCGGGACAAGGCTTGATATTCTCTTTCTCTCTCTCTCTGTCTCTCTCTCGTCCCAGACCCAAAAGTGCCAACACCGGGGTTGCCACATTACCACACAAAGTAAGCCCTCTCACGAACGTGCCGTGCCAGGGGGGAAAGGGTGGTCCAGCCCAAAGTCCCCAGTCGGGTGGCCCCCTTCCTCGGGCTTCTTGAGGCCTCAACATTGTTGCCCGGGCTATCATTATCAGATCTTTCTTCTTGCTGTTGTACGAGGAAATATCATCAACAGCCCGAAACGGCAGACGGATATCGGTCGGCTGTTGGAAAGGGTAGTATGAATTAGGAAGTTGAGGGCCCCCAAGCTGGCCCTCGGGACATTCGCTTGTCGGGAGGCTAGCCCCCAGAGACAAGTATCATCTCATTGTGTGGAGGAGCAGGGCTAAGAGAAGGAGGAGCAAGGGGAAGTCTGCAGAGATCCAACCCAAGACGAGCGGGCGCAGAAGTCCCGAATTGCCCGTATCAAACTACCGGTCGGGGCTTCTCGATCTAGAATAGAGAGAGAGGGAGAGGCAAGTAGTGAAACATCCGAGCAAAGTGGTGGGTGTTGATTTGAGGGGGACCCTCGATTTGTGTGGGCCCAGACGTATGTAAGACCCCAGCCAGCTTCCTTTCATGGCATGCAGACAATCTTATCGACCATAATGGAGGCAGAGACAGAGAGAGAGAGGAACTCCTAACCCACCTTTTCCTTCAAGCCACCCCTAACAGAAGACTGCAGGCAGGACCATGTGGCAGCCACCCGAGGATGGATCCATGGCAACCCAAAACCCACCACCCACAAGCCCCGTCGCATACTATAGATGCTATGGTAGTGGCAAGCATGGTGGAGCTTTTTTGCCCTTGGGGACTGTGGGTCCCCGACGGGCGCCTCAACTGGAGGCTGGGTGCATCTAAGGGTCCAACACTCTACTGTACCCGCTCGTACATCAACTTTGAGGTACGAGGGAGAGAGGAGAGGGAGAGGGAACCAGAGGACATGGGATGGATCCAGTAATACCAGGGTACTGCGGTACATACCCATAGTAACGCAGTAGCACCTTGGCACCGGGAGCTGAAGGAGACCACTCACTGGCCACGACATGAAAAGAGAAGCGAGAGGCCATAAGAGATCCACCTGGCCTGTCACCACAGCGACTGATGGCCTATTTCTCAGCTCACCTTGAAGCCGGTGATGATCTTCCGTTGCAGTCTGCCACATGCTTCTTCTGGAAATCATGGAGGCAACTCTGGGACCCTATCCGGCAGCTGGGGCACGAGCCAGCACACTCCGGGGATGGAGCAACGAGGGGAGTGACGGAGGGCGCGACAAGGCGAGGCGCGTCCAGGTGGGCGCACGTATGATGATAGAGAGAGAGAGAGAGAGCTTCTAGAAGGGATTCTTGGGCTTTTTTTCCTGCAAATGCGAGATTGCAGCTGCACTGCATGATCCCAAGAAGAAGACTGCGTTGCAGTCTAGGCTTGAGTTTGAGTCCCGAACCCATGCATGCACATGTGGAGACTCAATGGGGTTTGTGACAGAATCGAGAGAGAGAGAGAGAGTAGGCTAATCTTCCCTTTTTTTTCCTTCCATTTTTGCATAGAAAGAAGAGAGACAGTATTGACTCACTGTTGAGGGCATCACAGACTCTCTCCACTTGGCTCTTGTGTGCGTGGCGATCGTAAGGGATGGTGGTGAAGTGTTTGTTGAGTAGCCAAGATGGAAAACCCGCCGTCATAATCTGCAACGCATCCAAAAAGACCCAAGACCAAATAGAAAAACCCCACCCATGATCTACCTATAACCCGACACCCCTGCTCTGATATCGACAGGGCTGGGATCTCGGATACACCCCCATGGTGTGTATTCATGATAGGAACTAATACAACTCCCACACCCTCCACACTCCGCACCACCCACACCCCCTCCACCCCCTTGTCAAAAATAACACCCACAGAGGCTCCGATCTACCGAGCTGTGGGTATTCCAAAGGAGGGTCTGCACCAACGAAAAATCCGAGAAATACATCCACTCAAAAAAACAAAACAAAGAAGAGGACCCCCCCAGATGGGAAGTCCACCAGGGAGGTAGACAGACACGCAGTTAGCCGGACAAAGTACCGGAACATTGGACTGATTTCGGGCTTCGAAGCTCGGGACATCTGGGCTTGAGTATATCCACGGGGCGATAAACACTGATAGGCCGTTTTGGGAAATATGCACCACGAAACAAACAGTATCAGCAAGGGCGTTCTGGATGTCATTGGGGAGGAGGGGAAAAAGTAACATGGCACAGTAAAGCTGTACTACGGTGGTTGTAAGTCCCTCCACAGTTGGGCCACGCCCACACCACCAAAGGCTCGACAGGGAAATATTGAAATAGATTCAACATTCCCTCTTCAGCTCATGGTGTGTGTGCTGTCTTGGTTCTTTGGATCTCCAATGTTCTTGTGAAGCATTCCCTCACAGCGACCCTTTTCTCTCCCTCGTGGTACAAACCCTCCCCCATTGTTTCCCAACTCCCAACAACGACAACAAACGCCCTTCTCACGTCCCACTTTGGTAGCGCAAAGGCACGTTTGAAGCACCTTTTCAAAGTTTGTTTCGTTGTACCAAGAAAGAGAAAGAGAACGCTTTCAAGCCCTCGCCAATCATCTCACAAGAACATCCAACACAATCGTTCATTCTTTTCTTCCCTCCCCCTTTCCCTCCCAGTCGTCGACTTATACACAAAAGTCCCAAACAATTTCCTTACGGTCTCGACTCTTCCTCGAGTTTATTTCTAAGAAACCACCGTCAAGATGTCGACAACTCCCAATGTTCCTCTGGCCATTGTCGGTCTGGCCTGCCGATTGGGTGGAGATGCCACCAACCCTTCCAAGTTCTGGGACATGCTCAAGAACGGCCGAGGTAAGTCGAATCTCGTTACATGAGAGGGTGAAAAGAAAGAGAAAAGTATATATGAAGAAGAAAAAAAGGAATATAAAAATACACGAGAGGAGGGACAAAGGAGGAGGGGAAGGGGGAAAAACAAGCAAGAATAATGATTGGAGGAGGAGAGTTGCCAGGGTTGTCCTTGTCAACCCTTACCCTCACAACTTATCCTCGCAACTTCCCTCACGATCTTCTTTCCCCCAACCTTGCCTTCCCTTCTTGAGAAACCTCAACAACAACAAATTTCGGCCTCATACTGACTTGGAAAAAAACCCCCACCAACTTGTTCAACAACAGATGCTCACTCTCCTACCTCCGATCGGTGGAACCCCGATGCCTTCTACCACCCCAACAAGAGCACCCTCGGTACTGTCCCTACCCCTGGCGGTCACTTTGTCAAGGAGGATGTCTACGCCTTCGACGCCGCTTTCTTCAACCTCCCGGCCTCTGAGGCTGTCGCCATGGACCCTCGGCAGCGCATGGCCCTCGAGGTTGCCTACGAGCTGTTTGAGGCCGCTGGTATGCCATACGAGAAGGTCAAGGGCTCCCAGACAGCCGTCTACATCGGCGCTGGTCTGTCCGACTACGAGGCCTCGATCCAGCGAGACCCCGAGTACGCTCCCAAGTACGCCCTGACCGGCGTCTCGCACGAGATCCTCGCCAACAGGATCAGCCATTTCTTCGACATGCACGGCCCCTCCATGACCGTCGAGACCGCCTGCTCCTCCTCCCTGGTGGCCATCCACCTGGCCTGCCAGAGCGTCCGCAACGGCGAGGCCGACATGGCCGTCGCTGGTGGTGTCAACCTGATCCTGAACCCCGAGATGACCATCCAGCTCAGCAACCTGGGCTTCCTGTCGCCATTTGGCCACTGCCGCTCTTTTGACAACGATGGTGATGGCTACGGCCGTGGTGAGGGCTGCGGTCTCATCCTGATCAAGAGGCTCGCTGATGCCGAGCGCGACGGCGACCCCATCCGTGCCGTCATCCGTGGCTCCGGTATCAACTCGGACGGTTGGACCCAGGGTATCACCCTGCCCAGCGTCGACGCCCAGGCAGCCCTCATCCGCGACGTCTACAAGAACTTTGGCCTCGACATGGAGAGCACCCAGTTCGTCGAGTGCCACGGCACCGGCACCAAGGCTGGTGACCCAGTCGAGGTCCGCGCCATCCACGAGACCCTCGGCTCCAAGGCCAGCCCCTCGCGCAAGCTGATTGTCGGCTCCGTCAAGCCCAACATTGGCCATCTTGAGGCCGGTGCCGCCGTCGCTGGTGTCATCAAGGGTATCCTCGCCATGGAGAACGGCATGATCCCCCCTCAGGTCTACCTGAACAAGCTGAACGAGGGCATCCCCTTTGACGACTGGAACATCCACGTCCCCCAGAAGCTCACCCCCTGGCCCGTCACCGACGTCAAGCGCATGTCTGTCTCCTCCTTCGCCATGGGTGGCACCAACGCCCACGTCATCCTCGAGGGCGTCGACAAGCGCAAGGGTCACCCTCTGCTCACCAGCGGCTCTGACAAGACCACCGGCTCCATGTTCACCACCAAGGAGCCCGTCCTGGACAAGAAGCGTCTCTTCACCTTCAGCGCCTCCGACCAGGCCGGCCTGGAGCGTGTTGCCCAGACCCTCGCCGACCACCTCGACAGCCTCGGCCCCACCTCTAGCAACCCCGAGTACATTGCCAACCTCGCCTACACCCTGGGCGAGGGCCGCTCCAAGCTGAGCTGGAAGACCACCTGCGTCGCCGAGAACGGCTTCGAGCTGCGCGAGAAGCTCGAGTCCCTCAAGGGCGCCAACGCCGTCCGCTCCTCGGGCGAGCCCCGCATCGGCTTTGTCTTCACCGGCCAGGGTGCCCAGTGGGCCGGTATGGGTGCCGAGCTCCTCGAGCGCAAGGCCTTTGGCGAGTCCTTCAGGAAGTCGGCCGAGTACCTGCGCGAGTGCGGCTGCGAGTGGGATGCCGTCGAGGAGCTCTGCCGCCCCGCCAGCGAGTCCCGCGTCTCCGAGCCCGAGGTCTCCCAGCCCATGTGCAACATCCTCCAGGTCGCCCTGGTCGATGAGCTCCGCGCCTGGGGCGTCAACCCCTCCAAGGTCGTCGGCCACTCCTCTGGTGAGGTCGCTGCCGCCTACGCCATCGGCGCCCTGAGCCACAAGGACGCCGTCACCGCCGCCTACTACCGTGGCCAGGCCTCTGGTCTCATCAAGACCAAGGCCAGCCACCTCAAGGGAGGCATGATGGCTGTGGGCCTCGGCCGCAAGGAGGCCGAGAAGTGGATCGAGAAGGTCGACGCCGGCACCGTCATTGTCGCCTGCGTCAACTCGCCCGAGAGCGTGACCCTCTCTGGCGACGTGGCCGGCCTCGACCAGCTGCTGCCCCTGCTCGAGGAGGAGAAGATCTTTGCCCGCAAGCTCAAGGTCGATGTCGCCTACCACTCGCACCACATGCGGGAGGTCATGTCCGACCTGCTCGGCTTCATCAACCACATCGAGGGCCAGCGGCCCTCGAAGCAGGCGGCCAGGATGATCTCGTCTGTCACGGGCAGCGAGATCGACCCCGAAGAGCTGGGCGGCCTGTACTGGGTCAAGAACCTGGTCTCGCCCGTCCTCTTCGCCGACGCCCTCCTCGAGCTCGTCACCCCTGCCGACCCCATCAACAACTCCGTGTCGGACAACACCGTCGACATGCTCATCGAGGTGGGCCCGCATTCTGCCCTCGGCGGCCCTGTCCAGCAGATCCTCAACGGCGGTGGCATCAAGAACGTCGCCTACGGCTCGGTCCTGAAGCGTAGCAAGGACGGCATGGACACCGCCTTCGACCTCGCCGCCGATCTCTTCTGCAAGGGCGCCGACCTCAGCTACAAGGGTGTCAACGAGGATGCCGACTGCAAGAAGCTGTGCGACCTGCCCCCCTACCCCTGGAACCACACCAAGACCTTCCACGCCGAGAGCCGTATCGACATCGCCGCCCACATGCGCAAGGTGCCCCGCAGGTCTCTGATCGGTGCGCCCCTGCCTGCCATGGACGAGAACGAGCGCGTCTGGCGCGGCTTCCTGTCGCTCGAGGAGGAGCCCTGGATCCGTGAGCACAAGGTCCTGTCCATGATCCTGTTCCCCGGCGCCGGTATGGTCTCCATGATCCTCGAGGCCGCCTCGCAGATGGCCGACCCCGGAAAGACGGTCCAGTCCTACAAGCTGCGCGACGTCGCCTTCTTCAGCGCCATGCCCATGAGCGAGGACACCCCGACCGAGACGGTCGTCCACGTCCGTCCCCACATCGTCTCCACGGCCGCCTCCAACCCGCACACCTGGTGGGAGTGGACCATCTCCTCCTGCACTGGCCGCGACCAGGCCCTCCGTGACAACGCCCGCGGTCTGATGACCATCGAGTACGTCACCGAGAGCGAGCAGATGAAGGCCGAGCAGGTGCACCTGCGGGATGCCAAGACGGCCGAGTACAAGCAGGTCCTCGCGTCGTGCCCCGACACCTTCGAGAAGAAGAAGTTCTACGAGACCACCACCAACGTCTCGTGGTTCTACGGCCCTCTCTTCCAGACCCTCGACAACATGCACCCCGGCAAGGAGAAGTGCACCTACGACGTCTTCCTCAAGGACTGCGGCCCCACCTACAGCGAGAAGCTGGTCGAGCGGCCCTTCCTCATCCACCCTGCCATGCTCGACGCCGTCTTCCAGTCCTTCGTCGGCGGTACCTACACCGAGGACAAGCAGCTCAACATCCACAAGGCCACCGTGCCCACCGCCGTCGGCGAGTTCGAGATCTCGGCCAACTTCCCTGGCGACGTCGGCACCTGCCTCAAGGCCTTCTGCACCACCAAGCGCCACAGCTTCCGGGACACCGCCGCCGACGTCTACTGGCTCGACGAGAACCTCGAGAACCTCTACCTCCAGGTCCGCGACTACCGCTCCACCGAGCTGTCCTCCTCCTCCGAGGAGCCCGTCGAGGTCGGCAAGAAGACCGAGACCAGCGACCTGTGCACCGCCATCAGCTGGAACCACACCCTGGAGCTCATCAAGGCCGACGAGCTCAAGAAGGTGGTCGAGGGCCTGTCCCCTCTCGACGCCACCTCTCTCGTCACCCGCATGTTCCTCCACGTGCACCCTTCGGCCTCCGTCATCGAGCTCCTGCCGTCTGCTGATACCACCAAGGGCGCTGTCGCCTCTGTCGCCGACGCGGCTACGCTGTCGGGCCAGATCCGCTATGCTGTGGCCACCCCCCAGGCCGACAACGTGGCCGACGTCTTCTACCTCGGCGATGCCGAGACGCCTGCCCCCTCCGACGTCTCCTCTGCGGATCTGATTGTCGTCTCGCCCGCCTGCGAGGGCATAACCGGCTTCGACAAGTACTTCAGCAAGGTCCTGTCCCTGGCCAAGTCCAACGCCAGTGTCATCTGCACGGCCAGCCCAGAGACCTCGGAGCCCATCCTCAGCGAGAAGAACTTCACGTCGGCCCTGGGTGCTGGCCTGTACGCGCACCCTGTCGAGGCCAAGGCTAACGCCACCGAGGCGAAGCCTGAGGTCGTCATCATCGAGTCGCCCACGGCGGGCGAGACTGCCAAGACCTTTGCTGGCAAGCTCACCGAGACCCTGTCTGCCCTCGAGTACGCCGTCAAGACCGTCGTCTGGGACAGCAAGGACATCGTTGCCGCTACCGAGGGCAAGGCTGCCATCTCCCTGCTCGAGATGGAGAAGGCCATCCTCGACGAGATCTCGGAGCCTGACTTCTTGGCCCTCCGCGAGGTCATCCTCAAGGCTGAGCGCCTGCTGTGGCTCACCCACGGCGATGAGCCCGACTTCAACATGGTCGACGGTCTGGCCCGTGTCGTTCGTGGCGAGATCCTCGGCACCCGCTTCGACGTGCTCCACCTGTCTGAGGCCACCGGTCTGGCCACTGGTGCCGATCTCGCCGGCCGCGTCCTGGGTGCCAACTCCAAGGACAACGAGTTCCGCGAAAAGAACGGTGCCCTCATGGTGTCCCGTATCAGCAAGGACAAGACCGAGAACGCCGATGTCAACCACCACCTCAAGGACTGGACAGGTGTCATGCCCCTCAAGGAGCACGACGGCCCCCTGCGCCTGACGGTCGGCCAGCCCGGTATCCTCGACACCCTCCAGTTCATCCCCGATGACAGGTGGGTTGGCAAGCCGCTGGGCGACCGCGAGGTTGAGATCGAGGTCAAGGCCTCGGGTGTCAACTTCCGTGATGTCATGTCCTCCATGGGCATCCTCAACGACTCCTGGCTCGGTCTCGAGGCTGCCGGTGTCATCACCGCCGTCGGCCCCAAGGTCACCCGTGTCAAGGTTGGCGATCGCGTTGCTGGCTGTGGTACGGGTGCGCACACCACCAACCTGCGCACCTCGGAGGTTGCTTGCGCCAAGATCCCCGACACCATGACCTACGAGGAGGCTGCAGCCATGAGCGTCGTCCACACCACGGCGTACCACGCCCTGGTCAACCTGGCCAAGCTGCGCAAGGGCCAGTCTGTCCTCATCCACGCCGCCGCCGGTGGTGTCGGCCAGGCTGCCATCCAGCTGGCCAACCACCTCGGCCTGGTCGTCTACGCCACTGTCGGCTCCCCCGAGAAGAGGAAGCTCATCATCGAGAAGTACGGCGTCAACCCCGACCACATCTTCAACTCGCGTGATGCCTCCTTCGTGCACGGTGTCAAGCGCATGACCAACGGCAAGGGTGTCAACTGCATCCTCAACTCGCTGTCCGGTGAGCTTCTCCGCCAGTCCTGGTACTGCCTGGCCACCTTTGGCACCTTTGTCGAGATTGGTCTGCGTGACATTACCGGCAACACGCGTCTGGACATGAAGCCCTTCATGCAGAACACCACCTTCACCTTCTTCAACCTGCTGCTCGTCATGGAGCACCTGCCAGACGAGATGGCCGAGATCGTCACCAACGTGTACGACCTCGTCCACCAGGGCGTCCTGTACGCCCCGACCGTCCTGACCACCTACCCCCTGGGCTCCATGGAGGAGGCCTTCCGCCTGATGCAGAGCGGTCGCCACCTCGGCAAGCTCGTCCTCACCATGGGCGCCGAGCCCCAGGCCCCCGTCCTCCACAAGGCCTCCAACTCCCTCAAGCTGGACCCCAACGCCACCTACCTCCTGGTTGGTGGTCTCGGCGGTCTCGGCCGCTCCCTGGCGGGCATGTTCATCGACAGCGGTGCCCGCAACATCGTCTTTGTCTCGCGTTCTGGTGACGCCAGCGCCGAGGCCAAGAAGACCATGGACGCGCTCGCCGCCCGCCCTGGTGTCAACGTCAAGGCCTACAAGGCCGACATGGCGGATCTGTCCTCGTTTGAGGCCGCCATGGCCCAGTGCGGCTCCGAGCTGCCCCCTGTCAAGGGTGTCGTGCAGATGGCCATGGTGCTCCGCGACGCCCTGTTCGAGAAGATGACCCACGACGAGTGGGTGACGTCCATCAAGCCCAAGGTGCACGGTACCCGCAACCTGCACAAGTTCTTTGACGAGTCCCGCCCTCTCGACTTCATGATGTTCTTCTCCTCCTGCGCTGGTGTCTTTGGCAACAGCGGCCAGGCCAACTACGCCGCCGGCAACACCTACCAGGACGAGCTGGCCTACTACCGCCGTGCCAAGGGCCTGGCCGGCGTGTCGGTCGACCTGGGTATCATGCGGGACGTCGGTGTCGTCGCCGAGACGGGTGCCAAGGGTTTCCTGGCCGTGTGGGAGGAGGCCATCGGTATCCGCGAGAACGTCTTCCACGCCATGATGCGCAGCATCATCAACGGCCAGACGGACCCCAAGACCCGTGACAACTTCCCTGCCCAGGTCAGCACTGGTCTTGCCACCGCGGACGTCATGACCGAGTTCGGCCTGCCCCGCCCCGATTACTTTGATGACCCTCGCATGACCCGCCTGGCCATCGCCACCCATGCCGCCGGTGCCAACGCCGCCAAGGGTGGTGCCGCCACCATCGAGTCCCGTCTCATGGACGCCGAGGGGCTCGAGGATGCCACCGATATCATCACCGAGGCCCTGGTGCAGAAGACTGCCGACATCCTGCAGATGCCCGCCAGTGAGGTCGACCCCAACCGGCCCATGTATGTCTACGGTGTGGACTCGCTCGTGGCCATGGAGGTCCGTAACTGGATCTCGCGTGAGATGAAGGCCAACATGGCGCTGCCTGAGATCTTGGCCGCCATGCCCATGTACAAGTTCGCCGGCAAGATTGCCGAGCGGAGCAAGCTCGTGACCGTCAAGGCCGAGTAAGCAAGCCCTCTTTTTGCTTGCTTCTGGAGAAGAAGGGAGAGAATAGAATGAGAAAGTTCGAAAAAGAAAGTAGGGCGTGTGCTCCTCTCCCACCATCGGAGCTGATGCCCTGGGGGATTTGAGCGCTACCAAATCCTTCTTCCAGGGATCGATGAAGATGGTCGAGGGGTGGGAGGAAGAGAAGAAGAAGGAGAGTTGGTTTCCTTGTATGGTGTAACGATATTCATCCAGCTCATGGCGCTGTGTTGAGGCATCCTGGTGGCTGCTGTTAGATTTTATTTTTTTATTTTCCCCACAACTTTTTTAGAACAGGATGTTTCGGGTTTTCTCTTATCAAATGTTTATATTCAGTTGTCTTTTGGGTAGATTAAGGTATTTCCTTGGACTTGAGTGTGTGTTGCCTCGATCCAATGATGAGATCCCTAGTGATTTCGTTGCCTTTGTAGTCTCTAAGGTGCTTTCCTCTATATTTGACTATTCAGGCCATTCACCCAATTGATTCGGTAGACTACACCAAAGGAGACACAGCAATTCATCACAAGACAATGTCAGGGGGGCTATGTTTGACGTCCTTCCCATGATAATAACCATGAATATAGAGTCTGACCTGTAGAGAGGTATCAATGCTGATGTCTCGAAAAGGGTCGGGTTTTCCGAAAATGTGCTTCTCTTAGCACCAAGTCCCGGGATACCCGGATATCGACTCTTCCGAGGTGGGAGAAAGAGGGGGGAGCGTGTCGATGCAGGCCTGGTGGAATAAATAGCCAGAAACAAAGTATTATTATTATATTTGCATAGGTTCATTAGGGGAGAATGCGCTGTTTAAATCTCGCCTCCACAGACGACAGTTTCTTTTAACCATCATGGCCAAAAACAGCAGCACCGGATCTGCGCCCACGACGCTGCATATTGGCGGCTACACGGTGCCCAGGCTGTGCTTCGGGCTGGGGTCTCTGATGCAATGGGCGCCAGGGCACACGCACCCCTTACCGACGGACTCGTATGCCGAGGTCAAGGCGGCTCTCGACGCTGGCTTTCGCCACTTTGACTGCGGTGATCTCTACACGAACCTGCCGAGCGCGGCACGGGCGATTCGTGAGGCGGGCATTCCGCGTGGGGACCTCTTTGTCAGCCTCAAGCTCAACACGTACTGTGCGATGAAACCGGCGGGGCGGCGGGATCTGGTCGACAGCGCGAGGAAGCTTGTGGAGGATTTGGGGCTGGAGGGGTATGTTGATGCTGTGTTGCTTCATTTCCCGCCTAGGGGGAAGGGGGATAACCTTAGCAATCGAGAGGCGTGGGCTGTCTTGGAGGAGCTCAAGGATCGGGGTGTGGCGAGAATCATAGGCGTATCGAACTGGTGAGTACTTTGATTTACTGCAGGATAGAATATTGTGCGACGATATGTTCTCTTGGTCCAAGATCTTGTGTTCTGGGGGTTTTTCCCTTTATGCTTACTTTGTCTCTCTCTCTGTGTGTGTCTCCTGTTTTAAAGGACCATAGATGACTACACAGACCAGTTTGCGAGCGGAGATATCAAGCACAAGCCACAGATCAACGAGTACGAGTGCAACCCGCACTTGGTGTTCAGTCCCGAGTACGAGGAGAGGCGGGCTTTTGAACTGGAGCACGGCATCGTTCCAAAATGTGAGCGCCAAATAATGTCGTCAACTATTCCCCAGTATGGCTAGTCGCTGACTTTTTTGCTTGCGTCCTCGGCAGACTATGGGATCTTGACACCAGTGACTGACCGTCTGTCGAAGCGTTCTGGGTCTCCTAAATTGATGTCGACACTAGACCAGCTGGCAGTGGAGACGGGCCTGAGCCCTCACGAGATCCTGCTGAAATGGGGATGGGACCATCTTGGTGGGATTCTGACGACGTCTACATCCAAGCCTGCGCGAGCGAGAGCGCTCACGGAGGCCATGTCGGAGGGGAAGCCGAGGTTGGCTACGAGTGTATTTGACCGGCTGGATGGGGCAGCCAGGGAGGACGGTTATGAGGGCAAGCAGTTCTATCTGCATCCACACATGGAGAAGTGAACGGCTTGGGTGCTGTGATGATTGGGCGCAAGTGGCTTGGGCCGGATCAAGGAGACAAGGGCGGGGATCCAAAGGGTTTGGCCAAAATTGATACGTTCTAAGGACCAAGACCCAGCACATGATTGATCACAACACTGCTTGAGTTTGGCTAGCATGAGACGAGCGGGCGGGTAATAGTTGAGAGAAGATAATCCTCCCTTGCTCTGTTGATTTAAGACCATAAAGGAAATATCTAGGGCTATATATGTGTGTGTGTGTAACGAAGTAGGTAGATTTGGTGCGTCTGCTCGGGCTAACGAGAGAACCCTACTTGCGACACACGACTTCTTGGGTCAATCAGCCTTTCTGCTATTCACCATGTTGAAAGCCTCCAGGTTGGTTGGCAGAGCATGCTCCTTGAGAGGGCCCCAGAGCGTCTCAATCTTGATCGCAGCCTCCTGGCTCAGTGGGCCTTTCTGAATCCACGCCACTATCTCTCTGATCTGTTCGGGGTTCCTCGGGCCAACGATGACAGCATCTCCCAACGCCGCATCCAGAACCGAGTTGTGGACCACCCAGCGGTAGGCCATCTCCGCGGCCGTCACGCCCTCTGCGGCGGCGATCTCATGCCACTGGTCCAGCGCCTCGAGATACCCGGGTCGGTCGGCGTACATGGCGTAGTATATCTGCCCGGCAACCTTGTTACTTTCCCAGCGGCCCTGCAGGCTGCGCTGCCTCAGCTGTGCCGATTTCTTGGCCAGAAACCCTCCTGCGATGGGGCTGTACGCGTAGAAGGCTATCCCGTGGCGGCGGAGGAGCGGGAGCAGCTCGTCCTCCGCTAGGCACGCCACCGCGTTGTAGTTGCCTTGGTAGGCCGAGGGCAGCACGTAGCCGTGACTGTTGCAGACGCGGATGACCTCTTCGACTTGTTCTGCGGTGTAGTTGGAGAGCCCAAAGCGTCTGAAGGCGCCTGATTGGTAGAGGGAGTCGATCCCGGCGAGTGTCTCCTCTAGGGGGACTCGGAGGTCAGGGCAGTGCATGAAGTAGATATCGACCTGTGGGATGGTTTCAATATTGCTTTTGTATCAGCCAGCTGTTGTTCCCCGAACGCGAATAAGACCCAACAGTAACATGATGCAAGGGGAAGGTAGAAGGTCTATCCAGTACCTCTTGGATCTTGCTGTCAAGTCAGGAACGCAAGTACATACCTGATCCACTCCGAGCTTGCATAGGCTTTCCTTTCCCTCGGCAATGATGACCTCTTTTGTCGATGGGCTAGGATTTCTCATGCCTCTTGCTTTTGTGTGGATAGTGAACTGGGATGCCGCCTTGACCTGACCCAGGTACTCCTCGGACTCACCGTAGGCGGCGGCGGTATCGAGTTCTGTGAACAGATCTCCGTATTCTGCCAGTGCCTCTAGTACCGGTTTAACCTCCTCAGCCGTGTTGTAGCCAGCACTCTTCATCAGGGTGCCGGCTCCGAAGACTAACTTGGGTGCAGTCATAATTGTACGTGGGTGAGAGTCAAGAGAGCGTTAATAATTTGGGTGTGTGGAGCAGCAGATGGAGAAATATGGGATATATGGGAAGATATTGTCTTACAGATGCTAGAGCGGTGTTGAACTAGAAGGGGCAGCTTGCTCTATATATAAGAACTCAACAGACTGGACGAAGACCACCAGACTCCGGCTCAGGCGGTAATTAAGAGGGATATGAAGCAGCTTGTCGTTCAAAGGTGGACCTCTAAGGAGTGTGTTCCAAGTATGCATTGGTAGCCTATGTAAAACTACCGACTGCTCCCAGCGTTCACGCAGGGTACTTTACTCTCACGAGATTACAAATTCGTCCGAGTGCATCTCTACACAATCGTCACCTGCAGGTATGTTGGAAAATGAAGGTATTTGAGTCCGACAAAACGTTGATTCTAGGCACTGGAGTGGGTCCTATCTCCGATATGACATACCTATATTGCCTAAAATGGAAAATCTCAACTCCGATCGACGTACGGATCAACACGTGCTCTGATCAAAAGTTCCTCCGTCCCCGTCTCAAATGGTAATCACAACTTGAGTCCATGACCGAGCAGGATCTAGTCTATTTTCATTATTTCCGTGTCGTTTAAAGGAATTAATCCAACTAGTTATGACCACAGATAACGATCAGCCATCGAAGAGCCTGGTCGATCGGGGGAGGCGAGAGTGACATTGTGTGATCCTTCATGTCACCCTGCTCATGGAAATGGGGTTGACCAAGGTGAACTAGCAACCTCTAACAAGTCGACACACTTGTTTTTTTAATAGTGGGGAGGTTTTTCGGGTCAGAAGCAAGCTCAAATCGTGGGCGAAACGATGAGGCGACCGTGGTTGTCGAGGTCTTAAGTGGCATCTTGATTCCCCAAAGTCCTCAGGATTTGGGAATTCCAGGTGCGGTTATACAGTACTTCTTCCCTCAGCCGCACGACTGTGCAGTATCATGAAGTCGACAGCCTCACAATAGTGCCCTGACCATTCCTATGGTCGGTGAGCCCTTTCGTCTTCTTAGTCAGTCTTTCCATGTGTGACTAGAACAAAATGAGGCTGCACAGGGTCGCAACCTTGCAATATCACGAGTAGCCCCTGATCAATCATCCTCTTGCTGGCTGGCTCCCCATGGCAGTCCCTCTAAGCCCACTGAGACATCTGGACCCACATCAGGTACAATGAATCCATCTCCTCCTTCCATCGCGACGAGCCGTTTGATATAGGTGTTGTCTGGTTTGAGGGCTGCATACATGTTGGAGGTCACGAGTATCGGCACATTCTCTTGCTGCTGCTGCTGCTGCTGTGAAGATACCGCGCCATCACATCGTACGGAAAGAGCCTTGATGGCCTGCAGTTGCCTGCCAGCCATCTGCCAGACGAAACGGCGTCGGTGGTAGTGCTTGAATGCGAAGCTGGCCTTGAGCAGCTCCCACCGGCTCAGCTCCGCCACCGTCCATCCAGACTCCATCAGGAACTTTTCAACCGCCTCGGCAGACTCGCTCATGCCCTCTTGCTCAACCCCAAACCGGGGTTGGATCTCTTTCCATTTTGTGTGTATGTGCTTGACCTTGTCGCGATAGTCTTTGACGCCAGAGCGCATCGCACGATCCCATTCAGCCAAACACGCCTCTACGTCAGACCTCAGCCCGTCGCGAAGGGCTGGAAACCATGTGTTGCGCGGTTTCCCCCTGAGTCGCATCCCGCCAAAGTCAATCTCAAACTGATTCCAGTAGGCATTGACGTCCCGGTCGATTGTGCTTGCGCCGCAAGAGCCCAAGAATTTGTGAAGGTCGGTCAGCGCGATGTCGACAACTTTCTTTGCTTCGTACATGAGGTAGTCGATAATGTGTCTAGGTTCAGCGCTCATGGAAGAAAGCTGGAGGGCCGACTTGTAAGCCGGTGCTGGATATTGTCGTCTCGTTCCTACGACGTCGTCTCGGAAACGGTTCCAGTCGTTTTGTCCAAAGAGGATGCCTTGTTTTGGCTGATCAGCAAGTTCGCTGAGCAGCCAGCTGATCTTGATGGCAACCTCGTCGCAGACCCGATAGCAGTGATAACATAACTTTTCTTTGTACGATGTACAGGATCCTGTGATCATGGTTAATAAGTAAACCCCAACTGATGATTGTCAGATACAATGGGAGGAGCATCATGTGCGACATACCGAGGAGCTTTTGTCTGAGGTTGAAGCAAAATGCTTTTTCGAGCATCACATTCACATAGTCGCCGTTCCCGTGCTCAACTTGGAGATCTCTCAATGTGGCCCGGTCCTTGGCTAAATACGGCGAGAAATCTGGTTTTGGTGGCAAGGGGTGGTTCTCAAAGTTGTTCACAATATCGGCGTCCCAGCAGATCCAGACCTTGTCTCCGTCATAGTCACCACCCGAGAGTAGAGAGGCCAGAGGAACATCGCCCTTGGTGGAGAAGATGACGATGTCGCGGAGGTGGCGGAGCTCAGGATGATAGGTTGCCCTTACTTTTTGGACATCGCTGGGGAGATGGGCTGGTGATCGAGAGACGAGGACGTCGAGGCCATCCAGATCAGAAAGCTCGTCGGAACCATCGTTGAACTTGGACGAGAAGCACAGGTGGACCTCTCCGGGCTTGACGACCCCCCAGAAGTCTGGCAGGATGTATGCGTACGTGGACCTGGGGATTCTGATCTTGAGATCCTGCTTAGTCGAGTCTCCTTTTTGTTTCATCTTCTGGAAGACAAGATCGTGCAGGAATTTGAGCTGGGTGGGCTGGAAGCCTCCGTCGACGAGGAAGCTCATGATATCTTCGGTGCCCTGTGGAAGACCACCTAGGAAGGGTACACTGGTACCACCCATGCGGTACGAGTTCTGAGGAGATTGTTCGCGGATCCATTTTCTGAAGGATTCTGCTTGCTGCATGGCTGCCTTGAGGGCCTCGGTCTGTTGCTCTGATTCCGTGTTCATGCTCTGGACGAATTTTTCCCTCATGGCCTTGGGGTCAAGGGCTCTGTCCTCCAAAATCGGTAAGAATTGGACATTCAGGCTTGCTGAGGTAAGTTCAGTAGACCAGGACCGGACTTCTAGAGTCCTGTGTGCCGGTTCGGCCATGTCACACTCCCACTTCCTCTGGAGAGGCCACGTCTCGATCCAATCCTCGCCGCCGACGTCCTTGATGTCAACGACCCACATTCCTTTTGCGCTCCCAAGTCGGCCCTGTATGGCACTGGGAATCGACTGCAGGCCAAGCCCGTCGCGGACCTTTCTCATCAGGCTGGGTGAGATTCTCCCTGCGCCGTCGTTCATGGCCTCGCCCTTGCCCGATTTTGACTTGATGTCTCTGGCTTGTTGGCGAACTTGCTCCTGCTGTAGTACAATGACCGGACTTGTCTTGCTCAGCCCTGTGTGTGTGGGGCCAGCACAACAACGGTGATGGTTTGTGAGTAAGCATATAATTCGAGGACAGAGAAGGAAGAAGGGGAGAAAAAAAGAAAACAACCCACCAAGAGCGATGCGATGGAAAAGCTTGAGGTAAGACTGTTGCCCGTTGGCTTCCCAGTTTAGAAGCCAGTCTAACATGGCATTCCTATCCAGAGCCGTTCTGGGATATTTCGGAGTAATACTGGTTTCAGCAGATGCGCTTAATCGAGGTTTTTTTGTCAGTGGAAGATCACGTCCCCTCTCAGCGAAGAACAGAACTCTATCATAGAAAAGCGTCTTCACAGGCACATTGTGAGAACTCTGCTGAGGTTCTTCCAACTTGAATGGCCGGTCACGAATATAGAACGCCGACCACTGGCGGCCTATGAAGTGATGAGGCCCACTGGCAAGCCACCGGGCAACAGCAGCCTCCAAATCCTGCTCATCAGTAGCCTGCCAAGAATCGACGGCAAGGAGCCGAACCTCGAGAAATCGATCCCACCCGAAGCGACGAAGTAGGCGGGAGCTTTGCTCTACCTTTAAGGGGTGGAGCTCCAGCCGCATCGGCGGGTCGAGTTTCGACTTGTCAGCATGTATGGAGGCTGTTAATATCACAGCCTGTCCACTGGACGTAGAGTCCTCCTCGAGGCTAAGTTTCCAGGCATGAGGGTCTGATTTAACTGGGAGCGTTTTCCCGAGGAGAGCCGGGTGACCCTTCAGGCTGGTCCAGAAAACATTGAGATCCCTCCAGTCGTCGCGCCACTGCAAGTCGATATCCGATACATCGACATTGCAGTGCAAGGCGACCCTGGTTACCTCCCAGAGCGCGCTGAAAGGAGCATTCGCTGCGAAGGATGGGGTGGTCGCTAACATTTTCATGTCAGATGCCGATACAGAGGGAGTCAAGCGGCAGCAACTCAAGAATCAAGACTTACGCCACAAAAGACATAGACGATTGCCTATTGAATCGGATTTGGGCAGCTCAACGTCCTCAAACGAGCTTGGGCGAGATGGGGAGGAGCAGGAGTAGAAAGACGGAGGCCTGTCTGCATTGTCTGCCTCTGAGCCGTCCTCGAGGGGTGTGGCAGAGTCTGCAATCTCAAGGGATGGAAGTTGAGGATACAGAGCCTCTTGGGCAGGGATTGTTGGCGGAACGTCATACAGGCGGAAGGATTCCTCTAGAGCGTCGAGCTCGGAAGGTGTTGGCGAAATTGAAACCCGTTCTGATTTGGACGAGGAAGACTGTTGCGAGACCAGGTTAGAGAGCGCCAGAGGACGGCTCGTGGATGAGACGGACGGTCTCTTGGGCGAAGGAACATTGTCGTCCCACGACCTGGAGGGGAGGGGAGAAGTTGGACCAGGCCCAGTTTTATCCCAGATAGGGACCACAGCAGTATTGACAGTCTGGGGAGACTTATGAGATCGGTCCGGGACCCTGGACTGCAGGGTTAATGATTTTCGCGGCGGCATGCTGGGAATTACGTGTATCGACCGGATGTCAGCCCAGAAGATGTGATGTTGTTGTTGTTCTGGTCAGTCTCCCTGCTTCAAGATTGAGCGTTGATTGTTTGTTGTGGTTCAAAGTTCCACCGAGGCGGGCTGAAGCTGCAGGTGCTGCTGGGGTTACTATTAATAAATCGATCACTGCCAACACTGAAGTAGCGTCGCAATGTTGGAATCTCGGAATCTCGGAATCTCAGCGCTGCAGTGTTTTGTCCAGCGGCGTGGTATAAGCTTATGTTTCGTTGTATGTGAACATTGAATGACCTCTTGCAAAAGCTTTATAGATTTGAGTGTTTGTATCGTGAAATAAACAATCATACATGCCAAAATTCACATATCGCAGCTGAAGGTAGTCGATGTGCACATTAAGAAGAATCTATGTGCAACACACAGGAATGAAGACAAACTCCCCGGTTAGAAGGGCTTTTGGTCAGCCCACCTCTACCCTTCTAGCCAATAAAAGAGACCCTGGCTAAAGCACTATTGGCATTTACAGTGGTCTACCTAAGATAGTGCAACTGTATTCGTGTGCCCAGAGCATTTGACTGAGTGTAATTCTCGAATTAGAGAAGCGTCCTTTTAGCGCCATTGGAAATCTCATCTTCTCAGCTGAGTTTGACGTCCAAGGGTTTGCATCCTGTGCAGCGCTCTGACAAGAGGGCACTTGACTACTTAGTCTTCTCTTCCGTTTCAAGACAAGTCATGTACTCATTCTCTAATCGAATCATGCTTTGAAACTATCGCTATATACTATGTCTGGTCTATGCTTCTTCTGGTTCTCTTCTCTCCTGAAGTCATCCTCACTGTTTCCATCTAGAAACGCCACTGGCTGCACCAATGCTTCATCATGTCAGCCGTGACAGCCACAGTCTTCCTCGCGCTAGGGCATCTCTCCACAGTCTCCTTCATGTCGTAGACCATAGGAGTAGAGGCCGAGGCCATTCCCCTGTACGAGTCGATGAGCTTCACGCCAGGGTTCCGAGCCACGCTGGCCTCGCCATCCGCCTGCGTCTTCTCCAGGCGGTCGATCCACTCGTTGAACGAAACCAGTTCTGCGATCCGCTCCTGGCCGTAGAACTCCTGCACAGCCACGGCCAGATCTGCCCACTGTGTCTCGTGCGGGTTGACGCCGTGGTAGTACCCGTTGATATCATCGGCCCTCGCCACCACCCGCGACACGCCGGCAGCCTCGAGCACCAGCTTGGCAATGGCCTCGGCGGGCGTCCAGTCGACCCTGTCCATATGGCCCAGGTGGCCCGGCAGCGCCCTCAGGTACAGGCTGCTGGCCACGATACTGGGCAGCCACTCCTGGCGGTTCCACATGCCCTCCTGCGCCTCGGGCCCAGCAACCTGTCCGACACGCACAATGGCAAATGGAAAGTCGCCCGCCTCTTTGCCCGCCGCGTCCTCGAGTATGAGACTGCCCACCATCTTGCTGCGGCCGTAACCGCCTGTGGGCAGGCTCATGTCCTCCAGGCGCCGCTCGGGAACCTTGTCTGCGCCGTGGCGCGCCGGATCCCAGCGCTCGGCCACCGCGATGGACGAGATGAAGGTGACAGCGACGCGCCGGGCAGCCGTGGCGGCGAGGTCGCCAATGTACCGCACACCAGCGAGGAACGGCTCAAAGGACTCGATGGGGATGTTGAAGTTGACGGGCCAGGCGTTGTGGATGACACGGTCCGCCTCGGTCTGCAGCCGCGCGTACGTCTCCTCGCCCAGGCCCAGGTCTGGCTTGGACAGGTCGGCGTGCAGGAACTCGGCCTTGGTGTCTAGGATGCCGACGTCCAGTCCACGCTCTGCGAGGGCCTTGACCTGCTGTGCGCGCCCGCCGTCCGCCGCACGGTTGAGGCAGATGATCTTGGCCACGCGTGGGTTGCGGCCCAGCAGGTCGAGGAGGTACGAGCCCAGCATGCCTGTCGAGCCGGTCAGGACGACCACCTGGTCCTCGTTGCGTGGGTCTGGGCGCCCTGGCTTGGCGATGGTCAAGTTCTGGGTGTACTTGTGGTGCATGGCCCGCATCGCCTCCTGCTGTTGCTCGTCCTCGCTCTGGGTGCCGTTCTGGTGGTGACTGTGAATCATAGTCTTGAAGATGTATGCTGCAAGTCGACGAGGGGTTGAGTTCGTGTAGATGGCTTTGGGTGCCAGGGTCTTTGCGTCCGTTTCGTGACCAGCATTCTTGAGGCCGGCGCGGAGGAGTTTGGCGGCGCTCATGACACCCAGCGAGTCGATTCCTGCGGCGAAGAAGTCGACATCCGCCTCCAGCTTGTTGGCATGAAGGGACTTTCGGAGTGTCTCGACAATCGACAAGGCCAGGGCGTCCTCTGATGTGACGTCCAGCTCGGGTCCTCCACTCTGATTGGAGCCGTGCTGATCTTTGTCTGCGTACAGCTTCTTGATCTCGTCCTCGTACAGCTTTACCGTCGCTGCCCGCTGGATGGTTCCCTTGCCAGCGCGAGGAAAGGGCTTGTCGGGGCTGGAGAGCATGATCAGGTCGCGGGCTATGCGGCCGTGCTGGACCGTCTCCTTGTTGGCCTGCTCCACCAGAGGCCACACGTCGTCCAGGAACTCCTGTTTCTCCTCCTCGGATTGAGGATGGACCTGAGGCTCGATGAGGAGACCGGCCTGGAATTGCTGGGCGCCGATGACCGTAGCACCCTTGACGCGCGGGTGGTCGCTGACGATCTCCTCGATGGTCACAGGGTTGAGCTTCTCGCCATTGCTGAACACGATGATGTTGTCTGCGCGTCCGTGGTAGATCCAGTGATCAGCCAGCGTCGGGTGAGGCCGGTATAGATCCTTGGTGCTCCACTCGTTCAGGTCTGGAAACGTGTAGAAGATGGCCTGCTGGCCCGGGTGGTACCTGTTCTCCTTCTTTCTCACAATCACGAGCTCGCGCACATCGTCATCCTCCCCACCCTCCCCATACCTGCGGAACTCGCAGCCCATGACTTCCTGGTTGTAGTGAAAATACTGCCACAGGGCCGGGTCAGACTTGGTGTAGGTCGGGAAGGGTGCGAATTCGGTGGCTCCGATCACGTTCCGCAGCATGACACCGTTCTTGACGAGGCGGTTCCCGGATTCTCGTGCAAGGTTACCTCCTCCAAAGACCACCGAGTCCAGCTTGGTGACCGCCCTAATACCCTCCTGCGTCTGGCTCAGGTCCTCGAGTGTCGCAGGCGCTAGCATGGCTGAGTTGACGTTCGCATTCGCCAGACACTCCATCACGAGGTCGGTGCTTGTAGGGCGATCACTAATGCCCAGAGCGATAGGCTTCTTGTTGTAGAAAACCATAATCACCACAGAGAGAACGCCGGCCATGTGAAACAGAGGCATGGGCATGAACAACCTCTTGGTCTCTTGGGCCCAGACGAGGACCTCGGGCTTTTGGCCCTTCCACACGGGAAGAGTCGGCAATGTATCGCTGAATGCCTGCATTCCTTGCCTCACGATGATGGGCTTAGGCAGACCGGTGCTGCCGCTGGTGTGGAGGACGACCAGCGGGTCCCACTCGGCCTGGCTGAACCTCTTGGTGTAGGGGAAGTGAGGTACCTCCTCCTCAGGGAACCAGGCCTCAAGAGGGCTGACCTCGACAGCCTGCATGTCCCGCTCTTGGAGCAAGGGCTCCACGAGTTCCCTGGAGGCGCTGGCGAAGGCAATCATGTTGCAGTCGGTGTTCTTGAAAAGGTTGAGCTGGCCTTCCTTGGTGTTTCGGGGGGAGATGAAGAGTGCCTAGCAGTAGTGGGTCAGTCTCTTTATGTGAAGAGAGGGAGAAAAAAGAGAGACAGAGAGAGAGAGAGAGAGAGAGATTTCTCTTTCTTTCTTGTTTTATTCTAGTAGATAGGATGCTTGTCCTCACCTTGTATCCGGCCTTCACAGAGGCAATCATCGTAACGATGTAGCGCACATCGTTGGGACCAATGTAGGCAATGGTCGGGAAGGTATTCTCCTCGGGCTTGCCGAAGAGTTCGACGATCCTGTGGGCGCAGCGGTTGACTGCGTTGGCCATTGACTTCCAGTCGACCACCTTCCAGCCATCTGAGGGCTCAGAAGACCGAGGGATCGAGAGGCATTCTCGGGTAGGGTCTTGCGTCGCGATCTGATCGACGAGGGTCGGCAGCAGGCGTCTGCCATAAGGGGTATCGTCCCAGTTGCCAACGGATCCCATGTTTTCTCTCTCTTGGTCTGATGTTTCTTGTGCTCGAGGTTGGAAGTATTGGTATCTCTCTTGATGTTCGGCTGAATCGGAATCTTTGTGGGCAGTAATTCTTCAGGAAGTTCTACTGGTGGTTCTTGTCTTGTTTCGAGGTTTGATCAAGATTTCGACAATCATGTTGACTACTGGGGCGACCCCCTTATTATATCTGTTGAAATTCTGCATTCTTGTCCATATCGGAACCGCGAGCATGTCGAGTGACCTTCTCCAGTGATAGTCCGATTTTTCTGGGTATGGCATTCTAATCATGACGACGACGATCCCACTATGGTGGATTATGCGATGATTTCTATGTACGCCAGGACACGTTCCGCCTCGGAAGTCCACTTCTCCGATTAGAAATTCTGTATGCGTAACACTGTACATTCCACACGAGTATGTGGCCCCTTTCTTGCCTCCACCTCTGAGGTACATGCCGTTGACGCAGCCGGAGAGTTCTTAACCTATGTAAATACAAGTCAAAATAAAAGGGGGGGGAGGGTCTTTCGCGCCTCGGCTCGGCGTTGTATGGCCATCCGGGAGCCGGGCAGGTCAGATATGCTGTTAGGTAGGCCAGTAGTCTGGTGGGTGATATGCACAACTTCGCGCCTTGACAGACGGCGCCGAGTAAGACACTGTCTGCAACTTAATAAGAACAAAAAACGCGTTCGGAGGTTCAAAGTCGGCAGTTAGCTGAGGAAGAGGCTCCACGGCGGAATTACTGACGCTTTCGACCCCTTGAACAAAATCTAGAAGCTTGTTGATCCTCCTCTGATGTCATTATGCACGTCGGCAACGTTTTTTATTTTTTATTTTTTATTTTATTTTTTCGGAAGGGGAAAGGGGAGTTGCCGATGTAACCATTGACGATTGTATTACTGATCTTCCTACATATGTAGCCTCGGTCTGCAGCTTCTCTGCTGTCTGCCGTGCTGCTTCTTCGTGTGCAAGACTGTGTTTCTCATCGGTCTTGCCAGGTGCGGCATCTGTACATAGTACTGTACTGTTCATTATTGCCTCTCCTCGCCTGTGGTGCGGGACTTCTGGTGGATACTTTGCCCCTGGTAGATCTTTCTCAGGAGGCAAAACCCAGGGATAGACAGAATAGTAGAACGTCCTACTAATAGTCCTGCTGTCATCAAGCACAGTTATTTTTCAAGTGCCGTAGTATTTACCATGCGCGTCACATGGTTCAGGGGACTTCTTGAATGCCGTGCTGGACCCACAACGCCACACCATGTGCCTCGTGGTTTTGGTGTCTTGGCTGGAAGAAACACCGGGGCCCACGGACATTCAATGGGAATAAGCAGTGAATGGTCTCCCAAGTTCCACGTGTGGGTAAGAAAGCCTTGCTCGTCTCCTCCAAAAACAAGACGACGAAAACGCGAAAGCGCGAGACCACGTCTTAGGCTTAACCCGAAATATCATAGTATGATGGCACTTCCACGACCGTTGCGACCCAAACCACACCACCACCTCGGTGGAGCTATGGGTTTCATAAAAATTGCAAAGCCCACCGCCTCCAGCTTGCAGAAGAGCTGGCGGTAAAGATCCGTCAGAGACCTGACTGGGTGATTTTAGATCTTCCGTCTCGGCAAGCATGATCTGATTTACACTGCAACACTCGTAGTAGAATACCTTTGTTGCTGACAATCAATGATTGCCTCAGCACTCAAACACAGGCTCGAATATCGTCAAATTAGCGCGAAGTAGGTAGCAAAGTCCCATCTATTCCTGTGTACTCATAATTTATCTATGCTCTTCTAATCAAATCCTGTCCGTCGCCTTCATACTTCTATAACAGGCCATGGTCCCTCTCTTGCATACACAAAATCCTTGCGTTAATAATTACGGACTATCGAGGTCAGGACCTTTCCCTGCTTCCGCAGCTCGAAAGCATCATGGGTGATTTCCTTGACCGTCCAGTCTTGGTACTCGACTCCTGGTGGTCCGTTGGTATTCTTGAAAGGTGTCCCATTACGAACCGCATCGGTCGCCTTATCAAAATTGTCCTGGGTGTATTTGTAGACGTCATGGGAGGTAATCCACTTCGGACTACAGCCGTGATTCATCAGCGTTGTCGTTATACACAGCGTGAAGCTGAGACACAATTAAAAAAAATGGGGGGGGGGGGGGCGGGGGAGGAGAGAACAAGACTCACACCAAACCTGCAACGGCAGCGGGATCTTTTTCGAAGGCTTCCCAGTCCGGCTGGTGGTAGTACTCGCGGTTCTCGACGCCAAGTCGCTGGGCCTGAGATACGCGCTCGAATCTGCAGAAATTACAAAAAGCAAAAAACGTCAGAACAAGGAGTTGACCAATTAACAGAATTTCTGGGAGATGATGCGCACCTCATCTTTGTATGAGCCCTCAGAGCGAGAGGAATGTTGTCTTTGCCGGCCAGCGACAGGCAGGTCGAGAGGGAGTAAGCATCCTCGATGGCCATCACGGCACCGCTTCCAGACGTCGGTACGAAAGGATGAGCCGCGTCCCCAATCAGCTGGATACGTCCTCCGGTGGACGTCCAGTCCGGATGAGGGCTGCGCCATACAAGCTTCCAATTGATGCACCGATTGTTGGGTGTGGAGCGCACGAGGGCCGAAACAGCAGGATGCCACCCTTCCTCCACAGGCACGAAGGGGAGAGCATTGCTGGCGTCGCATGTCGCTGACCAGGCCTCCTCAGCTGTATCGTCAGTCTCCCTGTGGGTCATCATGTATGAGATCTAAGTACAGTAGAATTAATTCACATAGTTGTCAGTATTGCAAATGTCATCATTATATTTCCCCTCTGCAGATCAATTAAGAATAAATATTGGTGGATATTACTTACCGAATTTCTCTCGACGTTCTTCGTGGTAACAACATGCTTATCCTCTGCAATCCAAAGCTGCGATCCATCCTCGATGTTGCCCCAGAATGACATGATGTCAGGATCGTGGATGGCGGCATCTATCCCATATATTTCATCAGCTTCCAGCAGTCGATCAGAAGGGGAACTGTTGTGAGATACCTAGAGGGAATCCTGCCCGATAGATGGCATAACCACTCGGCTCTGGTGTCTCTGGCTTGGTAGGCTGGCAACAAGGTCAGCACATGAACGCAGATACGACTGCATACAGTGATTCCTTTCTACTTCTTTTTTTGGTTCCTCAAGGCAAGGTAACAACTCACCAGAACGCTCAGGGACTTGGTGCCGATACCATCAGCCGCCACGATGAGATCCGCCGAGTAGACTTGTCCGTTCTGCGTCTCGACATAGGCATGTTTCTCGTCCTCGAAATACCGCACAGCCCTCCTGTCGAACTCCACGCCAACGCCAACCTCGGTGGCATATGCATACAGCTCTTCATGGAGCTTAGCCCGCCACATGCCCATCATTCGGAGGCCGTCGTGGCTCAGTTCGCCGCGCAACTGTGCGAGCAGCGTGCCGTCGTACTTGTGGAAAGACAACGCCCCTCCGATCCAGGCACGAGTCCTGACTCGATCCAGAAAGCCTGGCCAGTTCACCCAGCAGCGCTGCGCACTCTCTGTGATGGCCAACACATCTCCGATCTCGTCGAAGTGGGAGTGTCGCTCCAGCACGGACAGCACGGTGTGCCCTTGGCGGAGGGCCTCGATGGCGAGGGTGAGGCCGGCTATGCCGCCGCCTACGATGAGGATGGAGATTCCCGTCGGTGCAGCTCGAACAAAGTCTGCAGACGACATTTTTGGATCTTTGATTTCTTTTTCTCTCTTCGGATTCAGAAGGGGGTGCGGATGGGAAGACTGAACGTTAGTGTTCGTTTTGGCTTGGCTCTACTTGATATTGAAGATGAACTGTACCGAGTCCAACTCGTACAACTTTCAAGACTCAACAGGATTATTTATACCTTTGATCATAGGAACAGACCAACGTACAAGGGAATGCCATTTACTCTTGGCACTTAGACCGTGCCGCGACGCTGTCATGACCCAATCAACTTTCCACTCTCCTTGATCCAATTGTGGAATCAAGTACCCACAGGCGAAAAGCATAATCTGCAATATACAGCGGGAACATCCTAGGTGTGATCACAACATCTGCTCGTTGTTAAGGTTCCGGAATTTTGCTGCGACCCGATCCGCACAGGCACAAAGAGCTGGCATATACTTTCTGGGCCAATCCCAAGCCTGGGCGTGTTCCAATGTTCAGGGGCGGCGGTGGAGTACAACAACAGTACGTCCCGGCCAAAGTCTAAACGAAGGCATACAATATGCAGCACAGGCACCGTAGCTTGTCTGATCCACACACGGACGGAAAGATCGAGGAGCCCGACGGAAGGAGTTGCATGTGAATCGTTTCCCACCCTTCTGATTATCAATTGTTTAGGCGGATCTTGCTGTGGGGTTGGATGACTTTCCATCTTACTATGCGTATTTATATATATAGTCCGATAGACGGATTCTCGGTGGTTGTTCCGGCAGGGCTTTCAATAGTCTTGGCTCTTCACGACCCAAAGTCAAGTGCAATTTTTGGAGGGGGGGAAAATGTGGGGGGAATCATGGCCCGCCATGACCACTATTTTTGAAAGCTCCGCTACCAAACAGGCCATGCAAAAGTCTTTTGGATAATCAACACTGGCGATGAAAATCACTCCTTACGGAAGCTCTCACATATGCAAGGGTATAGTGAGGGTTTATCGTGAGTAATGGTGAGTATTCGGTTGGCGTGCTCGAACTCCTAAAGCAAAATCTCGAGCAGCATCGCCTGGCAGGGCTAAGGCTTTGGACGAAAGTTAGGGTTCTGACATGGGTGGAGCTACAACCAGGATTGGGAGGGATTTTGGTTTTCTGACCGCTCCGCAGAGTTACATGTCTGATTCCACTTGGGTTCTCTAGAAGAAACGGAAAGGATAATGGGACAAGAAAAAGAAATCTATATATTCAAGAAAGATAAGAATATGAATCTTACTGTATGTGCTATGTAATTACGGTTTGTAGTTGGTTAAGTAGGTAGTTTCATCATGGCCGAGTGATCTGCCGAGATCCCTCTTCTAGGACATGGCGCGTACTGAACACTACTTACTAAAGCACTTGAGTAGTTGACCATTTTGAGATGCTGATATCGACAATGCGCTCGGAGTATCTTGGATTTTGTTAACAGACAGACATTCAGGTCAAATATGATGAAATTGGGATTCTGGGGGTAAAAAAAAAAGACAGTGTCAAGAGAATAAGGGCGATTTCAGACTCCTTTCAACATCGGTCGGGCTCTGAAAGTTGTTGGTTTCAGTGTGGTTTCAGAACTGAACACCAGCTCATAGACTTTCCCATCTCCTTCCTGAACTTCCCAACCTGATTCTACGCCTCTGTTTTGGTATGTTCGTGTGTGTCGATTATTATTCTTACAACAACAAGATGTTTGCCAACCAGGTTTATGCCGACTCGCCAAGAGAGGATCAAGAGGAGTTGCTGGCCAGCTCTGATGTCGACAGCTCAGGAAAGGACTGGCCGGCTCTGCGAGGACCCAGATCCCGCGACGGACCTCTCTCGATCTTACGAGACTACTGGTGGATCATCACCACCTTTATGCTCGGTGTGATTATCCTTTTACAACTCATCATATGGGATGCCACCGCGAGTCGTCACAGAAACAACTGCGTTCAACTCGGAGGAGACTATGCCCAGAAAGGCCCGACCTGTTCGTGACGAGCCGCAGCAACACCATTCATGAGGAGCGAGAAGTATTAACATGACGCAGTCGCGACTGAGGTTATCAAGTGGAATGCCGATCCCGAATTCACGCCTCTGGACGCGTCCGAGTTTCTCGAACCGAGGGTTCAGGCAAAGTGGGAGACGCTCTACCCAGGTCAGTTGGCGTCCTTTGATTACCCCGTCTGGCACACGACGCACTGGGGGGGATGGGGGCGCGGGATTCACAAAAGCTAAGACGAAACAGCTGGAGCAGGATTCGTCGGTCCAGATGCGTCGGTGTATAACTCAACATCTGTCACGCACCAGTTGCACTGTGTGGTAAGCCTCATCATGTTTTCTGGCAGTCAAATGCCATGTGTAATATTACTGGAGATAGTAGCTCACCTCTCCCCAGTACATTATGGGTAAAATTTTCTCCGCAGTCTTGACGGGTTCGCCAAATTTACCCGAACCAAATGACTACGAGGCACATTTTCTTCACTGTGTTGATTACATGCGCCAAGCTGCAATGTGTGCAGGAGATTTGGCTATCGAGCCGCGCGGAGAGAATGGACAGCCTGGGCAGGTCAACCTCGAGAATGCCTTCAACGGCCTGCACGGTAAGATTGAGCGTCCTCGCAGTTCATTTTATGATACAAATTCTAACGGCCTCTCAGTCTGCAAAAAGTATGACCAAGTAAAGGATTATCTCGAAGGTAAGTATTTCACAGCATCCTGCCGTACAACACGTACTGACCTCCGCAGGGCAACTCAAGGACGGAGCACGAAATATCCTGCCACTCGATGATTGAGTCCCATTGCTCCAAGGTTTATGCTACTGGAAAGGTCGACATGTCGATCTTTGGCTAGTCGGTAGCGACATCCAGATCGTCCTCATTCTCTTTCTGAGAACTGCTGCCTTACTTGTGGACATGCAAAAGCAGGTCGAGACATGACGTTGTTGTGTACTCTATCCATGTCCGCACAAGACAGGATTCCGGCTATCCGAGAGACCCCAAGACATGGCCAGAATGCTCCATTTATCCTGATCAATTTACTTTGACATCTACTCCGCTGTCGTGCAGCAGCAGCGACTCGAATACTAAGACAGGCAGCTAATGGAACAAGCCAAGTAAAAATCAGCCGGTCATCATCCGTTTTCTCTGTCACCCTAGAAATGTCTGATGTCGCCATTGGAGAAGTCATGAAGTACCTCGCCGGCGATCCTCATTCGCCTTGTCAAATGTGAACGCGGACAGAGTCCTCCTCCACTCGATGCACGTATGTTTCAACCTATGGCCCAGACGCCAGGTTGGTGGGCTGTGTTCCCTGCCATCTCACCTCGATGTCTTGGGTCGAAACAGAGATAGCCGTACATGTTACGCTTGGGCTGGGCTAGTCTTGCCTCCTGAAATCATGGTTGTCTTGGCCACCTTTCACTTCAGACACATTTCCTATACCGGCGCATATTATCGAGGTTATCCCACACGCCTGAAATTTTCTTAGGATACAGTTCTCGGAGACTTCTAAATGTTGTGTTCTTCTAGGAGCTGTGGGCGATCAAGGAGATTTTGACGAATGTGTCAACTAATGCTCCTTGATCGTACCTCCATATCCGTTTTGTGTGCGCGGATACAGCTTCGTCATGTGATTCCCGAGGACCATCATGTAAACCTCGTGCCGGATGAATGGTCAGACGTCGAGTGCCCGGCTGTATCTGGTTGCACGATACCAAGGATCGCGTGGAATCTGCTGTAATAGATCCGGCGAGAGCGCCTAGCAATGAGCCAATAACCCTGATTCAGCCGCCTGTAAGACGCGAGGCCCTGTAATGATAAGCCTACATTTGGCCAAAGCCTTCCAGCCACACGATCTTAGGTCGCTTTTGCAGCCGAGCGATGGTGAAAAGAGCCAGTCTAATCATGATGATTGGATTACGTCTACACTTTCCAGAATGAATCTTCAACTCTCTGTTGGCGACTTCATCGATACTTACGTCGGTGCAACTCTCGATATCTATTGGAGTAGAAAACTCCACAGCTTCAGTTGTTTTTCTTTGCGCCCTTTTTTCCAGCCAAGATTTTGCACCTCATGCCTACCGACTTTGTGGATCTCCTGCTCCGTCTGGAAGACCATGACATAATCCCATCTTGTCTGAGCGCTGAGCGTCATAAACCACGAGACTTTCTCCTGCATTATCTGGGCTGCGAGCAGTTCTTCCAGCGCGAAGAATACCTCGCCTCGCTCAGCGCCAACCAGGCGAGACAGGTTCATGCCAAGCTCCAGCGTATCCAATACCTTCGCAATGCTATGTTCAACGACATTGGAGAGGGACGCAGCCTGGTGCAGAACCTAACGAGCAGCCTAGAGAGATGGAGAGACACCAAGGACTTCCAGGAAGGTATTGATCGTGTCCGAGAGCTGCGAACTTTACATTTCGCCACAAATGGTATGGCCCAAAAGGATGTGCGCATTTCCACGCGTGGAGGGGAGTATAATCCAGATATCGATACCAATGCCTATATGGTTCGCTTCAGAAACGGGCGTCTAGTTCACGACACCATGGACTCGAGGTTTCAGGAGCAGTTTCCAGCCCACAGAGTTTCCGTCCAGGACCTCATCTATGGCAGAGAGGACGAGAGCCCGCTGAACGCGCCCGAAGAGACTATCAACTATTTCCATTTCCCCGCAAATAACATGTTTGTAAGTGATTTGGCGGTCGAAGTGAAGGATGACGGTAAAGCAAGAAAGTTAACAAAGGAAATCTTTTACAAGTGGGCTGAAGTATGTATATCCAAATTTGATATTATTGTATGCTCAGAAGGCTGACTGTTATCACGTTGAATCTGGTAGCGCGCGATCACTCGATACCTGAGAAACAAGCCAACTTCTCCTCGTCCTTCGCAGAGCAACGGTGTGACCCTCTCCGATCATGCTGTGATCGAGCACCTGGGGCCTGTTAATGCTCCAAACAACCGTTCTATCTTGGAACAGAAGTACTGGAAGAGTCACCAGCAGGCATCAACCGTGACCGGAAAATATCTACGGCCGATGTGCGAAGCTGTCTCTACGGCTGCAGGTAAGAGAAACATAATCAAGGAAAACGAGACGTTCATGACATTGACAGACATAAGAAAGTCCCTTCAGAAGGACAAGATGGTATCGCTTTGTTTGTAAGTTTGGATACCACCAACCTTGCATTCAAACGCCCCAAAAAAATGAATAGCCGACTAACCAAGCAATGCCTCAAAGATGCCCTACTTGCACTGGGACACAGCACGTCACCAGGGAAAGATCTCACAGGCGGTGTATAAAGAGACCGAGAGGCAAAGAAAGGAAAAGCTTCAGCAGGAGCGCCAGTTGGCGGGCATGAGGAGGGTGAGACACCGTGGCCTCCAGCTTCTCAACGCACAGAGCCGACAGCCCAACACGGCGTGGCGTCTCGAGAATAGGACTGTCAGTGGTCGTCCAGACATCAAACCCACAACGACCCGACCGGCGACACCACCAAGGAGGACAGCGACTGGGGTCTTTGCGAATATCATGAAACGCCACGGGCGGTTCAGAAAAGTGCCTCTCTGGTCCGTCTTCACCACTGACGATCAAAACCGCGTGGTTGCGGGGTCAGAGCTCGGCCAGGTGCTTTTCGACGCGGCTATGCTGTACGAGGCCATGTCCACCTACCGCGAGAAGGCCCTGATCCAGAAGTACCTACACGAGGATCCTCCGCTCCACCCACGGCGTACCCTGGAGCAGACCAACGAGTGGACGCTGAGCCTTTCATGGCATGCAAGTGCTCGAGACCAGGTAGTTCACCGTGCGACCCGCCCCAAGCAGCTTGACTTCCACTCGGTGGACCCGTTCACCAAGGAGTGGCGCGATAGGGTCCGCAAGATCCCTCGTGTCATGATGATTGACCAGCTCTGGATGTGGATTCTAGACGACCGGACAATCATCACATGCTTCCCTGACCAGGGAGATGTAACCGGGTCCAATAATGGACCAGGTATACATAAGAATATCAGGGACGCGTTTATAAAGACCGGCAAAGGCCAGAACAAGACTGTGTTCGACGTAGCCCTGGTCATTCTGGGCGAAGCACTGATATCACGCGCATCTTTATATGCAGTCAAGGCAAGTATTGTCCAGGGGCTCCTCTCTACTGTTTACTCATGATGTTTGTACTGTTCAATCTCGGCCACAGCTCTCTTTGAAATTAATGGCCGCGAGACTATGCATGATATGATCAGATATGGAAATTAACCTTGACTCAATTTTCAGCCACAAGATGGTCAGATTGGAGTTCTGCCAATATTCAGAGAAGCCATTCGAGATGTAGTAAGTTACAACAATAGCAACTTTGCACAGGATCAGACCAACCCCTGACAGTCATTGTGACCACAGGCAAGCAAGCACTCGTTTGGTGCCGAGCAGTACTGGGAGTGGGCCAGGATCTTCTCGAGACTCGCACACACCGACGTCGATAACGGTCTGAGTGACCTCATAGTACCATTCCTCGATATTGGCAAAGAAGGCGAGTTGCAGGGGCAAATCAAAAGTATCGTCCGAGACCTAGAGATCATGTTAAGAATCTCCATCGAGCAGAAGGAAGTAGTCGAGAAGTTTGAGAAGACAATGCTGCAGCTCGCCAGGGGCAGGCCTACCCCAGACGTCGATCCGTTGCTCATGGAGATACATAGCAACGTTGAAGATCTGGAAGACATGCGCAGGTCAGCTAATGACATCTCCGCGAGCGTATGTTCTCCCATGAATGACGTGAGATAATCCTTGATGCACTTTCTGACAAGGGACTACAGTTAGACTACCTAATCTCGCTGAAACAGCAGCAGGTAACTGTCGTGCAGGCATGGCAATCGATGAAGCAGGGCGAGGATACTCAGCGACAAAACGTCACTCTTCTTGTCTTCACGGTCGTGACCGTGATCTTTGTATGTCAAACAGGGCCCCCTGCTCCTCAACCTCATCCTTCCTCCTCGCCCCCCGGCCCCAAATTCTCTCTGTGATCATGTTCATTATAATAACTTTTCCACATCATAGTTGCCAATGTCATTCATATCAAGCGTCTTTGGTATGAATAATAAGGAAATTGCAGGCCCAGAAGCCCCAATGACACTGAGCGAACAGTTCAAGTGGATGAGTGAGAGGGCCCCACCTTTTGACCTTTCCTCTCTACCTCCAGGATCATGTGATTATTAACAACAAGATGGTAGTCCCAATGTCGTTTGGCATAGTCGCCATAACTTACTACACCGCCTTTGGGAGCCCTGCGAGGATGTCACGCGACCTGTTCAGATGGGTCTATATCAAGTGTGGCATGTATCGACTCTTCGCCCCAGCCGACCTGACGATCAGAGGTCTGAGGGATCAATACATGGACCGCTCAAAAAAGAAGGAAAAGGAGCAGGAATGGGTCCGACGCCGATCGGAACAGATGGCCAGAGACGCCCACGAGAGGAGACAGGCGACAAGACGTGCAGCTATCATTGACGACACGTCCATCTCACCAGACACACCAACCGTCACGCCGGCGCTTCCAACACCTCACTCTCATCAACAGACCGGAATGCTTGCTGTCTACCAAGATCTCAATACTACAGGTTCGAAGCGCTCACGCATTGCAGATATAGTATAAGTATGTCGTATTAATTACGTTATAAATAGCGATACTTATTAGAAAAGTCAAAGATTGATTTTCCAGTGACACTCTGTTGAGATAAAGACAAAGTAACTCAGGGGTCAGCATCCGCCATGTCCTGCTTATACCTCTGCATACATCTGTCTTTACTCTCCCTGAAATCCACATGCGGAGCAGGATAGCCCAGCTTCTCAAAATCTGTCTTGCTCATCCTGTTAAAGGGGTCGAATATCGCCTTGCCCTCGACGTTCTTCAGCTCTGGGACCCATTTTCGGATGTAATCGCCGTGCGGATCACACTTCTCAGCCTGGACGACGGGATTGAAAACCGTATAGCTCGGCTCCCAGCCTTGTGTGTTGTTGCTCAAATCCCAGTCTACGAGGTTCTCCGCAAAGAACCGCTCTCCCTTTCTATAGTCGATCAGGAGGTTCGTTCGTAGGTAGCTGCTGGTGTTCATCCGCAGCCGGTTGTGCATGTACGCCTCGCTCCGCAGCTGTCTCATACCAGCGTCGATAAACGGCATACCGGTCCTGCCCTCGCACCATTTCTTCCACCCCTCTTCGTCATCCTCCCACTGCACGAAATCAAACTTCAAATTGTGTGGCATGTTCATGGCGTCGTGTGGCGTATGTGTCAGCGTCTGCCTGTAGAACTCTCGGAAAACGACCTCGCGGACCCAGCTCGCAATTCCAGCGTCGCCAGAATCGAATCCATCTCCATCGTTGGCGTCCCGTGCGGCCTTGAGGGCTTCCCTGACGGATATGACCCCAGAGGCGAAGTACGGCGATAGCCGGCTGGAGTTATCTGTCGCTGGGATTGATCTGTTGGTCTTGTATGTCTTGACCTTGTTGTCGAGAAAATCCTGTAGCCGATTCAGGCCGGCTTTGTGGCCCGCTGGCCATAGCTTGCGGATGTGTGTCCTGTCCTCGTCAGACGCGAACTTGCTCGCGTCTGGCAAAGACGGGATCTTGGTATTAAAGAGGTCCTTGAACTCCTTATGGGTCTTCTTGTCGTTGGCCGCTGGCGGGTCGACCAGGTCGAGGAGCTTGGGCTCGTCGGCCACCTTGGCGAGCCAGGCTTTATGATATGGCGTGAAAACCTTCAGAGGTCCGCCCGAGCCGGACTTGATAGCACCTGGTTCCACGACAGTCTGGTCGTGGAGGAGCTGAAAGGATACCTCGGACTTGTCCTCCTTCAACTTCTCAAACATGTCGATATCCCTCCGCAGTTCATCCACCTCGTACTCGACATTCGCAAACACATCGCTGATGTCATGCTTCTTGATGAGGTTGAGAACCTTTTGGCCCTTTTCCTCACGGCTTTCGGCCGTTAATATGACGAGAGGAATGTTTAGGCTATGGAGCTGCTCTTGAAGCAACCGCAGGGATTCCAGCATAAAGTCCGTCCTTGCAGGACTCGTACCATGCCATGCAATGTCCTTTGGAGACCAAAGGAAACAGGCGAGCAGCGAGCCTGATCCTTCTCTGGCCTTCGCGGAGGCGGCTGACAATCCACGGTTGTCCTCGGCCCTGAGATCCTTACTCCGAAACCAGTGGAGCACATTTCGAGTTGTTGTGCTACCCTTTTGCTTGTCCATGTGTTGTAATAAGATCCCCAAGGGAGGGTCGGCATCGATTTCCTTGGCTCGTTTCGTCGAGGGATGCTTCAGGACCTCCTCCTGGGATGTAGACCGCTCTCGTCGTTTCGGCATGGTTCTAGAGCTACTCGTTGAAAAGGTACGAGCAAAATTCCTTCGCCTCCGAAGAAGAAAAACTGATGGAGCGAGTCTGAAATTCGGCTCAGGGCTACACAAATTGAGAAGTAGGGTATTGTTGTAACTGCTGCTGCTGCGTGGGCCGCAATCGCGAAGAATTCTCCAAGACAGAAAAGACATGGACACTGGAATAGTTGAGCTTCTTGCCATAAGAAAAAACAGAAGAGCAAGTAAGAATACCCGAGCTCTACTATATGGTGTCCATGTACGACGGGTCGTCCACGTCTATGACGCAAATGATGCTGGAGTTTGAATCGTTCCCCTGCCGCATCCCCGTTCACGGTTATAGACTAGCCGACGTTTAGGCTAGGGGATGCCCAGCTTTTGTTGTGGATTCTAAGTGATTCCGCGTCTAAGTGCTGATTAGTAGTAATTAAGGAACAATATATCGTCATGTAATTATTTTTTGGCGGGCCAGTATTGAGAAGACGAATCATTTCTGATTGGATGGATCTATAACAATTGATGTCAAAGACTCAAGGCATTCCAAGCCTAAAACGACACCGCAACAGGCTTAGTGACTCTTCTTATCCATACACATAGGTTCAGACCTGGAAAGTGTTGATTCGTTAAAGTTGAAAGCTTCGTAATTCCTTTTGATGTGTCTTTTTGCGACTTCAGATTTTAAATATGTGTGAACACTAAGGAGCTATCTTTAGAAATGACTGACAAGAGAGAACAGCAAAACACAACTCATTAAGAGAGCAAAAACCTCGCCGACGAACTCTTCTTTCACAATGCAGACGACCACCTACGCCTCATTCTACTAACCTAACTGGTCCTTTTTACCAAACCTCATTGTCACCTAGAAATCCTCCGTGAGGTGACCGTTCCCGTCGAGTTAAAGACCTGGATCACATTTGTCACAACGCAGCCAGTTGGCGCAAGGCCTTCTTCGGAGAACACGCCCCAGCTGAGGAAGTAGCCCTGCGTCCCGTTCACAGAGTCTTGACAGGCGAACCAGTCTTGCGAAGCGGCAGTGAGTTCATGGAACACCGAGCCTGTAGTACAACCGTTCTCAGCAGGGAGGAAGTTTTGAAAAGGACGGCGTAGATGAATGGAAACGTGCTCACCGTCGTCAATAGCAAAGTCAAATTCTTGAAAGTTTATCACGCCATACACGTAGGATGCCACGCCGTACAGCTCACCCAGGTCCGCGACGGCCATGCCATAGACGCCTGGGGGACTGTCTGCACTGTTGGAGAGGTCGAAAATCAATGAGGTGGTGTACCCATCTGCGTCTGGGGTTGATGTGTTGGTGTATGCTGCAATGCCAGCTGGCGTTAGCGAACCCTTCATTACACCCCGTTTTATTGATCCACAGCAGTTTTGAATCTGGCGACAAGCGTGTTCATGGATTGTTACATACTTGGTGTGCCAGAGGTCACACCCGGCTCCCCGGCTTGTAAGACCAGGTCTGCTGTGTTATTGTACACAGCGATGAGAGGAACATATGTCTCGTTCAACTCGATAGCAAGAGTAAATTCTTGGGTGGCGGGCGGCGGGGTAGTCCTTTGTATCTGATGGTGTCTGGACTGGGGTAGAGCCGTTACTACCGTTGTCAGGCCCACCAGGGCCGGTATCAGACTGCAGCGCATCTTTGAATTATGAGATAAGATAGGATAGGAATGAATTTTTGTTGTATGGCGGTTGATTCAAGGCCAGTAGGTGATCGGACTTGACGATCAGGAGAACTGACGAGAGGGGCAAGACGATTTAAATAGATGAAGAAAAAAAAGAGAGAAAAGTCTTCCATCGCCAGCCACTAAGTCTCGTTGGATCTCTCAAGGTAGCAATCAACCTTGTCATCCTGGCAACACCCGACTTGTACAATAAGCGATGATCCTATCCGTGCCGCTGGTTAGGTCGCCCCCCCCCCCCCCCCAAAGTCCCTCACGGGAGTGCGCTGATCGCGCCGGCCTGATTTGTTCTAGAGGTGCCCAGGTGGTGGTGGTGCCAGGGTGCACTGAATGCTGGAGGACCCGTTCTTAGTGCTAGCCTGCCACACCTCACCAATGAAAGGCGTGGTATGCAACCTGGAATACGAGGTTCCTCTGCATTTACGGGAGATCCGAGAATTATTTTTTGGGGGTTTGTTTTGAGACAACGTGAGGCCCGAGGTGTGCGCCGACGAGCCCAATCACTGGCGGCGTCTATCCTAATGGCGTGGTTGTCTTTTCGTAAAGAAGTGTCGACGCTGCCATACTTTGCTGCTTATCGTAAGATCCTTCGCTTTGACCCCCCCTTGTCTTATATACGCACACCACTTTTGGTCGTCGGGTGAAGTCAGAAGGAGAAAATGTAAGCTCGTGTGACAGCACATACACAAAATCCCTTCGTAGTGGGGTGCGTTGTTGGCTTTTTTTGTTCCACGTTCATGGGGCATGTTTGCTGAACCTCTCGTAATCGTGCTTTAGAGCCCATACTACCGACTGTGCCGCCCGTATATTTCTGTTTCGTGGACGCATGAGGAACATAGTGTTTCTACGCTCAGATTAGGCTAGAAACTATGACCCAATCTCTTGAAATATACTGCGGACGCTTAAGTCACTCCCGAGATCATCATCAACCTGCTTAATCTTTAGATGTCTGGACGCGCAGGAGCTGCATAAAAACACTGCCCATCTTGTCTCCCATCAAAACGCAAGTGTATGATTAATTTACTTGTAGATGTTCTCCGATCACCAATACTAATAAGGGCCCTGCATGTTCTTCAAATTTGGCTCGCTGACATCACGAACCAGACTTTTGTTGGGGACATGCCCGCGGGTTTTGTACATGATGTCATGCTACCAAAGGTGTTAACGGTTGGATCAAGGGTGGAGTCAACAAATCACAACCTTTCTCTTTCTCTTTCGTGGTTGCTTAATTAATACTCACCTCAACAAAGTCTATTACTCCCGGGTGGGGGGAAACTGGCAAAACACACAGCAAGGCTGGAATGTGCTGGAGGGTTTGAGGGAAAGGGCTGCTCTAATTAATCATTTGCCATTCTATCGGAATACGACATGATTCAAAGTGTACTGTACTACCGGCAACAGTTTCTATGTAACCCGAGTGGAACGGACGAGGTTATTGAGCTCAGGTCCAGCCTTGAGCACAAATACGTCTCCATTGATGAATGCAAAGTCAAAGTGGACTGGCAGTCATCGCTATCACTACCCTGCTCGCCAGGGGTTCCTCTCAATGTATTCATCGCTTTTCAACAAAATTTGATCTTGCTTCGCCGTGGACCAATCTCACCCCAGAGATGCATTTTTGCAAGAAGCGCCTCGCTTGTGAGCCATCTACCAGAAACAACGCGAAACAACCAAGCTCTTACAGCCTGCAGGCCTCATGAGATCTTACTTGGCAGTCAAGTCACTGATGGTGTCAGTTATCGTACCTACTACTTCAAAAATAAGGTCAACAAAGCTGACGCTGAGGATATCAGCGAGGTGCTGTCAGCTCTTCCTATTGTGGAAGCCGTAAGGAGTTTCGGCCGATAACCGGCGCTCATGGTACGATTTGAGAAGCTCAGAGACTGCTTTTGGCTGGGACCTGCTCCTTTTCCGAGCATATTTCGGCCTTCTTCCAACCTTAAATGCAAATGAATAGGACAGCGGCGCTCCAAGTCGTCCGTATATTGGGCAAGAAAGGGGTTCCTGTCTCGTGTGGCACGGGCTTGTGAAAGAGGTAGTAGACGAGCTCTAATAATGTATCAGGCGCTTGATCTCTTTCAGATCCTTCTCTCATTGATGAGTCTGTGGAGCAAGATGAAAGGTATGCGTGATTCCAGTATCAATTAGGGGTGATGGTTTCAACGTCCGGTACATACTGATGCCTTGTGACTCTTGCGAATTGCCAAGACTAAGAATAAGTATCCAAGTTTAACATGGTGTCGACCAGTGAGACCACTTCTCTTAACGTATAGAGAATACGAGGCTGTAGGAAAACAAATTCTCGGTGGCCGATAGCCGCCTCACCAGAAGGCACGGAAGCATTGCCTAGGTATATCCCGATAGACTTGAGCTGAGCGGGATGGAAACCGGCGATGAGCGTGCGATGAGCGTGCGATTCGCAGCCATAGGGATTCAGAAACTAGGAGGTATAGTCCTCGCCTGTGGGCACCCAGAAGCTCGGCTCGCACTGCCAAATACGTCTGTCCGTCTGGTGTGCTAAATTTGGGCACGGCGCCCGATGATGAATAATGGTGCTAGGGAAAATAGGGACGGCAAAAGAAAAGAAGGCGAAGCGACTCGTGCAGAAAGGAACAGGAGCGATGTTACCCATTTTAATACAAAGTGACCATGGCATGAGCCCATCTTGGACTGCGCGCCGCTGGCCGATGTGGCTGTAAGTGGCGGACTCTTTTTGCTTTCTGCTGGCTGGGTGAGACTCCTCCATGAGTTCCTTCAGACACGCCTCATATTTGCCTACTTAGGATGCTGTGCTGGTTGCCTTGGATAGACAGTCTTGTAATACATGTATGAATCTAGTATATATCCCCTTCTGTATTTGAGTGGCACCCGCGAAATTTGCATCGTGGGTGTGGAAATCTTCCCAAATATCTCACTGCCCTGAGGCGGCGACTACTCGAGCAAGATGGATCCTATCCGCTACCACGAGGGGTCACTTGGCCACAACATAGTCCGTGTTGGTGACTTGGAACCAGGCTTCTTTGGCTCTCCTGCCCTACGACAAAATCACCCTCCTCTTTATGCCTCATCTGCTCAACCGATTCCGGTCCAGCAGGGTCACCTCGACCATAGGCAATGCGCACGGGTTTTCTTGTACACGCAACAGCTGCCGTCCATCTGGGACACGGCACGTCAGGCACTGGCCACCTGTGTGCGCCGTGGCTATTTTGATCTGGACCTCCCTCTTCAGCGGTGGGCGCTACTGGTTGGAGACGACTTCTACGAGGCCGTGAGAGAGGGGTTGGGTATCACATATCGATACTACCGCTGGGAAGAACGGGCCAGGCATGGCTGGGATCGAAAACACAAAAAGGTCTTGTTGGGGTGCACAGAAATACATCCATTAGAGGTTGACCGTCAAGGTATAAAAGAAACATCGATCCCAACTGCTGGTGGTGGTAGTGGTGGCGCAGAAACTTTGTGAGACTGGCTAACTGACCTGAGGGCTATAGCTCGTCATGTGCTCAGAGGTCTACATCACGATGCCTCTAACAACTGCCAAGAATTCGTCAGAAGGCTGTTCGACGCGATCAGACCAGATGTGCACCATCTCCGGGAGATTCCCCGTCTTCCTTGGGCGAATGTGAGGAATGTGGTGGAGCTGATCGAATTTATACGCCACTGAATGTGTGGGGTCGAGGTAAGAAGAGTTGAATTTTGAGCAGGCATTTTGTTATTGTTGTTATTGATGTTCAAGACTGCGGTGGTCGTCGTGTCTAGGAGCATTTGGTTTGGCGAGAAGGTGAACCAGACATCCACTTGTACACTTCCATAGAGTTTGAGTGAGCGTCAGAGCAGCGACGCTTGTGAGAGCAGAAGTGATGAGATAAAATGAATTGATGAATTGATGACAGACCTCATGGCTTCTTTGTAGCCGGGAAAGTGTTTCAATCCGATATGAGCGAAGACAAGACGGGCCAATTTCTCACCCACCATCTACCACGTGGTTGCTGCTCCCTGGGTAGTAGACGTTGGATCAACAGCCGATCCTCTGCCTATCGACCGTCTGCAGCCCCCAAATGCGGCCCCAAAGTCGCAATTGCTATGGTGACTTGCCCCGATGTGGATGGGTGTTCGCGCTACTCTGAGGAAACGGTCACAATAGCGCCGTGTCATTCTGCTCGGGCAATATTCGTGCCTCACCCCTAGCACATGTCTTGTGGCGCTAGGTACGTATGCCTCCTGGTAAGGGCCCAATACCACCCAGCAGGCTACTCAACTAGCCGGAACCTTCCTTGGACTTCTATGCCAAAGGGGAGGCTCAGAGGGCTGGCCGAAAGGGGGGCGGAGTTCGCTACTTGCGGGCGACCGGTCCATTGTAAGTGTAGACTCACCATATGACAGAAAGAATAGAGCCGCATGCTGTCGTGTGAGGTGTTCAATCGGCCGTCAGCAGCATCTCGTTCGAATCTGTGAGGTTCGCATTTTTTACACTTGCTGACACCTCCTCTGCCGCCGTCGCTTCCTCGTCCCTACCGGCACGGGACCCTTCTGGCAGATCTGCTGTATCTTCGGCGTCTTTCACCTTCCAGTAGATACAAGTATTGGAGAAGGACGTGTCGAAATCCGTTGGGAAAGGGTACTTGTCAAAAGCAGTTCCTGTTTCCATCTCGTGGATCCGATAGAGATCTGAGCAGCGTTGGGCTGTCCAACAACTATATGCACATGTTAATCGACAAATACAGTCACCTACGCATGCAGGGAGTGGGAGCCTTTCTCACTCACCCTTCCCAAACGTCCCAGCCGGTCCCAACACACATTGCAGGCAGACTCTTGTCGAGAGCTGCATTCCAGACATCGCGATAGAGGTGAATGCCGTAGACCATAGTGGTCTCGTCGATGAGATCATACGAGGCGGGAGAGTCGAGAACCTTGCCTCCTAAACTGGCGATGAAGTCCTTGTCTGGCTGGGCAAACCGAGGCTCCTGGTAGATACACTCGATCTTTCCTTTGCCCTCTTCCTCTGGAAACGGCTAGGAGTCAGCAGGGCGCTGCGTGGTATTCCATGTGAAGAAGAAAGCACAGTGTGTATGTATCCGTACCGAGAATCTGCACTATGGTCAGGAAGGCAGCCAGTTGGATGTGTGATCTCCGCTGGGCAAGCAATGAGCCGTCCTCAGGATCAAACGCCCCCAGGCCAAGACAGACTGCCCGTCTGACGCCTGCATGGGACGAAGCATTGTCTCTGACCAGGTTAGAGAGGGTCGCATGGCACCCCGAGCTGAGCCATTGGGAAGAGATGTCGTTGTAGTCTGCACGAATCTCATCTGCCGAGAGCTGCGGCCTTCTGTTGGGTCGAAAATTCTCGACGGGGCCGGCCGCTGGTGGGTCAGCTGGGATGGTCTGGCGGCCGAATTTCTTGCCTTTGCCTTTCCTCACGATTCGAGTCCACTGATCTGGGGGTTCCTCCTCAGCATTATTCTGGCTGGGTGGCATGACTGAGGTTTGGGTTGTGCGTGTGCGTTTCCACAGTTGGCGAACGACCAGAGGATTTTGGTGGGGAAACCTTCCAGCTCAAGTGCGCTAAAGGCCTGTGATAGAGACGGTTGCTAGCCGGCCTTCCTTAGTCATCAAAGTTTTTGCAACACCATCTCCGAGTCGATTTCTTTTCTCTTTCCATGTACCACAAAACTTATAAACGTTGTTTAACATGGCCATCGAGAATCTCATCTTATATAGCTTTAGTCGCTGCTATGAGTCCCGCCAGCCTTGTCAGCTTAAGGAAGTCGCAGAGACAGACCGAGAGAGCTTGGCAGCAAAAGCCGTTCGAGATCGCCACTGCGCCCAGTAAGAGGAAGATGACTAAATGGTTTAGACTCTGTATTGAATTTATGATACTATGTACTTTGTATGTACACACATACAAATCGGCCTGGGATATGTTCAATAGACATTGCGTCGACGGGCTAAACACAACGCTTCATCGAGACACATCAACCGAGGCTGCAATGGTCCCGTTGCATCCCTAGCATTGAGAGATGCTGGCCAGGTGAAGCTCATGGAGAACCGTAATAACGCTTCGTGAGCCCTTTCTAGAGTGGCTGGGTCTGGCCTGAACCTGACCGGTCAGGTCACCTGGGTGTGACCTTCCTGACACATTGGTCCGAGCATTGGTCGCGCGAGCTTTTCTTCCTCTAAAGCAGTCTCTACCTGCTCAGGTTGATTTCTAGCCACCTGAGGTGGTTCTGTAGAGGCTCGGCTGTAAGGGTCCCTCGTCTCATGGGCGTGTCGGGGACATATCGGCAGTCGCGCACATATTCCTTGAATAGGGTCCTCTTGGTGCGTGGCGAGAGGACACCTCCCGCTCGCTAACGAATAATTGTGGTGAAGATGGTCGATCGTCCGCATCGGACATACCATCCATCCAGCCCTCTCACTGGCCTCGCGCCTTGAACGATCCGTTCCTCTCCTCCTCCTCCTCCTCCTCCTCCGCCCTCTTCTTGGCAGCCATGCGGTCCCTCAGGTCCGCCAGCTTCTTCTCCAGGGGTATCCTCATCGCCACAAGCCCCGAACGTCGATTCTCCAGTAAGTTGATGCGCTCCACCAGGTCTAGCTCCCGCACCTGGCGCTGCTCCTGCACGGCGTCGTTGTCCATCTTGAGTCGAGCACCCGTTATGGCGCCGACAATGGTAATGAGGGCGATGGAACCGGTCAGGACGACACGGCGTAAGGTCTGGGCGCTCGCCGTTGGAGCAGGGGAGGCCTTGGAGGATGCTGAGGACTTGCTAGCAGAGGGTCGGGGAGGAGGTCTGCGCGCGGTCGAGGCGAGGCGGGTGGTGGTTGTGAGCGTGGTTGTAACGCGCGAGCTGACGAGGGCTGATGAGCGTGGTATACACCGTGGTAACATCTTGGACTGGCGCATATATTCTTTCTTTCAGGTGGTATTGGAAATGTCGTGAGAACCCGGACAGCGTTCCTCTCTCCGCCCTCCACACTCTTTCATACCCAAAATTCCCTCCACGCCGCTACCGCCTCGAGCTCACGCTTCGTCTTGGGCGGTTCGGGGGCCGAGAGACTTGAGAGTAACGAGGCGTCGGACAGGATACTGTTTGACCTGCTGTGGTATCTGCTGGACGGATATTCTCCTCTTCCTCCTCGTCCTCCCCCTGTTTTTTGCCCCCCTCCGACAACCTGCACCGGCCAAGGTAGTTTTGGCGACCACGCTTCAAATGGGGTAGGTGGTGTTGTTGTCGTGGTCAGTGGAGGTGGTTCTGTAGCTTGTCTTGGTGGCTGTCGTCGTCGCCGCAGTAGCAGATCGTTCTCACTGCACTGTTCTAGGTGGTGGTTGTGTTGTTGTTGTTGAGGGGAAGGGAAGAGATGCAATTCAATGTCTTCTCCTCCTTCAGGCGTTGTAGAAGTGGGTGATGTGAAGATGGCAGCGCTGGTATGCAGCGGTATCGATAAGGCTCTTAGTAAGCGCCCTGCAGGGTTGGGGCGGGTGGTGGTGGGTGTTGACATTGCTGATGCGCTGGCGACTGTTCCGATGAGGGTGAAAGCCGAGGGAACGAGGGAGACAAAAGAAAAGGAAAAAAGACAACACGGTAGAGAATAGGAGTTTTGAGGAAGAAAAAGTTTCACTTCTTCTGTTCTTCCTCGGAATCTTCTTCGATTGAGGATCTTATATTGAGTTTGCGACGGGAGGTCATTCAGTGGGATTCTTCTTATCAGACACCCGCCTCAAAAGGTGGATGCGTCTCATGTCAGTTGCGGATAGGCACCTGGTCGCAGTCTCACGATGCTGAAAATGGCCTCCTGAAACCAGAATGAGAATCTCGACTCGACGACAGGACCGGGGGACCGCCACGGTTATTTAGGATTCTCACACGCGAGCTTGTGATCAACCCCCTGATCTTCTACTAGCTGGTCTTTAATTTGTATTATATCATTGACAGCTCGAAGCTTGTGGTTTCTCTTGTTTCAACAGCACAGCTAGCTATTTAGTCTTTGGCAGATCTGCACGGAATTGGCTTGGGCTCACCACTTCTTTGCTACCGTCAATGGTACCATGCGATGGATCTAGACAAGACACGTTAGGACAGCAGAAGTAGTTCATCATTATCCAGCCCAGAATAGGTAGATTCGCACGTGCATCGATGAATTTCGTGCATGTTCGAGGAACGCTGACGAAACGTCTTACCTGAACGGATGCTTAGGTTAGCCTGTAGTGGGCGGGAGCTACTAGATAGTGTAAGAACGGCAGTGTGTCGTGACTGCTGCTGTTGTCCCAGCTCGCTCGGCCCCTTCCCGGCAAACTACTTCGACAGTTTACCCTTCCTCTGTCGTCATCCACAGTCCAACCCAAACCCACGACCCCGACCGCCAAACACCATTAGCTTATTGACGACGACAGGAGGACAGACACTGCAATGCCAACGCCTCGGGTCTTTATCTTCCGCCATGGAGAGACGGAATGGTCGCTGAATGGGAAGCACACGGGCGTCAGCGACATTCCGCTCACAGCCAACGGCGAAAAAAGAGTCAAGGCCACGGGCAGGGCCCTGGTAGGAAATGACAGGCTCATCGTTCCCAAGAGGCTCACGCACATGTCTGTAGTAGTCACTCCCTGGCCGAGTAAGATCGAAACTTGACCCTCTCTTGCTCACACAAGCCCCTCCCGCTAGATTCGTCTCCCCCCGCAAGCGGGCTCAGCGCACTTTTGAGCTGCTTAACCTGGGCTTCCAGGATCTGCCGTGGAAGGCTCACGGCCCAGCTGAGGCCGAGCCTCTCGAGGCCTGCAACGCACGCATCCAGGTCACCCAGGACATCCGCGAGTGGGACTACGGCGACTACGAGGGCATTACCAGCGCTGAGATTCGTGAGCGGCGTGCTGCGCAGGGCTTAGACGAGCACTGGGATATCTGGAAGGATGGCTGTCCCGGTGGAGAGTAAGGGAATGCCCCTCTTGTCTTTTTTTCCCCCTTTGTCGGCCCAGTCAGTCCATCGGCCAGCTGTCTGCGTATAAGGTCTTCTAACTCTTGTCAAAATCGAAACAAAGGTCTCCCGAGGACGTGACGGCCCGTGTGGACCGCCTGATTGCCGAGATCCGCTCCAAGTACCAGGTGCCCTTCATGACCTCCTCCTCCTCCTCTGCCTCTGCAGCAGAGGACAGGCCCCACGACGGCACCGGCGATGTCTTAGTGGTTGGTCATGGCCACATCCTCCGCGCCTTCGCCATGCGCTGGGTCGGCAAGACGCTCCAGGAGGGCCCAACCTTCTTGATGGAAGCCGGAGGTGTCGGCACCCTCAGCTACGAGCACAAGAGCATCGACGAGCCGGCCATCCTGCTCGGTGGAGCCTTTCAGGTTGAGAACCCCGAGGTAACCATTGCAGAGGCGAAGAAGGATTGATCAATTATGTCCTTCGCACCAGCCCGTGCTGACCTCAGTCGTCCTTACTTACTGCAGTGATCAGTCATGTCATTGGGATTAGCGAATCTGTTAGTAGATTTGAAGAGCAAGTTATGAAGATTTTCTTGGTCATGGTTGTATAGATAATCACACCGGCATCTAGACCACTTTCCACGAACATTACCGCCTGCAAATAATTGTTCAAGCCATGACTGCCGGTCAGATGATTCTGCCAAGCTCTATCTCACGACACGGCAGCAAAACTACATGTGATGAACGAGAGGCCACGGATGGATAGGTCAAGAGTTAGGAGATCAATTGATGTCTCCTGAATTTTTAACACACTTCTCTACAGCAGCGACATAACAATAGCAACAACAGTCACAAGAACCCCTTGAGAGCCAGCACTGAATCTCGAGCCCTCACTTGTCTGACTCCCGCTTCCGCTCCCACTGCCACTGGAGGTGTCATTACCTGTGTTGTTTGACCAAACAATAACTGCAAACTCCGCAACTGACGCGCCCACACCATCGTTCCCTGAGGCCTGGTTGCCCCAGATGGACAGCGTGGCGTAGCGACCAGCATACACGGGTGTGCTCAGAGTGACATTCGTGGTGTTGCTCGCATACGGCTGTATCAGGCCCGCCGTCGCGGCATCGTATGGGTCGCTCACCTCAACACTGTCGCTGCTGGTGGCGTTGACAACACCCTGTCCCTGTTCTCCTGCCGTAGTATTCGAGAAGGCGACACTGTACCCGCGGGGCGGCGCCTGTGCCCAGTCGAACCTGAAGCCAGCAACAAGCTGTCCCTGTGCCTCGGCTCCCAGGTCCACCGTCACACTGCTCGTGATGTTGGCCTGTGTTGGCTGCCACTTGGTGGAGACGGCCCCGTCGTTGGCGGCGAAGGGGAACTGGCCCGGTTCAAAGTCGTCCTCGCTGGCCACGGGGAGACACTGCGCGATGTTGCCCGGCCAGGTCTTGACGGAGCCGATGTCACGGTTGGTGATGACGATAGCCTCGCCGGATGCATCGAGCTGGTAGGCCGCGGCGGTCGAGTTGCTCCCGATGGTGACGGGGATCGAGGCGTTGAGGTAGGCCGCGTTGGCGCTGGGGAGGGCCCTGCCGGGGATGCGCTGCATGGTCGTGTGCGTGGCGTTCGAGGTCGCGTTGACGGGGTGGCCCTGCCAGTAGAAGGTGCGGTACTCGAGACGTGGGATCTGCGGGGGCAGAGACGGGTCGACGTTGATGGCATCGAGGCGCAGGCGGAGGCCGAGGTAGCCGAAGATGGCGACGCGGTTGGCACCGCCCATGCCTGTCAGGAACGGGTAGGCAGGGTGCGTTCCGCCGTTGAGGGTGTAGTCGTCGATCAGCTGCTCCGAGTACTGAAACCAAGGGGCGCGGACGTATGGGTAGGATGAGTAGATGTCGTAGGTGTATGCGGAACAGCCCGAGGGCGAATACGCGTTTGCCACGATGCTGAACACGCCGTAGGTCATGCCGGGGCCGTTTTCGGATTGCTTGCCGGCGTAATAATCTAGATCAGAGAGCGAGTACTCGTTCGGATAGTTCAGGAAGTCATCGATGAGGACAATATCGGCTTGTTTAACGGCTGTATGAAAGGGAGAGAAAATAAGCCGAGTTCAGCAAATCAATTATGGTCCACGCCAGAATGGCTGAGAGAATAGGGAAGAAAAGCAGAGGGGGAAGGGGAGTGTTTCTCACAAATGGAGCCATTCATTGTGGTATACTCTAGGATGAGATTGGCTTCGTCGTTCACGGGTATGTCGAGATCAGTGGACCTATTCGCTGCGAGACTGTTCTCCTGCATGCCAAAGAGTTCGCGGAAGGTGTTGGTAGTTTCGAGATGTGTCTTGATCAGTGCCATTGTATAGCCCGGGTTGTCCACGTTGTTTGCGTACTCATCCTGAATTTACTGTCAGCTAGTCACTCCTTCACAGAAACTTTGTCGACAGGCAGAAGATTTGAAGTGGGTAATACCGGATCAGTGGCGTTCGTTAGGCTATACAATCCTGTAGATTCGTTTAGGGTAATGAGCTCCGAGTAGAATGTGGCGATAGCATCGTATACGGGGAAATAATCCGCTTGGAAGGTTTCAGCGTCTCCAGTGACGACGTAGTAATTATATAGCTCGAGCCCAATGTCGCCGTTGATATGGTACTCGTAATCCTGGGACATCAAATTCACATTAATACCGCAGTTAAATTCCAAGCCTCCGAGCAATGATAACAAAGACATAGACGCAACAACCTACAAAACAGGGTCCTGTTCCAGTGCAGTTTCCAAAGCGTCCCGATGTCCATGGGAACACGGCTGCGGCTCCTGAGAACTTTCCAGACTCGTTCTGGGAAGACGAGAACGCCATGTCGATGTTCTGCTGCGCTTGGGGAAAGAGGCGGGCTCGGTAATTGGCGCCTGCGCTGGCAGCCTGAGGGAATGCGACGACAAGTCCTGACGATTGCCAGATATCTGCATCCCAGAAGATGAGGCCGGCATCTGATTGTAAAAAAAGTTAATTTGTTGTTCCCGAGAATGTCCTACTCAAAAGCTATCCACCTCTCTATTTCCTCCTCTCTGTCTCTCCGAATTGAGGCGCACAGCGGCATGAGAAAAGGAAGAAGAGGGGGCACATGGTTACTTACAGCTATCGGAACCCAGACCACCTACTGAGATACTGTTGACATTGAGCATGGAATTGTTGCCGGCTGCAGCTATGGCATTACTGCCAACGGTGTTTTGGAGCAGCTGGTAGGGATTGGTGACAGATGTGATCTGCAGCTCGACGATGTATGGGTCACTCGGCAGAGTGCCATTCTCGAACGAATAGTCGTCGACTGAGTCTTGGGTCAGGATGCTGGCCCATTCGGCGGTGTGACTCTGAAGGAGACTGTCGAACCCTGCGGCTGCAGCTGCGGCCGAGGCGTCTCGAGCTACAGTTTGAGGATCCGCAAAGGCGTCTGTTGACGCTCCTCCGATATATTTGGTCAATATTGTGGGACTACCAGCGGCCACGTTGACCTGCACAGCCTGCGCGATGGAAGACTGGTTAGCCCCAATGAGCGAGCTGTCCTCAACTAGTTGAGTTGTCGATGTGTTTCCCGCCAATAGAGTCGAGTATATGTATGCCGTCACATTTGCAATGCCATTGGGACGAACAGCCGACCAGATGGTTGCGTTATCAGCGTTAGATCCCTTGTCCACAAAATCGGTCCGAACCGCGCAGTCTCCCTCCAAGACGTCCGTTACCGTGACATTGGTGTTGTCGGAAGCTGTCAGGCTCAGCTGCACTGCGGCCTTGTTGACGTCGAGCTTGGACACAAACATTGTATACGAGACTGCCAAGGAGGGACTGTCACCACCAGGCGTCCAGGTATAGTCCCACGACAGTACACCGGACTTGAAGTTCATGGCTGAGCTAAAGTTGGAAATCTGGGAGGCATCAACCGAGGCGTTTAGGATCAGGCCATTGCTTGCCTCTACTGTCAGTCCAGCCCAGTGAGGGACTCCAGATACTGCCAAGCTTGTATTAGTCCATCATTCCCAAAGATTCATCTTCGTATGGCTCATCAATGCTTCTACGAAAGAGCGGGAGAGAAAAGGGAGAAGTAAAGAAAAAGAAAAAGAAGAAAACGTACTGACGCTCTCCCCGCCATATTGATACAGCCATGGGAAGTTGCTCCCATTGGTCGTGGGCTGGGAATCCCAAAACCCGCTGATGGTGGCAAAGGTCTGTCTGCGGTTGAAGAGGGGCCAGCCTGAGATCAGGTCGCCATCGACTGGAGTATCGACCTCGAAGAAAGGCCCCACTGCAGCTACATTGATCCCGAGGTAGCCATTGGCAAGAGACATACGCGACTGGTAATGCCCTTGGTCAAGAGTTGTGGTCTTGAGGATCCAATTCTCGTTATCCCAAGTGACACCCTCGAAGCGGGTGTCATAAATCTGTTGTCCCAGTACAGAGGAAACAATAGTGGGGAGGAGAAAGAGGAGGGGGAGGGAGAGAAACCTCTGTGGAAATAATTGAGCCATCACCGCCGCTGTGAAAAAAGAGAAGCCCCTGGCGAATTGAATCGCTAGACGGAGAGGGGGGGGGCAGAAAGAGAATAGAGACAGAGAGAGAGGCTGGCGAATCAGATGGGCAGCTGCGTGTACAAAGACTGATGATAATACTCAATTATTATTATTATGTGAGACAGGCCCCTGCTGCATTGCTGTCAAGACTGTCTTTCACTTGAGACTGATCGACTCGTCGAACATTGAACCATGGTACAGTAAACTCGTGATCCGAGACATGAGGGGGGGCACCCTTATTATTCATATTTGTGCTCCGTATTATACACACCATAACATAAACACGGGAGGGGAAACGGAAAAGGGCCGCTCTCGCTCCACCTCTGCACGCGAGAGGAATTACTACATAGTAATGTGCAGTCGGTGTGAAAAGATACTTTGCGGGGGGCGGGGGTGGGCCGGGAAGTTCAGAAATACCTCGAATGATGGAAATCCCTCGAAGCAAAACTCTCGTGACCGTTCTCGCTATACCGCATCCAGAGAGGAATCCAGCCACGCCCACGTCATACCTCGACTAAAATACTTGGCCGAAATCCCGGGCGTTGGGTACCGGGAGCGAGAGGGGCCCAGAGCCCCGGGCCCAGGACCGGGAACAGGCACCAAGCGGCTGAGGAGTCTCCTTTTTTTCTTTTTTCTCTTTTTCTCCACACTGCTGGAAGGATCAGGATGAATCTGGGGTCGAACATTGGGGGAGAATGTTACTACTCACACTGTAGTGCTTTATAGTTGCTTATTGCCAACGCCCATAGTATGTATGGGCGATTCAGTTCGGATTTCTTTCTCTGACATGGTTACACAGTTTATGTATATTGCTTTCCATTTTACCTCTGTCAAATCCTTGTACTTGGCAATTGAATATAGTTTTCCTTCCAGGCGTCCGAAGAACTTTCCTTTATTCATGTTTTTTATTTTCAATATGTTTCGACCGGCCCCACCAGCCAGCCCGGCTATCGTCCGGTCCAATTCCCAACAACGGCTCACCGTCTACAGGCGCCCTTCGGTTTCCTTGTCATTCTGTGGCGCAGAGCCCAACCTCAGCCGCCGACCTCGACCTCGATCTCGACCTCTCGGCCTTACAAATCACTTCTTGCCTTTCAACATGATCGCTTCAACATCATCTTCTCGGCCACGATTCTATGGATGCATTGAACTGAGGCAAGATCATGCATCGCCATGACGCGACCTGATCTGCCAGAAGCTTTGCTGCCCCAAAGTATGGGTAGCTATCTCGCATCACATGACGATAACACGCGACAGGACCTCACCTTGGTCTACTATAAGCCACAAAGGGTGGCGCCACCACCAACCCCGAGAAGTGTCTCACCACAGGACTCACCCGAACCCTAGACTGGCTCCAACGTGGCGCAAGAGCGCGGCATCATCAACAAGATCGTCCCGTATCCGTGTCCAGGTCCAGGCCGGGGTCGGGGCCGAGGCTGTGCGTGACGGCACCTTGTTCCTGTTTCCCGGCAGACAGCACGTGCAACACGTCGGCGAGGAGCTTGTACGCTTTGATGTGGGGATTGTCTTGCGGAGTCACTGCCCCAGCACGACGACCACAGCTGCCCTGCATATATCCCGGCGGAGGAATTAGAATTAAAGGCTGCGAAGCAGAGAGGGCTGCGCTGCACATTGTTGCCAACAGTGGAGTTGTGAACATGGCTGTGATGGGTGTGGCAGAGATTTCGTTTGCAGTGCCGGTAAATGCTGCCATCAGTATCCTTATTTTTTTTATTTTTTTTTCGTTTTTATCTCCAGTCGTTCTCTTCTTTGTTTTCTCCCACTCTCCCATTTTTTCTTTCCTTCTTCTCCGACGTCTTCATATAAGCGTCTACCATCCTCTCAACTCAGAATCCTCCCTTCAAAAAAAACTAGAAAAAGTTAATTCACAAAACAAAGAGCTTCGGATCTGGAATACCGCCTCGCCTTGGAGAAGTTGATCATCTCATGAGAACAATGGAAAAAGGGGGTCTGGAGACGACTGAAAGCGCCGGGCATTGAGAAATTAATACTGTTCCCGATTACGGCATACAATCACGCAATAATTCCGATCGCGTGCAGTCTGCGTTCCGGAGAAGAGGGTCCAGATGCCTGAGGTGGGTCATATGAACGAAATCATATGGAATCTGCTGCCACACCTCGTCTGTGCAGTGTGAGTGACTGTCTTCTCTGGCCAGCGATCTCATGCGTTCACCTTGCTCTCAGAAACAATGGCCTGATGGCGGTGGATCTGAGAGGTGCACGTTGTCAAGCTGTGCGCCTATCATGGTAATTACTACTTGCAGGACTAGACTCAATTCGATGACATCTCGTTCATTTAAAGTATGAATGCAATGTCCTCATGAGACGCTGGCAGCGCATATTTTTCTCCTCCACACGCGCAGTCGCAACACCATGACTAGATACTACCTCTGCAGGACTTCCCCTCCATAAATGGTCTGGCCCACCTCAGGCACAGGCACGATACCTGCAGCCACCAGGTCCTGCGCCAGCCTCACGAGCAGCCCGTCGCAGTGCTTGGCCACGAGGACATCCACGGTGACAGGGAAGAACTCGTCATGCTGGGTGATGTTGCTGAACCCGCTCGCCTGGCCCACGGGGAACACGCTGTCCGGACACTCACTGAAGACGCTGATGCGCCCGGTCGAGAACCCCCAGGGGACGGACGGTGCCGACCTGTACTCGTTGCGGGGCGTCTGCGAGGCATCTGATCCCGGGTACAGCAGGATCGCAGAGGAGCATTGGGAGGCGTCGTCGACGGGGGCGAGGATCTCGGAGCCGAACCAGTCCATGAACAACGTCTTGTTGGTGATGGCTAGGTCGAGTGCGTCGGCGGGCTGGCTGTCAGTAAAGGCCCAGCGGATCAAGGGAGCCGGGTCGACAAAGGGCAGCCGGCCGTCGTGAAGCGCTTTTCATAGCTGTTAGCTTTCGCACAGGAATCAAGCAGACTGTCGAAGAAGGTTGAGCGACTTACCTGCGTAGTCGGCGTAGAACGGGTCTCTGACCAGCTCTGTCTGCTGTTTCCCAATCAACGTTGGGTAGGTGATGTTCAGGAGGTCGTCCAGGGCCACACCTCCGGCTCCGGTCACGTTTGCGTCAGCCCACGCCTCCGAGAGGTCCAGCGCCGTCGCGTTCCCACCGACAAAGGCCGCCAGCTTGTTGGCAAAGTCAATAAGCAGTGCGTCCGCGTCACCACCACTGGCGTCGGTAGGAAAACCAACCAAGTACACCGTTGTCGGGTAGTTGGGCGACTCGTTGCTGTCCACGAATGAGGTGTAGTTGTCCCCGTACAAGACCTGCTGGGCTACATCCCACAGATAGGGGTCCCTCGTCAGGAAGCCCGCCGTGTCCAACACCGGGCTCAGCGGCATCACATTGTCCAGAGAGACCAAGCCGTGGGACGGACGGTTGCCGAACAGGCCTTGGACCTCTGAAGGACCCCGGATGCTGCCACCCGTGTCACTTCCGACGGCTATGTCGAGCCACTCGTAAGTGGCGATACTCGCGCCGGCGCCCGACGAGCTTGAGGACGGATCCTGGTAGCCGTCACCGCGGGGGTTGAAGGGCGAGTGGTAGTCTACCCAGTCCGCGGTGGCAGTCTCACCGTTGGCAAACTGGCTGGGCTTCTGAAGGCCGACAATCTGAGCCCCTGCGTCGATGAGCCGCTGGACGGCTGGTCCTGTCACATTGTTCTCTGGGTACAGATTGTACCATGCCCGGTTTCCGTTGGACGACTTGACTCCTGCGAGGTGGTAGATATCCTGTTGAACGGTCTCAGTCAGCATCCACATGGTTCAGAACTGTCTTTTTTCTTCTTTCTTTCTTCATTTCATTCATCTTTTTCATGTCCTGGTTTTACAACATACCTTCACACCGATGCGAACTCCAGCCAGAGGCTTCTCTGCGGTCTTGGTGAAGTAGAGACGGGACGGCACGCCAATAGTCAAAGCTGCTGAAGAGGCGACCTGGGCAGAGAGGGGCTGGAAGGTTCCGTCCGGTTTCTGCAGAAGGGAGGTAGCAAAGGAGCCAGAAAAGTCTTCATAGAGCCGATAGACCTGGTGCAGTGCCCCGGTGTCCTTGTTGAGGAAGTAGGGACCAGAAGGTATTGTTGTTGTGTTCAGAGGATACGTTGTTGTGTTTGCCGTCGATCTCCTTCGAGACTCATACGTCTGTGCACCAACTGAGCTCATAAACACTGCTCCGGTGAAGCCGTCCTGGAAGACATCGTCGCTCGCTGTCCAGTTGCTGAGTAGCTCACTGAGTTCTGACTGGGCGATCGCCTCTTGAACAATGGTGACGGGGGCAAAGCCAAAGACACTCCCGACGGCTGATAGTGATTGAGACTCGACGGTAACATGACCTGCGATGAAAGGCGAGATGAAGTAGTCCACATCGTTCAGAACGACGGACAAGCCACTGCCCGTAAGTTGAGAGGAGACGGGCGGGGCATTAGCGAGGACTACCAGGACAGCCCCGACGAACCCAACCAGGCGCGAACTGGCCCACGATTTGGGGCAATAGCCGAGCATTATGAAGAGATCTCGACCTTTTTCAGAAGGGCCGAGCTGTGGTGGTGATTTTATCTTTTTTGGCTTTTATTCTGCCGCCTCGTGCCCGCTACAGCAATCATCGTCCTCGTCAAGCAGCGGGCCAGTCACGCCTTATATGCTGATACTCCTGCATCTGCACAGCGGTAACATAAGTAGGCAGTGCTCAATGCCAATGCAACCTAGATTGGATGCTATGCAGCGCTTACCATGCAAAGCCTTATCTCTCCTTGGTGTGTGGGAACCGGTCACCAGCCGGACTATCGTATCGAGTCTTGGTTTTCTTAGCTTATCTTGTTGCCGGGCCCGGCGGTGGTTTTCTCCGGGCTTCAGACGGGACGGGAGATTGAGAAAATCACCCGCCGGAGAAAAAGTTGAATGCTGTGGTTCTTTATTCCCGTGAGACATTTTGTTCATCCTCAATTGTGGCTTAACAGTCAGGAGCTGGACGATTGTAGCGTGGGAATGTCTTACTTCTAACACAAAGATAGAAGAGAGGGCAATAATTACAGACCGATCATACAAAGTGAGCAACGTCTTACAAAGCTGGCTAGAAGATTTTTCCTATAACTACTATACAAGGGATCGAAAGTACTACATATGTACAGAGACCTGCCAAGGGTTGCCCGGTTGCGCCGGCAGAAAATGGCGAGACATCAAGGTCCGAGAATCCGAATCAATCTTTACATGATATCGTAATTGATTCACCAGCGTGATCTTGGCGAGTAGATATTGGTACTTGGCGGTGGACCTCGTTAGAAAACTACCCTGCATAGCGTGGTCCTGTAGTGGATAGACAAAGTACCTCGCTATGTAAGTGCCCTACGTTGCCAGAGGGAAATCCAAATACGAACGAGCTCGTGGAAGCAAGGAAGTATTCCCATGTGAGAACTGCTATGTACTATGGTGTTATCTTGTTGGATGACTAATTTTCAGTTACCGTTTTCCGTCTGTCATATAACCATGAAACTATACAGATACAAGTCCTGTGCATTGCTGCCCCTGTCAGTGCCGTCCCTGCGCCTGGACAACTAAGTTCACGTTCGAGGTTGGCAGTGAGGGTAGAGAGACCACTAATCGTGCTCTGCTGGGCACATAGTACATCAAGAAGCTGCCGCATTGGGGCACCGTCAGTCCAAGACCGCATAGCAATGACCTCACCTGTCGGAATGGGGCCCACGACTATCCACAAAAAAACTGCACACGAAGATGCGTCTGCGCCTCGTGAAATTAATGACGAGGTTACGAGGCAGCAGTCCGCGAGTGCCACAACGTATTGCTTGGGGAGCTAGAAGTATAAAGCGCTTCGTCATCCTGAATGCAGATCGTGCAAAATATTTGCTCTCTTCCGCGTCTGCATCTCAGCATAAGATGTTGCCTAGGTCTTTGGCTCATGGTGGATTCTGCTTGAAAATCGTCCCAGCGTCAGTCTGTGCTTTGGCTATGAGTTCAAAAATTGCTGTAGATATAGAATTGGGTTTTCACCATCTTCTTGGTCTTATTGAACCGGCTGGAAGAAGAAGTCACATGCTGATCATTCCGGATAATTTATATTGTATTGTATTTCCCTTATGCAAAGAAAACGGGGTCGAGTCTTCGTTCTTCTAAGCTACAAAGACAACCGCTTGTACTTGCTCGTCGGAGGCTCATAGGAAGCTAAGTAGTCGAATTCTAGAACAACATTCAGCATGGCGACTTCGTCAAAGATCTTTTCTTAGGGCGCCAAGGCAAGTGCAATTGAGATTCACCACAGCAATGCTGGAGACTATTAGGACTTAATTGAGTAAGTGGTCACTCACTATTGGAATAACACGTTTAATTAGCCTCATGGCTGACCACAATTGCCAAGTAATTGATAGTCAAGTACTTTCCCATTCGTGGGCGTTACTCTAACTCTACCCAAGGTGCAACGGTGCGAGTTTCAAGATGGTCCCTGCCATTCGTTTCGTGAATAAACAAACGGTCGGATTTTCTCCAAACAGAGAACATAACAAGACGGACGTTGTGACCCCACCTCGTCTTAACCGGATTTCGAAAGACCCGGGGCGAGATGCCTTCACCTCCGTTACAGCCGACCGCACCACTTAAATCCATGATGGCATGACTACACATTGAGAACTCATCATCGTTATATGGTCGAAAGCCTGCTCAAATCAACCTAATAACATCCGTTGACTCCAAAACTTATGTCGAGAAGATCTTATCCACCATTATGATGGAAGCGATGGCAAGCTACGGCCTCAGCGTGGACACAACCACGTGTTTCACCACCCTCCTGGCATTTATCCTCTTGCTAATGTTACTGCTGTTCTATTACATCGTCAACCTCAACCGCCTCCTCAGCGCCACACCGTCAGACTTCGCAAAGCTTATTTCTCGACGGTGGACGCGGTCAGAGATCAAGAACACATATGCCCGCCTCTCCAAGAATCCCATCACCACTGCCTCATATGCATCCCAGCTGCCGCCAAAGCAGCACCGCCGATATATCATCACGGGCGGATCGGGTCTCGTTGGCGGGTACATCGTCCTGCAACTTCTAGAGAGGGGCCAGCCTCCCAGCAGCATCCGCATTGTCGACTTTCAGGCGCCGCACCGGGCCGACATGCTCAGCGGGCGGGCCGCCAAGGTGGACTTCCAAAAGGCGGACATCTCGTCAGCCACGTCTACCGAGGCTGCATTCGCCGCGCCGTGGGATGACTCTGTTGCCAGTCTGCCGCTGACTGTCTTTCACACGGCAGCGGTGATCATCCCTTCGGCGCGCTCTGAGCTCGTCAATGGCTTCTGCGAGTCCGTCAACGTTCTAGGTACCGAGCACGTGGTTGCTGCGGCACGGCGGGCGGGCGCTGATGTCTTAATCGCTACGTCCAGCGCCTCCATCGCCATCCGGCCTGTGGAGTTCTGGACGAACCCCTTTACGAAAGGGCGAGATTTCCCCCGCTACTTCTCGCAGGTTTTGGACGAGTCTGACTTCTTTCGCCCGCTGCGGCCTCACCATGATTTCTTTGGCAACTACCCTGCTTCAAAAGCCAAGGCTGAGAGGATCGTATGTGGTGCTAATGGAGATCAGCTCAGGACGGGCTGCATCCGACCTGCAAACGGGGTGTACGGCCATCCTACTGATAACCTGATCGGCTCGCCACTGAATATGCAGACATATCCACAGTAAGCAGACTCTTTTTTCCCCCTTACTTCGCCTGAAATTTATCTTTCTGTCGTTTCTGATATCCTGATAACCAATGGCTAACTATATTCCTAGGTGGGTCTCACATATCATCCAGAGCTTCGTGCACGGCGTCAACTGTGCCGTAGCCCACCTGCAGTTCGAGGCCATCCTCGCGGAGCCCGGGTCCTCTGTCTCGCCCCAGGCTGGCCGCCCGTTCTGCGTGACCGATCCAAACCCGCCCATCTACTACGGCGACCTCCACAACGTCATTGCGACGCTGTCTTGCACACCCTTCCGTCTGCTCGAGGTCCCGCCCGCTCCCATGCTGCTACTGGCCTACGCCGTCGAGTTCTACAACCTGCTCCCCGCGCGGCTGCCCTGGCTGCGAAGGATCCTGCCAGCCCTCCCAGGCGCCGTTGTTTACCTGGAGCCAGGCCTGTTTTCGATCTGCACGCACCTCGTTGGGAACATGGATGCAGCTTGTAGGCCTGTCGACCAGGGCGGTCTTGGGTACCGCGGTGTGCTGACGACCCTCGATGGCATGTGCCAGGAGCTCCTCGACTGGAACCACGAGCAGGGGCAGCATGCAGAGGAGGTAGCAAAGTTGGGGGTGGGCAGCAAAGGCAAGGTTGGGATGAATAGCAAGGTCGTGGCCAAGTATTACCGCAACAGCGTCGCCCTGGCTGAGGAGATTCGCAAGCTGGGCGCAGTGGGCGTGGCGGTCAAGGCTTGACTGATCCTAGCCTCTCATGATCGACAATCCTAAAGCCTTTTCTTCTTCTTATTTTTTTTTTTTTTTTTCATTTCCATTTCATTACTCTCGCAAGGAAACAGCTCGCGAAGATGGGCTCCTCCTCGTTCCCTTACCTACCCACAGCACACGCTGGGCTCCTCGATTCCTCCGACAGCCGTGTTCTCCTCCTCATCACTCCCTATTTTCATTCCTTCGCTCTTCACAATGATTCGCCTTGTCATCCAGTCACAGAAGAATTTTCCAAGCCCGCCGCCAATGATCACACATATGATCACATAGCCATTATAGCTCATGACCAGCAGCATCACAAGATAAGCGACACCCAGGGACATCGCGTGGATGATAGCTCGGATAGCCTGCTGCAACGGCGATGCACGAAACATAACCGCTCGGCTTGCCTGCATCTGACCCGTTGCGGTAATTGTGGTCTTGCTCGCGGCCTTGGTCGACCCGTCGTCGTTCTTTTGGTGTTGTGCGAGAGGGTCTGGTGTCAGGAATGAAAGGTCGAGGCTGGTGGCTGCTGCCGCCCCAGCCTGGAAGCTTCGTAGGATCCAGTCATCAAACTCTCTACCGAGGCGTCGCAGGGCTTCCATTACCATCACTAAGAGGACGGTGCCAATGCACGTGGCCGCGAAGGCGCCATTGCTGCCGACATGCCATGACTCTGCAATGAAACCTTTGGTGCAAAAAGGAGGTGGGATTAGTGTCGGATTTCAACATCACCTAGTCGCACGTTCCTAGAATTCAATGAATTCTCTAGCTCTTCTGAAAGAACCAGAGGATATTCAAGAGATGAATAATTATGCTTACACGAGTCGATGGTGTACCAGTTCCACAGCATCTATCGGGTTCTCATGTCAGACTCGGTGTGTAATCAATCTGGAACAACTCTTCCACATGCACTTACCGACTGGTTACACGTCCTTGAGCTCATTTCCATGTCCATCTTGGCGGCTGTTGATGATTATCCGAATGTGGGTTCTGGAATCCTTGTTGTATTGGGGAAAACTTGTGTCTGATGGATGACTCAAAGCCAATCTTCGGAGTGTACGAAGTGGCCTCTGATCTTATAGCAGTGAAGTTGAGAGTGCTGGGGGGGTTGCAAGACTCTTGAAGAGCGAGGTGAAGAAATGAAGGGTCGAACAGCTTGTTCACACTTGTCCGTCTCCGTCAAAGGAAGCACAGCCGTGACAACTAACACCGGCACGGGGCATTGGTGACAAATAGCATTCTAATGAAAGGGAAAAAACAGGGGCAGCATTCGTGTTGGAGTAAATATTGAGCCAAGAGTCAAAAACGTGCTCAAGTCCGCCGTTCCGGCTTTGCCTGGCGTCGTGGATCTTCTGCTTCGCCAAGCATTGGCAGTGTAGAGAAACCTCACCTTAGCAAGACCAGTCCAGTGGAGTACGTGCAAGATGATTAACGACAGTCCCTCATTGAGCCTGGATCCTCACACAGGGTAAGCAGCGAGGGCAACAGGCCTGGAGAGAAAACTTGCTCAGACTAGCTCGATGATGGTTTTCTGAAGTATTGTTACTTCAATTTTTCTTTCTCCTCCATTTCCCCTCCGTGATGAAGAGAATGTTGCGTTACCTAGCGCGGGTGAATGAGATTAATTAGTGCAAGACAATGTCCCGGCGCCGGTGCCCCGGGTGTGGAGCCGAGCAAGTTTTCGGGAGAGGGTTTGTGCACGACTCGGTATCAAGGGTAGAGAGAGAGAGAGAGAGAGGAGTGGGCGGCATAAAAACGAAACAAATGGGCCTAGAGCCTCGGACTCAAGGTGTGTCTTTCGCGGGGGGGTATCGGAAACATCGTGATCCTGGTGGATGAGGAAAAGAAACATGCTCATCATGGGGCCTGGGCGGAAAGTTGCTCGGACAGCAAGCATCTGGCCTTAAGGTGGTTGAGGCTTCAAAGAGCGTCTGCCCTCCTTTTTGGGGGGAGACTGAGACCTAACTATCGCATGTTCAGATATCTCCTTCTTTTCTCCTCCTCCTCGTCTTTCTGCTGCTTTCCCGGCCAATTCCCACAGGCACAGGCGTTGGCCCGGAACACAACTGTACCACCATCACCGCACCCATCATCATCACCTTCTTTTTTCTTCATCATGGTCTGGCAGAGCTGGGTGGCCGCGCGGGCGCACATACAGAACTTTACCGATGCAAATTCAAGTAACACGCAGCACCACTGGGGCTACGCAGACCGCATCATCCCCTGCACAAGCGATGCCGGCTCGTGCGAGTACCTTGATGTCGTCTATCACGGGCACGACGTCGGAATCCTGTACACTGGTATTTTTTGGGCATCGATCCTCGGCACATTGCTGCTATGGGGCATTTCTCGACGGATCCCCGCAGCTGGTAGAGATGACAAGGCTGCAGCACCAAACCAAGCACGAACAACAACAACACCAACAACCAGCATGGAGGCGCAGCAAGATAGGTCCCATGTTGGTGGCATTGAGCGACTGCGCCAGAGCACATCGTCCCTGCTCAGGAAGTATCTCCTCCCCGACTTCGCGCCGCGAATCCTAGGCCACGTCACTCGGCTCCAGGTGGTGGTACTGCTGATCCTCGCCGCATACCTGGTCATCTTGAGCTTCGCCGGCATCGTCTACAAGACGTGGATCACACCGGTCAAGGGGTCGCCAGGCCTCCACAACACCCGCACGTCACTAGGACCCTTTGCAGACCGCGTTGGTGTGCTCGCGTACGCACTCACCCCGCTGTCGGTGCTGCTCGGCAGCCGAGAGTCCTTGCTGAGCCTCATCACGGGCATCCCTTACCAGAGCTTCCTGTTCCTGCACCGCTGGGTGGGGTACATGATCCTGATCCAGTCCAGCGTACACACCCTCGGTTGGATAGTCGTTGAGGCCCGCCTCTACCAGCCACAGCCGACGACGTGGAATGAGCTCGCCGCTGAGCCGTACATCCAGTGGGGTTTCGTAGCGCTGGGGCTGCTGGTCCTGCTCTGCGTGCTTGCTACGCCGCTGGGCATCAGGCTGACCGGGTACGAGTTCTTCCGCAAGGCGCACTATGTCTTGGCTATGGTCTATATAGGGGCTCTCATCGGCCACTGGGAGCAGCTGCAGTGCTTCCTTATCCCCGGGATCCTGTTGTGGTTTGTCGACCGACTGGGCAGAATGGTGCGGACAGCGCTGCTGCACTACCAGTGGCTCCCTGCCAAGGCGAGATGGGGATTCGAGTCCGTCCCGGCACGACTGACACACTGGACGGATGAGGAGGCAGGCGATGTTGTCAGGCTGGATTTTGAACATGTGCAACAGCCCTGGCAGGCAGGTCAGCATTTTTATCTGTGCTTCCCTGAGGGCAGTGTTTGGCAAAGCCACCCCATGACGCCCCTCTCCCTGCCGGTCGCAGACAGTGCAGGGCGCGTAAGGCATTCGTACGTGATCCGGGCGAGGAAAGGCGAGACCAAAAAGCTTGCACAGATCGCCTCGACAAAGCATGCTGCAGTGCGTGCTGCAGCGGCGGCCGATGAGAAGATGGCGCAGGTTGGCGAGATCACCACGCCTGTAGTCATGACAGGTCCATATGGTCTGGATATGGTCAGCGACCTGCCTTCTGGCTCGAACGTGCTGTGTATCGCCGGCGGCACTGGCATCACCTTTGTGCTGCCGGTGTTGCTGAGGCTTGTGAGGGACAGGCCGAGGAAGGGGAGAAAGGTCGAGCTGGTATGGGCAGTAAGGAAGGATGTGGATGTGAGGTGGGTCGAAAACGAGCTCGAAGAGATCCAGAGCGCTAGGTGCTCACACGGGATCCATGTCGACGTGTACATCACGAGAGAGAAAGCTCACCACCAGTCGAGCTCCTCCTCGTTGTCGTCGTCGTCATTACCATCATCATCTCCAAAAGTGGATGGAGACGCAGGTGGAGGTGGCTCGGGCTGTGACTGCAACGACATCTCTCACCATCACCCAATTAGTACCCAGGTTCCTGATCAGAGGAGACCCAAGCTGCGTGGGATTGTCGAGGCCTTTACTAGCTCAGTCACTCAAGGTTCGACGACAGTATACGCAAGTGGTCCTGGCGGGATGATCGGAGATTTGAGAAGGGCGGTGGCAGGTCGCAACGAGGCCAGCAAAGTGTGGGGTGGTGACAGCAGGGGCGCTGTAAGGCTTGTATGTGATGACAGGTTAGAGTAATTTTGATAGCCTGGTGATGGTTGACTGATTGCTTGACTTCAAAATCAAAAGTTGCCTCCCCTGATACAAAGTACAGTAGTGCAGTAGATAAATGTCCAAGGGAAGTGACAAGGGGAAACGGGGGCGGGGGGGGGCTTCCTCTGCATACTGGACTTAGTGTCCAGCTGACGAACACTTGGCAGTGCCTTCCCTAAAAAGTGATGACTAATACGCTGTTTACTTGCTACAGGCCACTTGCCCCCAATGCCTGCCTGCAGCTGAGCTTCCGTGCACTGCCACCTTGGCTCCTGTAGCGAGGCATCACTGCGCGCCGTGCCATGCCATCCGTTCACGCACGACATGCACGACTCACGACGATAGCACAACATGGCCCCTCTGTCCTGGTACAACACTGCACCTGGTCGTCTTCATCTCCGACAGTTTGTGTGATTGATCAGTTCGTATACGCAAGCTACGCCTTTCATTTGCCTCTTGACGATTGGGTTTTGGTGGGAGGGGTTTTTTTTTTTTCGGTTGTTTTGTTATTTCTTTTTAAGAGGGAGGTCTTCTGCTTTTTAAGTCATACCCGGCCTGGGAACACTTGGTTTGTTTGCCGTGCTGCGGATCTCGTACATTTGAGCAGGTCATAGCTTTTGGTTTTTTTGGGATAAAGAATCGCTCCATCTACGACATCAAGGCAGACAGCCACTCGGTTTGTCTTGGTTCATAGAGCAGCGTCCGAGGGTGTGGTGAAGTATTCTTTTCATCATACAACGCAAGCACAATCCTCAGACGGCCCAAGGCTCGAGAATCGTATTCCCCATCTTCTACACCGTCCTCGAGCGAACAGGACCCAGCTCGTCGACTTGTCTTGCGACCATGGCGAATCACGGCTTCAGCCAGATGCCCAACTGGGACCGCCCTGCCAAGGTCGGCCACAGAAAGTCGAGGAATGGCTGTCTGAAGTGCAAGGCACGTCGGGTCAAGTGCGATGAGCTTCAGCCCGCCTGTACGAACTGTACCCGTCTCCGTTTCGACTGCACATGGCCTGAACACGCCCTCAGGCCCATGCAAGCACGGTCAAAGCCGTCGTCCTCGCCAAATCCTCCTCCTTCGCGGACCTCGCCCCCCTCCACCACCGGCAGCGCATCGGTGCCTTCCTCCTCTCACCACAACACGCCGCCCGAGCAAGCAGCAGCCTCCTTCATGGCCCACTGGCCAAGGTGGTCTTACGACCAAAACCCGTTCGCCCAGCTCGACGATGACCAGGGCATCAGCCTGCCCGAGTCCAAGGCCCGCCGCATGTTAGAGCACCGCCTCCTGCAGAACTGGTACCAAAACTTGAACAGGCAGTTCCCCATGTATCCGCACGATGACTGGCGCGACGTGTGGGTCGTCCATATTCCCCGTCTCAGCCTCCAGCATGAGAACATGCTGCACGCTATGCTCGCCACCTCGGCAACCAACCTGCTCAGCTCGCACAGCACCGATAGGGACCTCTTCGCCGCCAGACAGAGTTATATCATCTCGGCCCTGTCTGCCCAGCGCCGCGAGGTGCAGAAACTCTCGGCCGAGAACGCCGAAGCCGTGTGCATGGGCTCTCTGCTCATCTCCATCACCTCCTTCGCCATGCTTAGAGAGCGCAGTCTAGACCCCTACCAGCCGCCTATGGAGTGGCTCCAGCTCGGCCGTGGCGCCGGCACCGTCATCTGGCAGAGCGTCGAGGCCATCGTCTCAGACGCCAAAGAGGGTGAATACCCCGCCCTGATGACCGTCGCCACGGCATATCCCCACTTTGGTAGGGACCAGAGCTATTTCAGCCCAGAGATGCGGCGGGACTTCAACAACGTCCTCACGCAACGCGTTGCCTCGGGGGATGACTGGAATGACGAGGAGACCAGAGAGGCCTACGAAAAGACGTTGAGCTACGTTGGGAGCATCCAGAAGGGCATAAACGATGGCGAGCCCATCTACGCCCTCACCAGACGAATCCAAACTTTTGCTCTGATCATACCGCCGCGGTTCGTCGGTCTACTGAGCCTGCAGAGGCCAAGGGCGCTGGTCGTCCTGGCGCATTTCTGGGCAACCGTCTCACAGGTGCACAATGTCTGGTGGCTCGGCGGAATATCCCCTGATGACGAGGATTCCACGGCAAAACGAGAGATCCGGGCCATCAAAACGGTCCTCCCAAAAGAATGGCTGCCAGCGATGCTCTGGCCTTTAGACCGAGTCAATCTGAGGGACGATGTTGTCATCTGATACCTCACACACCATGCATATCGGAGGCAAGATTCACGTGGGAACCGAAAGAATTCTACCGTCGTTTATTTTCCTAACAATGGTGAAAAGATAACGAATTCCCTTTATAACATGGTCAAAGTCCGCCACTGATACACTGATCTGTCCTACTCCCTCTCGGCTTTCATCTTCATATCCTCTTCTTCTGTCTTGGGAACTTTGACGAATGTCGGGACGGTCACGGCGTTCAGCTTGCGGAAGGCCTGTGGCATGATTGTCAGCTTCTCAGGCCCTAAACTATCCATAACCTCCTCCAGGCGAGACAGCCCTCCTGAAAGGAACGGTCGCGACCAGCTAAAGTTGCAAAAGGCCCACCACGCAGCACCGTTTTCTGTCCTCACAGCCCGAAACACGAATGGGTTCGGGATCCAGCTGCCTTTCGATACCATGGCGATCCGAGGAGGAAAGAACTTACATCGCTGATTGCGCCGTCGGGCAGATTTCCGTTCCAACGGTCTTCAACCTTATCGATCTTGCCATCGCTGCCCACATGAATGCGCACAATCGAGTTTATCACCTGCTCCTTCTTGATTCCCTTGACGACGTACTTGTTACTCATCTCCAACTCGATCGGATTTCCGGCGCTGGTCACCTGGTGGTTCTGAAGCTCGATGGGCTTGAAGAGTGCCGGCAGGCCGTAGAACTGTGCAGCGTACTTGTGGTATCCGGTGGCTACCGTAAGGGGGTCGGTGAAGGTGGCATCCTGGGACCAGACGCTGAAGTGCTTGAGCGTCGGGTTACCCTCGAAGAGCTACATTACGATCTCATCAGCGGGGTGTATGCTTGAGGGGGCCAATGGCTCTCTGGTAGGAGGAAGAGCGCGCGTACATCCAATACGGAACCAACCAGGACCTTATGCTGCTCTGTCAGCTGGACGCCCGGGGCGGTGTTGATGTTTGTGTTTTTGATGCCCAGAGACGAGAATGAGGGGGTGCCTCCAGCGCCACCAGTTACACCCTGGGCACGCACAGGCGGTGTCTGTGTAGCCATGCTTCTGTATCTAATGGGTAATTTCCTATCTATAAGTGTTGATCTAGGTACGAATGCCCTGGTAGTTCGCGTTGATACCGTGAGCAGCAATGATAATGATAGTATTGATGATGTTTTGAGAGGCATAGCCCGTGTGATTGATGCAGTGCTTGAAAGAAAGAGGAACAAAGTCTTTGGAATGATGCCGAGTTTGCTCTTTTATATCAACACATACACCAAGCGGACAATATGGTGTCGTCACGGACTACACAAAGTACTAAGTAGCCACCAGAGCTGACGCTGTATCACTTTGACGTCATGACTTGGCTCAGGAGGCGGAACGGCGCGAGCCTAACTTTCTCCAAATGAGTACATCTTTTGTCTCTGGATTGTAAATTCATTCATCATCTTTGCTCTTTATTCTTTTCCCCGCCCAAAATACAAAGGTAGTCGTGAGAGGTGCTCAATTTGTCTGTCACTTGATCGCGTCAAAGTGAAGATGTGGCGCTTATCAGGGATGGTAAGGAGACCCCATTCACGACAACTCCATTTGGGAACGGTTCACTGATGATGGGTGCTGTGCTGGAAGGGAGGCAAAGAAATAAAGAGAAAGTGAGAGTGTGTGTGGCCTCACAGAGAAAATGAGAAGGAGGAAAAAATTAAAGGTGAGGCGGTCGGGACGAAGGAAAAAAAGATGGGTAGCGGTGACAATGAGTACTAGGAAGAAAGAAAGGGATGTGTGTAGGCGTTGGTCGCAAAGAGTATGAGATTCTAGAATAGAAAAGTCGACTTCGAAAAGAGAATGATCTGCTCCCGAAACCTCCGAGAGCCTGTCGAATGGGAGAAAAATGAAATGAAAAAGAAGAAAACAAATATCAGCCTGCCACTTTCAGATGCGAATTTGAAGACCTATCAAGGAATAGGGGGATAAGATTAGACAAAAGGCATACCAGGCAGGAGCTTCACCGTCCGGAGCAATCTGTAATCCGGTCAGGGGCTTACGCGCACCAGGGACGGAAATAAGTCCAAGGAAAAGTAAGCAGGAGAATATCGCCATCCAGAATCTGGCTTAGCGGGCTCATCCTTTGCCGGTCATATCTATCTAAGGGCAGCCAATTTACATTCGCAGCGAGGCATTATTAAGTGATTCAACCAACAGCACTCCACTCCTTGCAGCATCAACTGTTTCCACAAGTTCTATCGGATCTCCACCATTTATCAGAAGTTCGAGCAGTCTGGCATTGAATTGTTGTCGAAATTATTGAAATCGTTGCCTTGCAAGGGGGGGAGAAGTCCAAGCCATGGCATCAAGTTGTGGTGATGGGATGTTCGGACCCGCTGTGTACAGCCAAGCATGTCGGGGTGGATTTGACTATACGTGTATGTAACCTTTTTCACGCTGAAACTGTTGACATGGATCGCTGAATTGTCATGGCAGCTCTCTTTGAGGAAAGCATTCTCAATATCTTGCCTTCAGCAATCTTCTTGGTTCTTGGCCCGCTGAGGATTGCCCATTTACATGCGAACAAGAGGATTGTCACCACAACATGGATATACTGGGCCAAGCTAGCCACTGCTGCCTGTCTGGTTGTGTGGACCTCAGTGTTGCTTGGTCTGATCTCAAACACCAGCGTGTTGTCGGCGAGGCCAACCAGAATTGCAGCGGTAGCCCTCGACCTTGCGGCCGCACTTCTGGCCTGCGCGCTCTGCCATTTCGAACACATCCAGTCGCCTCGTCCCTCATTCCTGATCTGTTCTTGGCTTGTGATAACAGTTCTCCTTGACTCAGCGAGGACTCGGACCGCCTGGCTGGCCTATCCTGACAAGTCTATCCCAGGCCTGATGCTGTCAAGCGTATTGACCAAGTCTGCATTTCTAGTTCTGGAAAGTGCTGAGAAACGAAATCAGCTACTGGGCGACGCCAAATCCATGTCGCGTGAGATGACAAGTGGGCTACTCAGTCGCGGCTTTTTCTTTTGGCTGAACGGTCTGCTTCGAAGTGGATACCGCACTGTCTTGAGTACGTCGTCGCTGCCGGCCATCAATGAAAGGCTTGCCACAGCAGAGCTGGCAGAGCGATTCGAACGAGCATGGAAAACATGTAAGATTTGGATGGGGTTCCCGCCGGAAAAAAAATGACACCTCGATGATTGAAATCTGACTAGCGGAAGGCGAACCAAACCATGCATACAGCCTTGTACTGGTTATAGCAAAAGCGCTCAAGTGGGAACTTCTCAAAGTTGTTCTCCCACGACTATGCGTGCTGGCCTTGGCCATTGCACAGCCGTTCATCATCAACGAAGCAGTAACGTTCATCAGTCTCCCGGATACCTCAGCGACTCAGAATATGGGATATGGCCTCATAGGTGCGGTGGCTCTTGTGTTCATAGGTTCCGCGGTAAGAGCTTATCCCTTCATGGTCCAAAATTGGCTGTATATATATGGCTTGACGCCTGACACACTGTTATAGCTTGCCACCTCGTGGTATGAACACATCGCTTTTCGTGCCATGACTATGTTGCGAGGTGGTCTGATATCCATGATATTCGGGACCATGGTCGCCTTGCCCATCGACGATGTCAGCGAATCTTCGGCGATGTCTCTCATGGGATCGGATGTCGAAACCTTAGCCGAAGTTCTAGACACTGTCATTTGCGAATTATGGGTACTTTAGCTGCTGCCGGTCGCCGCTGGAGGTCTTCAACTGACGGGCTTTCCATGTAGGCCAGCTTCGTGCAGCTTCCGATCGCCATCTTCCTTCTCGTACGACAATTAGAAGCCGTCGCGGTTGTACCGGTCATAATTGCCATATGTATGTCGCCAAGAGGCATCAAGAGCGCTTTCGTCCTTTGGGTTCCCTTGCTAATCGGTTCCTCTTCACAGTATTCACGGGGGTGTCTTTGAGCTATGGTCGATTTGTGTCTCAGCGTCAGAAGACGTGGCTCGAGTCCATGCAGTCCAGACTCAATTTCACCACGGAAATTCTTGGGTCCATCAAGAGTGTCAAGATGCTAGGACTCACGGCCGCGATGACGTCCTTGATTGAGCAGCGGAGGGCCGAAGAAATTGCAGTGTCAAGGCGGTATCGATACCTACAAAGCTTCAATGTTTGCTGGCGTGGGGTGCCCTATCCTACAACGCATTGATTCCTAGTTCATATTCACTGACGAAACCGACAATCCTAGTCAATCTTCCCGAGTCTATCGGACAGCTCGTCGTCTTCGGCGCATACGCACTTGTCGCTAAAGTTTCGGGCGCGCCAAGTCTTTCCGTCACCCAAGCAATCACGGCCCTGTCCATTATCAGCCTGTTGAATGATCCCCTGGCCATTTTGCTTTATGCGATTCCGCAATGCTTCAATTCGCTGGGTTGCATGGCGCGAATTCGAGATTTCCTTCTCCAGCCACACCGACAAGAGCGACGCCTGCTGGATCTAGAAACACGCGAAACGCGTGAACGTGCCGCAAAGCCAGAGAGAGAAAACGCCCTGGAACTCGATAACCTGACACGATCTCGGCTGTCCGAAGAACCGAGCGCTATTCCTAGTGTCGCCATATCGCTGCGTGGCGCGTCATTCAGCTGGACGACTTCAGCCCGCAACAGGAATGCTATTGATCTGGAAGTTCCCATGCTGCCCAATGGATACCTCGTCATGGTCATCGGGCCTGTGGGTAGTGGCAAATCGACTCTTCTCAAGGGTTTGCTGGGTGAGACTCCACACCTAGGTGGTGAGGTGTCGCTCCCAAGCAACCGAGTTGCCTTCTGCGACCAGACGACCTGGCTACTCAACGGCACCATACGTTCCAATATTGTTGCCGATACTAGTCAAGTGGACAAGTCTTGGTACAAGACCGTTGTAGCTGCATGTGCGCTGGATGCCGACTTGGAGGGATTGCCTGAAGGAGATTTGACCTTGGTCGGTAGCAGAGGAGTTAAGCTGAGCGGCGGGCAAAAACAGAGAATTGTGAGTGTTTCAAAAACTCATTACCTGCCGAACACACACGCAGAAATGGGGAAAGTATGCTGATTATGTGTTTGTCAGGCCCTCGCTCGTGCTTTGTACTCGCGCAACAGGATCGTCCTTCTTGACGATATTTTTAGTGGTCTGGACAACACCACTGAGCAAACTGTCTTTGACGGTGTATTTGGCACCAAAGGGTTACTTCGCCACATCGGCGCGACAACAATACTCACCACGCATAGCGTCCGACATTTGCCCAGCGCAGACCACATTCTAGCACTGGAAGAAGGCGGTAGAATTGTGGAGCAGGGTACATTCGAAACATTGAAAATCCAAAAGGGTTACGTCCAGGCACTCGAAGTCTCCCAAACCAACGGTGCTGTAAACAGTACGGAGAAGCAGCCAGTTCCACCCCGAGGAGAAGAAGCCAAGACGCAGGGCCTGCAAGGCAGCGCGGCGGCAGCAGACGAAGATCACCAAAGCGAAAAGAAGGGTGGCACTCTTGCTGTCTACAAGTACTACCTCCAAGCTCTAGGGCCTTGGAAGGTGACCCTCTTTTTGTTGTTCCTCTGTATTGATGCCGCGTTTCGATCTATTCAATGTAAAGTGAACCGCAACCTGGCATAGGCGTCGCAGCATGCTAACAAATGGGTCTTCGCGAGCAGTCCTCTGGTTAAGCAACTGGTCCTCAAGCAACAGCGCCTCAGATTTAGGGTACTGGCTTGGAGTTTTCGCCGGCTTTACGGTCCTGGGATGCATTGGCCTCATTGGCGGTGTTGTCTGGGCTTATTCATTCATTGTGCCAGCAGCTTCCGAGAACCTCCATTCCGTGGTTCTGAAGGCCGCCATGTCCGCACCGATGTCATATTTAGCGAGTATCGAAACTGGCGTCTTAGTCAACCGCTTTGGTCAGGACATGAGACTGGTCGATATGGTGCTCCCACGCAATGTTGTTGTTGCTGGGTTTCGTGAGTTCTTGGACCCTTCTTTCGCTCGACATTTCCCTGGCTACTTTATATGAGGGTATCGTCATCCTGTCACTAACCTGTAACAGAGGGTCTCAGTACGATTGGTAGTGCTGGCCTGGCTATGTCTGCCGTTGGGTATGCAGGGGCCACTGTCCCTTTGATTCTTTTGGTAGTCATCGTGGTGCAGAGGTTTTACCTGCGCACCTCACGGCAACTGCGTTTGCTTGAGTACGTCCACAGTTCCCTCCCTGAGAAGTGCAATTCTCGTTTACTAAATAGAACCCTCTTAGGATCGAAACGAAGGCCCCACTCTTCTCGCACTTCATAGAATCTCTCAACGGTCTTGCTACCATTCGAGCTTTCGGACGGATGGACCAATTTACCGACAAGACACTCGCCTTGCTCGATGAGGCTCAAAGACCTTATTACTTGCTTCTTTGTCTACAGCGGTGGCTACTCCTGGTATTGAAGCTCACAGTTGCCGGGCTTGCGATACTTATCATGGGTCTTGCTGTCAAGCTTAGGGCAACTGTCGAGCCTGGCTTGCTTGGTATCGCGCTGGTCATGATGATGAGTATGGGGACTAGCCTTTCCGGCTTCATAAACAACTGGACCCTGCTCGAAACATCTCTTGGAGCGGTCGCTCGAATCCGAAACTTTGCCACAGAAACGCCCAGTGAGACAGATTCGAGAAACAACGTCGGTCCCGTCCCTTCGTGGCCTACTCAGGGCGCTATTGAGTACGACAACGTCTCGGTGCGCTACAGCAATACGTCGGACCCCGTGCTACGAGGTATATCTATGTCCATCAAGCCAGGCCAAAAGATTGGGCTTTGTGGGCGCACAGGAAGGTTAGTCCTGCCGCAGCATCCACAGAGAGAACTTCTGCAGCGACTAACAAAATTTGTGCTGCCAGTGGGAAAAGCTCATTTATCATGTCTCTCCTCAGCCTCGCAGATGTGTGCCATGGACGTATCCTCGTCGACTCAGTGGACCTAGCTACCGTGCCTCCGGCGCTTCTCAGGCAACGGCTCAGCTGTTTGACACAAGAGCCTTTCACCTTCACATCTTCTGTCAGACTCAATGCTGATCCTTCGGGACAACGTACAGATGCAGAGATAATCAAGGTCTTGAATCAAATCGGTCTGTGGCGAGTCATAGTGAACAAAGTCAGCGCCAGCGACCCCGAAACGCCTGGCACGAACCCCCTCGATGCCACACTGGACGGAAATTTCCTATCACATGGCCAGCGACAGGCTTTCTGCCTCGCCAGAGCCATGCTGAAGAAGAGCAATGTGCTCATCCTGGACGAGCCTACGAGCAGCGTGGATCGACAACTGGATGCCGAGATGCAAGCCATCATCCGCTCTGAGTTCAGCCATTGCACCATTATCATGATCGCTCACCGCCTTGACTCTCTTCTGGATTTTGACAGGGTTGCTGTCATGGATGGAGGCCGCCTGGTGGAATTTGGCCCGCCCCAGGAGCTGCTCAAGAGAGATGGGTACTTTTCGAAGCTATATACCGGATCTTGACGATCAGTATCGAGAGCCTCGGTTTATTTTACGCTTCCATCTGAATCAAGGGTCATTTCAGCAGACACTGTATATGAGAGAATAGGTTAAATGACACTAGTTGATAGACTGATTTTTCTTTTATAAAGTGGCTTATAATCTGTCCGACCCTGCCTCAAATCGATTATGACATGAATTGCTAACAAACAAAGATCATCACTATGAAACAAAGTTATTCAGAGGTAAGTACTACGAGTATTTTTATCATAATCTTTCCAGAATAAGAAAGGGCATCAGCTCAGCCTCATAGAAATTGTAAGATACATGATGCTAGCAGAATGCGAATATCTAGCACAATTTAAGTGCATGCCTAATTATTTGTGGTTAAAAAATGCTCACAGCTGCTCAAATGTTATATCATTACTCACTGCCCTTAGTATCAGCATTAAGTATCAGCAGCATGATTCTGACTGCTCATTTTGATACACGTCTGGTTGTCATAATCTAGTTTCCTGGGGATATATCTAGCTGCGTAAAGTGAATATATATACAAAGGTAAAATAGAAAAACATCAAAGGAAATGTGAAGCAAAAGAAAAACGAATAGCAACGATCCTCCTTATTTGTCCAACAATTTTTGTCTACAAGAGGAAGAGAGAGAAAAAGGGAGAAAAAAAGAGACAACATGCCTCCCCAGTTCACGTCTCTCTTTTCCTCAAGACTTTATATCACGATATCATCAACAGACATCCATCATTTAGACGACTCTTGACAGGTGGGTGGTCAGCCATTCCTTGGCGCCATAGTTGATGGCGACAGCGGTGACGGCAGCGATGCTGCCACCAAAGACGGCCAGATTGCTGAACAGGCTCCAAAGCCCCCTCCTGATGGCGGTGCTGCCGATATCGTGGAACATGGCCGAGTCGTTGACGTTGGGGAACGGCACATCGGGGACGGGCTTGCCCAGGAACTCGCACAGGGGCTCCCAGCCATCGCCCAGCTTGTACTCGAGCAGCTGACCGGGCCTGGCCTTGGCGCGCACCTCTGCGTAATGGGCCTTGTAGATCTCCTTGGCCGTGGCGGCCTGCTCCTCCTTGGAGTCGGCGAGCCAGCAGGCGCGCGAGAGGCGCATGTAAGGGTCCATCAGGCGGCCGTACTTGTAGTGCAGCAGGCTCATCACGCAGCGGAGGCCCGTGCTCGGCCACTGGACGGCCATGATGGTGGTGCTGAAGGACTTGAACCACTTGTCCAGGTCGCGCTCGACCAGGACCACCTTGGCATCGGGGTATGCCTCCATGAGCTCGACCGAGAAGAAGCAGCCGGGGCTGTCGGTCGTGGCGCGGAACTCGCCCAGCAGGTTGTCCCACTCGGCGCGCCCGAATGGTTTGAGGTCAGGCCTCTTCTCTGGTGTGAACTTGGCCTCGGCGGCATCGGCCCACATGGAAAGATCGCGCGTCCTGGACACGGCTGTGGACATGTGTGCGACAGGACCGCAGCCAAGGATCTCAAGAGCTGCCTTGATGGCTATTTTGTTTTCGTCAGTCACTCTCTGGACTGTGTCGTCCTCTCCAGCATCTTCCTTGCTTCTTTCCTTCTTTCGTTTCCTCCCTCCTTCATTTCCCAAGACGATGGAATAACTTACAAGAAGTGCCCGTCCTCGGCATTCCAGGGCAAATCACCTCGAACGGCACGGTCCTCGTCCTCGTCCTAGGATCCTCCAGCGTGTCCGACTCAAACATCAGCTTCGTGGCCTCGCCCACGATAGTGCTCCTATCGACAGAGCCGCCCACAATGGCGTGTCGGTCGACGCTCTTGACTTCGGCCATCTCGGTGGATGAGCTCTGCTATACCGTTACAATAATTGTTCGCGGACGGCTCAGAAAAGAGAAAGGAGAGAAAGCGAGGAGGAATGGTTTGAACTCGTCAACAGTACGTGACAACGAGATGAGAAACCAAAAAGAAGTATTAATTGGCCTGAGCAAATCTTAAAGACGATGATCACAGCAGGCAATGTGTATCTGTCAGGTGTTATTGTTTGATAGAGCTTCCAGACCCAGGCATATACTCTGATGAGGTCGGGCTCAGCGCATGCCCGAGCCGCCGATCCACACTCGGCCGTGCAGGGGTTGGGTTCTTTTTTGGCCTGTCTCCCTCCTCTGCCAGTGAGGAGTTCCGGGGGTAATCAGCACATGCCCGAGACCACGTTTGCCTTGATCAAAGCCCGACCACCAGTCTTAGGAGGCCAAGAGGACCTCTACAATCACCTTCCAATTATGATCATGAGGATTCATCTCTCTCCGTACACATTTCTATGGTGGATGTATTTTAATGTTGGAATGGGCCAGAGATGGGCTTTTGGAAGAGACGGGGTATTTGTTATATTTACATGGCCCAGAAACACGAAGCAGCCTTGATCATTCAATGTAAAAGGAATGAAAAATTGTTGACAACATATGTACATACATGCTGATCCTCCCATGTTGACTGATGACATAAGGGAATCCTACAGTATCATCGTCATAGCTGATGAGACTGCGTCCTCAGTTTTTGTTTGCAACTTGTCTGGGTCGCCAATGCATCGTCAATCTCCGAGTGGGGCCTGCACAACCAAACAATGCTTCAGATGATCGCTGCTGCAGGTCTAGACATACTCCCAAGCGTATCCCTATCAGCATCTCATTACATTGACCCCTTATGTGTTGCTAGAAAAAGGTGGGCATCGTCTGCGGCTCTTCGCCGTCCAAGAGCGCAGACTAGGGTGGGGTGGATCCTCTCTCGTGGCTCTTATCTTACTATTCACCGTCGACCTGCTTCTTGCGTCCAAGTCAGACAATAGGACACCACAACAACGAGCCCCCCCCTTCCCGCCACCCAGTCAACATGGGGTTGCCGGCAGACAGGAGACAGAGAGGGGGTGGGGGAAGGCGGCTATCCCATAAAAACGAAACCACCGACACCCGGAACAATCGCAACATTCGGCTTTTCCTTGATCCAGACCCCCTCCTTTTTCGTTACCACCCTGGACCTACATGTTCCGATGTACCGCTACTTGTTACCCGAACCTCAACACAACCCATCATTCTCAGCCTCTCTCAACTTCCAAACCTTCTAGGCTCCCCACCCTGTTCATAACATTGAGTCCGCCCTCGGGGACTTGTTATGTTGGGGGAATGCAAGGGGCAGCCGATCCATCATACATAGGGTAACATGGAGGGAAGGGGAAGGCTGGGCTGGGCCTGTTGTGATTTCTGGGTCCGCTCAGAGAGTTGAGAAAGTGCAAGACACTCAATCCTCATTCGCTGATCGTCCTCCTCCAGCACGTGACGCTCTGGGTCTCAAAGCCATTCCCATCATCTGCCCTCTGCCATAGTAGGCAGTTGGGTAAAAGAGGAGGGTGGACAAGCCTGTATGTTGCCTCCCCTCCCCCCCCCCCCCTCTCCCCCATTCCTCCTCCCCACTGAACCTATGCCCAGCCGCCACCACCACCTGAGAATCGGGGAGCCACCTCCAGATACCTCGCTGGCCACGCCCGGCCCCGGCTGCAACCCTCATTCACCCTACCAGCTGAGCTTTGACCCGGTCTCAACAGGTGGTCAGTCGTCGACGGCGGGTCTCGTCCTGGTCCGGACGACTCGCTCGTCCGCTCGCTTCCCCCACCGACTCTTCCGCTCGGATTAAGGTCGATCTACGAGGTCCTCGTCCACAAACGGAAGCCGTTGCAGCTCGAGCCCGGTAGAGGGTAATATTCATATTTGTATTCGGGCCCCGACCAGACCCAAATACTCTTTCTCTCTCTCTCTCTTCAGTTCAGTCTTTCTCATTCTCTTGAAGAGGGAGGCGACAGGTTACGTTCTGTTGGGGGAACAGCGAAAAAAAGGGGTCTCACTTTAGACTGTGTGGTGGCCAGAGCGAAACTGCTGATCCAGAACCACTTTGCCTTGCGTGAGCCAGGTTGGATTACCCACATCCGAGGATCATTCTAAGTCAGTACATGTGAAGTGCTGAATGCTAGTGGTGAGACGTGTCCTGCCATGCTACCTACAAGGGAATCGACTGCATGTGGTGATGGAGTGTGTGCTCTCTTCTTCACCATCCTGCCCAATGCGATTACTAAGTATAGCCATCTCACTATTAATTGATCAGCAGTGGGCATCTACATACTTTTTAGAAAGAGGCTGATGATTTAGAACGCGAGAGCCAGTGAGTAATTGGCCATATCAGTGTAGCGGGGCAACAGCCAAGTCTTATTGGAAAGCCTCAACGAATCAAAGCCTCTGGCCTCTTTCTCTTTACTTCTTTTTTCCCCAACGTATTCATCGGTAGATTTCCTTTCCGCAAATCAGCTCCACCGTCCCATCTCTTGTCAATTCTAGGGTAACTAGGTTTTAGTAACACTCCACGTTGGTGGCATGATCATCCATTACATTCACCTCTGCCTAACCCAACCTTGGCCCTTCTCCTCCTTATCGACTGCTCCTCCCTCCGTGGTGGTCAAGCACTGCCGGATAAACAAAATAATCAGGTATAGCTCGAATCCATTAAGAGAAGAGAAAGAAGGAAGGAAAAGTAAATGATCGCTTCTCTAATTATTATTATTATTATTATTATTATTATTATTATTATTATTATAGTATCTTGTGTGTTTATGTCTAGAGTAAAGAGCAAGTCGCATGATCATAACATCATGACAAATCGTGATTCGCAGCTTCACACTTCCTTCATGGCCAAGTCTTCATTATATTTGGCTCCCATTAGCCACCATAGCTTTGGTGCCTCTCCATCCTCTTGGCCATTATTGGCATTGATCAGACTCTCTTTTCCCTTCCCATCCGTCGAATAGAGCGCAGCAGCGGTCTAAGATCATATTAGTACATCATCACCGCTTCGTAATCACCCCGAAAGCAAGGGAAAGGAAGGAGAAAGAACAAGTAAAAGAGGAGGGGTGTGGCTGGAGTGGAGTTGGTTACTGACCATGCCCAATGTTAGATGGATGGCACCTTCGACTGTCGGCCATGGCTTATACACCTGACGGGGCCTCGAGCCCTTGATCATAGTCATGATATTACCGGCCACCACCTGTGCCTGCATCATGGCAGCCCGGCCCATCTTTGGTCCCTTCGTATCGGCTACATCGCCTAGGGCAAACCAGTGATCAATGCCACCAGTGGAAGAGTCTATCTGCAGTGTAGGATGAACGCGGATCCTACCAGAGGCTGAATCGACAGCATCTGGCAGGACATCTCTCAAGAGCCCCGAATTCGGCTTTTGGCCTGTGCAAGGTATCTGAACATGAGCCAAGTCAGCAAAAACACACATAAACACCAAGACGAGTAGGTCATGTTGAGGGCATGAAAAAAAACTCTCTCCTTCCTCTTCTCCTCCTACTTACTACCAGATCAAAGTTCTCTACTGAGCCGTTAGGGAGCTGCAGCGCTTGCATCTCCTTCCCTGCTCCGTCGACATCCACAGCCATGAACTTCGGGCGCACGCCAAGACGGGTCTCGATCTTTAAGTCCCTCATGCCCTCCATGGTCCGCTCATGAAGCCTCTCGCCATACCCAACCATCAACCTGTCCCTCGAGTGGAACAAGGTCACTCTCTTGTCTGGATAGAAGCTGGCAATATCCGTGGCCAGCTCGACCCCGACAGCGCCGCCGCCCACGACCGCGATGGACTGGGCCTCGAGGACGCTGTGCTGTGTGGCCCTTAGCTCCTCGCAGGCACCATGTTTGTCCGCCGACGCGACCTTGGAGGGGCGAGGAGATGACGTCCCCGTGGCGAAGACGAGAAACTCGCAGGAGAGCACCTCGCCCGAGGCGAGCCTGACCGAGCCGTCCTCTGTGACCTCCACAACCGTGTCCTGCCTCCTCTCAAAGATGCCCGTGGGCGTGCCGCCGCGGCCGTCGCACAGGATCTCGTCATACGGGATGAACGCCTTGGGCTCGTGGCCTGGTACGACGCAGTACCGTGGGAGGATAAACAAGGAGTGAAAATGGCTGTTCTTTTCCACCATGACGACCTTGTAGTCGCCTGGGAGCATCTCGCAGAGCCGTCGGGCCAGGAAGATGCCGGCATACGAGCCGCCGACGATGACGACGGTCTTCTGGGCCTTGGCTGCCTTGTAGGTGAGGCGGTGGATGAAGGCCTTGGGCTGCTGAACCATGCGGTCACCGACGACGTAGACGAGGTAAGGGATGGCAAAGCGGATGAGCGTGGTGATATCTGCGAAACCCATGATTCTATTGTGCGTGAAGGAAAGTATGTTTGAATATGTATATGTGTTTATGGTCTGGACAAGTTGGGTGTACTGTTCAAGATGGGAAGAAGAAGAAGAAGAAGAAGCAAATAGAGATAAGAAAACATAAAACGCAAACGATACCTGCCTTTTGTTTTACCTTTATAAGTGTAGTGAAGCCAATGGACACGCCAATAAAGATGTTCCGTCTTGTTTCTCGATTCATGTCCTTCTCGACCGGGCAGCCGGATCTGCCAGATTTCCGAGCCGGCCTTTTCGAAGAACAACTCGGGGACGGGACCTGTCATTCAGCCGCAGTGGCATCCACCGCCGGTTGACGAGGCCGTCAGCAAAAGGAGCCTGGCAGCCTGGGACGCGGACAATTTAGGACCAGACCCACATCAAAGACATGTTCACGATCTTATCAGATCCTTGGCGTCGGGCCCTGAATGGATCGGTATTCCCGAGGCCGACGAATATGCCGATGAACTGAACGGAGTATGATCCTCCCGGGCCCGATCTTCGGACATCTGCATCCTCATCATCCTCGAGGCGAGGCTATGCATGGAGTGTCAGATGAGTGGAACATGGTAGGGAATTTTTGGCTAATTGTCGTGCGAGGTGGTTCTTCTCATTGCAAATTTTTTTTTTTTTTTGGCCCTGTCCTGGACTATTTTTGTCATGTCATCTCCTTCCCGTTAGCTGCTTGTATCAAGGTGTGTTCTCTGCTATACAGGTTTTCTGTTTGCATGCAGTTATCAGATTGAACCCAGATCATTCAATCATGATATGCAGCATGCGTGTAGAAGATAGAATGAATTACTGTTGCAAAGGACTACGCTTGAGTAGCTGAAATATGAGAGTGCAAGTAGAGCCCTTGCAGGCTATCACAACTGCCAGTTGCTTGGTTCCAGGCCTGTCGGAAAGCCTAAAAAAAATCCCTACAGTTTAGGTTGCACCTACTTAACTGGCCCTCCACTTGGTCATCACCTTGATGAGTCGTGGTCCTTTACTATGAATTATCATGATTAAGAAATAGGCGAGATTTTGTCGAGTGCCTTGAAAGTTTCCCAGCAACCTCCTCTACCTCATCTTCGTCGAGACCAAAAGAAGAAGTAAAAAGTTCTCAAGCTAAGGTGATGACGACGGCACGCGAGAAAAGAGGTAGACACTGTGAATGTATCTGGACTCGATTGTGCTCAATGGACAACGATTTATTGCCATCTATTCGACCTAAAAGAAATTCTTATCATCTTCGTTCCAATCATGAATCATCAAGACCATCATTCTGTTCTTGTTTGCGAGCTGCCCTACTTCCGCCCCTGTCGGATCGCTTGCGACTCCCGACAACTCTTGTAGGCTCTAACCGCTATGAATCCACCTGAAGGCGCTTCGTTGGCCTGCCGTTCTGCACCGGCGTGACCTGCCGTTTCGGAAGGACCGCCGCGCGGCCTGGCACCCCAGTCCTATCATCATCATCATCATCATCAGTTTTATCATCGTTACCAGGTGTAGACTTCTCGCCCGCCAAGGCAGTACACAAGGACTCTTTCTGGTCCGCCCACGCCTGGAGCCAAGTAGGCACACCAATGAAGGACACCTCGTCGCTGAACCGGACCTGCTTGCAGCCCTCCCGTCGAGGCCTTGGTGTGGCCTCGTCATCGAACTCCTCGACGGCTGGTGGTGGGATCAAGACCTTTGCCTCGGCGGCGACCAGGGCGACCTGGTCCATGGCCCAGCGGGAGACACGCTCGCACTGGCGCATGTTCTTTTCGGCGGCGATTTCCTTGGCGGCCTGGTGAAGGCGTTCGGAGAGGTCATCGAGGGAAGGTGGTTGCTCCGCCCTGCGAATGTGTTCGTCCCGGATGGCCTGCTGGTGCAGGCGGTGCTGCTGGTGCTTCTTACGCAGCAGAAGGACCGTCTTTTTGGCACGGGCGAAGCACCAGTGTTCAAAGTTGACGTACTCGATCCAGGTGGTCAGGGGGTCCTGCAGGGTGGCGTCGAGAAGGAGGCGGAGGCCTTGCCAGGCGAAGCCATGGAGGGCGAGGCGGTGGACGACGGCGTTGGTGTAGCCGACGAATCCAGCGCCCAGGCGCTTCTCGCGGCGGTGCCAGGTACGCCCACCCTCAGGGTTGCCATCATCGGCATCGTCGTCGGTGGACTGTCGATTGTCGTGCTGCCAGGTGCGGAACTTGTTCCAGCGGTCGAACTGGCGCACAAAGACGCCTGACCAGGCTGGGAGTACAGGGTCGGGCTCCTGCCAGGGCTCCATCATGCTGCGGTAGAGCTCAGGGGCGTAGATGATGATCTCGTACAGGTGGCGAACGTCATAGACGGGGCGGCCGCCAGCCTCTACCAGGAGCCTGTAGAACTCCACCTCGATCTCCTCAGCGCTGGGTGGTGGTAAGTGAGGGGCGAGCTCATGATGGCCATGACGGCCCAGCTCTGGCTTTGGCTCTGGCTCTGGCTTTGGCTCTGGCTTTGGCTCTGGCATGTGCTGTAGCTCTGGTTGGACCTGTGGCTCTTGGTCTGGCTTGAGCTCTGACTTAAGCTCTGCTTCCTTCTCTGACTGTAGCTTTGGCTCTATTTCCTGCTTTTGCTCTAAATCTGGCATTGAATCCAGCTTCAGCTCTTGCTTTGACTCTGGCACAGGCTCCTGGGACTTGCCCTGAGATGGCTCTGGCTCTGTCTTGTCAAGCCTTGAATCCATGTATTTTATTTCAACGAGTTGTAAGAGAAAGAGGAGGGGAGAAGAAATGGAACAAAGAAAAATGACAATGCCAATTGATAATGATGATGATGATGATGATGATGATGATGATGATGATGATGATGATGATGATGATGATGATGCTGTGTAAGTATTCAAAGCGTATTGTTGCTTGTGGGTCGTTGCAGACGCTGCTGTGGGTATTGGTTTAATGTCTTGAAGCGAAGCTAAAGACAATAAGGTTTGGTTTGGTTTAGGCGGGTGTTTTGACTCAGGAACCACGAGCTATAGAAGGTGACAGCACCACTAAAAACGGCGTGGGGTTAGAGTCAGAAATCGGGCAGGATGGGAAAAAGAGAAGGGGAACAGGACCAAAAAGTAGGAGGGAGGGTATATCCCACCCATTCGTTTATTTACCCACTGCAACACAACAGAACATCAAATACAGTTGGTTCGACTCCTCTTTTTCCTACCCGAACCCAGCATCCGGAGCACGTGCCCTGCTTTGCTGTCGACTGCAAATGTTCACAGACCAAATTCTCATGTACTTGTTATGTAAGGAGAGGAAAGAAGAAAGAGAGAGAGAAGCGACTCGTATCGATTGTTTTTCTTCTTCTCGCCCCGCCTTCTCTTCCTCCTTTTCCTGTCTTGTGCTACCACACCACCCCATTCTTCTGAACCTGTGGCCATCAAGAGTCACCTGCATGGTTCCATTGCATCGGCCTATCCTATCCAAAACGGACGGCCACAATGCCGTTATCCGGTACCACAAACATGGAAAAGTTTTGCTGCATGTCTATGTACATGGTACTATGTACATGGTACTATGTACATGGTACTATGTACATGGTACTATGTACACCATAATCATCTGTAAGTACACAGTCATCATCGGTGGGCGAAGAGAGAAGAAGACTAGAAAGAAAGAAACTTGGTAGTGACGTTGATAGAGGAGCGAGGTGTGGTGGCATGGGTTTCATCCAACCAACCCTGTTCCCCTCCACCCTTGCCGACATCCGCCTAGGCGTACTGTACTATAGAGCTTGAGCAATTCTCCGATGGTTTTCTCTTACAACTATTTCAACACGCTTACTCGCGGCCCTAGAATCTCAATCAGTCAGACGACACACTTCTTGGGGATCTCCCCCACCACACCCATTCGTGACCAATTTCTGGAGAGGTGTGTGTGTGTGTGCAAGTGTGCGTGTGATTTGCCGTGAGTGAAATAGGTGAGACTTTGCTGTCCGTGGATCGATCGGTAGCCATCTAGTGCCCAACCCCACTCGTTGCCCACCAAAAACCACCCTCAAGCCCACCAACCCGCTTGCCAACGCGTGCCCTTGAGATGAGCTGGCGACGGGGTGTGCCGTCCTTGCATTAGCTCGTACAATAGCCTCGTTTTCCTCTGCCGCCGTATCCCGGACCCCCGGCATTTCCACATCGACCCCTTGACATCGTTGTTTATAGGCCAATGTATTGATTTCTTCTTTTTTTGTTCTTCCTTTTTCTGGGTGGTGGGTCGGCGATTATACTGCTGGCGTGGCATCTCACATGCACTTGTTCCTCATAGACCAAGACCAAATTCAGATGATTACAATCACACGCGAGAGAGGAGGGGAGGCAAGTGGGAATGCACAATCGCCAGAAGCATTGATTACACTCGTGCCCTCGTATATGTCGTGTCACTCACTGTACCAGGGCTATCCCTTGATGAGGAGAGAGGAAAAAAAAAATTGAGACACCGAAGTCTATCCGAGAGAAAGGCCTCAGCCTCTTAATACAGTGCGGTACCAGGCAGATGTGATGCTGGCGGTGATACAGCGGCGTGTCTTGTCCTACTTGCGCCTGCTCAAGTCCGCAAGGTCTGAGAAGCGCTGCTCATACTCCGCCCAGCCATCTTAATGCATTAGGTTGGCCACCAGCGATCGAAAATACCTGGGTTGATCGGCTGGCTGGCCTGCAGATGCTGGCATTCGAAAACCTTGATCCAATTTTCCCCCCCCAGTGTATTTGTCCACCTCTTCATCCCGCTGTTACTTCGCTGCTCCAGAAGTGACGACGCTCGGGGTCGCACAACGAACTTTGGCGGTCGGAGCCGGCCTTGAAAGCTACCTACCTCTTCCATCCTCGGGCCCAGATACTACTATGGCGCGTTCCTCCCATCCGGCGAAAATGTTCTGAAAATTGCTGGTTCCCAAACTCTCGACGGAAGCCTGCGCCGGGTGGCTGGTCTCAAGCGCTTTCGGTAAACGCCGAAAGATGCTTTTGAGGAGCCGTGTATTGATACGTGAAATACCATACAACCTGCCAGAAAAGAGTGTCAATGCAATGGTCGTAAGTGACATTCCCGACGTAGCCGACACGACCTCAACATCCCCCATGGGTGCATATGTCCTTACAATATCTCGAGTAACACCTGAGAGGTACTATGCATCGCCATCTTAGTACACAAAGTGTTGGCCTTGGCCTGTGAGGTCCTTATGAAAGCGCGCCATTGACACTGTGGCGGCGGCCCCTCAACGTTCGTGTGCTTGACAAGTGACTTGCCGCCGTTGTGCCCGTTCAGCGGCCGCTGGGGTTGCAGCGGTGCTCGTCTCTGCCACAAAGGCCAGACAGGGACGTAGATGGTGACCTCGTTGGTCCCATAGATGACAATCTCGATTTCGACCGACATGTGGTGGATGTCACCTCGTTGCCGCTTCCAAAGAGAATCTCGATGTTCTTCTCGTCCGTCTCCAATATCTCACATCCCATATCTGTTATTTGCGTTACGTTTTATATTCCCCCTCTTTTACGTAACTCTAAGAACCTTCTTAGACAAAGGCCAGCTACCAATTCCGTAGAGACAAGCAAAAGTCGAGAGCAATTAAGCCTCGAGCAGCAAGATCTGTTGAACATAAGATCTTCTGAGCATAAAAAGAATCGCAGTATGTTCCGAAGCAACGACATTGTTGCTTCTGTCTGAAAGACGTTAAAGAATCTTCTAAGCCTAGATATCAATTTGTGAAAGACGATGAATCGCAGGGCATTAGCAATGTCACATGAGAAGATGCGTGATAAGACGGAAACTTGTGAGTATGAGGATCAGCCTGTTGATGTCCAATTATCGCTGGAATGATCACGACGCAAGGGCCTCAGACTATGTTAATGAGGTGGCCACACAAAAACTTCTTGAGCATACTTGATCAATTTCCTTTCCACCTCCCCCTCCCTCAGAAAAAAAAAAGAAAGAAACGACATCTTTGTGATGATTCAACCATGACGAGTTACAGCTCAACCTCTGACTGCCTATTGTCCAGAGAATTCAGAACGAAAAGAATGGCCCGCAGTAAATTAATAAACCCCCTTTCGAACAGATGTAAACACAAGACCGCTGCTTTAGAAGAATAGGCCGCCAACAAACCGAAATACAGAGTAATCCATTACGTCTAGGGTCAGTGGCAGCTGCCCGACGATAAGAACGACAACGACGACTACGAGAAAAGGTCATGAGTGGTCTCAGAGGCATGTCCAAGATCCATGATAAGAAGCAGCCTCTATCGCCACGGCTGCCGGTGTGATAGAATGTCGAACACGATGAAGAAGCAGGAGCGCGCGCACACACACACACACACACACGCACACAAGACAAGCATGAGACATCCCACTAGCTAGTTGCTGGTCTGCTGGACGAACTGCTGGCCAGATGTCCCGCCTGCCTGCTCATAAGGCTGCTGAGGGAAGCTATTGAAGGTTTCCTGCATGAATGTATCAGCGGAATCCTGGGTCAGCTGCTGGGTTTGCTGCTGGGCCATGGGCTGCTGGAAGCCCTGCTGCTGGAAGTCTGGCTGGAATGGTGGCTGCTGGAAGGACAGCAGGCCAAACAGTTGGGCCATGGGCGTGCTATGTGGGTCGAAGTGCTGCATGCCCTGCCCCAGGGTCTGCTGGCTGAAATGGTACAGTGCTTGCGAAAAGTTCTGCTGGCCAAGCTGCTCCACAGGCTGTTGCTGCTCCGGAGCCTCTTGAGCACCAAACTGCTGCATAGGGTGCGAGTAGGTCTGGTGGACAAAGGCTGCTGTATGGGTGGCTGTCCGATGAAAGACGGCTGGGTAGAGCCTGGCGTGGGCTGCTGACCGAATGGCGGTGTGGTTTCGTCGAGAGCCAGCTGGGTGGCCTGTTGAGCTGGCTGCCGGGAAGGCTGTTGGATCGCCCATTGAGCGAGCTGTGGAGTGGACTGCTGAGAATGCTGCTGCGGGGGCTGCTGCTGAGCGGGCGGCTCCATGGTGCGTGGAGTGGGCTGTCGACTGCGTGCTTCCACGATTTGCGGTGTATTCTGTCGGCTCTGTTGCTCCAAGGGGGACTGCTTTTGGTTTCTGGGCCCTGGAGTGGCATGGGCATCCGATGGCTGCTTGGCAGGCTGCTGGACGAAAGGCTCCCGGAGGAAATTGTCGACAAATTCCTGGGGGAACAGCGGGTGTTCCTCCCCTCCTGACAGTGCGACGACCTCCAGAGCGGCCAGGCGTACCGGCTCAGCAAGTTCCGTCTCCCGCCGCCTGTTCTCGGCGGCTTCCGCGAGCTGCTTCTTGGTGATGAGGTGATCTCTCTCTGTGGCCATCTCTTTCAGGGCTTTCTCTGCTTCCACAGCACTCCGAGCCCTGTAGACGACCGACCGGGCGTAATACCCATCCAGACCATCAAAGGGCTCAGCGGCACCGCAAACCTGGAGCCTCTGGACGACCTCCTTGATGCGCTCGGGTGGGAGGTCGGTGTCAGGGTCGGCATCTTTGCCGGTCAGAATGGGGATGGCCAGAGGGTTTTTGCCATGGGGGACAATGTAGAGGCCGACGGTCATGGAGAAGAAATCCACATGGCAAGTGAAGGCGACTATAGACGCCTCCCACGAGCTCAGAGCCGTCTTGGTGAGGTGCAAGGTGGCGATGGCGTCGCTGGCCGCGTCGAGATTGACATGGTCATAAAAGGGCACGAACCTGTGGGCCAGGACGGCCAGCTTCATGTCCTCACTCTTGACCTTGTGCTCGATACTGAAGGCCGGGGCCACGTCCGCGATTCTCCAGTCGGGCATGGTGACACCCCAGCCCCTCATGCCCTTGATGAGCAGGACATGGTCGTCCATCAGGCCGTTGAAGGCGACGAGGATGACGTCGCGGTCTTCGCCGCGGCCCTTGGTCTTGGCAGCCATCCTGCCCCTGACCCCCAGGCAATGAATTGGTGGAAGCCAAGATTAGGGTCGACCACCTTCTTGTCGTACGCCTCTCGCGGCATCCTGAAAACCACGGGGCTGGTGTTGTTGCGAATGGTGGTCCTAAAGATGAGGTTGATCTGGTCGCCCTGGTCGGTGACGGCCGCCAGCTGGTCTAACTGGAAATCCATATTGGTGTGCATCTTGAAGAAGACAAAGAGAGTATCTTCATTGAGCTGCGACTCCCTGCCGCGTGCCCCGATTTGGCCCTCGTCAACATGTTCCATGCAGTGCCTGTAGCCACATCGAAGTGGTGTCGATTCGGGCTTGGACCAGGTAGACCTAGCCAGGCACAAATAGTGAGAGCATCGGACCGGTGAAATCACGTGCGAGTTCGGCTTCTCTGCAGCAGGTATTGTAGTGGATGCTAGTGTCTCCAGGCAGAAAATAATAAGTGAGAGACAGAGATGGAGAGAGAAAGTAATGGTGATGCTCCACTCTCAGCTGTGTATGGCGTTAGCGGCTCAAAGGGCTTTTGTGACAGGACGAGAGTAATCAGTCCAAGCGCTTACTGGATGGTCGTAATTGTAATTGATATGTAGGAGAAGAGAATCTCCTCTTGGGCGAAGGGTAGACACAGAGGAGGAAGAATTGGAAGAAGCAGTTTCGTCTTGGCCAAGTGTGCACGACTGAGAGATTAGCCAATGGAATGACCGATGGTAAGATAGAGTGGTAACTTGAATCAGTTCACTTACGATGAGGTCTATTTGTGAATTATATGCAGAGGTGTGACTGTTCAGGACCGTGCAAGCTTTTCTCCTGGCTGCTTCCTTCGTATTCTATAAAGGTTAACCAATGAGATTTTGGAAATATAAGAAAAAAATGGAACGATCATCCTGCATACAAAGAAACCGGACTTCCGTTTGCTGTCCAAGTATATCGAGAGGCGGAGAGTGTGAGATAGGGTGAAATAGGTAGAGAGGCTCCCAACATCAATTCCCAGAGTCATGAAACTTTGAGAAAATGTAGTTCAAAGTAGGTTCCTCGTATATAATAGCTCCAAAAAAAAAAAAAAAAAAAAAAAAAAAAAAGGGCCAGTGAGAGTTAGGGGAGCGGGAGAAGAGTCTACAGAGGAATTGGGTCGTTCTGAGCCCGTGTTTATGTTGTTTTCTTTCTCTGCCCTCGCACTCTCTCTTTCTCTCGCTCTTTCCCTTCCCTCTTTGCTTTCTTGTCTCACACCCCAGAACAGAGGATAGTAATGTTATTGAGTCTGATGAGGCTTCCCCCGAGGTCGGCATTATGCAGCAGGAATGCAGGTGGCCCGCAGAATCTGCAGAGGAGATCTCCCTCCCTTGAATTACGACATACTCTAGACAGTGCGCATCTTGCTCATAAGAGAACGGGTCTGCCGGAATTTAAATTAAGCATCCTGTCGCCAATGTGACTCTCTATGCATTACTCTGATCCTCGGACACATTTCATTGGCTACCCTTGTTTCGTTCAAAACGCCCTGTCTACGTGGCCTGTCTCCTGGGGGTTCGCTGAGACTCGCAGGTTGCATAGGAAAAGAAGCATTAAGCAGCGGTGTGAGAAGCAAAATGAGGGATGAGAACAAGTGTCTATGTTAATCCCTCGAAGCGAGCAGGAACTCAAGAATGCTTCCTTGCTTGTGTGGTCTTGTTATTCACTACTTGGTGTTTTGAACCGTCGAACGGCACACAATTTATGCTCAATTGTTTAGACGCATGGCATCAAACCACTTTAGGACTCCCTTGGGACGGATCGCTCAATAGTTGAGAGACCTCTGCGCATTAGGTGTTTCAAATGCTTATCAGGTGTTCAGGATGGCTGGCAAAAGAAGAAAAAGTAGCAATTGTACCCATTGAAAGACGAAGCGAGCACGATTGGACGGGTTGAACTTCCGTCCCTTGCCATGCATATGCTGTGCAACACCTCGCTCGCAGGTTGGCAGCCTGGTCTGGAGGAAAACCCGTCGTCAAGCTGCAGTCAGCAACTGAGCTGACCATCTTCCCCCTCTCCCTCCGGCTTTCCCTTCCTTCTGGTTCGGCAGATTTACTGATTATGGCGACAGAGACACTGATGGCGAGAGTGAGGAAAGGGCATATAGTACTGAAAATACACGATTGATAAATTCACAGTCAATGACCGGCTGTTACTCCTTCGCTCTCTTTTTCTCTCTTTTTCTTCACCCTCCCCCCTCTGCCAAGCATCCCTGGATGGACGCGTTGCACATCTTCACCAACCAGTGCAAGGCATGGCCAAAGGGACGGGAAGATGTCGGAAAGAACTTGGACAAATTGTGGCTTGTTGTTGTCTCAGAGTGCGGCCTTCGAGACTGCGAGGCGAAAAGACAATCACCTCTTCTTTGACGCCACAATAGAACATGAGGTAGCATTTATGTCTCTTTTAATCGCGCGAAACATAAATAGAAAGAAATATACTGAAATATTGCTACCTGAGGGCGACAGCGGCATGCACGAGGGCATTCGCGGAGGGTATCATTTCAAGTGTAGGCGTGCATGTGCGTGCGTGTCTGTGATTGATGAGCTGGCTTTCCCCTTCCCCTCATCTTAATTAATCCCGTATGTATCAGAATGCGCCATAGGTAGCTGTACAATGGAGCTAGTGGTTAGTCCTTTGCTTTTGTTAGGCCAGAACCTGTTGCGAGGTGAGCAATTTTGATGTTGTGTAACTACACGATCCCTAATGTATGGTCCGATGTTACTTAGCCCTCCTTAGAAAAAGCATCAAAGGGAATGGCAAGAGGGGGAAAATGCAGCTGGGGCATGCACTTGACCAGGTTTGGGCCGCTGTGCATGCGACTTCAAGGAGAAGACGTCGGGCTTCAGGATTGAACCAATGAGGCGGCAGAGACTACCCACGTCATCGCCGACCTAATTCTCAAGTGTCTCTCCTCTGGCGAGGAAAATGAGAAAGAGCGGTAGATGCATTCCATCCCATATCAGGAGGACGCGAGTCGAGAAAAAGAAGAGAGAGGAGAGAGGAGTGTGGGTCTTTCTTGACGGAAACCCCCCCCCCCCCCAAATAATCTTATTCTAGCGCTTACCAAGGCAAAACAAAGGGTACGGTACACCTACAAGCCTGCGATCCTGATGCTGTCGCTACTACTGATGCTGCAAGTCATATCAATCCTGGATGTCGTAAGAAGAGGGGCGGAGAGGGCCGGGAGAATTATTGAATGAGATGTGGTAAGGCGGTATTGTACACCATCTTCGTATTTCTCTAAAAAGAAGGTGTGAATGCAATGCATTACTTTTTCAAGGCAGCAAAGGCATCTAAGCGAGATAGCCCTGTCATAGCATCCCCGGAATGGTGAGCTGGTGGAGCGTGCCACGCCCGGCCGAAAAAGAAAGAATAAAAAACCACATAGAAACTTCTGCACCTCGAGGGTCGGCAGACGGCCGGGTTTGATATTCCCGGATTGTACCGGTACATACATTTGTTACTAGCCCGGGCATGCGACATGTGCTCTTTTTCTTTCTCTCTTTTGGTCCATACCCACTCGTCTCTGCTTTTGTACACCCCTCCTTTGCTTACTTGTCCTCGAGGCGCCCAGTCCTTGTCAGTATGCGAAAAAGAGGGGGGAGGGGGGGGGGGGAGGGGCAATGTCAGCCATCGACCCGATGGCGGTGGATGATCAGAGACAATCCATGCCATGGTCGTCTCGACCACACAACCCAGCCCATCCCATGAACAGCACAACCTGCATTGCGCTGCCAACCCTAGATGTGAAGAGGCATGCTTATAAGGCTCGGAGAAATAGACCTCTCTTCTTCTGTCTTTTTCTTTTGCTGCTCATCTGCATGTACGATCGTCAGCCTGTGCCCTCTCGATGTCTGTCTTCGTAATCAACTTTCCTGACTGGTATCTCTGCATACTACCAAATTTCTGCACTCTGGTTATTTAATCTCTTTTTGTCCCGCCCAAGTTTCTACACAAAGTGATCATCGCCATCTCATATTGTCTGTGCGTGTGTCCAAAGTCCAGCGAGTACGTTGCAATCCTTTCTATTCGGATTTTCTTCCAATGCGGCCTCTTTAAATGACCACTGACTTTTCACCACCTTGTAGGATACCTGCAGTGGGGTTTCCTGTGCGCCCTTCTCTTGCTTCACTGCCCTGTGCAAGGTACTCGAATGCAGATGGCTATGACCTGCTTTCTTCTCTCGGTCCTCCTTCAGAGCCAGGGCCCTCACTAAGCGACTACTGATTGCCGCCAACTTGTAAGGGACGGTGCAAATTGCTGTACCCTCCCTGGTTTCTGAGTGGTCTATAAAGTCTCTCACACAAAAGTATGTGCTCTCTCTTTCTTCCCTCCTCTTTCCACATCTTCCCCTCCTTTACTCTACTCTCTCTCTCTCTCTGTCTCTGTGCATCATGCCGGGTATTTTTGTGCACCCAGCCTTTAGCGGCAGTATCCTCCCACCCACCACCAATTAGTTACTCCACACCATAAAGAAAAAGAAAAAGAGGCTGAGGAGCTAACCCCAGACCCGAGCCGCCACACCCTCTCAAAGCCAGTCATCGCTGGCTCACTTGGTAGCAATCCGGGTCCCAGAGTTACTCATAGGCTCCTCCTGGTCTGGTAGACAACCTGTAACAATGTTTCGGCCTCAGCTTGACCCGGCCATGCCTAGTAACCCTCAGCCAAACCCAGGCTCCAGTACGGTGCCGAGCCTTGACAAGGGCAAGGGGCCCGAACGCGACTTTCCACCTCGCAATCACATCCTTAATCTCACGAATTACTGGTGGGGAGACCATGCATGGCAGAGAAGTAAGCAGGAAGTGCCCTCCCCCTCCCGCGAGATGATGACCCTGACCAGCCCTCTCTGATGACAAGGCCAAACCCCCCTGCCATCGTGGAATATAAAAGCCAGTGCCTCTTTTCCCTCAAAACCATTTGCCCTGCTGATACTTATTGACGAAATCAGGTACATTCGGGGCTCCAGTGAACTATCGGATCAGGACGCCTGGTGACACATACCTGCTTCCATGTCCAGAATTTGGTATCTGTATCGAAGATTATAAGAACATCTTGCTAAAGTACGCGGAGATCTTCACGAACAACGAGAGCTTGGCGGCTCACCTGGGGGTCAATATGTCGGAACCTGTCCTTTCACGCAACATAGATCAGTTCTTCCATGGTCCGATCATAACTGGCGAGAGTTATACCTTCGTGGGCTACCCCAAGCCCCCGGTGACCTGGCTGGACATCGTCCAGTATTTCAGGTGCAACCCTGACGGTTACAGGCTCGTGTCCGACTTGGACGGCCAAAGGGTCTGCAAGTTTATGCTCAAGAATATGGAAGTGACCATCACCGAGGAGGATTGCCGCACCGCCAACTCCGGCATCCTCGAGCAAAACGGTCTGTCTCCGGTTCTCCCACTCGACGATGATGAGGCCAAGGAGATCTACATCATTGGCTTCGTGAGGCAGCTGTGCAAGCTGGTGAAAGACCCAAAAGGGGAGGTCGATGACTTCGCGTTCTTGATCAGTATACACTACTCGCTCCGGCAGCAGGGGTTGATCCGCAGGCGCGCCCTTCTGCGCTGCCCGCGGCCTGGCACCGTCGACATGGCATTGGCGGAGAAGCTCGAGAAGGAGCAGAAGAAGCTGGTCCGAGATGAGCTCAACAAGGCCTATGACCTCAATGTCCAAGTCTGCAAGCAGGCGATAGCGAACACGATGTCAAAGCCTCGACTCCGCCCGGCGGGCCCCGAGTCCCGGCTCATGGGGCCGCCCCCTAGGCCCGAGGTTCGGCCCGAGGTTCCACCGGCCCTTCCGAGGCCTCAGCGCCCACTCCCTGGAACACTGCCCATCAGCTTCCTGGTGGATGGCGGAAAAGACATCTGGGAGGGGGACGAGGAGAAACAGGGCCGAAGTCAGGACCACCCGGCTCAGGAGCAGGAGCTTGACCTCGCAGAACTGGAGCAACGGATCAGTGAGTATATTGTCCAGATGCCGCCCCTCTTGAACACAGCCAGCGAGCAAGAGGAACTCTTCCAGCCGCAGGCGGTGCCGGCGCAATTCTGGAGGCGAAATGGGCCCCCCTTCTCTTCAGTTCCTCAACAGCAATACTGGACGAACTCTCCGCAACAGCAGCAGCTCTTCCAGCCAACCCACCATCAGGGAGTCTTACCGACTCTTGAACAGCAGAATTTCTCGCCAGACTTTCCACCACAATTTCCACAACATGCTTTCCGGCCGCCTCCTCAACAGCCGTTCCTGCCAAGGGTCGAGGGTCCGATGATCTTGCCGGCCCCTCTGCTACAGCAGCCTATCCACCCAGCTACTTGCTACGCGCCACGGGCCTCGACTCCTCTCCAACAGGAAGACTTGCCGGTCTTACCAGCCCTTCAGCTACAGAATGCACTCCCACCGAGCCCCCAGCAGCATCAGGTTTTGCCAAGTCTCCAGGAGCAGGAACTCTTGCGGGCCCATCTGGGGCGAGAAGATACAGCCCGTCAACAACGACACACCATCCAGCTGGTTGGCCAGCAGCAGCAGCAGCAACAACAGCAAATCTCTCCAGTTTCTCAACGGCAAGGGAAGAAGAAGACGACGAAGAACAAGAAGAAAGTGCGGATCGTAGCTCCAACTGACCAGCCGCAGCAGCTGGAGCAGCAGCAGCAGCAGCAGCAGAAACATGCCACCCAGCCCTTGGACCGGCGGAACGATACCTTCCAGCCAGCTGAGCAGCAACAGCAACTCCCTCTGCATTCTTGGCAACAAGAACAAAAGAAGGCAAAGAGGAGGAATGTACGGGTCGTGGCTCCAACCGACCAGCCGGAGAAGTCGGAGCAACAGCAGCTCGTGCCAACCCCTCAGCAGCAACATGCCATCCAGCCGTTTGACCAGCAGCAGAATGCTTATGGGCAGGCTCAGCAGCAGCAACAGTTTCTTCCATTTTCTCAGCAAGAGCAGCAGCAGCAGCAGCAGCAGCAGCCGCCCCCGTCATGGCCGCCACAGAGGGCGCAAGACCTGCCCAGCACGGCCAGAAGGAGGCTGGCTACCCCCACTCGAACGTCCCGGGCGCTGGGGATACTATCCTCTCTCACAACACTCTCGGCAGGGCGGAACAGGAAACGAAGTATGAGGCAGGAGGCGTTGCCTTCCTGTGAAGTGCGGCACCGGGCGGGCTCCGAGGGGGAGGGGAGTGGTCCGCAGCCCGCGGAGTCGAGCACAGCTGCTCACGCGATGGAGGAGACTCATGGCCATGACAGCAGCAGCAGCAGCAGCAGCAGCAGCAACAACAACAACAACAATAACCGTGGTGTTGGCCAATATGGCCATGACGAGCACATGTTGACGCGGCCTTCTGTCCAGGCCCTGGACTCCTCCTTCATCCCTCACATAAGTTCCCAATCTGGGGCTTATGATCCGCGCACTCCCTCGCCTGAGACTGCTGCAAACCTAAGCCGAATGGCGTTCGCCGGGTTGAGCCAGAGCATGACCTCGCTGAACATGTCCCCTCCTTCCCATCAATAGACCTGTGGTGGGGGCTTACAGTATTTGACGAGTAGCTGATTGTGGTGATAAAGATGGCGATAATGGTGGTAGAGATGGTTGTTGCAATTGGTGCAGGTGGTCATGATGATGATGGTGGTTGTAGTTGGAAGGTGGAAGGAGGTGATGCGAGGTGGATAAAGGACTATGTTAGTGAGTGGGTCGAGGAAATCATGACAAGGATAACCCAAGTTGTCAGGTCCCACAAGGCACAGAGTAGAGAAGCTAAGGTCAAAATCAGCGAGCTGAGGTACAGTCAGGGAGACACATCAGGACTCTCTCTCTCTTTTTTCCCTTTTCTTTCTCTCCTCCTTCTCCCTCTTTTCTTTTCTTCAAGTGTTTTGAACTCGCATAAAAGGAATAATGATGGAGGGTGAGTCCAGGAAAGGGCCCAAAAATTGGTTGGTCTGCGGGGTTAAGAAGCAAGAGGACCAGAGCCATCGCTGCTCCGAGCGATAGGCATGAGAAAAGGTCATGGCCACGCTACTGTGTTTGGGCAGAATTATATTAATCCTTCTTTCTTTCCAATGGTACAATATATTCTATAGTGCAAGAGGAGGTAACATGGGATGCAGTGCGCTGTTATGCGGTCTGTAAAAGAACATGGTCACCGAGGGCGTACTGCTTTTCTAGGCGCAGAAAGTAAGGCAAAGCTTCAGCCTTTTATCATCATATCATCACATCTCGAGGTAATCTTGTTAGTACGGATTTATATGACTTTTATAATTTAAACCGTATCATCCTTTTCATGTCTGATTGAAATGGTAGAGCTTCCACCCAATTCCTTAAGTATAAAATCGATGCTCCCAGCTGATACCCGCTCAGCTTTCTTCCAAGGTTCTTGATTGGTGGCTAGAGTATCAGAGGGTTTCGCTCCAGATTTCCCAATCAAAATCAGTACCTGACCACGATGAAACCCTTTTTGTCAAGTTTGACGTTATGAGTCGAGGTCCATGTACGACGAAAGGTTAGTGTTCAGGTTGTACAGACGATTGCGAGTGATATGGCTCCCGACAAATGAGTGTCACTCGTAATGAGTAATTGATACTTATCGTCGCATTTTGGCTTAGAAATGCCTCGCTGCGGCCGGGTAGTGGCCACCTTAGTGCTGCCCGCGAGATTTGTATTTATTTCTATTGGTATCGATGGGCGTCTCAGCGGTCGCCGAAGTCGAAGACGGCGGGCCGAAGAAGTTAGGTTGGAGTGAGGGTGAGCGCGGCCGATCCTTTCTTTCGCTGACCAGCTCGACGTGGTCTGGTCCAAATCGATCCGAGAAGTCTTCCTGAAGCCCGAAGCTAGGTAGTATCCCCTGGCTGTTTTCTTCGTAACAGAAGGTCTTGCCTTGGAAAATGCCGACAAGGGCAAGCTTCGCGCTCGTCTTGGTGTTCAACTCGTGCAGCTTTCTGAAAATCGCGTCCCGGCCGCCTAAAAACGACCTTTTCTCCCTCTGTGCCTCCGATCGTCCAAACGGCTTTCGAGCATGCCGTCGTTTTGGAGCCATCTAGCAAGTTTTCAGGGAACGTTCGTAGTATAGGTTGAGTAACTTAGAAGGGGGGGGGGCTTGAGTTGTTGACTCGGTGGGAAAACGTTAATTGATATGGGATTCGTAGGCCATGACGTTGTTCGTGAGGCTCTGTTGGAAATCATTTTTAACAGCTGAGCCCCCGTATATCATGGGTATCCCTGCGGGATGCTGAGGCTCCGTGTCTCGTTTTAGAATCGGCCATATAACTGACCCGCATCCGGCCACATAACTGACCGGCCCCGAACCCGGACGGACGGACTCCCGGTTGTTGGATCAGTCCGGCAAGCCCAGTTCCTGGATTCTGGTGCACGTCGATTTCTGATAAATCCGCATCGTGGATCGCTCCTACGAAGGGGATGATTTCTTCCAAGAGTACGGCAAGCTTTCCAATGGCGCAATCCTACCATCGCATGATCATCGACTCGAACGAGGTTCCCGTCTGGTATAACGTCACTGCCGCTGCAGTATCTTGGGCTATACTCGCTGGGTTCTTTACCTTTCCCAGTACTTTTACCTCCCTCGAGCAATCCCATGCCCTTGAGAATTCTCACGTTGTGCACACACCGTAGCAAATATTCCTTTACTAGCCATTGCGAGTCTCTGCTACGTGACGGGGGCCATAGAATAATGCTTCCTGTGGTCAGAGTTCAGGGCGAACTATGTGTGGCTCCTGAATCATCTATTCTTGTAAGTATGTTCTCAACTTTTCAGTGGATCAACCGCGCTAATCTCATAGCCCGGGACTTCTCAACTGCATAAGTGGCCTGCTTACTGTTCTCCTGAACGTCTATAGCGCCCGGGACGGCACATGGTCACCAACGGCGTGGGTGACACTAGGAATTGTCCTGTTCACGCTTACTTTTATGATGAGCTCATCCTGCCTTTACCGCTTTTGGTTATCAAAACTAGCTTAGTACGGTTCGGCGCGGAGCATTGGCGTGGTGATAACGAGGTAGAGTTGCGTTGTAAGCACGAGCCTACCACCCGGACTTTGGCAATGTGTAAGATGGGCTATCCCTCTGCATATGGGTAGGAGGGGAAACATATCGACTGGATAAAAGCAATAAGGAAGAATATTGGGGTTGGAAGCCTGACACGCGGGTTCCTGTTAGAACGGTGGTCTAATTCGAACTTTAGTATGATGGATTGCCTGCCATTGTTTTATCTCAGTGCTCGGGCCCCGCATCAGAGCCGCGGTCTGTAGCTGGGATAAAGCAACTTCAAATTACCGCCTTTGGGGTGACAGGTAGCGCAGCGAGAATGGAGATCTGGACCTGACCCGCTCGTGGGCTTGATTTAGGATAGCGACGAACGAGCAGCGCAAAAATTAATATCAGGCCCAAAGGACTGACCTCAGGGTGTGCTTGAGCGGGCGGGATGGGGAGATAACAGTGCTGACAAAGAAGAACCGGGTTTCCCGAACCAGCCGGCGGGGAGCCCGGATCAGCGAAACCGGCGGTTGGACACTGGCCGCGGCGCTTAAAAGTTACCGCTACTAATATGATCGGCACAACGTTGCCCAAATATGATACCATACTCCATCAGCGATAACCAACGATGAGTTGAAGGTGTATATATACCCACGCATGTCGCCTCGACCACAGCTCCATTGCGAGGTTCACCATGGCTAAGAGACCGCGTGCAATCCAGACGCAGGATGGCCCGCCCACCAAAAAGGCCCGGACTTCCTGTAACTCCTCCTTGACGCGTCGCGTTCTTCGAAGGCTTCGGCGGAACGCACGACAGCCCGCGTGCCAAGCACCTCAGCAGACCAGTGGGTTTGAGGCATCGGACCTGCATCGGTACGCAAGGAACGGAGGGCCAGATCTAACATCTCTTCGAGGAGTACGAATCTTCCAGCCCTAGGAATGTCATTGTCTAACGCGGAAACATAGTCCCCCCCATCGAATAGCAGGATAGCGGACTCAGGCTCATCATCCTCGAAGTGGCAATCCAAGCGTACGAGATCTATCAAGACATCGACCGGCGTCACGAGCGTATCCAGCAAGAGGTCTTCTGCTGCCGACTCCAATTTCGAGCGAATACTGGTTGAATACAATATCTTCTCCGATGGCTATAGCTACCACCAGCATGTTCCCATTATACAGCATGCTAACTCAGCCCAAATCCAGCAAAGACTGGCAGCATCGAGAGCAAGTTTATCGCCATCCCGCCGCAACAAATCTGAATATGAACGCTTCAAACAAAAGAATACAACTGCGCTGTCGGAGTCCAAGGTAATAGTTGTGCCCTTTTTCAGGAGCGAGAGTTCTGGGGCTGCAATAGCAAGCCAGGAGAATCTCGTCTTCAATAATCTCAACTCTCTTACCAACGGGGCTACAGTTGATCCAAAGCCTAATATATTCGATGATGCTACCTTTATACAAGTCCATCCTCAAGTACGAAAGGATCTCAATTCGTTGATCGTTCCAACCAAGCATATACATGCACCTATTGCTCCGAACTATTTCTTCGAGGCCAAGTCAACACTCGGATTGCCGCACGAAGGCAGGCGGCAGATTACATACGATATAGCAGCAGGGGCTCGGGCAATGAACGCGCTCCAGAACTACAGGGAGGTATCAACAGCACCGTATGATGGGAATGCCTATAGCTTTGGAGCGACTTATCATGAATCAACTGCTCAAGATCTATGCAGGGCATGTTCACTCTGGGCAAACGGGACCGGAGATTCACGTTACCCAGGTCCAGGGCTTCGATATGACCGGTGATGCCGACACATACTTCAAAGGTGTAGGGGCCTTCCGGAATGCACGCGACCTTGCATACGAGTTGCGCAATGATTTGATTCGATCTTCGAATTCGAAAGCGCAAGCGGAACACCAACCGCAAGTTTTGCAAGATGTGGTTGAGGATGAAGATGTGGTTGAGAATGAAGACGGGGTCGATAGGTACAGGACCAGGACGCTGACCGTGCGTGCTGGCTGAATTTGGAGGATGGGGGTGCAGAGAAAAACCCGAGCATGCCCTATATAAAGCTCCCCCCTCCAAGCCCGGTCCGTAATCATTCTCTCCTCGCGTTGGGTCCGACATGTCAGCCTAGGCAAGTGTAGACACGCAGTTGAACAAGAGCCTCCTTGCCCTGTTTTCTGCATTCCTGTGCCCTCCCCAACTGTCAGGTCACAAAAATCCACTCAGGTAAGGGCTCCCTCCGTCACGATTTGTCAACGCCAACTGACAGCACGCCTCGGGTTTTCCTCGCACCAAGGCCTGGGCATCACGTCGCCAAGCCCATGGAACGAATTAGGTTTGGTCTCCTCGCGTCCGTCTGCGAGGCCATTCTTTTTGAGGATGCAGGGATGTGCTTGCTTTGGTGCTCGTTTTGGTGCTCGTTTGGGGGGGGGGGGGGCAAAGCCCCTCCCAGGGAACAAAGTACCTAGGTATTGTGATCATCTCGCGGCCAGCGCAACATGCTCGTAATCTGGCCTTCCTGGGTAGGCGTACATTAAATCAACCACTAACCACCAAGATTGCCGCCTCCTGATTCCTCATGGACATTAAGGTACACAAACCCAGACCTAATATGGAACTTCCTCCCGCTTCACCAACACCAAAACATGTACTATTATAATCAGCTGCCCATTGCACCGTATTAGATCCCAATAGTGGATGCGTTTTCGACCGCCGGGGATATTCCTAAGCTGGGAGACATCTAGGTTGCCGCAATACGGTTCCACCTGGCGTTGCTGCAAACAAAAATTCGTATACCCCTCGAAATCCACCTTGGACACTTCATTAGCCTCCACCGCTATCGGCCCCCAGCAGGCTTGGCATAGCTGTATACCCTCCGCCCAATACGGCTCACCCCTTTCCCAACGAGGCTTTCCATATCTATCGTTCGATGTTGGGTCGACTGCGAGGCGGCGGTTAGCTGACTATCTTGAGGTAGAATAGCTACAAACTCACTGAAAAATTTGGGTGTAGGAGGGCTTCTAGCATCTGAGGTGGGTGTAGCAGGTCTAGATAGATCTGGCGCCGGCGATGAGCTGATACTAGTTGTGACAGATGGGCTGCGCATAGCAGGTCCAAAGGTTCCAGTATTTGAGGGAGGTGTGGCAGGTTCGGAGCCAGCATTTGAGGTGGTTGTGGAAACCAGTAGGGCCGGGGGGCTCCCAGGGTCAGAGAGTGTCGAATCAGACATAGTGACTAGCAAAAGAGACAAATGTATGTTGTTGGAAATCTGGGGGGCTTTGAAAACGGCAAGGTCGACGTCTTATTATGCTTGGACGAAAGTCGTCCACTGCCCATGGAAAGCGCAATCTAAGCTTCACAGCATGGCCACACCAACCACCATCTATCCCGACCCTCCGTTTGTCTCTACGGTACATCCGCGGCGCCATGGTTGACGGTGTCCCCCATGGCCTCATGTACCTATATCTGCTGCGCAGCCATGGCGATCAGGCCACTTCGCATTTTTTCGCTCATAACCTGGGGCTGGGCTTCCTATCCGATTCGTCACACTCCCTAGAGGTGTCCTGCACCAAGCACCCCTTCCACATTACCTGGAAGAGTACAGCTTCACCTTGTTGTATGTGCTTGGACTCCTTCTCAGGGAGGCAATATTTCATGACCACAAGGCTGTCTAATAGTAAAGCCTAAAACAAAAAAAAAAAAAACAAGGTTTAATCCCAAAAAGGTTAGGTTTTGATTGCAGTCTAATACAAAAGAGGTTAGTTTTTGATCGCAGTTACATAGCTTGGTTGCATGTAGGCTGGGCAGCCATCAGCCTTGTCCATCATTATCTTGGGATCTGTCATGTCATGGATCCTCAGACACCGTGTTGCAATTGGGTTGGTCACAGTGACCAAACTGCACGAATGTCAATGTGCAATATGTACTTTTCATCCTATGCCCACATGCCGAGATATAACTTTGCAATGCTACAGGACTTTCTGGCCGTCTTGATAAATGCATAGCTTCCCGGGTCGTGTGTTGCCTTTGACAATCCCATCAAGCCGCCTCCTTGGGACGATATAACAGCGCCTTGCCCTCTATGCCTGAGAGCTGCATTTTCCATATTGGCTGGTTTCCATCTCAACAACAACTATCACTAAAATAAATTACACTTCTGCAAACTACTGTCAATGCCTCACTCCGCTTCACAGCCTTACACGGCCAATCCTGTGCCACAACCCAGTCCAAAAAAGGTATGTCAAAATCAAGGTTGTTTTTTTTTTATCTATTGCTAGTTAACATAGCCCAGGGCCAAAATTCTAACACTGGAGGAGTGGAATGCTGCCTGTGCCAATAATTCAAACACGCTTGATATTAATGGCTCAGCACCCTCTCGCCAAGATTATGGCATGGTTTATTCATTAACAAATGGGGATAATATCCATGAAAAGGATTTGAAGGCAACTGAGATTGGTCGAAAACTTCTCCATCTTTGGGAAAAACGCACTGGACACACTGAACCCACTCTAATATGGTGGTATCTAGAGGAACTTTGGAGGATGGTGTCTTACGTCTGCTATGGATGAGCACCGAATGCATGCTAAGATTAATGTATAGTACCGAATATATGCTTTTTACAAGCAATAGCGTGTTT